CTGAAGGGAAGCTACGAATCAATCCGAAAGAATCAAAGTCGTTCCAGAAATCTCGTACTCCAGCTTGGTGATCCCGACAGAAATGGGAACTGCTATTCCTCACTGACAGCTAACCGCTTCTCAGACCGCTACCAGCATGCGACCCTTCGACACGCTTCCATTGTGTCTCCAGATCTAGGGGAGCAACCCCCCATGCCAGGAGGAGCCCATGACTCCAATAGTCGCTCTTGAACCAAGCCTTCCACGGGGGCTTGAAGAGCAAGTCGGAACCCTGACCGTTTTGACCTAATCTGAGTATACCCTAGGTCATCACCCCGAGGATACGGTGTTATTCGATCGGGGATTTTCTTTTCATACTTCTTCCCGAATACTCAGACGCTGGTGGATGGTCGATTGTCAGAAATTCCGGGATCATGGGACCCGGAAGCCATAGCCATATCATGATGAGGGTGGCTTCATCCCCCACATGTGCAAACATACGGTGCTCCTATTTCAGAGTCGCTTATATCTGCGAGCAGCACAATTACTCACGCCAGTTCCGCATCTGGATCCATTGAGAGATTGGGAAAACGCGGACACCTACCTGTCCTGTGCCAATGACATCTCAAATACACCAGATACCCATTGCCCGTGCAACCAGTTCAGATCTCGCCCGTATGATGAGTACGAACGCGCTGCCCCCTTGCGAGGAGCCGCCTGGCCCGTTCCGCTTAATCTTGCGATTAATTGTACTAAACCTCAGAAACCTGAACCGTTGATAGGAATTGCCTTGATAGGGAATGAGCATAGGAACCATTGTGTGCAATTGCTCACGGCTGTCTCCCCTAGTGAAAGAGGAACCCGTTGATGGGGGAAAGATTTTTTTAAGAGCCCAAAATTAATATTCGAGGATAAGCGCCAGATTAGTAGTCACTACATCAAGGTGGGGGTCTAACCGGAAATGAATGATTGGTTATAATAACCAACGAAGAATGAACAATTAATGTCAAGACTTATTATGCATTCAAGTGAGGAAGACCGGTTTCGTTTTGTGGGAGCCCAATTCATCCCACTTGGTAGAGATGTAGCACTATTCTACAATTAACTCAGGGAATGTGCTAGAGATTCAATGGCAAATAAAAAATCATATGTTACCGATCAGCGTTACTTTGCTGGGTCAATCATAAGAAGTGAGAATATCTCCTTCAGTCTTCTCGGAAAGCCGGATTCGTGACAAGAATCTTGTTGTGAAATTTTAGTAATAAAGAGCAAAAGGAATTGAAAAAAAAAAAATTGAAAAAAAATCTAATGGTTGATTTCCGTGCAAAGTTCGTGCTAGCGCCTATGGTTCGTGTAGGAGAGCTTCCTACACGACTGTTGGCACTTAAGTATGGTGCCGATTTGGTTTGGGGCCCAGAAATTATCGATAAACGTTTGGTTCGTGCAGAGCGAGTGTTCAACCCGAAATTGAATACAGTGGATTTTATCCAAAAGGATGGAAACAAAAAGATCCCAGGAACAACCGACCTTGTCTTCAGAACATACAGAAAGCTGGAGCAAGACAAATTAATTTTCCAGTTGGGCACCGCCAATCCTGATCTTGCAGTGCAAGCTGCTAAAATTGTCGCTGCTGATGTTGATGGTATTGATGTGAACGCTGGTTGCCCGAAGCATTTTTCTGTTCATAGTGGAATGGGTGCTGCATTGCTAAAGACACCCGATCTGCTGTGTGATATCCTGGTGGCCCTGGTGGAACACGTGGGTGTTCCGTTCAAAAAGCCTATCAGTGTGAAGATTAGATTACTCGCAGAGGAGGAAAATACATTACAACTTGTCCGTCGTCTTGTGAAAACAGGTATTAAAAATCTAACAGTGCATTGTCGGACGAGGGAAATGAGGAATGGTCAAGATCCGATTAGGGATTATGTTGACAAGATTAAGGAAATTTGCACGGAAGCAGGTGTGAGCATGATTATTAATGGAGGTGTGAAATCTTATCAAGAATACAGGGATCTACAAAAGATGTTCGGAGATGATGTGGGCTGCATGATTGCGTCTAAGGCCGAGGTAAATCCTACTATTTTTAATGCGTCTGGGCCCTTGCCATGGCCATTGATGGTGAAAGAATATGTGCGTTTTGCAGCCCAAGTGAATAATTCCAACACAAACACAAAATATTGTTTGGCCACAATGATGCCGAATCCACGGGGAAAGAATGTTATCTGCAGGCTTGTTAGCCAGTCCAAGAAAATTGAGGAAGTGGTGGACGCGGTCTTGAACAAGATGGACGACGAAGGCGCATTTATTGGCGACAAATCGTCGGCACCGGGCGACGATGTCAAGATTGAGAACCACAAGGATCTCAAGCGCAGACTTGACCTTGAAGATATCGAAACCATCAAGCGCATCAAAGTTTAAGAACCGTATATAGGCATATTTTTAGCATCATGGTGCAAGCCACCCTTGCACCGTAACCCCTCAACTCAAGATTTGCACATAATGTATGTAAAGCCACGGTGTTCGCGGTACAAAAATTTGCAGAGTCTTTGTTTATATACCGCTGTTACAGACTGCCCCGACTTATCAAAATAGTTTGGCTCGGTTTTGTAAAGTTTCATCAGGCGGTTATACACTTGATTCCATAACATCTGACAAAGATTTTTATGGACTACACTAGTCTTCTAAACCCCCGCACGAACGTGAGACAAGAAGACCCCTTTCAAAGCCATTCTATCGCTGAAACTATAGCCACCGGTTCCTCTACTTTTGAATACCGTAATTCAGAAGACTCATTTCTACGAAACGCCCAGCTGGACGACGACGACATCGATAGCGACTCAGAATTAAAGATGGACGATTCGAGACATTCAAGGGTCTTCTTTGTGCTCAAAAAGTTTGTCAAATACATTGGACCGGGACTGATGGTTTCGGTCTCCTACATGGATCCCGGTAACTTCAGTTCCTCCATTTCTTCGGCACAATTCCAATATAAACTGCTTTTCTCCCTGATGGTTTCCAACATGATGGCTGGATTTTTGCAGATCTTAGCTAGTAAGTTGGGTATCTGCACAGGTCAGGATTTGGCGTCGAATTGTCGCACTCACTTACCCAAGTATCTTAATTGGGTCATCTACGTTTTTGCTGAACTGGCTGTTGCGGCAACCGACATGGCCGAAATTATCGGTACCGCTATTGCATTCAACATTCTATTTGGCTTACCTTTGCTAGGTGGAGTGTTACTCACCTTTTTGGACATTATTTTTGTCCTCATGGCATACAGACCAAACGGGCCGTTGGTTGTTATCCAGGTGTTCGAGGCAGCTGTTGGTGTGCTTGTTTTAGGAACTGTTGTTTGTTTCATTATTGAGCTCGTCAACGTTTCTCCATCCACCAATTGGAAAGCCGTCTTCCGTGGCTTCCTGCCTTCCAAGGAGATCTTTTCAGACACCAAGGGATTGTACCTTTCCGCTGCATTGTTGGGAAGTAACTTGATGCCTCACTCCCTGTACCTGGGTTCAGGTGTGGTTCAATCTCGGATGAAAGCATTTGACATTAGAAACGGATTCTACTCTCCTCCTGTGCCTCAGAAGAAGAGCAAGTTGTTCTTGTGCGGATCTCTTGACGGCGAGACCGAACAGTCTAAATACAAGCCTTCCATCAATGCGATCAAGGACACTATGTCGTACACCATTGCTGAGATGGTGATATCCCTGGTCACCGTTGCACTTTTTGTCAATGCATCGATTTTGATTGTTGCCGGAACGGCTCTTTCGACTCCAATGGACGACGACGGAGATGGAGATTTGGAAAACGCCGACTTGTTCACTTTACATTATCTTTTGTCGAGTCAGCTGTCGAAAGCTGCAGGAACAGTTTTTGCGCTGGCTTTACTTTGTTCGGGACTTTGTGGAGGAACTGTTGTCACCATTGCCAGTCAGATGATCATGGAGGGACATGCGCGCTTCTCGATGCATCCTGCTCTTCGTCGTATCATTACACGGTTATTTGCAATAACTCCGTGTATTGTTGTTGTCTTGGTTCAAGGAAGAGAAGGATTGAGCAGCATTCTTAATGCTTCCCAGGTTGTTTTGTCCTTACTGTTACCATTTATCAGTGCACCGTTGATTTACTTGACATGCAAGAAGAGTATCATGCGGGTTTCTCTTAATGGAGAAGACCGGAGCGACCAGCGATCCATCGCCGAGAGTATACCTCTGAGTACGTTCTCTGAGGATACGATCAATCTTTTGAGCGATCAAGATGAGCAGGTTGACGAGTCTGAGCGTGTTTCCGACTCTGTTTCCGAGTGTGTGCCCGACTCCGTTTCCGAGTGTGTGCCCGACTCCGGTTCCGGCGATCCTGTCACTACTGAGGTCAACCAGGTTTCCAGCTCTGACCAGGCCACCACTCATATCACCACCGACACGGATGCTCCTCAGTACAAGGACATGAGCAACAACCTAATCACGTCGATTTTTGCCGTTCTTGTTTGGGTCATCATCTCCTTCATGAACTTCTGGCTGCTGATCAGCTTGGCCATGGGCAAGGACGTTCCTGTGTAGACCATTTTGGATAGAAATACATTTAGACACGATATCGACTATTTTCTGTACGGTTATTATTAGGAACGCGACAGGTGCAGATAATTTTTTCTCCCAATTATTTGATCCATGAACATCTTCGGCATCTTACTACTTGTCGGATCCGCTCTGTCGGTGGATCTTGACGTGGACAGTGTCGATTCCATTCGTGAGGCGACTGCGTTAATCTCGACGGGTTTGATGGATTATTACTGGGGATATCAGAAGGGCGGAACGATTGGCATGTTTACCAATCCGTACTATTGGTGGGAGGCTGGAGGAGCCTGGGGCTCCATGATCGATTACTGGTACTTTCTGGAAAACAACACTTATGAGGAAACCATCAAACAGGCGCTGTTGTACCAAGTTGGAGAAAACGACGACTACATTCCTTTGAATCAATCCACCACTGAAGGAAATGACGATCAAGCGTTCTGGGGAATTGCTGCAATCCAGGCCGCCGAGCGGAACTTCACCAACCCTTCTGACGACCAGCCACAATGGCTGTATTTGGCACAAGCCGTTTTCAACACCATGGCCTGGAGATGGGACACTGACAGTTGTAACGGAGGCCTTAGATGGCAGATTTTCCCTTGGAACTCGGGTTACGACTACAAGAACTCGGTCTCGAACGCTGGATTGTTCCATATCGGTGCCCGTCTGGCCAGATTCACAGGAAACGACTCTTACGTCGACTGGGCCGAGAAAGTGTACGACTGGCTTGTTGGAGTCAAGTTTGTGAACGAGTCGAACTCGTACTATTTCGCATACGACGGTGCCAACATCGACGACAATTGCTCCTCCGTCACCAAATACCAGTGGACCTATAACGCAGGCATGCTGTTGTCTGGCTGTGCGTACTTGTACAATTACACGGGAGAAGATATTTGGAAAGAGCGTACCTTGGGATATTTGAACGGACTGTTTGTGTTTACCCCCCAGGACGGGAACTACATTCTGCAGGAGACGGCATGTCAAGGATCGGGAACATGTAACAACGATCAGCGGTCTTTCAAGGCGTATTTGTCCCGGTTTTTGGGACTGACAGCCGTGCTTGTTCCAGAAACACAGGACACGGTGAATAAATATCTGCAAGACTCGGCACAAGGGGCAGCTGCGTCCTGTTCGGGTGGATATGACGGTCACACGTGCGGCCTAAACTGGAACTACAACGGATGGGATGGTAACTACGGGCTAGGAGAGCAAATGTGTGCGTTGGAGGTGATGCAAAACTTGCTAATCTACGATAGACCCGCTCCATACACTGCCACGAACGGAGGCTCATCCACGGGAGATGGAGCTGCGGGATCGCAGACCACATCGTTGACGGACCAGCCATTGAGTCTCGACAAAGGAGACTCTGCCGGAGCGGCAATCATTACGGTTTTGATTGGAGTTAGTATCATTGCATTAGCGTGTTGGTTATTAGTTTAATGTACAAGAATCATGAAAGCCGAGTCTATTTGTGGCTGTTGGTTTCCAAGACCTCGCGCAAATACGAGTCCTCTCCCTTCTCTGTGTTGTTGAGATGGTGTTTTTCCTCGTAGACGCTCAAACCAATAGATCCAAGAAGCAAGCCGACGGTGATGAATTGGGCGTACATTCTGGCCTGAACAAACTTCTGGGTCTTGGTGAGCAATGGGTCTCTATCAACATACATCCACGAGCCAACCATGGAGGCGGCCCAAAGACCAGTGATGATCTTGTACTTGCTGTTAGAGAGCGACTCCACAAACTTTTCTGTTGGAGACAAGCGGGCCCATCTTCTATGTTCTTCCAGAACTTTGCGTTGTTGGAACTCCGACGAGTACATCTCGTTGTCGAATTTGGTGGATGCCAATTCCGCATTCACAGCTGTGGTGAACGCTGGCGGCATGATGGCGGTTGCGGTTCTGATAGACCATGGTAATTTGAACAGCTTTGGATAATGCTTAGGGGCCAGGGCATAGATACCCACAGAAATAAGAGTTCCCAAACAGAACCCGTTAATACCTCCGGTCAAGGTGGCCCACGAGTGGGCATCAATCTCTTCTTTGGAAACAATCTTCATTGCTGTGGTAAATCTCGGGTTTTGAAATAAGGAGACGATTTAAGGTTTATATAGTACGAGAACTTTTTTTTTACCCGGAATCGAGCGACGGGACGGAACATCTTGGAATGCAACCACATTGGCTGGAAACAATTGTGTGACGTTTCCGCGTATTTAGGCTCCTCCGGCTGGCTATTATTGGCGTGTTCTTCTGCATGGTCCCACATGCACCTCCGTCTGGGATGGAAACGGTGTTTGCACGGGTTTTGCTATGTTGCAACTCCGACAGGCCGTTTGTAATCGTCAGCCAGCTTACGTAAGCACCATACTGGTGTTAATTTTTCAATCTCAAGCCAATGTAAAAAAGAGTCAACTGCAGTATGTTAACAGGAGGACAAGCCCGATTGGTTAACAGTGTAAGACGACTGTACTCGTCGAGTACGGATATTCTGCGGCGGTTTCCGGACCTCAGACCGTCCGACGTGCTGAGCAACGGCCGTCCCGACTACGTCAAGATGATCTTAACGTCTCGAGTGTATGACATTATTGACGAATCGCCGATCACCACGGCCTCGTCTCTGTCTGTCAAGACCAACTCTACCGTCATTCTCAAGAGAGAGGACCTGCTTCCTGTTTTTTCGTTCAAGCTCCGTGGTGCTTACAACATGATCGCTCATTTATCAGACGAGCGGAAAAGCAAGGGAGTTATTGCATGTTCTGCCGGAAACCATGCGCAGGGAGTTGCGTTTTCCGCCAAGCAGATCGGTATTCCTGCCACAATTGTGATGCCTGTGGCTACTCCATCGATCAAGTTTAAAAACGTGAGCAGATTGGGTTCCAGAGTGGTTTTGTATGGTGACGATTTCGATTCTGCCAAAGCAGAGTGCGAGAGACTCACAGTCGAGCAAGGAATGACCAACATTCCTCCTTTTGATCATCCATATGTGATTGCTGGTCAAGGAACTATTGGTATGGAGCTGTTGAGACAGATCAAGAGCAACAAGCTGAGTGCTGTTTTCGTTGCTATTGGAGGAGGAGGGCTGATTGCCGGTATCACGGCTTATTTGAAGCGACTTGCTCCGCACGTCAAGATCATTGGTGTGGAGACGTTCGACGCCGACGCGATGAGACAGTCGCTCGAGAAGGGCGAGAGAATTAGACTCGATTCTGTTGGTGGTTTTGCAGACGGAACCGCAGTCAAGATCGTTGGAGCAGAGACGTTTGCTGTCTGTCAGGAGTTTGGTGTTGACGAAATAGTCCGTGTCAACACCGACGAGATCTCGGCTGCCATCAAGGACGTGTTTGAAGACACCCGGTCTGTTTTGGAGCCATCTGGAGCTCTCACGGTTGCAGGTCTGAAAAGATATGTGGAAAACCACCCGGAGATCGACCATTCCACACAGACATACGTTCCTGTTCTTTCTGGAGCCAACATGAACTTCGACAGACTGAGATTTGTCAGCGAGAGAGCCGTTCTTGGTGAAGGTAAGGAGGTTTTCCTCACTGTTCAAATTCCAGACAGACCAGGAACGTTTAAGCAGCTAAACAAGATCATTGATCCCAGAAATGTGACCGAGTTCTCTTATAGAATTTCTGTGGATTCTGAAGAGACCGGTTTGGCTAACATCTTCACTTCTTTCTCCGTTATTGACAAAAATAAGGAAACCGCTAAAGTTTTGAAAGAATTGGAAGAGGTCGGATTCAAGGCCTACGACCTCACAGACAACGAGATGGCCAAGAGTCATGGAAGATACCTTGTGGGAGGTAAAGTGCATGTTCCTGGCGAGCGGATCATTTCGTTCGAGTTCCCAGATCGTCCTGGTGCCCTGACCAAGTTTTTGTCCTCCATGGAGATGAATTGGAATTTGACCTTGTTCCATTATCGTAACCATGGCGATGATGTTGGCAAGGTTTTGGCGGGTATTTGTGTTCCTGAAGAGGACAATGCCAAGTTCGACAAGTTCCTGAACGAATTGGGCTACAAATATAATGAGGAGACCGACAACTTGGTTTTCAAGACTTTCTTAACTAGGTAGAAAAATTAGGGAAAAAAAATCATTATTTTGTAATATTTCTTTGTTTCCATGTTGAAGCGTCTTTTGACGATTTCTCGACCGTTCGTTGGTTCCAGACTGTACCATAACATTCCCAAAGAGGAAAGAATACTAACTGTTGCAAATGGGGGTGTTACCAAACCAAAGCGGCGGCCAGCTGAGGATTTGAACCCGGCCAGACTCTCCACGGTATTCAACACTATACCCCCCGATCCCAACGCCAGAGTGTTGTTTTGTCTTTCTTCAACGCATTTCCCATTGAATCTACCCTTTGAGACTTTTGAACTGCTCAAAGACCGTTCTTTGGACCTCAAGAACGTCACTTTTGTTCTCACTATGGCAGACAAGATCTTGGAACAAGACACTGCCCTGCATCTCGACCAACAACAACACATCTTCCACCACTCGCTCAACAAATACCTTTCTCTGCGCTCGTCAGAAGTCATAGATCGTGCCAACGTCGCCGTCACAAGCACTCACCACCCTGAATCCATCACCCGACTGTTTGAAAAATTGATCCAGTCGGAGAAAAACGTCACCTACTATGTCGTTGGCGAAACAAACACAGGAAAGAGCACGCTTGTACAGAAACTGTTGATCGAGGGAAAAGATTTCCTGGAGTCTCCAGCTGTCCCCAAAGCGTCGCCTAAAGCCTGTACCACAAGAAATAACCATACATATATCAGTCCATCTTTTGGACTATCGTTTGTGGATACTCCGGGGTTTGTTCCCAAATCCAACAGCATTTACCAGGTTTTGCGGCCAACTTTCCGCATAAACGTCTTGAACCAGGCAACACTGAACAATATTCGCCGGGTTCACTTCCGATCCAGACCAAAAGGTAAAACCGTGGGGATGGGACCTTTTCTTGCATTGCAACTAGCTACGGATTGGCAATTGATATATTTCAAGAAGTCCATGTGGGGGCCAAGAAAAAGATACAAGTCTTTCTATTTGTGGAAACGAGCCATGACTACTGGAAGGTATGTGTTTGACTGCGAATGGACCTATTACAAGATTGCCAAGTGTGAGCATCCATGTGATCTGATTGTGAGCAACGCTGGACTTGTCAGATTAGAACAAATCCCCGAAAACATTGTGGCTTGCGTGCCTACATGCGTGGATATTATTCAGAGGGTATATACTCCCGAAGGAGAGGTATATATCGAGCTTGAGAAGCCCGAGAAAGAACCCAAATGAACCCGATCATTAGTTTTTTCCAGCCTTGGCTTTCATCATGTTGCGTTTCATGCTCCAACTGAAGAAATAAAGACAGAATGGGAACAGGATGTTGTTGAGCACGATCCATGCGATAAGAACACCGATGTTTCGGCCGAGTTGGCCACGGTAGGTATCGAACAGCTGCATCTTCATCAACTCATAAGCATTCTTGATTGGGAACGCATAGGTGAATCTGTAAAACTCGGGACAAACCTCGATTGGAGCGAAGGTGGCAGAGATGTTTGAAACAACAAAAAACAGAAGCCAGAATCCCATCATTGGAGGGAACACTGCGAAACAAATCAGCGAAAGGTTTTCATTTGCTCCTCCCACGGCGGCCATAGCCAGATACGAGAACATCCACAAGACACCGAAACCTCCTTTCCAACTTTTGTTCATTGGGATTTGGAAAGCTGCGTTCAAACAACTGTAACCAAGAGAAACGAGCAAGAAGGTGACCTGGGACTGCACCATTCTGTACCCAATATAGCTTTTTGGTTTCAGATGCGAGGCAACATTTTGGTTCAGTTTCTGGAACCATGTGACCTGGAAAAAGGTGATGATGATAATGTAGATAAGACCCACTTGAAGAGGTGCCAAGACCACGGTGTTGGTGACCTTCTTTCCGTCAATGTACTCGACGGTTGGGGTATTTGTAAGAATAGATGTGTTTTGCAGCTTAGCAAACTGGTCTGGTGTAAGGTTAGATAGCAGTTTTGGATACACTTTCTGTTGGACGATTTGACTGAAAGCAACACCGAAGTCGGCCAGACTTGGCTTGACAAACTGGTTTTGTCCGTTCAAGTCTCTTCCTGTTTCGTAATAGCATCTGACCAAAGACGAGGTGTTGAGGTCGGACCCGTTTTCAATGGCCTCGACCAGTTGACGAGAAACGTCGTTACTGGAAACGTAGATAGCAGCCCAGTATTTCTGTTTGTACACCTTGTCGACGATTTCGTCGTCGCTAGTGAAGTTGTGTGGCTCCCATCCAAGAAGGGTTTCCAGTTCCGGCAACTGGATGGTTTCGAGAATGGCCTGCGACAACGGATAGTCGGAATTATTAACATCGGCACCTTGCTCAATAGCAACCAAGACCTTCAAGTTGACAAACCGGTTCTGACGACCATACATGGACCCCCAGTAGATGGAAAAGGCGCTTAAAATAAACGCCCATAGAATAACGATGATGATCGCGTACTGCACTAGGAACGATTTTCTTTCCTGGGTCTTTCTTTTAGACCAGAACCCAGTCTTGATGGGCCCCAGTTTATCCATTTGCTCGATATCCTGCTGTTTTTCCTGGTTTTCCTGCTCCTCGACCTCTCTATTGTTCTCCTCAATGTTGTGCGAGTCTGCGTGACTAACAGCGTACTCTGTGTATTCAGTCACTACTCTCATCAGAGAGTTATCATCCTGACCCCCATGCTGCGAGCTCTGGCTCTCGGGGTCGTACTTGGCTGCGTGCAATTCTGCCGACTCTTGTGATTGTGACGACTGGCTCATGTCTCAACTATACTGTAAGGAAAAAGAAGGGGGGTGTCTATAGGCTTTATATATTTGTAATATGCGGACTTAAGAAACAAACATAATTTTTCTCTGCGTCAAGAATTTGCTGCCACACGGATTTAAAACCCCGATTTTAAAAACCGAGTCAAAGAACAATTAATAATCGCAGAAAATTCGGAGTTATTCCAGTTTGGGTAACTTCTCGCTCCTAAAAACCTCATCCTTCCTACCAACAACACTGTGGACTTAACTTGTCAAACCCGAACGTGTCGCATCGTACCTCGGTGATTTACAGACAGCCCGAAACAAACCCAATCAATTTCACCAATAGCTCGTGGTCGTGCTCCGTCACGTCTGCCTTCGAAAAGAATTTACCACTCGTGTTGAAAATCGTATTTTTGGTGATCTGCTGGCCTATCTGGCCCGCCAACGCCTGCGTCTTCAGATTGCCCCCGATCAGCGAGTTGGTCATCGTGAACTCGGCCCCCTTCATCGTCAACGGCCGTGCAGGCAGATCGTACGAAACTTCCATCTCGCCGTCCCTGCTAAGACTCACAATCTGCTTATTGGGGAACTCGACCACAGTGCAACTTACATCGTGCCCGTCCAACTGCACGCTCTTCTCGCGAAACGTCCGCCGCAACATGTCCAAAATCGGGTCTTTTCCAACACGGCTAAAATTATTCACAAACCAGTCTCTCAAATATGTTCAATTACGTAATCTATAGTATATGGCCGTGGTTGTAGGACCGGCAACCACAACCTGGGTGTACTTGTTGGTGGTGGCGAGTTGCAGACGGTTGTTTGTGGACTTTTGTTTCTTCTGACCAGGTTCCAATAACGATGGAACAGGAGCAGGAACTCCGGACCGGATCCGCTTGCCATTACCGAGCTGGCCAAACTCGTTGTCTCCCCAGTCGTAAACGTCGCCGTTCGTCAGCGTCGCCACCGCATGGTTACCTCCCACACTGATTCCACGTAGTCCCAAAACCTCAATCTTGTTGGACACCTCGTTGAACTCGCGCAAGTCGTTCAGTTTCTGGATCTTAGATGGCTCGGCCTGTCCATGCACAAAGTGGCCGTTTCCGAGCTCACCCTTTAGCCCGTGTCCCCACGAGAAATGCACCAGCGACTCTTTCTGCTCGTCAGAAAGCTTTTCCATGTCAAAGCTCTTATTTTTCTTCATGGTCTTTTCAAAAAGCTCGTAAATGTCCGAAGACACAAACGAAGCATATGCCGTGTCGCCTCCAGCAGCAATATCGACACATTGAGGAAGATCGCTGCGCTTGAATCTCTTGCCAATCATCTCCACCTTCGTTGGATACGGAATAATCTCTGTGTTGTAGTCCACCTCTTTTCCAAGAGATCCATAAGTGTTCTTACCGAACGTCCAGATATTTCCCAAGCTATCCAGACACATGGTGAAATAGTTGCCCGCGACCACTTTGCGAATCTCTCTGTCAAGAACACTGTTGTTCTCTCTCACTTTGTTCAACAGAGTCACCTCGTGTGCGGTGTTAGGAGCAGGAGGCGCGTCAAACTGGGAAAACTCGGGAATTCCAAACTGGCCGTGCGACTTGTCTACCGTCTTTAGTCCAGTAGCTGCAGTCAAAACAGAACCCTTGGTATCTAACAAGACGATGTGGTCCTTTCCGGCTGAAATGTCTCTGATTGGTTGCTTGGCGGAAATCTTAGCATATTTCTTGGTGCTGGAGAAGAACCATCCCTTCTCCTTCTGGCCAAACTCTTTCTGTTGGGCAGCACTCTCGGGAAAATACAACACCTCTCCACGTTTGGTCAATGCATAAACAACTCCGTTGCTGATCTGGGCCTTGATCAAGTCCTTGCCTTTCAAAGTCGGTTTCGACGAGTCTGCACCGAAACCTGCACCCCATTGGTAAAGATCGCCCTTCTTATTGATCAATGCGCCGGAAGACTCGCCCAGAACAACATCACGGGCCACAAACTTGTCAAAAATGTCTAATCTCTTCATAATCGGCTGGAACTTCACCTTCGAATCAGAAGAGACCATCTTGTTAGAGTTGTCTCCACAAATATATAGTCCCGGGACTTCGCTCGAGTTCGGATTCGTCAATGTCACGTTCATGGTCTCCAGTCTGTCTTTTTTCTTCTGCTGTTTCTCCTGGATCTGGGCATAAACCTCATCAAAGTGAGATAAATCATAAGAATCGCCGAAGATCTTACGTCTCAGATACTCCCAGTTACGGTAGACTTCGTATCCTCCAACAGAACCGACAATCACAAGAAGTCCGGCAAACATTGCCTGATACTTCACGTATGATTCGTACGTAGAATCGTTCTGCTCGGTTTGAGAGGGCCCTTGTTCGAGATGAAGCTTGTCCATGATCGATTCGTTTAGATCCTTCTTATCCTGGAGCCCATACGTCGTCTGATGGAACTGTTTGAACAAAACTCCACTTCTGACGGGCCGGCTTCGTAAAGAAGACTGCCGTATCACGTTTCTTAACATGCCCAAGAAATGCTTACTTTGTCTCGAATTTAATTGGAATATTTTTTTTTTGGGTGTGTACGTGCTGGTGTACGGGTGTGTGTCATTAGATTGCGGACCCCATATTTATACGAGGCAAGGTTAGATAACAGACGAACGAGCAAAATTTGAACTACTTGTAGTCATTAATTGATCAATATAGGCGTTTACATCCCAGTCGGCGCTTAATCGTTCTCACACCAAGCGCCCATCAAAACATTAACCAATACGGTAACTCTGACGCTTTTGTGGCTGGAGAAGGCTGGTTATCAATTTTTGCCCCCCAATATATTTTCTACTATTTACGGTTCCCATCCATCCTCTTCAATCGTTTGAAAACCGCAGTATTAGTACTTTAAATTCCTCGAGATGAAGTTTTCACTGCCACTTTTGACTCTGGTGAGTCTGTGCATTGGAAACAGCCAGGCTCTTTCCATCAATAGACACGCCCTGGGACAGCAGCCTTTGGAGCTGGACCTCTCCATTCCCCAGGAGCTTTTGAACAAGGGGAAATCTTTCCTTGACACTGTTTCTGAGGCTCTTGGCGAGTCCACCGAAGGTTTGACTGCCGAGATGAAGGAACTGTGGGGAGAAATGGAAATGAAGTTCCCTGATGCTATCCAAAGCATGACAGTCAAGTCTGAACCTAGTTTCAAGATCACCAAGAAGCCAACCACTTTCTGGGACGCTCACGTTCAAAACGACAAACTGTCCAATTACAAGTTGAGAGTCAAGGAAACCAACCCTGGTGACTTGGGAATCGACCACACCAAGCAATATTCTGGATACCTGGATGTGGAAGATGAAGACAAGCACTTTTTCTACTGGGCCTTTGAGTCCAGAAACGATCCTAAGAACGACCCAGTGATTCTCTGGCTTAACGGAGGTCCAGGTTGTTCTTCCTTGACCGGTTTGTTCTTCGAATTGGGATCCTCCTCCATCGGTCCAGACCTCAAGCCAATCTACAACAAGTACTCGTGGAACTCCAACGCAACCGTTGTGTTCCTTGACCAGCCAGTCAATGTCGGATTCTCGTACTCCTCCCAATCTGTGTCCAACACCGTTGCAGCCGGTAAGGATGTGTATGCATTCCTCGAACTGTTCTACCAGCAATTCCCACACTTGCTGAAAAACGACTTCCACATTGCTGGAGAGTCCTACGGAGGCCACTACATCCCGGTGTTTGCCTCTGAGATCCTGACCCATGCAGACAGATCGTTCAACCTGACCTCTGTTCTTATTGGTAACGGATTGACCGACCCATTAACCCAGTACCCATACTACGAGAGAATGGTGTGCTCCACCGACGGAGGTGTTGAGCCAATTCTTTCCGAGGAGGAGTGTTCTGGTATGGAGGACAGCCTGCCAAGATGTCTTTCGTTGATTGAGTCGTGCTACAACTCCGAGTCTGTGTTTGCATGTGTTCCTGCAGCCATTTACTGTAACAACGCCGAGATTGGCCCATTCCAGCAGACCGGAAAGAACGTTTATGATGTCAGAAAGGAGTGCAAGGGCTCTCTGTGTTACGAGGACATGGACTATCTTGTTGACTACTTGAACCAGGACTTTGTCAAGGAGAAGCTTGGTGCCGAGGTTGACAACTACGTTTCCTGCAACTTTGACGTGAACAGAAACTTCTTGTTTGCCGGGGACTGGATGAAGCCATACCACAAGAACGTTGTCAACTTGTTGGAGCAGGACGTTCCTGTTTTGATCTATGCTGGTGACAAGGACTTTATTTGCAACTGGCTCGGAAACGAGGCCTGGTCCAACGCTTTGCCATGGTCTGGCCACGAGGAGTTTGAGGCTGCCAAGACCTACGGTTTCCACTTGGAGGACGGCACCAAGGCTGGTGAGGTCAAGAACTTTGATAAGTTCACCTTCGCCAGACTGTACGATGGAGGACACATGATCCCATACGATCAGCCAGAGAGCTCCTTGACGTTTGTCAACAGATGGATTGCAGGTGACTACACTCTGGGAACTAAGAAATAAAGCGACTTTTGAAAAGTCTCTGTTTACTTTACGTATGGTTGTTTTAAATTATGTTTTCGTTTTTTATCTGAACTCTTCGTTCAGAACCCAACCTTTGCGCTCTTTATCCCATCGACAGATGGATTTGAGCATTGACCGCACAACCTTGACGGTCTTTTCATTGGAAACGTCGATTTTGAGTTTATCCAGAACTGCTGCGGATGTGCTGAAATAGCCATCCAGACCGGCCATATAGCTGCTCAGCTTTTCGATGAGGTCCGAGTCCTCCAGTTTCGGTTTTGGAGCCGTGTCCTTGCGTCTCTTGATGTTGTCCAGGATCGAGTTTGATGAAACCACAGGCGACGGCGACTTGCGTAACGGAGCAACACTTTTTCCAGCGGCACCAAATTTACCTGTCCATGTTGGAACGCCCACTGTTGATTGTCTTGCCAGTTTGCGCGACTCTCTTAGTGCACGAACTGCTTCGTTGGCAATCCGCGACGCCTCGTTGTCTATGATACTGTGTGACGAGGACGGACCCAGAACGCTTTCGTGCTCCAAAGCAGACTGCAGAGCAGAATTCCCCAACAAGCCGGCCATCAGGTCCTTTTCCTCGTTGTGGTCGTCATCGTTGCCGTCCTCGTACTTTTGCAACCCGGAAACTCCCTGCAAATTCGAAACCTGCAAGAAATCATCCTCGTTCTTCTTTGGGACCCGCGAGTTGTTGAACTTTGTCTCCGAGTCGCCCAGCGTGAACAGCTCGTGCAGGTCGTTCATCTTGAAAAACCGTTTCTGCTTTGGGTCTTTCAGAATCTTGTTGGTCAACAATTGCTTGAAGATCTGACGATGGTAGATCTTCTCCTCAATGGACCCGGCCATCATCAGGCGGTAGATCACCACGTCTTTCTTCTGGCCGAGTCTCCATGCTCTTTCCCGTGCCTGCACGTCAGTGGAGGGGTTCCAGTCCGGGTCGTAAATGATCACGCGACTGGCTCCCGTCAGATTCACTCCCAAACCACCGACCCTGGTCGTGAGAAGAAACACGTTGTAAATAGGGTCCGTGTTGAACTTGTCCACAAGCGTCTGTCTTTGCGAGATCGGCGTGGTACCGTCCATCCGCAAATACGAAAAGTCGAGCTCTGTTTCGGCGTTCAGAGCCTCCATGAAATCCTGCAACACGTCCAACATCTGACGAGTTTGAGTGAACACCAACGTCTTGCGTCCCTCGTTGAACCAGACCTCCAGCAGCGCACGAACAACTTGCAACTTGCCCGCGCGCGCCTGAAGTTGTTCCGCTGTGCGCGAACCGCGTTTGCCAATCTTTAAATCAACAAGGTCCGGATGGTTGCAAATTTTCCGCAAAATGTCGATTCCATACAATGCGTTCCGCTTGCCTCTAAGAATCTTGTTGATGTCCTCAGAGTTCAGAAAATCCTCATACAACTTCCGCTGCACGTTCGTCAGCTTGCAAAACAGAACCATCTCCGATTTCTTGGGCAGATCCTTGGCAACGTCGGCTTTAACCCGTCGAAGAAGATACGGCGAAATCAGGTCGCGCAATATAACAGCACACTTGTACCCGGTCTGCACCTGAACGTTGGTGGCATTCGCATACCCACCGATGTTGATCGGCACACAGAACTGTTTCTGGAAAACAGGCAGCGTGCCCAGCCGTCCAGGGAACACAAAGTCGAATAAACTCCACAGCTCCACCAGGTTGTTCTGGATCGGCGTGCCCGATAGAATGATCCGGTTCGGCGTCTTGAGTTGCTTGCACGCAAGCGTCACATGGCTGTCCGGGTTCCGGATCTTGTGGCCCTCGTCCAAAACAACATAATTCCACCGCACAGGCAACAGGTACTTGGCGTAGATCCGCACACCAACGTACGTGGTGATGATCACGTGACCGGACCGGAGCACAGAGTTCACCAACTCTTTAGCGCGCGAGTCTGTGGGCAAGGACGCTGTGTCGACGTCATCATCATCGTCGTCAGAGAAGTCCTCGGTGCGTTTGCCGGTCATTCCCGTGCCGATCGAGTGCAGAATGATCACCCTAAAAGCGGGCCACCACCGGTGAAACTCCTTGCACCACTGGCTCAGAACAGTAGCAGGACACACAACCAGCACTGGTTTGGTGAGTTTGCCGCTGTAGTGGAGTCCTGCAAGGAAAGAAATCACCTGGATGGTTTTTCCGAGTCCCATCTCGTCGCCAATGATTCCCCCTGTCTTTTGCGAGTACAGCTCCCATAGCCATTGGACTCCTGTTCGTTGGTAATCAAACAACGACGGATAGATATCTCCAGGAACGCGGAACTCGTCGTTCAAGATCGCGTCCGCGTTGTTTGGGTGCGGTTTCTGCCATTCTGCCAACTGCGGGTCGTCTGTGTAGTCTGGTCGTAATTCTGTGCGAAGAGCCTGGCGTCGCTGCTCCCATCGCCTGAGTCTGTCTCTGTAGAGTCTTTCGTTTCCGTCGTCGAGGTTTTCGTCCTGTTTGCGTTTGAGGAAGTTTGCTTCGTCGTCGTCCTCCTCTGCCTCCTCAGCGAGCTCGATTCCGGGAATAATCAGCTCCTGGTGGTTTTTCAGCTTGGTCTCGTCTTCCTCAATGAAAGCATTGGAACTGCCGAACGCCGTCACTTTTCCTGTTCTCACCAGAAACTCCTGCTGTGTCTCTCCCGGCAGCATTTCTGTCGAGCTCTGTGGCGTTTTATTTTCGTTCGCCTGCGATCCCTGATTCTCCTTCAAACGAGTCTCTATGTCCTGGATATCTTTCAGCAATGGGGCCAACTCTTCACGTCGCAGCCGGTCCATGTCTGCCCTGAGTTTCTCCTTTTCAGAGATCCGTGTCGCTGAGCTAGTCAGCCGTACCTCCATTCCACGTAGCCGTCCCTGGAGCTTGCTTTGTCTGTCCTTTGCCTTCTGCAATCGTTTTTGATCCAGCTCGATCTCCCGAGCCAGAATCATCTTGTTTGCGTCGTGCGCAACCTCCTGTTCCAAGGAGTCCTGCTCCATCAACCTCACACCGAGCGATTCCAGCTCGCGCCCGCCAGAAGGACCAGAAGCAGACTCCGTCATGATTTTTTATCAATTAAATATTTTTTTTTCTTTTTGATTAATAATGACTGTTCAGGAGTCCCAATTGGAATCTGATAGAGCCAACGAGCTGCAACGTCTGGTGGTGCCGGCCATTGAGCTCATCATTGAACAGATCAGAGACACCGATTCGGGCAAAAGATCGCTTGGCCCCAGACACGAAGACCCAAAGTCGCTGTACTCAACGTTGGATCTGGACAAGTCGCTTGAAAAGGGTCTCAGAGACAGGGAATCCGCGCCAGAAGAGGTGCTCGCCGTGGTGAAAAATATCCTGGACACCTCCGTCAACACCTGGCATCCCGGCTTCCTCGACAAACTGTACGCCTCCACGAACCCCATTGGTGTTCTATCGGACATTGTACTGTCTGTGCTCAACACGAATTCGCACGTGTTCACGGTGTCGCCGGCGCTTACTGTGATTGAGCGCAAGGTTGCACAGAAATACGCCGCGCTGTTTGGGTTCACTGGGCCAACAGCCGGCGGGTTGACGTTCAGTGGTGGCTCCTGGTCCAATATCACGAGCTTGCACATGGCACGCAGCATTTTGTTCCCCGAAACCAAGCTCGACGGTAACCTTCACAAGTTTGCCATCTACACGAGCGTTCACTCGCACTACAGCGTTGAGAAAGCGGCCATCTTGCTTGGATTGGGCGCACGCAGCGTGTTCAAGGTTCCTGTCGACAAGAAGGGCCGAATGGACGTTAAAAAGCTCGACGACATCATAGAGAAGTCAAAGATTAACGGATACACACCGCTGTATGTGAATGCGACCGCAGGAACCACCGTTTTCGGCTCGTTCGACCCGTTCGAAGAGGTGGCTACCGTTGCTAAAAAACACCACATCTGGTTCCACATCGACGGATCGTGGGGAGGAAACACCATTTTCAGCAGCAAGCGGAACGGTCTGCTGCGCGGGTCGCACTTGGCCGACTCCATCACGTCCAACCCGCACAAGATGCTGGGTGTTCCAACAACATGCTCTTTTCTGCTGGTTCCTAACGACCGCGTCTTCACCCAGGCCAACTCGCTCTCGGCTCCGTACCTGTTCCACAACAACGAGGACGACAGCGACAACTTTGACCTTGCGAACGGAACGATGGGCTGCGGTCGCCGTGGAGACGCACTCAAGTTCTACCTGGGATGGCTCTACTACGGCACGGCTGGCTACCGGGACCGGGTGGACCACGCGTACGCGATGGCAGACTACTTTGTCAACAAGGGCAGCGCCACACCCGGGTTCACCATCGTGAGCGACACCCCGGTGCAGTGTCTGCAGGTGTGTTTCTACTACGCTCCGGGGAACAAACCGCTTACCGGGCAACAGCGCACTCACGTGACCAGAACGATAGCCACGCGGTTGCACAGCAGCGGCGAGTTTCTGGTGGACTACGCCCCGAACCCGGACGACGCGGCCACGGGCCAGGACAACGGCGAGTTCTTCCGCGTGGTATTCAACTCGCCGATCGTGTCGAGCCGCGTGGTGGACCAGCTGGTGCACAAGGTGGTCGAGCTCGGCAGCACCATAGATCTTTAAACACGGTATTTGATAAATATATATACAGAGAAGGAGGAGCGGCGGGCGTTCCGGTCACTGTTTGACGGCGGAGTCGAGTTTCTTGAGCTTGTTCATCTCCTCTGCAGGGTCGAAATTGCCCGACGACAGTTTCTCGTACTGCTCGTCGTACCTGCCCGTGCTGAGCGTTCCGTTTCCGCGGATCCGTTTGCGCATGTCCACGATACCGCGCTTGCACTCCAGAAACGTGGCCAGCTGCGCCTTACACAGCTCGGGCAAGTCCTTGGCCAGCTCTGGGTTCGTCAGACACTCTTTGGGCTTGTTGCGCTCGATCATCACGCACGGCGACCGCTGCAGACAGATCGCCACCTGTTTCAACTGGTCTTTACAACTATGTGTGTTAGATATTCGCCGTTGGTGCGGCCACTTACCTTGCCACCATGGTTCTTGTGCAGATAGATAAATTTTCAAATTAAATAACCAATCCTCACACCGTCTTGCCATGAGTCTCAACTTTGTGCCCGGCGAGCCCAACCGCACGCCGCACAGCAGCGCGTTCGTCAATTGGAACGACGTCCAGATCCTCGCGTACTGCTCGGGCAACAGTCTGGTCATTGTGACGAAAAACTTCCAGCATCTCCAGACCCTGTACTTGTCCAGGGACTCGTACGTTGTGGACATCAACCGAGTAAACGGCAAGATCGCGGTGGGGGTTGGCTCTTCCGTGCAGATATACACTCCCACCGTGTCCAACTTCTACAATTACAACTTCCGCGGCCGCAAAGACGTGGCCGAGCTCGAGATCGAGTGGAGTCTCGAGTCGGAGATCACCAATAACTGCGACAATTCGCCCGTCACGTGCATCGCCTGGTCAGACCTGTGCGACACTTACGAGGACGAGGTGTCCACCGCGCAGCTGTTTGGGTTGCCCGAGGAGTATAACTCGCTCACGAGCTGCGAGCTATGTGTTGGGTCCGAGCAGTCGTTGGCTCTGTGGAGACTTTACTACACCGCGCAAACGGGCAAACATACGCCCAAACACCGGCTGTTGTGGCACAAGAAGCAGCCCAACCCGGTGTACATGGCGCGGTTCTCGCCCAACTCGTCCACGATCGCCACCACCGGCTACGGCGACCGTCTGGTCAAGGTCTGGCACCGTGTAGCTTTTGGCATCGAATCTGCCGAGTTCGAGCTCAACTACGTCGCCGTTGCCGCTCACGTGTCGCTGCTCCATTGGAAAGCAGGCACGCTCACCAAGGACGACCATTCCGCGGCCGTGTCGGTGGCCGATCTAAAGCCGGCAAATAGCATCATCAAGGACGTTTCCAGACGGCCGCTGGAACGAACGTCCGCAGACAACTGCACGCTCTACGTCTACGGGGACGACTCCGCGTTGCGCGTGTTCTCTATGTACTACCGCGACACAGGGTTCACGGTTGTGTGCAGCGGCCTTGTGCAGCTCCCTGTTGACAGCTTCGTGGCAGTGGTGGACAGTCAGACCGTTGATTTGGGCATCCGCAACGTTCTGGACAAACTCGAGCTCCACGAGTCCCATCCACGCATAGCAGCCCCGGCACGAGACACAGAGGTTCCCAGAAGCCGCAGCGGGTCTACGCTGAGTCTGTACCACCGCAGACAAAGCCATCTGGCACAACTGCTGGCTACCAGTCCGGAAATCTGTCTCGTGTTCGACAGACAAGGCCGTGCAGAAATATATACATTGGTGGGGTCCGACGGCAAGATCAACGTCGGCAAGCTCGACGGCGTGGTCAACTCGCACGGCGGACTCACAAGAGCGTCCATCCAGCTCGGGAAAAACTGTATTCCCAGCGACTGTCAGGCCGTCTTTGTGCAGGACGTCCAGCTCACTAAAACCCCGGACGACATGTCGTTGTCGCTGATCATCCACGATCTGTTCAAGAACTCCATCAGACACGTCGGAGTGTCGTTCTCGTCGCTGTTCCAGTTTGAGGAGCTCGAGATCGCCAGCTCCATCTCCACCAAGGTGACCATTGGCGAGCTCCAGCACAAGTTCACGGGGCTCAACAAGTCCATCCGCAAACTCATCCGCTCGGCAGACGGGTCTGTTGTTCTGTCCACCACCCGGTTCGGGGAAAACTGTCTCTGGACAGCTCTTCCCTTGTCGGACTCGCACAAGACGTTGAACAAAAACTCCACGCTTATCACCCAGTCGCCGATTTTGGACGCCGCGTTCTGGAAACAGGGCACCTACGTGATCGCGTACCTGGAAGACTCGCTGGTGTGCTTCGACTGTCGACTGCAGTCGCAATACCAGGCCCAGATCGCCAAACTGGCTCCCGTGACAGGAAAGTTCCCTGTCTCCACCAAGCAACAGCCGTCCTGTTTCTTCATGGTGCCCGAAACAGAAACAGACACCGCCCACGCCGTCGCAGTGTACCCGGACGGAACGTGTTCTGGCTGGGAGTTGGTTCTGAACAACGACAAGTGCGAAATTAAACAGTACCCGGTGCAACAGCTCCCGTCCACGTATCTTGCGTCGTACGTGAACCCGGCCGGCTGGAAAGCCCTGATCGACGAAAACACCCAGCGTGACGTGCTGTCCACGATCGACCTGAACGGAGACGTGCGCATCTACTCGACACGGCTGGAAAACGGCGAGATCTCGTGGATTCTGAAACGGGAGTTCTCCACTGGCATTTGCAAAGCCCGGTTCCTCAACGGCTCCTCGATCCACCGTCTCGCAATCGTGAGCGAGAACTCCGACCAGCTGTACATCTGGGACACAAGACTCGGCACTTTGGAGTACTCAGAGACGTTTGAAACAGAGCAGATCAAAGACATCGACTGGACGTGCACAAACTTCAACCAGGGAATTTTGGCCGTTGGTTTCGACTCGCACTCGTTGCTGTACACACAGCTGCGGTACGATTACACCAACAACACGCCAACGTACGCTAAGATCAAGAACGTGGACATCTCGCACCAAACACGGCACAAGATCGGCGACTCTATCTGGCTTTCTGACGGTTTGCTGGTAATCGGGTCGGGCAACCAGTTCTATATTAGCGACCAGACTTTGGACCCGAAGAAAGACTATGTGACTGCACGGGCAATGGGAACGTTGGAAATCGCATCGAACGACATTTTCCAGCTATGTGCAGCTTTGAACGGTCCGCTGCCGTTGTACCATCCGCAATTCATCATCCAGGCGTTGTTGCTTGGCGATTTCAGCATTATCAAAAAGATAATCTGCGGAGTGTCCAAGTCTCTAAGAGACCTGGAGTTTGGCACAGCAGTTTCTGTGGATCCAAAGCTGGGCATCAACACCAGCGAACTGCAACAATTGGCAGCCTTTGACGAAGAGGAAACCACCATTAGCAAACAGATGTGCGACACCATAGTGGAAAGACTGGCCAAACACAAACTGCCGTTTTTGACCGGCCACCAGCAGATCACTCTGTCCTCAACAGTTCAGATCGTGTCGGACATCGCCGAGACGTACGGCAGCATTTTGGACACCAACGGCAGACGGTTCTATCTTGGGATGAAGCTTTTCCAGCTGAACCTGACCAAGGGAGTCCAGTTCAAGTCAATTAGCATGCGCGACGTCACGTTTGCTCTTCATAGCGACAACAAGGACCTGTTGTTCAACATCATCAACGAGAACAGTGGGGGCCAGATCGGGGCTCCAGAATTCTCCAGGAACGCTCTGGCGTACTGGATCGAGCACACGAAATTGGCAGAAGTCATGGAGACTGTGGCCCGGACAGAGTTTCTCAAGACCCAGGACACGGGAAGATACAAAGACCCGAGTGTTTGCTCGTTGCATTTCCTGGCTCTTCATAAACGAAACGTTCTTGTTGGTCTTTGGAGAACGTCGTACGGCCACCCAGAACAGCAAAAGATGATCCGGTTCCTTGGCAACGACTTCAAACAGGACAGATGGAGATCTGCAGCGATGAAGAACGCTTTTGTGCTGCTGGGAAAACATCGGTACATTGATGCGGCGTACTTCTTCCTGTTGGCGGACTCTCTCAAAGACTGCGTGAACGTGGTGATCAGCAAGCTTCATGACACGGCATTGGCAGTGGCAATTGCACGATGCTACGAGAAGGGAGACCACGGACCGGTGATGAAGAACATTGTTCTCAAACACATTTTACCAACAGCGCTGCGGTCATACGACAGATGGAGCGCAAGCTGGTGTTTCTGGATTCTGGGTGATCGCGGACTGTCCATTCAAGCGTTGATCAAGCCGACAAAGAGCATTCTGGAGGACTCGCGCAAGTTTGGCGACGTGGACTCCAAATTGGCAGACGAGCTACCAGTGAGGAAACTGGACTATGAGGACCCTGTTTTGTTGGTGATGTACAACAGTCTGCGTAACAGACGGGTCGAGTATCTGCGTGGAACATTGGACCTGGACTCGCAGACGGAATTCGAGTTTGTTCTGGCTGCTGCGCTGATGTATGGCAAGATGGGGTGCGATTATCTCTCATTGTACTTGGTGAGCAACTGGGAGTTTTCCGAGAAAAAAGAGATTGTCGAGCCAACCACAGGAAAGGAGGTGCAACCGCCACCTCCTTCGCAGTTCCAGGAACCAGACATGTCTGCTTTCGACTTTGGTTTCTAAGCAGCATTTATAGATGAGAGAAAAAGTTGATCTTTTGCGGACAGTTGTTGAGGAACCCGAACCATTCGTGTAGAAGCGTGTGCAATTTGGCCAATCCTGCGTGGTCAGTAACGCGGCTGTCCACTTTGAGTCGAAGGAGGTGCAAATTCCTGAGGATTTCCTCGACACTTGGCACCTCGTCGCCCAAATTGTCGCCAAACTCCATCAACACCGTCAGGATGTGGAATAACGACTTAGCGTTGTTGATGAAGATCACGAGAGACCCGGTCATTTCCATTCCAGCCTCGAACTCCTCGTCAGTCAGGAACTTGTTGATGGTCTCGATGTTGATCTTTGTCAGGGAGTTTAATATTTTCTTGTAGAAGGCGGTATGTTCAGGCGAGTAGATGTACTTGCTGGACGGTTTTCCGTTTTGCTTGATCTCTTTGGCGAAGAAATCAGACATCTTGACGAAAATAGCCTGCGAAAAGAAAACGTACGCGTGGTTCAGAATCGACTGCAACAGAGAAGACGGGTTCAAATCGTAGAACGTCAAGTTTCCAAGCAGACTGTCAAAGTTCTTCTCCACGTCCTCGACTTTGGCCTGAAGACTGTGCAGACTCTGTGGTGCTTTCAAAGAACTCAGGTCAACAACGTTTAGAAACATCCGGCTCCATTTAGTCACGTTTTCCAAAACAGTCACCATCAGAACGTGCGACGAAAGACTGTTTTCGAAGTCCACCAAAACCTGGTCGTTTTGCAGTTTTTCCATCGCCTCGTGCAAATAGTAGCACTGGTTGTTGCACTGGATCTCTCCCGTGGGCGATAGAAACGTTGTTGGCGAAGGAAGTCTTGTGAAAACCACAAAGTTCAAATCGATCATAAACGAGGAAGAAAGACCCGTCACCACAGCAAACCACTTGTCCACCGTATAAACTGCCCAGAACGTTCTGCGAGCTTCTTCCTGAACGGATACAGTTACATCGACTTCATCAAACTCGTCGGTTTCCCAATCGTTGGCCCTAAAAGAGCCAAAACTAAAAGACGACTCGAGTATTGGGAATTCGCCTGTTTCAGGGCATCGGCCGTCAGGGCATCTCAGCGGGAACGACTTTTGCCAGTTCTCTGTCCTTGTAAAGAACGACGAGTGTGTGCTGTTTGAAGGTGACGGGTCGATTCTGTCGAACCCATACAGCTGTGCCAATCTGACACCTGCACAGATGCTTAAAGTCGATCGCCGGTCGTGGTTCAAACGCAGCTCTGCGGCCGATTTGGCCACCATCGCCTGCAACTGGTACATTTTCTTGATCAGACTGTCAGAGTGTTTGTCAGCCTCGTGATATTTCTCCAATAACTGGCACCCAATACGGTACAATCCTTCTGCCTGTTTACGGAGCTCGATCTTGTTGACAGTAGCATTGGCCCAAATCAGATAGATCAGCGGCAAAATCGAAATTGGGTCTGTTCGCAGCTTGTGTTCGTACCGTCTGCGCGAGAAATGAAAGGACCGTGCCTCACCGTTGTAGTAATAATCGTGCATCTGGTTAACAGCTTGAATATCAAAGCCAAACTCCTCGAACCGCAACAAAGCAGCCAGCTCGTCATCCATGTAGTAGTGTCGGGACTGTTTCTCGGTATTTATGTGCTCGTCAGGAAACAACAGCGTGTTATCCTCCAACTGGTTCAGTAATAGTCGGTTTTTGACCCGTATTTTCGGGCCCGTCTTTCTAGGGGTGATATATTTGCACTCAAGACCTTTGGAAACACATCGGTCGCACGCCGGCTGTTTCATGTCGCATTTCAGCTTGCGACTCCGACACTCAATACAGGCCACTTTCTTAGAAGCTTGGCCGTTTATCTTCGGCTTAACCGTCATTGCCACTAAAATTAAAAAATATTTGTAGTCTTGGATCCCTATTATCTATTTACAGAAGATTTACTCTTTTTAACGGCCAAGGTTCAGCAAGAGCGACTGGCCTGGGGACGAAGACTCGCCTCCCTGTGCTGCGTTTGGTAGATAGGTCACGTTTGGCGACTGGCTCAGAGTCTGGGCAATCTCCTTGGATGCTTCCAGTCTTCTGATCAACAACAAACCGTCTCCGGCCTTGTTCAGGGCCTTGGAAACGTTCTCAGCAGCCTCGGCCTCTCCCTCGGCACGAATCACAGAAGCCCGTCTTTCCTGTTCGGCCTTCTCGACAAGATAGGTGGCTCTCTCAGCATCCTGTTGAGCAATTTGTTTCTGCTCAACAGCACGGGTAAACTCCTGACCAAACGTCATGTGGGTGATGGAAACGTCCTCGAGCTTGATTTGGAACTCCTTGGCTCTTTGCTCGAGCTCGTGTCTAATTCTGTTCGAGACGGTTTCTCTCATGGTGATCAACTCGGCAGCGTTGAACTGCGCAACAATGCTCTTCAAGACCTCGTTTCCGATCGACGGCAAGACACGCTCGTCGTAGTCCAATCCCAAGTTCTGGTAGATCTGCGGCAAGTTCATCACGTCGGGACGATGCAAAACCCTCAAGGTCAACGAAACTGTTTGCAAATCCTTCGATCCGGTCGTCGTGGTGATGGTTCTTGGCTTTGTTCTCACGTCGAAAATGATCGGTTTCTGTAACCATGGAACAACAAAGTTCAGTCCTTCGCCAACAACCTGCGACTTGATACCGGAGAATCTGTCGAAAATGACTGCCCGTTGTCCACCTATAATGTTAGCCAAAATAACCGGTTATTCCAACTTACCCTTGACATCGTACATCGAGTACTGAGCAGCAACAATGGCCGCGCCCACTGGAACAGCCAGTCTGGAGATTGTGTCTGCAATCCTTGACATATTGCTTATTTGCCACTAATAAAATAAATTGAAAAGTTATTTATTTCACTGGGGGGGTAAATTATTTTTCTCGAATAACCAACTAACTAGTATTATCTACCTCTATTTGTCGTCTCCTTCCTCATCTCTGGTTAGAACACCGCTCTCCTTCAGCAGCTTGTCAATGCTCTCGGGACTCCAGATCTTTAGCTTGATGTTGTTGTTGGCATCCAGGCCAATCGTGGAAAACTCGACTTTCTCGCTAGTGAGCTTGTTGCTGTCTGTGGTTTTGCTTAACACTTTCAATGCCAATGTCTTGGCCTCTTCGAGAGTCAAGTCGTCTTTGTAATCCTGTTTCAGAAGAGTCTGTGCACTGTTGTTGTTAGCCCCGATACTAGTGGCCTTCCATCCGGAGTAGTTACCAGAAGGATTACTCGTGTACAATTGAAATCCATATCTGTCGTCGTATCCAGCAAAGATGAACGAAACACCAAACGGCCGCAATCCTCCGTGCTGTGTGTAGCCTTGTTTCACGTCGCAGATCCGCTTCACAAGAGTCTCTATTGGGATATCCTCACCGTAGGTCTTGAGGTACTGTTGTGCGGAGTATCTGACGTTGTTGATCAAGATCCCGGCGTCCGCAGTCATTCCGGCCACCGCACACACGGTCTTGTCGTTCAAAACGTACATTTTCTCCGCGCTCGTGTCCTGTTCCAGCAGTTTACTGGTGACTTTCCTCTCAGCGGCCAGAACAACACCGTCCTTTGCCATCACTCCAATGGCCGTTCCTGCGTGATTGATGGCCTCGAGCGCGTACTCGACCTGATACAGTCTTCCCTCGGGGGAGAAGATGGTGGTTCTGGAGTCGTATCTTCTGGACATGATGGATATATTTTGCCTTCAGAAAAATTTGGCCGGGTAAAGAAAATAAAGTAGCAGTATCCAAGGGGAAGGGGATAAGGAAAAGAGTTGGAGTGTATTCTGGTTAGTTTAGGCGAAGCATACCCAAACCAGTGTATTGTAGTTATTCAATTACCTCGTAAACATCCCGTCATAACTCCCAAACCACTAAAACATATATTCATCCCCCACCCCAGTCAGCACGGGCAGCACAGTGCAATAAAAACTCGCCCCCAAATATTCCTTGCCGTATAATACTGGTGTTTTTTTAGTTCCAGCAACAGTGGATGCGTTCCAAGTTTTTGCAGAAACTTCACATAGGCTCTGGACATCCGGAAGACGCTCTGGATCTACAAAGGACAATTGCAATGGACAAATCAGACCAGCAACTTCTGCACAACGTTTACCAAGGCCAAACAGAACCGGCAGATGAGGCCCAATTGAGTCTGCAACAGGCTCAACAGCAACAGTCGGCCATTCTCCAACACATGCCGTCGTACCAGGCCATCATCCAGCCAAGTTACGCGCATTTGCAAAGGGTTGGCGGGCTTTCTTTGCTGCCGCAAAGATCCACAGTCTCAAAAGGCAAATACTCGCTTAAGGATTTCATAATAATGCGGACATTGGGAACAGGCTCGTTCGGTAGAGTGCATCTGGTGAAGTCTGTGCACAATAACCGGTTCTACGCAATCAAAGTGCTGAAGAAGGCACAGGTTATCAGAATGAAACAGGTGGAGCACACAAATGACGAGAGAAGAATGCTCAAGTTGGTGGAACACCCGTTCCTGATTCGGATGTGGGGAACCTTCCAGGACTCCAAGAGTTTGTTCATGGTGATGGACTACATCGAAGGAGGCGAGTTGTTCTCGCTGCTCCGCAAGTCGCAGAGATTTCCTAATCCGGTTGCCAAATTTTACGCAGCCGAGGTGACTTTGGCTCTTGAGTATTTGCACTCGCACAATATCATATATCGAGATCTCAAGCCAGAAAACATCCTGCTGGATAGAAACGGCCACATCAAGCTCACGGACTTTGGGTTTGCCAAAGAGGTCGAGACAGTGACCTGGACCTTGTGTGGAACTCCCGACTACATTGCTCCCGAGGTCATCACCACCAAGCCGTACAACAAGAGTGTCGACTGGTGGTCGTTGGGGATCTTGATTTTCGAGATGCTCGCAGGATACACGCCATTCTACGACCAGACCCCGATGAAGACGTACGAGAAGATTCTCGCCGGCAAGATCCAGTACCCGTCGCACTTCCACCCCGACGTGGTGCATCTTCTAACAAGACTCATCACCGCAGACTTGACGCATCGGCTGGGTAACCTGCAGAACGGCCCGGCAGACATCAGAAACCACCAGTGGTTCAGCGAGGTTGTCTGGGAGAAGCTGCTGTTGAAGGACATTGAGACTCCGTACGAGCCTCCAATCACCGCCGGCGTCGGCGACACGTCTCTGTTCGACCACTACCCAGAGGAACAGCTCGATTACGGCGCAGTTGGTGAGGATCCTTACGGCAAGTATTTCGTGGACTTTTAAGGCTGTGCCGATAAAGGAAATGGATTTTATGTGAGGAAACAATCTGGGGAATTTATAAGATAGTACCGATTCCTAGTTGGCAATGTTTGGACGATCGAAATCGCGCAGAGCGCTTCGAAAGACCCGTACCGGGTCGAATGCCGTGGACGACGACTCGTCGGGCAGCAACCGAGAGGACCCTGTTTCGGCGGCTTCTGTTTGCACGAGCATCACCTCGAACTTGAAGCAATTGGACCAAACAACCAAGGACACGGTGCGTGTTTTGCCGCGGTCGCCGCACAATCGGTCGCGCGAGACACAGCGCCGGGAGTTTGACGACTTGTTTGCGCTGGAAGACGAGCTGTTGGCGATTGTCAAGGGGTTCCAGCACACGAGTCTGATCCGCAAGAAGACGCTCGAGACACTGATTACCAACAACTTCAGCGTGTTTCGCAGCGCGGGGGTGAACCTGGAGGACATCCAGGTGTTGGAACGGGTGCAGAACACAGTGAACTCGTTGATATCGTTTGTGATGCTGTTGAACCAAACGGACCAGCCTGCAGACGAGTTCGACGACATGAACCCGTACTTCCGGCCGTTCCCAACAGTGTCGCGGATGCCCAGTCCGGAGATGCGGTTTGGCAGCATGCGAATGCCCCGGACGATGTACGAGGAGCCGTATTACCCGCTGTCGCCGTACAGATGAAAGGAAATTAGAGACTTTTAACAGTATCCGACGTTGCTATCTATTATATACAAGTTACTCCAGAACAATCTTGGCACCCAGGCCTTCAAGCGTAGCTTTAAGCTTTTCGGAGTCTTCCTTAGTAACGTTTTCCTTAAGCACCTTCGGAGCGCTCTCGACAAACTTCTTGGACTCGACAAGCGACAGTCCCAGCAGCGACTTGATCTCCTTGATGATCTTAGGCTTGGACTTGGCGTCGAAAGACTCGAGCTTGACGGAGAACATGGTCTTTTCCTGGGGCTGTTCCTTGGTCTCTGCCTCCTCGGCCTCGGCGGCAGCAGGAGCAGGAGCAGCGGCACCGGCCGCAGGGAATGCGATGTCTGGGATGTTGAGCTTGGTCTTCAACTCCTGGATCAAAAACGAAGTCTCCAGCAGGGTCAGGGTGGAAATCTGGTCGACAATCTGCGAAATCTTAGGGTCCACAGGCTTGGTCTCGGTGGAGTTGAATCTGACGCGCAGACCTCTGCCCACAACGGAGGCGCTTCTGCCGAGTCTGGCGGCGGTTCTTGCTGGAACTCTCACAACAACAGACATGCTAATGTTTGAAGGATGAATGGTTGAGAAAAAATGGTGAAAATTTCGTGGCGAGAATAGTCGTGCGCATTGGCCAGCACAAAAAGCTTATGTAAGAAATGGCTATTTTTTCTTCCATTATTTCTCCATGTCGTTCAAGTTCTGTGCCGAATGGTAAGTGGCCTTTGATTAGCCAACTAACTCTCCAGCAACAACATGTTGTACCCGCGCGAAGATAAAGCAGAAAAAAGATTGCTGTACCAGTGTCGAAATTGCTCGTATTCGGAACTGGCAGATAATCCGAAAGTATACAGACACGAGCTCATCACAAGCATTGGAGAAACCGCTGGAGTGGTGGAGGACATTGGATCCGACCCCACCCTCCCCCGCTCAGATAAAACGTGTCCGAAATGCCACAACTCTGAGTGTGTCTTCTTCCAATCACAGCAGAAAAGATCAGATACAAGTATGGTGTTGTTCTACGTTTGTTTAGAGTGTAAGAACGTGTTCCGAAGTTGAGCGAACCATGTCCGCGGAGATCAGATTAGTCATAAAGAAAGTCATATGTAATACTGATTATACGTCCCATTGACACCAACAACACCATTTGGCGACCTGATCGACTGCAACGTTCCTTGCAAAGAGTTGGTGAGCGACGGCAACAGCACCTTCTCGCTGTTGGTAGTATAGTTGTACAGGGAGGTTTGCGAGCGGGGGTGCGACGGCGTTGTTGTTCCAGAGGTTGGCGAAAACTGATGTGTATTAGGTTGCTTTAACGTGTCTTTGAGCGTGGAGATGATCCGGAAATACGTCTCCTCCTTGTTGGCGTCCGAGAGACTGGCAGAGGTGTTGAGGTGCAGCAGCAGGTTGTTGATCTCGATGTGCAGCACGCTCAGCCGTTGCTGTTGTTGTTGCGTGGCCGAGCCGGCCTTCGCGTCCTTGGCCCCGCTTGTGTCGCTCTCCGAGTACGACATCTGCGGCGACGATGACGACGACGAGCTCTTGGAGCTCAGCGACTCCACAAGCCCGCCATGCGCAGGCGACTGGTGCATTTGGCCAAAGTTCGTCGGCAACGGCAACTGGAATTTGGGCGCCGACACGGGCTGCAGCTGCGCAGCCATCAACAGCGAGTTTGTAGGCCCAAAGTTGGGCCGTTTATTCATCGAAGGAGCAGAAAACACCGGCTTTTGCACCCGAGAGCCGGGGCCCAGTTTCGAGTCCGAGTCGGTGCGCGAGATGGTAGCCGGGTATAGTGCGTGGTTGTGTTGGTCGTTCACCACCACGATGGACCACTTCTTGGCTCTCAGCGAGTAGTTGGCACGGATCCTGAACGGACACAACGTCTTGTTCTTCCTAGCCGACTCTTTGGACCCGTTTTTCTGGGCCTTTGAGGTACTGAAACTGGTGCTAGTATTGAAGGTGTGTGTATTTTTGCACTTGAAAACGATCTTGGTATCGTCCGACCGCTCGATGACAATGTTGATGCCACGGGGTTCCAACTGTGAGTGCAACCATGGCTTGATACTTTGTTTGTCGTCAAAAAACTTCTTGTCCAGCATGAGGGGTTCCGAAGAGGGGTTCTCATCGGTAGGCGAGTACTGTTTGCCTTTGGTGAGCCCAGACTCCATGTCCTGAACACTTTGTACTTTATAATCCATCACTAGTGCTGAACCGTAATCACAGGGGAGTGAGTGTCAATTTATAGTGCAAACAAAAAGAAGGATAAATAGTTGGGGTCAGATGTTTTTTTTTTTTCTGAGGGGGTGGGTATAAATATTATGAAACCCTCTTGAGATGTGGAACTGGGCGCAAATCAAGTGAGGAGAACTTAATCGGCTTACAAACATTTAATGCGGGTATGTACCCACTTTATCTGCACCCCATGATGGGGGTCTGTTTTTTTTTGCCCGCCTCGCACCTTGTCGGATTCCTACGATTTTTTTTTACCACTATCAATAAAACTCGGATCCGGGGATTTGAAGTTGCTGTCATGTGGCTGTCGGAGTTTGGGCTTTTCCTATGACACTGTTGATACGATATTATTGGTCTATATTTTGCTCCTGTGGTCCGTAGCCTGAGCCTGTGGTTTCTATTCCGAGGTCCGCGTAATCTACTACCCCCTCTTTACCCCCAGCACCCCCGCTTTAGTCGTTCTCTGAAAACCCCGCCTACCGTGACGGTTCAGCGTACCCCGACACCAAGGGGTCGGTCCTTCCATACTCCGATACCGCCACCTCTGCACCAAACGGACCTCGCACCCGGGCTACCACTCCGCGAAATCACGCTATTTTCTCTTGCGGCTCGGTCTCGCGTTCTTGGCCCGTCTCTTGTCCTTAACCTCTCTCTGCTTTCTAATTTGTTCTACAGACTTGAGCTCGTTCCGGCCACCATTTGTGTTCCATCCCTTAACAGAACGGCCCCCTTCAACGGCCTTCTTCACCTTCTCCACCTGCTCCTTGTAGTTGTCTCTATTCTTATCCGGCAGCTTTGGAGCATCCTGTCTGCTATGCACAAACTTGCCACGCTGCTTTCTTCCAGAAAGATCTCCTTTAAACCCTCTGTTCTGCTCCTGGGCTCCTGTCTTGAAGTTGACGTTGTGCTGCGTCTTCCACTCGTCAAACTTACCAGACCGGTACGAGGCGGGAATCTTCTGTCCGCTCTCTCCAATAATATACTTTTTGTCGTCCTGCACTTTTTTGTACTTTCCTGCCTTTCTGTCCCACAGCACACGTGCCGTCTGTCGTTGCACGCTCACCTTCTCGTCCTCGGCGTCGATGTCAAAGGCAGCCCGGTTGGCCTCCGACGCAAACCCGGTGTCCACCGATAATTGCTGCTCTTGGATCGTGGAAGCAGGAGCATAGTGAGAAATATAAAAGTTTGGGTCCTTGAACGACTTCTTCTTGGACTTCTTCGAGTCCAGCACTTGGTCGCCGTCCTCAAACGTCTTTGCAAGCTCGCTCTCGTTCACGCTGTACCCAACTTCCAGGCCAGAATCGTCCTTGAACAGCTCGTCCTCCAAAGTATGCGACAGTCCAGAAACTCTCTCGAGCTCCAACAACTCGCGTCTTTCCTGGGCTTTGCGCTGAACAGGAGCGATCTGACGACGTCTCGTGTTCATCAGGTCCATCAACGAGTCGTCCTTCTTGCCAAACTCGAAAACAGTCTCCTTATTTCTCCTGTTTTGCAACTTGGCAAGGAACTGGTCCTTTTCGTGCTCCAAATTGGCTCCAAACAGCAGGTTCTGCTGGTCCCAGCCCATGTTGGAAATCTCCTTGGCACGACGCAGCGACTCCACACTGGCTCCGCCTCTCGTGCGGAAAAATAGCTTTTCTCCCTTCTCGGCGACTCCTTTCAATGTCCGGATTTCGTAGTTATGTTTCAACAATGTCTCGTAAAGCTCCTGCGACTCTCCAATCAGTCCACGAGGAGCACTTCCCAGAACCAACCGCTCGGTGTAGGAGAGATTAGGTTTCACAAATCCAGCCAGAGTGCCATGTTCTTGCTCGTACTTGTCTTGCAACAACTGACATTTTTTCTCGTGCATCGACGTCAGCAGCACTTTGCGGCCCAAAAACACCTCCAGGTCCAACAAATACGGCAGCTCAGCCTCGCTCAAAATCGAGTACGCCCATCCCTTGTTTCCTGCTCTCGCAGTACGTCCGACACGGTGGACAAATATCTTAGAAGAGGACGGGAACGAATAGTTGATCACATTGGCCAAAACTGGGATATCAATACCTCTGGCAGCAACGTCGGTCACCACAAGAATCCGACATAACCCAGCACGAAAGTTCAGCAGCTGGCGACGACGAGCGTGCTGATCCAACGATCCGTAAATGTAGGCGGTTGCATATCCGGCATCTTTCAACAGTAGTGTCACATACTCAACGTGGTGCTTTGTTGGAACGAAAATGATGGTGGAGTGTTCTGTAGGAAGATCGCCTGCGCGAGCGACTTTCTCGCGCCGTGGACGTTTTTTGCTCTTCTTCTTGTCGATCTCTGTGTCGGAATCGGAGTCGTCGTCCAGCTTGTTAGCGTTGTCAAGTTTTTTAATTTCCTCAGGAGTTGCAACAGGCATTTTGATCACGTCTTGCAGCAATAGCAACAAGTTTGCTTCCCTCTCGTTCTTCTTGATACTGAGGAAACACATTTGCAAGTCCTCGGAAATCTTTGTTTCGGAATCGAGTCTAACAAGAACCGGGTTAGTCAAACCTGCTTTGGCAAAATCCACAAGGTTTCGAGGCAAAGTAGCAGAGAACAACATGCTCTGTCTCTTTTCGGGCAACGAGGCAAGCAATTCGTTCAATTGTTCTGCGAATCCCATTTCAAACAATCTGTCTGCCTCGTCGTAAATGATATATTCAACTGTGCGCAAATCTAATTGCATTTCTGTCTTCAAATGCAAGAACCGACCAGGAGTAGCAATAATCACATCAGGGTTGGCCATCATGGCTCCAAACTGGTCTTCCATCGAGTCTCCACCAATAAGCAGCAACGACCGCAGATCAGATCCACGACTAAACTCTTTAAATTGCTTGGACGTTTGCATAGCCAATTCACGAGATGGAGAAAGAATAATAGCACGAACACCGATCTTGGCAACGTGGGTCTTGAGTTTCTCGATCAGAGGCAACAAAAACGCAGCGGTTTTACCAGAACCGGTTCTGGCCATTCCAACAACGTCTCTGTTCGATATAATCAATGGAATAGTCTTACGTTGGATAGGTGTTGGTTGTCTGTACCCCTTCTTGCTCAAATTGGTCAAAATGTGTTTTGAAAGACCAAAAGACGCAAACGTGCCGTTCTTGGCCTTCTTTGCAGCCGGCTGGTTCAAAAAGAAATCCCCACTATCTTTGTCCTCGTCGTCTGAAAGCTCAAGACTAGGAAATCCTTTTGTTTCCACCTTCTGTCTCTTTGACGGCACCTCTTCCGTATCGCTGTCTATGATCTCATCCTGGATTTCTCCTTCGCTCTCATATCCGCTTTCGCTGTCAACATCGTCATCAACTAGCTTGCTAGCGATATCAAACTCTTCATCAGACATGGCTACTAATGTATAAAAAATATTTGCAAAAAATTACCTTCCATTGTATTTTTTTCATGGCTGTGCTATACAAAACTACCTGTTGTATGGATGGTAGCCTCTTCTTCCTCCTCTTCCTCTGTGGCCGCCGCCACCACCACCGCCTCTTCTGTCGTTTCCACGGTCTCCACGCGACTCTCTAGGTCCACGCGGACGACGATCGCCGCCGTGTCTCACTCCACCGCGAGGCCCAGACGGTAAGTTGGACGTTTGTTCTTGCGGATTAGGCACATCGTCTCCGAAATCTTTCTGATCTCCACCATTGACCGGTTGTTCTGCGCCAGGAGGAACGGCTCCTCCGTATTGCTGCATCATCTGGGCCATGGCCTGCGAAACGTCGCCGCCCTGTTGTTGAGCCTGCTGCATCTGCATCCAGTACTGTTGCATCTGCTGCATCTGTTGCCAATACTGCTGCATCTGAGCCATTTGTGTATACGACTGCTGAGGCTGCCCGACGTTGGAATACGAGCTGCCTCCCTTCTGCTGGTTACGGGGCTCTGCACGCTTGATCTCCATGTTTTTACCGTGGAACGGCACGTACTTGTTCTGCGTGACTCTATCAACAGCGTCGGGCGAATCGTACGTGACAAATCCGTATCCTCTAGAACGTCCTGTGTCTTTATCAAGCATTAATTGCGAGTCGATAATGTTACCGAACTGCTGGAAATACTCGGTGAACTCGTCCTCGGTCACCTCTGGCGCAACACCACCAACAAAGATCTTGCCTGTCTTGTCCTGTTCCTCTTTAGGAATGGCTCTTTTAGGGTCAATTAACTTGCCATCTAAAACATGTGTCTTTTTTAAAACATCATCCACACTACTTGAACTAGCAAATGTCAAAAATCCAAATCCTCTAGACCGTCCTGTAGCATTATCCTTCATAATAGTCAAGTCGACAACGTCGCCAAACTGACTAAAGTAATTCTTCATACTTTCCTCCGTGGTTTCCCAGTTCAGTCCTCCAATGAACATCTTTCCTTGGTCCTTCGATTGGATATCGGCTCGCACAGGGTCCTGAAATTGCTTCTGGCCCATGAAACTTGGTGTTGGTGCTGTCATCACGGGATATGCTGGCGCTGGCGCGGTTTCTGAAGGCGCACTCACAGGAACAGTAACCGGTGCTGTTTCTGCCACGGGCGCTGGAGCAGCCTCCACTGGGGTCTCCTTCACCACTTCAACCTTTTCTTCCTTCACTTCTTCCTTATCGTCGTCATAAATGTCGTCAAAGAGGGCCTCGTCGTCGGAGTTTGTCATTCTGTTTCGACAAAACTTGTCAAGCCGGTTCTCCTTTTATTCCTTCGGGAGGGTAACCTGATAGCAAGGTGGGGCAGAGCAGGGAGGAGTTGCAGTGGCAGAGAGGCAGTTGGGCCGCCAAGGGGGTTGGACCATGGTTTGTTTGCACAAATGGGTTCCCCTAGTAGATTGATAGTTCATTTCCTACCCTCTCCCCTCGTTCAGAGCCCCCTTCAACGGTGTCTCCATATCAACCTAAATTGTGCACAGCCCGATGAAAAATTTAATACCACATGAAGGATTACCTGGTGTACATGTCACAGGCCCATTTGGGGTTCCGCCAGGCAGAGCTCGAGTCTCTTGCAAGCATCCACGGGTTCCAAGTTGACTTGTCCAAAATGAGCGACGAGTCGCCGTTTTTCGTGGTTCAGCTGGAAGATGACCGTCAGGCTGCTCAGTTGATTCGCAGATCGGTTCTTTCCAAAGCGATCTACGAGCTCTGGGGACAGGGAACTACTCTTGAAGATCTACACAAGGACGTCCAAGCTCGGTCGACTGAGTTGGCCCCGCTGTACAAACAATCTTCGTTCAAGTTCGACATTGTCTCTTACCAAGGAAGCAGGAAGACCAGAGCCCAACAATTGGCGCTGTTCGAATCGTTTTCGTATCTCGCGTTCGAGGGGAAGATTCAGATGAAGAAACCAGACCAGACCTTTGCTATCTTGGAGTCGTACCAAATTATCGGCCAGGCTCCTGCTCCCAGCCCTGACCAACTTTATTTCGGGCGCCAAATCGAGACGTCTGAGCGGTCGCGCGGGGTTCTTGAGCGACACGAGATCGCCAAACGGCCATACTACGGCACAACCACCTTCGACGCCGAGCTGGCATTGGTCAGTTGCAATCTTGCCAAAACGGCACCAGGCCATCTAATTTACGACCCCTTCGTCGGCACCGGGTCGTTTGCACTGGCAGCAGCACACTACGGGTCTCTCACATACGGCACAGACATAGACTTCCGCGCGCTAAAGGGAAAAGGTCCTGATCGTCGTCTGGCTACCAATTTCAAGAAATACGGAACATCCAATCTGTTTGGAGACGTTTTGTGCATGGATTTCACACATAACGCGTTCAGATCGGATCTGAAGTTCGACGCGATTGTGTGCGACCCACCATATGGAGTCAGAGAAGGTCTCAAGGTGTGCGGAACAGACAGAGAGGAGAGATTCGAAGGTAAAGAAAATGTGATTATAAATGGAGAATACGCGTACTTGAGACGAGACTTTATCCAGCCCAAGAAAAACTACTCGTTGGACCTGTTGCTCGACGATCTGTTGCAGTTCGCATCGGAAAGACTGCCTGTTGGAGGCCGACTTTGTTTCTGGATGCCCGTGGCCAACGACCAGTACATCCCTACACTGGTTCCGCAACATGAAAAACTCGAGCTCATCTACAACCTGGTGCAAGAGTTCAACAAATGGTCCAGACGGCTGCTGGTGTACGTGAAAAGAGACGCAAACTACAAAGGAGCAACTATTACTTCGCAAGAACGTGGGTTGCAAAACGATTTCCGTAATAGATACTTCCAAAAATTTAAATAACGTTGAAACTTATCAATATGTTATTACCACTAATCTATTCGTCGTCTTCAAGGGATTCCAAAGTCTGGGCAGCAATACGGTCCAAGTCTCTCTGTCCGTTGTCTGAGATTCTTCTTCCGCCCTTTGGAGAGATCTCCAAAACACCAATCTTCTCCAAAGCCTGCACGGCCTTTCTGTTGACGGATCCAGAAGCGTCGTAGTGCTTGCTTGGTCTGCCACCTCTGTTCTTAGCACCTCCGTAGAGTTTGTTCAAGGCACCAACACCAACTTGCTTTCTCAAGTAGATGTGTCTAGCCACGGAAGCGGCTCTCTTGTAGAACCATTTGTCAGCCTCTTGTGGTGGGAGTTCGTTACCGGCAGAAGTCTTGACCAACTCGACGTAACCTGGAACTTCGAGTTTACCTTGTCTTTGCAAGAATTGGGCGTATGCGTTGATAAAGTCCTGTGCTGGGACGTCTCTGACAGAGTAACCTGGCATGTTGTATGTGATCAAGTTTAAGTTGAGAAAATTTTCTAATGGAATACTTTATGTGACTCTGGTGCAAGGTGTATATTTTTCACGGCGAGAAATCTCGACCCGGTCCAGACGCAAAATTGATGGGGCGGTCGAAGAGCGGTCCAGCAGCAACTCATCAGATCGCCAATGTCTCCGCCTGTCTCATTACTCACTACTCACTACCGTTTCACGTATTATGTTCGATTTCTGATTATTCTGACCTACGTAATTACCCTTAGACCTTGAATCCTCTAGATCTTCTTCTACCTCTAGCTCTCTCGAACTTTCTGCCCTTGGACATGATTCTTGGAGCCTTACCCTTGTGTGGGCCGAAGCCGAAGTGTCTGACAGCCTCTCTGGCGCTTCTTGGACCTCTGACAGTCAAGGTGTTGGAACCAGTTGGAGCTCTAAGAGCCAATTGGTCGAGGGTGATGGCCTCACCACCGTTCTTCAGGATGGTCTCCTTGGCACCGCTGGTGAATCTCAGAGCAGCAACAGTGGCCTTTGGGAACTTGAGGAGTCTGACATCGTCAGTGACAGTTCCAACAACGACAACAGTCTTGTCAGCAGAACCTGGTTGAGACAAAGCCTTGGCGATTCTGGAGACGGAAACTGGTGGTCTGTTGATCTTGGAAAGGAACAAAGACTTGAGGACGAGCTTGTTGAATGGAGCATCAGTACGACCTGAAATAAAGTTAGTAAAAGGATGGATGACTATTCCAATTTTGCTCAAAGTCGCACTCGCGGAACTCGCCGCAAGTACTCGCAAAACACGCAGCTACCTTAGTTAAAAGGTCTCTGGTTCATCCAAAGTCGACTGTCCAGCAGTCGGCGAATTGTGCAAAACTAAAATGTCATGAGTCAATACCTACGAGCCAAGAAGGAGTAAAGTTTCACCAACGACTTGAGGTAAACGTTCTCCGACTTTGGGGCCTTTCTGTGGCCAGATCTGATGTGCTGCTTGGAGGTGTGATCTCTTCCCATGGTGAAGTTTGAAGAAAGTTTTTCAACGGAAAAAAAATTTAACAGGGTTGTGCGTTCTTTACACGCTGTAGTCACGTGAGCCACCACTGTTTTTCTGGTTTTGGGTGGTGCACACTTTAAGTTTCCCAAGGCTGTGCACATGTAATGGTTTTGCCAATTGATATCTCAATGGAGAGACTAAAGTAAGTGGCATGTCCGGCTCCCTTTCGCTAACAATCACAGGACAGACGAAACAAACCCGCGCGGAATCCCGCAGGCAAAGTTCATCGAGAAGATCGAGGACTTCATCGACGCAAAAACGTGCACGGACGACGACGTTTCGTTGTTCTTGAAGGAATTGCAGGTCAGACTTCAACAGTACAAGTTTTTGGAAGAAAACAAACGCAACACGCTCGGAAATCTCGATGTGAAGATCCCAGACATTCAAAAGACGCTGGATATGTGTCGGTTTTTCAAAGAACGGAAACAACAACTTGACCAAGGCGACGATGTTGAAGAGACCGTTGACGTGAACTACGAGCTAAACGACACAGTGTATTCCACTGCAGAGATCGATATCAAGAACTTGGACCACGTGAGTCTGTGGCTCGGAGCAGATATCATGATGGATTATCCTATTGATGAAGCTATCGAGATGCTAGAAAAACGGTTGGCAGGCGCGTTGGAAAATAAAGCCATCACCATCGAAGACTTGGAGTATCTGCGGTCAAATATAACCACCATGGAGGTCAACACAGCGCGTGTTTACAATTGGGATGTGCAGCGTCGCAAGGCGTTGAAGGAAGCAGAGGCTACCTCCTGAACGTGTCCAGGATCTGTGCGCTGAGCGTTCGGGCCGGGGTATCTTCTCTTTCGTCGCTCTGGTCCGCTTGTTCGTCTTCGTCGACCGTGGTTCGTTCTCTTGTGGTGGTTGTGCGCGATTTTTTGGCTGTGATCTTGTTGTAAACGAGTTCCATCAGGCTGATTCTGGCGTTGAGACCCGGTAAAAGGCCGTTGAACAGCAGAGACCCGATGAAATACCCCACAACACTGACAATGACCGAGCTGATGAGGCCCTCGCTTATTAGCAGCTGGAACGCAAGCAGCGACGTGAGGAAGTCGTTGGTGAACACCAGCTTGAAGTCCTCGTTTGACGAGCGGATCTTGATGAGGCCTCCGAAATTCAGCTCAAACTTGTATAAAATCGGTGTATATTTCCAATGAGCATATAGCAGACCAAACACCATGCCAAATGGACCGGCAGGCACAAAGATGTTGATTCCCAGCAACGTGTAGGCGCTCCATGTTAATAGGGTGATTGCTACCATGTTGTAGAGAAACAGCAGACAAACAATGCGCAGATACTTGATCGACCCGAAAACACGTTCCAGATTCTTGAAACTGAACACTATCAACGTCACACAGAGCATCACCTGCGACTCGTTCTGGAATTGCAACTGGAATAACACGAATCGCCAATATTGGGCCCATTTGCTAACAAACGGGTCGTAGCTCAGAATGAACATCGGTTTCCACTCCAAAATAGAAACAACCAACGGAACAATGATGATCCATGTGGTCAACACCGAACTGATCGGCAGATGCAAAAACCCGGTAGGAAGCGTAGACGACATGCCAACAGTATGTTTTGTTAAAAGAGTAAAGTTATTAAATGTAGTAAGGGTCTATCGACGCGTCTGATAATTATAGCCTAAAGTTAAAGATAACTAGACAAATTTCTTTGTTTCCTAATGCAATCACTATACAACAAGTTAGGACCCGAGGGACGAAGCTTGGTTGGGTTCACTGACGAATCATCGTTCGAACATCAGGTTCCCACCCAGTTGGACTACCTGTTTGATGAACTGGTCCATCCAAAACCGTCTACAACCCCTCAGAAAGTGTTATCGTATTTGGCTTATTATTACCCAAAGATCAAAAATGAGGGCAACATCGAGCTGTTAACGTACTCGTTTTTGAAATGTCCGTTGTTCTTCTCGAATCTGCAATCCTTGTCGTTCATGGACCATTATCGTGTGCTCGAATGCTTCAAATTCGTCATGGACAAAAAGTTCCAGGTTAGTCAGCCAACACTGCCGTTCTACAAGTTCTACAACTCGTTATTCCGTGTCCTGGCTTCAGAAGCGTTGGATCCTGCAAATTCCTGGAAATCTCTTCCAATAGCCGTCGGATGCTTGCTTTCTGTCGACTCCAGAAAAGAGTACGATAACTACCCGGAAATGTACCAATTGATATCGCAGATCGACCAGAAACTGCTGGACATCACCGTCGCTGCGATCGAGTCCAATTTCCGCGGCCCAATGCTTTTGGATCCGCTGTACTTGAACGTTGTCGCTCTCGCTTGTATCAACGACAAACTGGGACAGGATCAACTGAGAAAAGTCATTGTGGTGAGACCCGATCTCCCTCGTCTGATCAACGATCTCGTGGTGCACTCCAACTATGGACTCAGCAACGGACACGTCTTCAGTTTGACCGACGTGTTTGCACAATGTCCAGCACTCAACCATCTGAGCAGGATCTCTTTCCTGTTTTGCAAAATCGTGTCTTTGCATCCAAATACAACTTTATTGGCAGACCAGCTGGACCTGATTCTTAACCAAATGCTCACGCTAAGCGAGACTGTTTCTCAACTTGGGGAGCCAAACGAACAACAATGGGTTCTACTGCGGACCCTTCTGTTTGCTCAGGTGATGCTGTTTGAAAGCGTGCTTTCCAGATTTGTCCACATAAATAGCCAACCACTGGCACAACAGCTCATGCCGACTTTCAGCAGAAAGATCATGTCGATCTTGTTCAATCTCAACTTTGTCGTGGATAAGATCGGTACCGGTGGGTTTGAAGCGTACAACTTTGTCTACGACCTGTGTCTCAACTCCATCATCAATTACGATATCCCCACCGCCGAGCTTCTGATCAATTGCTGGACAAGTAACATCCAGTTTGGCAAGATTAGCACTTCCCAAATGGACCGCGCCAAGCTTCTGTTTGACCTCCAGTTCGTGGAGAATGTGATCAACCTCATTTCAGACGATCTCAAGTTCAACTGCATCATTCCTATTGTTCGCAATCTGATCAACACCGCCAGCGACCAGGACGTCTTGGAGGCAGCACATTCGGTGATGATCAAGTTCTTTACGATCCTCGACTCGTTCAATGAACACTCCACAAACGTCAACTACCATGCGAACATGGAGAAAGTGAAAACAAGCATGTTGGACTACCTAACTTTGGCTCTAGACCAGTTCCCAGAACGGTTGTCTTTGAATCAAATTGGAATTGTGGTGGAAACACTCACAAAGATCGCGTTCCCAAACTCGCCGTTGTATGAGTCGGAACCAGAACTCAGTAGGGAGATGTTACTTCTTCTCTACAACAGATGTCAAGTGGTGAGTAATAGACCGCTTCCAAACTCGACAGAGTTCCCAAAAACACTCCAATCAGCTTTCCTCACTCTTCTCATCCGCGTGATCCCATTGATCTCGTTTACTGAGTACGAACAGTGGCTGGAGAGAACGTTCATACTGATCTGCCGCAACACCAACGACGAAAAACTTCATCTGGTCGATAAACTATGGGACGCCATTCTGGCTACAAACAAGTATTATCCACAAAAAGGTTATATAGGTATCAATTGGTGGTACGAACACGTGAATCAAGAGGCGCGTGAAAAGGCTAAACTATGATTGCAAACGCTCATTCTGTCTCTTCCTGTTGGTCGAAGAAATCCACAACCGCGCAGTTTGGATGCAAAACATATATCATGTTGGCCCGTTTCTCGGCCTCCTTCTTCCGTTGCCATTCCTCCAACCCCATGGTTCGTCTTTCAACTTCAGCACGAGACATTCCGTCATTCACCACAAACTCCTGAGGAATCTCCATGTTTCCTTGGTCAGGATTGACACTCATCAACACTTTATCCTTCACCAGTCTCTTGAGCACCTTGAAGGCCAGCTTGCGTTCTTCCCAGTAACCTCTCTCGTCGCCAATCTCCGATTCAACTTGCTCCAAATACCACCCAACAAGGAACTCTGCAGTGTATCCGTGGCTGGAGTCCGAGTCGTCCTGCAACTCGCCTCTGGTCTCCTTCTCTCCGATCTTGCGCACAAACAGGTTCATCATTTGCACGTACTTGTCGTATGGGATGGCGGCTTTGTGTTTTTCCTGGGGCTCGCCCGATTGCTGGCGTTCCTGTGTGTCCTGTGTCTCTGGTTGTGTGTTTTCTTGTTCCTGTTCGTCTTCGTCCATCGCATCAATATCAACGTCGTCCTTTTCCACACGGATAATGGACTGTCTCAACAAATCGTACGCCTCTGCAACGAACCTTGGAGTAATCTCCTCGGTACAGTTGGCTCTGGCAATGGCCTCAGACAGTCTGATCATACTCTCAAGCTGTCTGACAGTAATTCTGTAACTACTGCGGCCAAGACCCTGGGAATCGTCGCTCCGCAGCTCCTTGTATCTCTCCACAAGATAGTCTCTGGCCTCTTTGGTCATTTTTGGTTTGAACGTGCTGGCATATTTGATGTATCTCAAAAGCTGCTCTTTGGAGAACGGAGGATCAATGGCGTCGTCCCTCAACATGTGTAGGTTGACAATATGGTCTGCCAACTGCGTGTCCACTCTCTCGTTACATTCGTCCAAAACAACAAAGAACAGGTCGAATCTCGACATGATCGGCGCAGTCATGGTCAGATTGCTCTTCAGACCAACTTTAGGGTTGTATCTTCCTCCAATAGGGTTAGCAGCGGCCAATATGGAGGTTCTGGCGTTCAAGGTGGCTTGAATACCGGCCTTGGTGATGGAGATTGTCTGTTGTTCCATGGCTTCGTGGATAGCAACCTGGTCTGACAGGTCCATTTTATCGAACTCGTCAATACAACAGATACCGTTATCTGCCAGCATCAACGCACCGGCTTCAATGGTGAGCTCTCCGCTTTCTTCGTCTCTGATAACGGCAGCAGTCAAACCAGCAGCGGAAGAGGCTTTGCCCGACGTGTAAACGGCTCTTGGAGCAAAACTGTTGACGTACTTCAAAAACTGGGACTTGGACGTCGATGGATCTCCAACAATACAAACGTTGATGTCTCCTCTCAGGTTGATTCCGTCAACGGTTTTCTTATGCACACCGCCAAGAAGTTGCAACAACACGCCCTTTTTCACCACCTCGTGGCCAAACACAGCTGGAGCGATCGATTGCACGAGTTTCGAGTAGATATGGTCGTCGGAAACCATGTCTTTGAGTTCGTTGACCTCCTGTTCTGTGAGGGTGTTGAGGAACATCTCCTGTTCCTTGTCTGTGTCCTCTTGGCCGTCGTCTTCGGGATCGATGTTGCCGTCTTTAGACACGAGAGAGCACACATGCGAACCGAAGAAAGCGATTTTGTAAGTCAAGTCTCTTGCACCCAGGGCTTTCAATCCCGTGACACCGGAATTGAGTGCTTCTGTGGTGGAGGCCATTCCACGAGACCGCACAGACATTGGTTTCACTCCAGGAAGACCGAGCTGGGTCACGTCTGGAACAACAACCTCTGTTCCTGTGAATCTGCACTTGTCACCTGGCTTTGCTCTTTCGACCAGCTCGCCACGCAGAATCACGTCCATTGTTCTTGGCATCGATCCAGTGGGGATCTCGTTGGAGTTTTCCTGGATACGCACTTTTTGCCAGTCCACAAAGGTGGATTTGGCGATGTTCAAGGACCAGGAAGCGTGGTTTTCACATGTAGGGTTGGAACAACTGGTTGGCTCTGTGTATTTGAACGCTTGTTCCACGTTCTCAATCAGAGTCTTGCAAACATCACAAGTAAACGATCCTTTGTACAGTTCTGGTCTGACTTCACTGGTACGGGTGACTGTTCCAGAGATGGACATGAGCATTCCAATGTTTTCTGCCCTCAGTTCTCTGATTCTGTTGATCGTGGGCAGGTTGTAGAACGAGATCTGCAAAACACGTTCGGTCACGCCTGCTTCTTCGTCCTCGGCGATTTTCGTCGACCGTCTCAGCAAAGCCGGCTGGTGTTTCTTGATCACGGCCCGCAGTCCGTTCACCAGGTACGGGAGGAATCTGTAGTACTGTTCTGTGATGGCGCTTGCCAAGATCCCGTTTTCCACGGTCAATAAATGTTGGTAGTCGACGTAGATCGTGGACAAGTCGTAGTGGGCCATTGCGGCGATCTGGGCAATATACGACTTGCCCTGGAACTCAGAATCCACCGAGTTTGGGTCGGTGTATTCGGTGAGAAACTGCTCAAACGCCTCTTTCACCTTTTCGGCGGTTAGGTCGCTAACTTTCGGGATCGAGCTCAAATCTCTTCTTCTTCTGAGGAAACTGGCTGTTGGATCTTCTGTCTCCATCTCTTCATCGGGGACCGCTCTTCTGGAATCGCTAGCCAGGTTTGGCTGCGACTCGCTGAGAGGGTTACTGCTCTGCGTACGGAACGCTTGCGACGAGTGTAACGGCGAGGAAGCAAAGGTGGCCATTTGAAGGGGAAGAAGAATTGAAGGTAAATTTTGAAACCTTCGCGTTCGCGTAATTACGTTTCCCTTTTCGGAAAAAGAGGTGCATATATAGAGGTGTTAGGAGGTGGTGGTGAACTCAGGCTGGGTGGGGGGATGGGCGTACGAACAAAGACCTGGCGCGTATTTTACATATAGACAAGTTCATTGGTTGGTTTAGAATTTGCTGGTTTGCTCATTTTTGGCAAAATTCACTGGACTTCATTTCTTGCCATATTCTTTGGGTGGAAAAAATTATTTCAGATAAAAAAAAATTTGAAAATTATTTAAAGTATGGCTCGTAAGAAGTCTGCAGCCAAGAGAGCCAGAGAGGCCGAGGACGCTCCACAGGAGCCGGTCAAGAAGGTCAAGGAAGTGAAGGAAGTGGAAAAAGTCGAGGAGGAGTCGCCTAGTGACCCTAGTGACGAGAGCAGCTCGGAAGAAGAGGATCAGTTTGGTGATCTTTTGACCGAGGACGTTGAGCAGGGCATTAACAAGGTTTTGGAAGCTATCAAGACCGGAGACAAGGCTCTTTTTGACAAGAACGTTACGTTTTTCAAAGACCCCGAGGAAGGCGGTGTTGAGAAGGCCAAGGAGCAGAAACCAATGTATTTGAAAGATTACCATAGAAAGGTTCTTTTAGATGGACATGCTTTTGAAGACGAGGATGGCGAGGAGCGTGAGTGGAAAGAAGGCGAGAAGCCTTATGCTTTGCAACAACAAGAAGACAAAAGCAAGCTTCTTTCGGAGATCAACACAGCTTTCAGCGACGACGATAATGACGACTTTTTACAGAAGAAAGAGATCCAACGGGAAGTCAAGGCCGAGAAGCTTCTTCCGGACCCACAGCAAGACGGCGAGAAGTTTCTTGAAGCCTACTTGGAAAACGCTGCCTGGATTCCTGAGAACGAGGAGGAAAGACCCGATCTTGAGGAAGACGACGATCTGTTTGACGAGGCTGCCGAGAAGTTTGAGAATGCGTATAATTTCCGGTTTGAGGACCCGAACTCGGCAGAGATCATCTCGTATGCGAGATCCCAGGCCACCATGAGACGCGAGAAGATGAACAGCAGGAAGAAGCAGAGAATAAAGAAGAAGGAGCAGCAGTTGGCGGAGGAAGAAGAGAAAAAGGAGCTTTTGCGCAAGAAGAAGCAGAAGAAAACTACACAGGTTCTGGACCGACTGGCGGAGATCAAGGCTGCAGTGGGCGAGGAGGTTTCAGAGGCGACGATTGCCAAGGTTTTCGGAGACTCGTTGTTGAAGGACGACTTTGACGACGCGGACTGGGACAGCAAAATGGCGGAGATTTTTAACGAGGAGTTCTATAACGAGGGAGAAAAAGAGAAGCTAGATGTTGGTGAGGTGGAGGATGATGATGACGAGGAGGTTGAGGAAGTTGAGGAGGTCGAGGAGGACATTTCCACCAAGTCGAAGAGAGCCCAGAAGAAGGAGGAGAAGGTGGGCAAGAAGAAAGAGAAGCAGAAGCTACGGGAGGTGGCAGATAAGCTGGTGACCAGCCACTCGGACCAGCTGATGGAGGAAGTGGAGGAAGAACGCGGCCGTGGAAAGGACAAGGACGAGATCAAGTTTCGGTACCGTGAGGTTTCGCCCGAGTCGTTTGGGCTCAGTACAAGAGAGATCCTGGTGGCAGACGATAAGGACTTGAACGAGCTGATTGGACTCAAGAAGTTTGCTCCGTACCGCCCCAAGGAGTCGCGTTTGAAGGACAAGAGAAAGTACGCGAAGAAGAGACGGTTACGTGAATGGCGGTTGAAGGTTTTCAAGAGCGCTGATGGACTTGCCAACGAGCCAGAATCAAAGTAGATTACCGGTATGTTGCTTAGCTAATATTTTAGATGAGAGGTAAATAATTAACAACAAAAATCACATTCACTAATGGGTGTGTCTGAAAGCCCTAATCAGCCGTCTGGTTCTCCGACGCGGCTGAGACAACAACGATTTAGTGTTTCTCCGCGCCATGAGCGCAGTTCCACCGCTGGTGGGGGTGCCCGTGAGGTCAGTTTCGGTGGGGGGGACGATCTGGACGGAGACTCTTCGGACGAAGACTTGTTCAACATGAGGAAGCGGCGACGCAATGCGACGCGAGCCCCGACAAAAGCAGTCAAGCAGAAAGGTCCTGTTTCTGCCGCCAACTCCATCACGTCGCTCTTGTCTAATACAATGAACCTGAGGTCAAAGGATAAGCTGAGCAGTCTGCTAGGGTTCGACCTCGACTCCGCGTTGAAGGTTGACAAGCTGACGGAGCAGCACGCCAACTTGATGGCTCTCCGGCAAGAGGAGGACGTGATCGATCGGCTGGCCCAGCAAAAAATGGACGACTTGAGCAAGAGAGAGCAGGACAAGACGCGAATAGACAAGATGATCACCGAACGGGTTGATCCGCACCAAGAGGGTTATGTTGAGTATTTGCGGAAAGAGCTTGTGAACGGCGATATTTCGAAGTTGGAAGACGTTTATTTTCTGGACTCCGTGGGCAGTTATGGCCAGTCTGAGCCAGACCTTTCGAGTCTGCAACAGGACGCTCTTCTTGGCCACAACTGGTTCCCTGTGCGGACGATATTGACAGACACAGACATCCACTCGTTCATCCAGGTTTCGTCCCGCTACGTGTGGGACCTGCTGCACTCAGACTTGGCCAATAGCTATGCTCTGAATAGCGAAAAAGTGAACGACTTCCTAACCCAAAACGGCATGGTAGACAGACCGGTCGAGTACATGCTGGCCTCGAAAAAATCACTGCCTGCCGCTCCAGAACAGGTTCTCAAGCTGTATTGTCTGGTAGAGCTTGCGCGCGCATCCGACAATACGGAAACTCGCACCGGCTTCGACAGACTGCTGCGTGCTACCGTGCTGCTGATGGTGGACGCGCGCGTGAACGAGGGCAATGTGGACGACTACATAGTTCTGGGCCGCGAGACGGTGAGCTCGCTTCAGCTGCTTAACAAGACGCTCGTCAGTCTCGCCCAGTGGTTCCATGAATTGTCCACTAAACCAAGACCCGAAACGTTTGCCGGGTGGTGCACAGAGGTGTCGAGAATGGTTGCAGAGCAGTTCGGCAACCGGCTGGTGCTGGTCCACCGGCTGATCAGCAATATCACCGCGGTATCTGTGCCGATGCTCAAGAGTCTCAAGCTTTGGTTGGTGGTGTGGACGCTGCTGGTGAACGACCAGTACGACGAGTCTAAACACGACAAGGACCAGTTGTTGCGGCTCAAGTCGTCGCTGTTGACGTACAGCCTGGACCCAGACCAGGTGGTGAGCTCTGTGTACCATTTTGCACGCTATTTCAGCCAGTGTAGTCTCGCGTCGCCGGCGTCGCCAGAGCTGTCTGCACACTTGTTGGCCCACGCACACACGCGAATCAGACTGTTCCAAATGGCCATCTTCATGACAATCGGAACAATGAAGAAGTCCGAGATCAACAGGAACCTCCAGTTCCCTGCAAGCCACGACTCATACTACTCGAAACACCACTACGAAAAACTCCACATCGACCTCAGTGGAGTGCCCGAAAACGAATATCTATTGCACCACATGAAGTTCTATATCAACTTGGTGAAAAACAGGTACTTCCGCAACTACCATAATGCCATTCTGCCGCTGGTGACGGAGTGTATTGCCATTCTGACAAACGTGCTGTCCCGGATCGAGCGCGAACTGACGATGCCGGAGATTTTTAGCGACTGACGAACAGCTCAGAACAGCTCCGAACACACCTGTTCTAGCTCCAGAATATCGCGGATGATGGTGATCCCGTCGCGCTCATCGCTGGTGCCTGTCGTCAGCTGTTCCATGTCCTCGTCCAGCTCCACAAACTGTATGATTTTGCCCCAGCCGAACTTTTTGGCAGCAACCACGTTCAAGCCGGAATCGTCCACAAAGTATGCGTTCCGGGGGTCTCTAACACCCGCGTCGCGCAAAGCCCGGTCGAAGCTCTCCTTCATGGGCTTGCACTTTAGCGGGAACTCTGTATAGTCGCAAAACGTGATACCGTCGAAAATATCGCCGAGTCCAAGCAATCTGATCACCCGAAGTCCGTGAGTCTTGTACGCATTCGTGTACAGCCACAGTCGGTCCACCTTGCCGCTCTTCTTCATGCGCAACAACATGTCTCGCAACTGCGGGTTCGGTCTCAAAATCATGTCCAATGGAAGAGCATCGTCCACCACCTTGTTGTACTCCAGCGCATCTATTTTGTGCAGTCGCACCAGCCCCTCGATCGCCAACCCGTACTCCTTGTAGTACTTCATGTGCAGCGCGTGGGCTTCGTGGTCGTTCAAATGCAGACGTTCCTTGAAGAACCGATGTATATACACTTGCATCAGGTCATGGATCCTAGTCGATCGCTGGTAAAGACAGTTGTCGATGTCAAAGAAAAACACCTTTTTGTCGTCCAGCGGAACCGGGCCGGCCCCGTACTTGAGATTCACCAAAGGAAGGTTCTTTCTGAGCTTGTCCACCTCTGTCTGATCTTCTCCCAAATGGACCTGGGATTGCGAGTTTCTGCTGAGAATTTCGCGCTCCTTGCGCACGTCGGGCGACTCGTCTCCAAGCCGCGACTCCATGTGACGCACCTCGTCCAGATCGTTCAACTTGAGCGCCATCTAGAAACAATAAAAGTGCATGTGTTTGTAATCCAAGATTTATCCGTGGATTCCCTCTCCACCCCGTGCACCCGTACACCACCAACCCGCGCGTGGCTTTATGCGGCGCGATTGTCGCGCAGCGGCTGTGCATTCTATTTATAAGTGTAAACAATTATCAGACCGCCTAATGCTGTCCGCGTAAGCCACACCCATTCTTTTTCTCTTTGCCAACCTTTTCTCTCTTTTATGAAATTCCATACACATACGCTGGCGTTCGTGCTCCACCTGGTATCGCTCGCGTTTCTGATCTTGGCGCTTATCGCGGTGCCCGTCACCTCCAAGCTGGTTCTGTCGCGTAACGGCCACTATACTTTTGGGTCGCTTGGTTACTGCAACACAAGCACAAACAAGTGCGAGTATTCTCTGGCCGACCATAAGTACTTGAACAACGGGTCTGGCTGGAAAATGAGCCACGACTCGCGGTCGCGCTTGTGCGAGCTTATCATGGCGACGCCTGCCGCTGTTGGTTTGACGCTGTTCAGCACCATTTTGGTGTTCTGGGGCCATTTTAGCTGGGCAGCCCGCTCAACAGTGTTTTGGGCGTTCTCCACAGTGCTATCTGGTTTGGCCTTTATTGCGTCCACCTTGGTTTGTGTCACCGTTGTGCTGCTTTTTTTCCCCTATCTCACCTGGACAAGCTGGCTGTTGGTCCCAGCAGCAGCACTCAACCTGCTCTCCTTGATCCTCATCACCATTGCCATCAAACTCGGACCGCAGAGCTACAGAGACGACCAAGACGACACCACTTCCGTGGAGGAGAAAAAATTCGACGATTCGGCCCTATCGTTCGCACATAAACCGTACTCTGGCGGATTCGTGAACCAGTCGGGCCAGTCGCTGCGCTCGTCGTTCGACTTGGAGCCAAAGAAAATGCGCGACATGGTCACAACGTACCAGATGGACTCGCAGAACTTTTCCAGCAGTTTCTTGAACGAAAAACGCAGCGAAACAGGCGCCTCGGCAACAATCATCAACTCAAACCCTCCAGAGCTCAAGTTGCCCAACATCACCAACCCGTATACGTCCAGCACAGACATGTCTGGCTCCAAGAGCAGATTGGCCAACCCAATCGGACTGTCTGCCACCGAGTTGTCGCACTCTCCAGTGGCCACCAGTGTTTATTCCAACGACGACAGACTCAAAGTTTCTGGAGATAACGTTCCAGACTCGCACTCTGTGGGGTCGAACGAAGTGTCTTCGAGCGCAGCCTCGAACTTCACCAGTGTCTCGCAACGGGAAATCAACCCAAAGTATTACACTGGAGCCCAGCAAAGAGCAAACCTCCCAGGACAATACATGCAAACTCCGTACCAAAACCAGCCACCGCCGCTTCAGTACAGTGGACAGTACTATCCGCAACAACAGGGTCCTCCTCCAGTGATGCAAATGCCTCCACAGCAGCCGTATTATGCTCCAACCTATGCTCCGTCGTACAATCCACCAAAACCAAAAAACAATAGAGCAGACGTGCTATTGAACAACAATCCGGACTTTGCCATTGGAGCACCAACTTCAAGACGGGCCGGATATAAAAAATTCGGCGGAGTTGGTCAACCTCAGGGAGGATTTCATCCAGGAATGATGGGAAGAGACACTGTTCCTCCACATTTGGCTTCGGGAAGCTATAAAAACCGGCCAAAACCCAACTTCCCAGCAGCGTCGTTATCGAAAGACAGTCCTTACGGCAGACTGTAAATGTACACTAGAATCTAGACGGGAACCGTGCGGTTCTGATGTTTTTATTGCTTTCCATTTCTCAAATATATCCGTTGCGACTTATCCGCTTTCTGCTATAAGTGATTCGTAGTCGTCCAGGCTCTCTGTCTGTGGGGCCGCTGTTGGCTGGGGCGTAGGTTCAGGGTCCGTTGCCGGCTGTTTTGGTTTGGACTCGTAGTAATGGTCAACTCTTTTCGGTTTGACCAGAAGAAGCATTAACAACAAAAGAATCATCAACACAAGGAAAAACACAATCTTGCACTTGGTCGTGGCCTTTTGGTATTTTTCAGCCTTCTTCATCTGTTTGTCTGCTCCCTTAACGTCAGTAACTGTTTTTTGGAGGTTATAGTCGATTCTATCAAGAACTGTTCCTTGGTCTACCACCATGTTTTCCAATTCTTTGAAGATGGTGGAGATCTCCACCACTCCTTGCGCGATCTTGTAGATCTCCTGTTCTCGTTGGTGGAGATACTCGTCGGTGATTGTTTCTTGTTGCGACATCAGTTGCTGCGAGGACTCCTGCATGGCCTGGCGAGAGTACGACTCGATGTTTTCGTTCGATTCCGTCTCGATGAATGCGTTGTCATTGTCTTTGGTGTTGACCAGCGGGATCTCGAAATCGTCCTCCTTTAAGTACCGGATGTAGCTGTTCTGGAGACTTCTGAACTGGGTGGACAGGTCCTGGGTTCTGATGGCCAAACTCTTCTTCAGATTATCAACCATGACAGTTTCGGACTTCTTGCTGAACCGCAATCGTGAATCGTCCAAAGTTTTGATCTCGGCGTACATCAATTGGAACTTTTTGGTGATATTAAATGACAGCTCTTTAATCTTAGCATCGTCCTCGGTGGTATCTGAGAACCCGGGAAGCAGGTTCTTCTTGTACAATTTGCCCAATTCCGCGATTCTGGTCTGGATCTCCGCCAACATCAACTCGGAAGTTCGTTGAAGCTCCACTATGCTAGGGGGCAACTCCACCATCTCTGTTTCTGTTGTGTCTGAATACGGCTTAATTAGACCTTCTTCTTCGTCTTTTAATCGATCAAACCGCTCGACCTGTCCCCCAGAAAATACCCCGTGGTGATGTGGGAACGTTCGGCGGTACGAAATATATAAATTCGTCCGATCTCTAAACATGATAGAATACCTTGTTAAGTTCAATTATTACATCTTTTTTTTGCTTAGGTACTCATATAAAATGGACCAGGAGACATTAAAATGTACCGTTCCATGGCCTCCCTGAACCGATTCTTGTACTGTTTCGGGGTGATCACTGTTGGTTCTTTGCCGACTCCTGTGCCTCCAACGAGCCCTTTTTCCTTCACCCAACTCTCCAGTTTCTTATCCCAAGTAAACGTTCGGATACAGTCAATAATTCCAACAACAAGCTCCTTGTTGTCGGAGTCGATTCCAACAACCAAAGAGTAATCCATCACATTCATCTTGGCCAAAAATAGAGTGTCGTTCCACAACGACGCTCTTAAGAGTCGTTTGGCATTCTCCCGAACAAATAATGGAGACTCGTAAATATACTCCACCATATTTTCATCCAGTAACACCTCGTTCTCCTTTCCGGTCTGTTCAACGTGTCTGTTCCTCATCGAGCCCTTCAGATCGAAAATCCGCGACATCTTGCGGTTGTAGAACAGATTCTCCATAATCAGAACGTTCATGGTGTACGACCGTGCTCCAGGCATGGTGTTCTTCACCTGGATCTGGTAGAACCCAAAGATCTTCACCAGAACAGTCGGCAGGTTGTGGAACATGGCCTGTGCGAAATATTCAAAGTAGCTAGCCGCAAATTGAACAAACGCCTCAAGTTCGGCCCGACTCAGCTCCTTGATGATAAACCGGTCGTCCAGAGTCTTCAGAAACGCAGAACCAGACTTTCCTCCCGTGGAATCCCATTTCACACACCGCGACAAGCTCTCCACGAACTTTGAACTCACTCCACATTGGCGCCGGAACCCGTCAAACTGCTCGGCAAAGAAAATCTTGCACGAAATCGTCGAATACCCTTCTTCGAATTGGTACTTCAGATGGAAACCTTTCTTGAGCATGATCTTCTCCAAGTCGGGAGCAGACATCGAGAAACTCGAGCTCTCAAACACCCCGCTGCTCTCTGCGCTCGGTTTATTTCCCTGGTCCGATCGCACAGACCGCGAGTCCCCGTCCTCGGTGGCAGATTCGTCCTTGTCGTCCTGTTGCTGCTGTTTCTCCTGGTGGTATAGCTTCGAGCCGTAATCTGTGGTGTTCAAACAGAATGCAATGATCGAACTTGGCTCGTCCTCGCGAACAATCACGTCAGAATCAACGAATATGTGCTCCGTGGGACCCAACGGATACGAAAGTGGCTCCCATAAAGTTGCCGATCGGTCGGCCCAGAAATGCGTCAGCGACTTGAGCAAAGACGACTTCTCAGGGACAAGCTGTTTCGAAGGAACGCGCCTCATATCCTCGCCGCCTTCTTCTTTCTTCTCGCCGTCAGTTTCCTGTTCCTGCTCTTGCTCTTCCTCCTCAACTTCCTCCTCAATTTGCTCTCGTCTCTGCTCCATCTTCCGCACGTTCTGCTCAGCCTCAACAGCGTCCTTCACGTTCTTGTAAACCTCCACCGTTGGCCGCGAAGCAACAAGCTTCGGCCTGTAGCTGTTCTCCTGCAACTTTCGCTTCTCTTGCTCTCTCTGGCGGAAAAACTCCTGAGCATCAAAGAACTCGGCCAACTTGCGAACCTTACCCTCGTTGCTCAAACCACTCAACTTCGGTAAGCCGTGGCCACCATCCTCCAACAGCTGGCTCTGCAGCTCGCCGTTGCGATCCTCCCACACCCAGCGTTTGTCATTCTGTAAGTCTGTCTTGGAATCGGTGCTCGACCCTTCTCCCGGTCCATTCATCAGCTGCAATTCTTGAATCCTCTCCAACACCAAATTTCCTCTCCGACGAGACTTTGGCGACTGACTTGGAGTAGTATCCTCTTTTTTGAGCTCTTCAACCTTCTCCTCCTCTTCGTCCTCCTTCTCCTCTTTCTCCTCTTTCTCCTTCATCTCCAAACTAGCAAGATCCTCGTTCTTGTCGTTATTGGCCTTGAATAGCTTATCTAGCTGGAAGGCAGTGATTTTCTTAATTTCCTTCTCAGACGGCAAGAATTCCTTGTCAAACTCTTGGAACTCAAAGTTCCACTCACTCGAAATCTCCTGCACCTCTCTGATCACCGAAGTGAGCTTCAAATGATCAGAAATCAGCGTCGACTGGTAAACGTCGTCGGCCATCTTGATCATCGCAAGCTGCTCCTCGTCGACCCGCTTCTTCAGCTCGTTGATCCGCTGCTGGGCAGCCTCGATCCTGTCCTCCGACAAACTGTCCAGCTTCAAACGGTTCAGTCTGCTTCGGACACTGTCGAAAAACATGTTTGTCCGATTAATAACCTGTTCAAACGTCTGAATCTTGATCTTGAGATCGTACTCTGGCTTCCAGAACAACTGGAACTGTGGAGAAACCAAATCCAGCATCTCCACCTCGGAATACTCCATCCGCACTGCAAGGTTCTGGAAACTGAAGTAGTGGATCTGGTCACGGTAGAAATCGTGCACACAGGTGGCTCCCTTTACCTTCATTCCACGACACCAGAAAGAAAGCTCCAAATACTTTCCAAAGGAGTACTTCCAGGCATTGTCGCTCAATGGAAGCACAGCAGTCGAGTTCTGACATATCTTGCAAAAACTCCATGCCATGATCATGTTTTCGCGTCCTTGTAGCGATTTGGAATTGTTTTCCACCACCACGTCCACTTTTCCTCGTCCGTGCACATACGAACGGAAATGTTCCTTCAATGTTAGGCCACATCCTTCAGTACACAGTTCTCCAGCATTGAGACATAGATGCTCAATGAACTGGCCCAGACAGAAATCGTTGTCCCAGTAGAAATCGGTCACCTGAATCTCCGGGCCAATACATGGAGTAGCGTTCTTGGTGGACACCATGCTGTACAAAGTGGCTATGTTCTGATGGTAATTGGGGTCAAAAAACATGTACCGACGAGGGAACCAAAACTGCTCCCATTGCTTCTCGGAAAGAAAGATCTGATGCTTGTTTTCCTGGTCCACAAAGTCCTTGTGCTGAGCAACCAATTTGGTCATATCGTCCATTTGGTGCGGAAGGTCTTGGATCTCGAACTTGACGTTCCATTCTTGTAACAGAAGTTTGAGCTCGTCAAGAAGTTTGTCGTCAGACTGAGCTTTGGGAGCAAGCTCCAAATACTTTTGGTGAAGCTCGACGTTTTTTTGCAATCTCTGGTGGAAAACTGTGAGCCTCTCGACAACGTACGGAAGAAGGAATCGGACCCATGGAGATGACGAAAGAATACGTTTCCTGAACGCCTCAGTAACCTCTTGGTAATTGTTCAGAGGTAAATTTTGCAACGGTTCGTGTTTCGGCTGGAAACTGTATTCGGCAGCCTGAAGACATTGGTCGCGCATAAGACCAGACTCCAGCTTCACGTTGAAAAACACATATGCCATCAAGGTTGCGCACTCCTTGACTTTGCTAAGCTCTTCTTTGTCGCTTCCGCGTAGAACAACCGTAGACCCAGCTTCTGTGTTGCAGCCAGTGAAGTAGAAATAGGTTCGACGGATAGACTCGTTGACATACGACTTTACCTCAAACTTTCCACATCTGCCAAGATTCGGATTAATGGCCAGTTTGTCGATAGAGTTGATAATGTCGGCTTTTGTGAGTCTGGATATTTTCTGCATCAACTGCGATTTGACATTGTATGCCACAGATATTCCTGCCTGGGCCAACAGTTTTAAAGCATAGCCGTTAACTGTACTTTGAGCAAGAACGATATTGGGTTTCAAGGCAGCTATTCTAGCAACCAGCTTCTCCAGGTATTGGTCCTGTTGCGCGATCAGAGGCTCGATGCTCGAGAACTTGGTATCAGCTTCCTGTTCGTACTCGATCTGGAACGTGACCAGCATGATTCGTGGGTTCAGAATCTCTGTTGCCATGGTGTTGAGCGGCAGGTTCTTTGAGAACACTATTCCATCTAGAACAGCGGAGTTCTCGATCTCTGAGCCGGGAATCTTTTTGATTTTCAAGTAGGCAGAAATGTCAAAAGTCTCGCCGTTGGCCAGCTCTGCAGAAAGACTGGACACTTTCTTCAAACATTTTATAAGCACCTTGGTCCATCTGTCTATATTCTGAACCTCTCTGTCGGTCAACAGCTGAACCAAAAGCTGTCTGGCGTGGTTCTCGCCAGCACGCAGGAAATCGTCCATGAACTCAAACTCCTCGAACCCAAATCCAAACCCAGACGAAGCAGGCCGGCCAAAGATCGTGCTGGAACTGGCATCACTGGTGACTCGGGTCCCGCTTCGACTCATACGACGGTGTTTGAGACGGTAGAAGTTTGTAGGGCGTCGTGTGCGGTTTGATCTGAAGATCTTGCGTCCGTTCATGCTTGTCGAGTCCTCCAGCTTGAAGCCGCTGGTGTTTGGACTGCGGTACGTCCAGTTGAACTCGTGGTTATTCATCGGGTTGGAGTTCACAGAGGTGAACGCCAGCAGACCAGGCTCGTCCTCGTCGTCTGTCAGGTCGGAGGCAGAGCTCAGCAGCGTGTGAGAGCCGGTGAGCGGGCCATACTCATCGTCTTCCTTGGACTCGGGCTCCATGTTCCTGCTATGGGTTCTGTGGTGCGAATAGGAGAAGGATTGGTGATTGCCCGGCAGGATAGCGGTGCCAAAGTTAAAGATCGAGGAAGCTGCGTCTGCCGCTGCGTTTGCGGCTGCTGAGGTGAAATTCAACGGCGTGGGGTTCTTCTTCTCGGGGTCCTGCGACGGAAGGAGTCTGCCTGTGGGGAGCTCCGAGTTCATCCCCGTCAGACTGGAACTAAAGTTGTTTGGGTGGAACGGGCGATTTCCAACCACTGTGTTGGCCCTGCTGCGACGACTCACGCTGTTGGACCGCGGGATGTCGATCTCGATGGCCTCTCCTTTCCTCGTGGTGGGGATGGCCATCATGGGTGGGGGTGTGGGGGCCGATCCGAGGTTCAGTGCTGTTTCTGCAGTGGAAACCACAGACGGCGCGCCCTGGCTCTCGGACTCGGCCCTGACCGGCGATACCGTTTCCGAAACGTGGGACGAGCTGTTTGTATCGTCAATCACAGACTCGTCCTCGCTCGAGGCGTACTCTTCGTACCGATCGGCCAATTTCAAACAAAGCAGACAAACACGCATTTTCCCCGGATGATTGAACTTGTCTCCCTCTATAAACGTCGTACAGTTGCTGCAGAAGATCTTGCCACAGATCCGACAGTGGTGTTTGCGTCTGAACGTAGTGAACGTGCGGTCGCACGACCGACATTTGGTGGCCGACGAGTCGTCCAGCCAGTAGTCTCTGCCAAGGCCCTGGTGTTCTTGCTTTCGCTTGTTTCCGAGCGTCGACATGAGATTCAGCGTCAAATCGTTGTAACTATCATTAGCGTTGCTACCATTGGTGCGCGTGTGCGGCGTGGGCGTCTGATTGCTGAGCTGGGTGGTCGAATGCGCAGACCCTGACAGCCCAATCTGAAAGGACATATATAAATAAATAAATAAAAGGTGTGAGGGTGCCATTTTTTTTCTATTATACACTCTCTAGATAAACAGGCTCGAGTAGCAGGGCCATTAAAGGCTACAGAACACGGGAAACGGCGCAGTGGGTAGATGGTGGTTAGTCAAAGACGATCTTTTTCGGTTTTTTGGCGGACCCAGACTCGTCATCAAACACGATTTTCTTGGGTGTGATAGACTGGTCTGGTTGATCGAAAACGGTCTTTTTCGCAGCGTCGGGCTTTTCTTTTGTCTGGCCCTCGATCAGCAGCGGCGGCAGACCCCTGAGCTCTCTTTGCAGCCGTTTCAGTTGACTCACCGTGGTGGAATCGGGCCCGTGGTACTTTTTATCAAGCGCAGCGGTCTCCAGCTCGTCACATTGGCCAATAAACTCGTCCAAAAACCCCTGCGTTTCCTCGTGGCCCAAATACTCGGTGTTGTACACTTTTGAAACCACCGGCGAGTTCACAGCAGATGGAACAACCCTCCGTCGAAAAGACATGGCTAATTAATTTTTCACCTAATTTTTTTTCTCTCTTTATTTTTTTGGACAACATGAACTTTGGTCTGCTGAGTCTCGCATCGAAACAGCTTTCGGCGGCAACAACAAGAACCGCGCGGTTGTCGCCGTTCGGCCAGTCCGTGGCGGCTAACACGGCAGTGTCGGGCGTGTCGCCAGTGCTCGGGTTCTTGCAAAGAAGATGGGCAACTAGAGGTGGTTTTAGAGGAGGTAACTTGGGTAACACATACCAACCAAACACGTTGAAAAGAAAAAGAAGATTGGGGTTTCTCGCAAGAATCTGCACAAGAACAGGTCGGCGCATCTTGAAAAGAAGAAAATTGAAGGGAAGATGGTTCCTTACTCATTAAATCTTCTCCATATAGTACACAGCATATCCATCCTGGACCTTTGGCACATAATAGATCCGGAATCGGTCCAACCCAGCGTCCAGGAACTCGGATAATAGGCCTGTTTCTCGCAGCTGAAGCCCCACCAACACCCCGGTTTCCGGCCCGGCCAACGTCTCTATCGACCGCACCAGATACGGTATCAAGTACGGATTGTATATAGTATCACAAGTGATGATGAAATCTGGATGTTTGTCCATGACTTCTTGTATGGCCCGTGTGTCCTGCTGTTCCCAGTCGTAAACAACAGCGTCCAATCGCGGCGCTTTCTCCGATCTGGGATGATAATCTGTTTCTATGGTTGACGAATAAAAACCGTCTCCGTTCGTGATTATATTGCTTTTCAGTAGCTTCATTACTCCCTGTTGGTCGGTGCAAACATACTGGCGACATTGTCTGCCTATCGTGCACGCCACAAGCCCAGATACTCCGGATCCAAGCTCAAGCACGGTAGAGCCCTTAATGGCGCTAAAAACCCGGTTTCCTCGCTGAAAAAGCCACTCAACAACAACCTTACTTGCCGACCACGTCACAAACCCCGTTGTTCCGTCCTTGTTGTTGCTATTCAACGCAGAAATCGACTGCTTGATCAAATACTCTTCATCTCCAATATTCAGCCGCAGTTCGTCCTTTCGAGCTATATATCCCAATGACAAGCTCTCAGGAGCAACGTTGTCCATATACATCTCAAACACATGTTCCTCGAAGCTGTCACGATCAATGACCTCAAACAGAGAAGTGTCTACTATCATGTACTTTTACACTAATTTTTTCTGCGGCTCTGCGGTTTCTGCTTATTCATGATTAGATCGTTATAAAATGCTCTATGCTTTTTTCTTACCATCAACATCCTCCAAAGAAAGGTTCTTCAACATCTGATTGGCCTTGATGAACGTTCCCGTGGCATTACTCGTGTCCAGATTCAGGTTGGTCATGCTCTTCGGACTGGCTATGCCAAGCGACGGGTTCAAAACTCGGCCTGGACTCGAAACGTAGCCTGGAGCAGGATGGTCCACCATCTTCTCATCCATCAGGTCGCCGTCCAAGTCCTCGTCTGCGTCCACGTCGAAATCATCAACGTCCTCCTCGTCAACATCGTCAACGTCGTCAACGTCGTCAACGTCGTCAACGTCCTCCTCGTCAACATCGTCAACGTCGTCAACGTCGTCAACGTCGTCAACGTCCTCCTCGTCAACATCGTCAACGTCGTCAACGTCGTCAACGTCGTCAACGTCCTCCTCGTCAACATCGTCAACGTCGTCAACGTCGTCAACGTCGTCAACGTCCTCCTCGTCAACATCGTCAACGTCGTCAACGTCGTCAACGTCGTCAACGTCCTCTTCGTCAACATCGTCAGCATCCTCTTCGTCAACATCGTCCCCTTCGTCCTCCTCGTCGTAGTCGTCGTCCAGCTCGTCCTCGTCTTCGTAAACGTAGTCAGGGTCCAGGTTCTCGTCGTAGTCGTCAAACGACTCGTCCAGCGGGAAATCGCTTCCCTTCGACGTTGGAGACCGCGAGAAAAAGCCCCCGAGTCGCTGGGCGTTGGACCCAGCACTCGAGAGATCCTCTCTGCTCTTTAGCACGTCAGAGTCGCTGTCTTCGTCAGTCAGGTCGTCAACATCAAGAACAGGACTTCTCCAAAAATTCACATCACTATACTGATTTATGGTATCCTGCGGAGCAAAGTTCCCTTCCTTGGTACCAGAGATCCTCACTGGAGGGAAAAACTGGTCAACAAGCTCTCCAATGGAAACGTAGGTCGACTTGTACCCTGCCATCTCTAGCAGCTCCAAATGGACATCTCCATCTGGATTGATGGTGAAGATCCTCGACGATGGGATTCCAACAGTCCGGTACGAAAGCGCATCGGTGATCCGGTTACCAAATCCAGCATAGAATGGTGTATACTGGTCGTCGAACGATCGATTGCCGATAATCTCAAGAGACGGTGAAGGAATTCCCTCCTCAGGTTCGGAAACAGGCATCAATGGTACGTTTGGTTTTGTGGCAGAGGTGCGCTTGTAAAGAGTCTTGATGTCGTTCAGACACGCCATTTTGAACACCTCTGGTTTCTTCAACACGATTTCACGCTTCAAAGCGGCAATCGTTCTATCTGGAGACAGAATCACCGGGCCAACAGGCAGTTTGATCCCGTCTTGGACAATTCCATTCAAATAGGAACGCGTGGAATCGGCAAGCCCAACAGAACGGGCAGTCAGGTACAAAATATTGTACCCGTTAAATTCAATATCGTGAAACAACTTGGCCACACCAACATGGGTCCAGTCTCTTCCCAGCATGGTCAAAACGTGTCCGAGAGCATCCGACTTGGTGATAGTACCATCTATATCCGAGATCACGATCGGAACGTTGTGTTTCCAGAGGAAAAGCTTGGCGGAAACCAAGGCTCTGCCTTTATTAACACTGAATTGCAGATCGTTTTCTCCTGGCTTCAATCCCAAACATTTGAGTTGTTCGGAGGTCAGTCTTAGCGTTTTGAAATGGTTGTCCTGTTGGGTCTTCACGGTATTTGTATCTATGTCAGATATTATGGAGGATGCAGAGGAAGCTGGAGACTGTGGACTAGCCGGCAGCTCCAGACTTGTTGAATCGTCATCCACGAGATCGTCAGAACTGAGGATCCGGATGTTGCCCTGCATGTCCTTATCTATGAGGTTGTTGATGTCGACGTCTTCTCCGAACTCGTCTATCAGGAGCTGGCGAATCACCGCGTCGGAATCGTGGATATTTTGGTCGTTGCTCTTGTAGCCCTGCATGTCCAGCATGATATCGCCGTTTGCCTCCACTTTGGACGGGATGTTCTTCTTGATCAGTTTGCTCGAGATCTTCTTGGCCCGATCAAACGATGTGGCTGTGCTTGCTTTGCGGATGTTGGAGGGCGAAGTGCTTAGGAGCGCGGAATCGGACTGAGCAGAGGGCAACGACGCGCTGAAGCTGTCATTTGCGCCCTCTCCGATGTCTAGGTATTCAGGCTCCTCACCTGGAAGCGCCACGCTTGGCTCATCTGTCTTGGGACTGCTTCCCGGAGAACTAACGGGACTTAGCACGGGGGACGTTTGGAGATCTGGAGGGATATATCCGTCGGTTTCAAACACGAAAACTGCCTCCCCGCCATCTCCCAACTTCATGGGCAGGTCGGTGATCTCGCCGTTGACTATAAAGTCCACCTTCTTTTGCGAAGGTCTCAACAGTTGGAATTTGCCAAATCGCACATGGAAGGGCGAGCACGCCAGCTCTCCGTCCGGCTGCTCGACCACGATCACATCGATGGCGCCAGACAACGTGGCTGGGTTGATGGAGCTCCATGTTTTGGAGACAGACCCAATTGCTCGTCCAACGTACTGCATGGGAAAAGAAGGGAATTTATTTGTTGTAGAAATTTATCACGACATAAATTTTTGTGAGGGGGGCACCTAAAACCGGTGGGCAGCGAGAATTTGGCAGAAACGCGATTAATCCGGAGGGGGAGACGATCAATGGCCATGTTGGAGTAGTGGAGGAAGTATTTGGCGTTTAACGTGTTAGTTGGCGCTAATTTCGTACGAGCAACCCACATAGCTTCCCAAATGGCTATTTATTATTGGGCATTTATTAAATATATAACGGTGATCACATATCTACTTCTACTATACTCGTCATAACTTACAATGCGTCTATTCCACTCTACTCACTCTACTTACACTCCTCAATGCTCGTAGTCTTCACCTGTTCGATCGACCCGTCGGTCTCAAGACTGTTGCAATAGTTGTTGATCAGACTGCTCATGACCAGGTTCTCATACTTGGAAGGCTGAATAGGCAGCTTGAAGTGTTTGGCCCAGTCTTTCTCGGTCTCTGTGAGTTTTGCGCTAGGGTTGAGCTTGAGCTTCTCGTCATTATCGTGTTTTATTTGCTGTTTCCATTGGTTGACCTTGGCAACCTCTCTGGAGAGGTTCCGTTGGTAATAGTTGAGGTTTCCAAGAGTGTGGTTGAAGTTGTCAACACCTTCGTTGAGGTTTTCCACGGTCAACTTCATCGAAGCCAGAGTTGCACCGGTCAGCTCCAAACACAGATCCTGTTCGAGTTTCGGACTTAACTCCTGGACTTTGAGGTTGGAAAGATGGTTGTTTTTGATCTTCAATGGCAATTCTTCAAAGATGTTTCTGTAGGTGAGTCTGCTCTCGTACAGGTTCTTGGAAACGAATCTTTGGTCGGACTTCCAGGCCTTCATGAAAGATTCGCTCAATTTGAAGGCCTTCAAGTTAAGAAGTCCATCCATGGATTTCAAGGCGTCGAAAACAAGAACTATCACAGGAGTCGAGTCTCTGTTCTCCTCGACGTTGTGGTTTTGCAAATTAATGATTGACTCAATCAAAGACTGGCTCACAAACTTGCCTCCGTTGGTGGTCAAAAACCAACCCAAAATCTTGACGCCGGAGTTGGTGATGTTGAGTTTGGCAAGCACATCGCTCTGGTATTTGGAATTGGACGTTTTCAGGTTGAAAATCTCGTCATTTGTGTAGGAGGATGGGAATTGGAAGGCATGGGACGTCTTTATTATGGTGTGTTTTTTCTCTGCTGTTTCATCGGAAATGGCGTCGAGTCCAAACAAAGCGCCAGATTCAGTTTCTGGATACGTGTCTGCGCCGATTTTGCTGATCTTTAAGGCCACACTGGCACTGATCTCCACGGAATAGCTCATTGACGATGGGAGAGAAGAAATAACTTGAAAAAAATTTTCCGCGTGTGTGATACACTACAAAAGCGTTGGTTGAGTTATAAAAAAAATGGAAAATAACTGAATTAATTATCATAATTTCAAATGTCTGATAAAGTCGAACAGGTTGCTGATGCGTTGCAGAAAACGTATTTGGATGAGGTCACTGGAGAACAGGTTTCCAAATCTGAGTTGAAGAAGAGACAAAAACTGCGTTCTTTGGAGGCCAAGAAGGCAGAAAAGGCCAAGAAGGCCGCAGAGACTGCCCCTAAAGTTTCCAAGAAAAAAGACGATCTTGCCAACTTGAACCCTAACCAGTACTTTGAGATCCGTTCTGCCCAAATCGACGAACTTAGAAAACCTCACACCGAGACTAACCCTTACCCTCACAAGTTCAATCTTTCTATGAGACTTGACGAGTTCAGACAAAAGTACTCTTATCTCAAAAAGGGCGAGACTTTGCCGGAAGAGAAGGTCAGCATTGCGGGTAGAATCATGGTCAAGAGAGAGTCTGGCTCGAAACTAAAGTTCTACAACCTTGCTGGTGAGGGAACCAACGTCCAAGTTATGGCTCAAGCCCAGGACGCTATTGGAGATTACCAAGAGATGCACGAGATTCTTAGAAGAGGTGACATCATTGGTGTTGAAGGTTATCCTGGTAAAACCAACCCTGCCAAAGGTGGTGAGGGAGAACTGTCTGTTTTTGCAACCAAGGTCAAGTTGTTGACTCCATGTTTGCACATGCTTCCAACCGAGCACTACGGTTTCAAGGACCAAGAGTCCAGATACAGAAAGAGATATTTGGACCTGATCATGAACAAGTCCACCAAGGACACCTTTGTGACCAGATCCAAGATCATCTCGTACATCAGACGGTTCTTGGACAGCAGAAAGTTCATTGAGGTCGAAACTCCAATGATGAACGTGATTGCTGGAGGTGCTACCGCCAAGCCTTTCATCACCCACCACAACGACCTGGACATGGACATGTACATGAGAATTGCTCCAGAGTTGTTCTTGAAGGAGCTTGTTGTTGGTGGAATGGAGAGAGTCTACGAGATTGGAAGACAATTCAGAAACGAGGGTATTGACATGACTCACAACCCAGAGTTCACCACTTGTGAGTTCTATGAGGCGTATGCTGATATGTACGACCTGATGGATACCACCGAGCTGTTGTTCTCCGAGATGGTCAAGGAGATCACCGGAGATTACAAGGTCAAGTATCACCCTGAAGGTCCAGAAGGTAAGGAGTTGACTTTGGACTTCTCGAGACCATGGAAGAGAATCAACATGATCGAGGAGCTCGAGAAGGTGTTCGACGTCAAGTTCCCTCCAGGAGACCAGTTGCACACCGCCGAGACGGGCGAGTTCTTGAAGAGTATTCTGATCAAGCACAAGCTGGACTGTCCTCCTCCATTGACCAACGCTAGAATGCTGGACAAGCTTGTTGGCGAGCTCGAAGACACCTGTATCAACCCAACGTTCATCTTTGGCCATCCTCAGATGATGTCTCCGTTGGCCAAGTACGACAGAAACATTCCAGGTCTTTGTGAGCGTTTCGAGGTTTTCGTTGCAACCAAGGAGATTTGTAACGCTTACACCGAGTTGAACGATCCATTCGACCAAAGACAGAGATTCGAAGAACAGGCCAGACAAAAGGCCCAGGGAGACGACGAAGCACAGCTTGTTGACGAGGTGTTCTGTAACGCTTTGGAGTACGGTCTTCCTCCGACTGCCGGATGGGGTTGCGGTATTGATAGATTGGCCATGTTCTTGACCGACTCCAACACCATCAGAGACGTTCTTCTGTTCCCAACTCTGAAGCCAGACGCTTTGGTCAAGGGAGAGGAGAAGAAAGAGTAGCTTACTGGTTAATATGAAATAATTAAGCGATACAATTAGTAGACACATCTATTTCCCACGGAGCTGTCCGTGTCTCTTCATTTCGAGTGCGCGCTTGTATGGGGGGTCTGTAGGCATCTGGACCGGGTCCAGGCTGATCTTGGCGGTGGAGTCGATGGAATACGATGCGTCCGAGTCGTAGCTGGTCAGCAGGTCTCCGCACGCCACGAACGGCGCCACCTTCCGCTCCTCAAAGTCCACGCGCAGGTCCTCGTGCAACTTGGCGCGGCCGATGTCCATGTCCTGGAAAAACTCCTCTGTTGAGAGTTCTGGTTGCAAATTAGGAGTCCATCCTTTTCTGGGCTTGTACCCGATGCAAACAATGAACGACTCGAGCGACGTTCCTCTGGACGCACGCGGTTTGGCACACACCACCTTCTCGAACAGAAACCCGAGCTGACTGTACAAAAGGTCGATGTCTCTTCCTCTGAAGATTTTGGCCACAAAAGTGCCCCCTTCTTTCAGCAAACACGTTGCGAGTCGAAGAGCACACAACACAAGCTGCGCCTGGATATACTCATCAAGATCGTGCAGACCGGTCACGTCTGGAGCGCCGTCAGAGCACACAAAGTCGGCCTTCTGGCCACCAAAAATACTGAGGATCCGGTCCAAGGTCCGCGGATCGGTGATGTCTGCCTGCAACGAGGTGACGTTATCAATGTGGGCCATTGGCTGGAGGTCCACGGCGACGATCTGGGCGTCGGAACGAGGCTCCTTGAAGATCTCGCGGCTCAAAACCTGCGACCAAGATCCGGGAGCAGCGCAAAGGTCCACCACGCGGTGCACGCCGTCAAACAGCCCAAACTGCTCGTTCAGCTGCAACAGCTTATACGCAGACCGTGCTCTCCAGCCCTCCTCCTTGGCCTTTCTGTAATAAACGTCTCTTTTGTCCTTACTGCTCTTTCCCATACTAAGAGCCTGTACCAGAAGAATAACTTTTTTTCCTTGAAAAATTTTATTATACACCATGTTGACGGCCAGCTGTTTGCGCACTGCGCGCCGGCAGTTTTCGCTAAGCGCCCGGAAATTGAACATCAATAAGCAGCTGGACGAGCTGGCGGCTCTCAAGTTGCAAGGGTCCAAGGTGCCAACGGTGGACTCGGTCAAGGCGGAGAAATCAAGACTGGTGGACGCTTTTGGCCAGTACGAGCCGCAGGTGCTGACGACCGAGGAGGTGCTTCCCGGATCGTCCAGACCGCTTCCGATCAACGCCGAGCTCAACTACTACGCTCCATTGAAACACGAGGTCAAGCACGGCCATCTCAAGGCAGAGATAGTGTTCAAGGCGTTCGAGCCAGCAAACCTCGAATTCATCGCCGACTTTGCGCTCAGAGTCGCCTACTACCTGGGTCTGCCAGCCACGGGCCCGCTGCCGTTGCGCAAGAGAACAGAAAGATGGACGGTTATCAAGTCGCCGTTCGTGCATGCCAAGACAAAGGAGAACTTTGAAAGACACACCCACGGCCGCAAAATCAAGATCTGGGACGCCGACAACGAGGTCATCGACATCATGCTCAGTGTTCTGCAGAAACACTCCATGTGGGGAGTTGGAATGAAGTGCAACATGTACGTCCAGGAGCCGTTGGGCATGGGTAAAGCCATGCAAAAGCTCTCGGACAACGCAAAACAGGTGTCGGATCTCTCGTCAACGTTGGATACGTTGCACGAGGAGTCCGACTCTCCAGTGGCCCAAAAGGTGGTGGAGTTGTTGAAAGACCCGCTTTTTGCACAACATCTGACCTCCGAACAGTTGGAACAGGTCCAACAGAAGGCCTCAAACTCCGACTAGTCGGCCTGTATATAAAATATAACTTCTCATTAGCTATGACTATCCGTACATGAGGTCCTGTTCCTCCTCGCTGTCCTCCAACTCCAGAGTCTTCTTCTTCGTCACATCCACTCTACACAGCGGACAAGTTCTGTTCAGCTTGAGCCAGGGCCCTATACAATCCAGATCAAAGTAGTGCTTCACATTACATGGTAGCTCCACAATCAACGGGTACTTTTCCTGGTGGAATTCGTTTGTACAGATCGGACAGCACTTATCCTTGGGTATCTGTGAAAGTTTCACGCGCTCTAGTGTATCCAGGAACTCGTCGTCGAGACCTTTCTGCTCCCCAGGAAGCATAACCGCGGTTGGGTCTAAGATGGTACGAACCAACGCCTCCATCATTTCTGGGTCCTGTTGCTGTTGTCTGAGTGTTTCGAGGTACTCGCTGATAATTTGGGGCTGAGACCCGGTCTGGGATCCGGTCAGAAACGAGTCCAGCACGTCTCTTAGTGTTGGTTGACGGGACATTGATAAATAACTCGGCGAAAATCTTTAGTTATCTGAAAAATTATGTTTGACGATCAGAAAGGTCTCAGAATAGCATACGAGGAGGCAGCCCAGGGTAAGTTTTAGGGTCTGATAAGCTAACCCCAGGTTACAAAGAGGGAGGTGTGCCTATTGGATCGTGCTTGATCCACGAGGACGGCAGAGTTCTCGGTAGAGGCCATAACATGAGAGTCCAGAAAAACTCGCCAACACTGCATGCAGAGATCTCGTGTTTGGAGAACTGCGGCCGTCTGACGGCTGATGTCTACGCCAAATGCACTGTAAGTGACTTACCACCGCTCTACTAACCACCAGCTCTACACCACACTGTCTCCTTGCTCCATGTGCACGGGCTCTGCCCTGCTATTTAAGATCCCAAGACTTGTGCTCGGGGAAAATGTTAACTTCCTGGGAGCCGAGGACTGGCTGCAGAAAAACGGTGTCGAGGTGATCAACCTGGAAGACGAGGAATGCAAGAAGATCATGGCTACTTTTATCAAGGAGCGTCCTGATATTTGGAATGAGGACATCGGAGTGTAGTGTTTGCTATCGTATGTATGGTTTAACAGAGGTTTTCAGTTTTCGGAGGTTTCGGAGGTTATTTGGAGTCTGATTATACCTGTTGCTATGGTTCAAACTTTGGTAAAATTCACCGGGGAAACAAATACATAACTCAAGAAAGCAGAGATGGTTATGTGATGCCATCTTTTGCACTACACATCACGTCCACTAGCCACATACCAGCCACATTATCCACACCTTACACCACCAATGCTATTTCCTCTTCGATCTTAATTTAAAATCTAATCAATAGTTCTTGTCTTCACAAATGGACAAAAAGTCGAATTCATCACGGAATCAGCCAAGCCAGCGGGATATGTCTGGTGAACATAGTTTTGTAAATTCCACTCCGAGCTCTTTACAAATCCAGTTACCCGGTCATGTTCATAACTCACGAGGAACAGTTGTTTATCAGCAGTCTGGCTATGTGAACTTGGTTGTTTCCCCCTCTCACTCAGATCATGATGATCCTGTTTTATTTGGTGGTTCCACTTCTGGAAGCAGAATTCCTGAGGATGATGAACAGAACCACCACGATAATCATCAGTCTGTACCCAATCGCAACAAGTAGAGGTGACGCGTTAGATCGCGAGATAGATGGCCGTGTTAACCGGCAAACGCAAGCCATTTTCGGGATCGGCGATGGAGGATCAAAACTTAAAGCTGCTACAAAGGCCGAGTCAATTTCTCAGCGGTATGCCATGACGCGCCACCTACTTACAGAGCTGGAAAAGAGAACGCCTCATAATTATGAACAGGAAAAGATCCCCAGGTTGTTTTACCATCCAACCTGGCTTGCAACGCTACGCAACTCAAATTTGGTCAAGTTATTCCATACACGTTATCATGACACTGAATTGGAGAAGGCGATGCCGGATGAAATTTACGATTGTCCTTCGACAGCTGACAACCCGTATGAGGCAGTGACGTATGCTGAATGTGTACGATGCAAACACAACTTTCGATTCCATGGACACACCAATGCACGCAAAGATACAAACATTGCAAACCACTGTAGGAACCATCTTTCTCGGGTTCCATGACCCTCTTCTCAACGTACTATTGAGGTTGACTTTTTTGGGAAAGGAGAACCATTTGAACATCTTGCGCGTATTTTTCGCAACAAGGAGGAGAGGATGCGGTATGACTTGCTCATGTATTTCTGGAAAGATGGTATCACGTTCAACAAAGCGGATTCTCCTAGTTTCATTTCATTTCTTGCTTCATTTTACCAGTTCGTCGTTCAAGAGACTACACATGATCATCGCATAACAGGTTCAAGACAGGAAGCTGCCAAATTTTGTTTCAAATACCTCCGGAAAAGCAAATGGATTTCGAAAATGGCTGACAGATCTTATGATTGCATGAAAGAGGGAATCGTTCAACTACTAGCAACAAAGAATGTGTCACTGTGCGTGGACATTTGGAAAAATTACAACTCTAGATACCTAGGGGTGTTGATGTACAGCGATTTCGGACACGTATTACTCGCGTTCGAAAACTTCTCTGACCGACGTGAAACAGCAACTGAAATGGCTGATGCAATTGGTGAAGTTATTAAACAGCACAAGACTGAAGAAAGAGTTTTAGCAATAACATTTGACAATTTTAGGGAAAACCCAAAAGCTCTCTACGTGTATCGTGATAACAAAGATCCGACCCGTTGCTTTATTCACAGAAAAACTGAAAGGTTTAAATCCAAGCTTCCTCAACGCAATTGGTTTTTCCTGCTCGAAATTTAGTGAATACTTCTTGCTTTTGAAGATGAATTAGTGATTGCGGGATCCTTCTTTGATGTGAATGATCGCAACCAGGTACAGTTTTCGACCATCAATTGGAAACATCAAGACATTCGACAATTTCCGTACAAATCCAAGTCTTTGGAACGCTCTAAGATAGAGATTCTTTTTGGCTCATCAAAGAGATTCCTTGTTCAAATGCTGCTCTTGAGAGTACGTTCAGCCTCGCCAACAACGTGATTGGATCAAGAAGGATCAATCTCGGCGATGAAAAGCTTTTAAAACTAATGTGTATTGTCTCGTTTGTCAATTCTATCCCGGAGCTGCAAAAATTGGAACATCAATTTCGCTTTGCAATTGAAGATGAAGACAATGAGTGCCCTCGTATGGAGATTGAGGATATGTCGGATGTTTGAAACCATTTACTGTTGATTATATAATATATGGTGTCGATTAAGACTCAAACACTACATCTCAGAAACAAGGCTGTGCAAAATATCCAAAGACCATCTCTGAAAAATAATTTTAGTTATTTAGACAATGTCTAAACGAACAGGCACCAGTCCCGAACGGCCTGCAAAACGGGCCCGCACGTCCAAAATAAGGCCTGGTTATACCGTTTACATCAAGAATATCAACGACAAACTTCCGGCCACGAAACTGAAACGCAACCTGTACATTCTTTTCTCCTCGGTTGGAGATGTTATCGCTATAAACTGTCCTAACAGAGGTAAATACCGGGGCCAAGCATGGGTGGCCATGAGCTCGCTGGAAGAGTCCAAGGCCGCAATTGCAGATTTCAACGGGTTCGCATTCTTTGGCAAACCGCTCGCTGTCGAGTACAGTGACCAGAAGAGCCACACCATCGAGAAGCTCGAACGCCAATCAGAGACACCCGGTTATACGTAATTGTACTAATATTATCTAACGAGTTATGCGAACTATCTACCGTCTTCCTTTGCTCAGTCGCCAGTTCTCCTTCGGATCGTTTCTGTTGAACAACGGCTGGATCTTCTCGTTCTTCTTTTTGGAGCTCATGTTTCCCGGCTCGACGCTGCGGAAGAACCGCGGCGCGTACGTCACCAGCCACTTGGGGTCGATCTTGGTGACGCAGTGCATGTACTCCTTGTTGGTGAGCACCAGCGTGTGGTAGATCACGTGGTCCACGCCGTGCTTCTTGAACAGCGACGAGGATGGGTGCACGTGCACGGGCGTGTTCTCGACCAGGGTGCGGTACGAGCCCTCCTCGGCGTCGTGGACAGCTGCTCGTTTGGCTGAGTTCTTGAAGAACCCAGAAACAAACGCCTTGCGGATCTGGTCCCAGTTGCCCATGCAGCTGACGATCGACGACCGTGGCCGCCGCTCCTTTCTGTCGAGCTTGTCCATGATCTGGATGAGCTGTTTGCGCACGTCTTTGGCCCGTCGCATCGACTTTTCGTGGATGTAATTGTCCTGGCACCAAACACGCGAGTTCTCTGCGTCCGACCACTTATTATACACGTTCAAAAAGGTCAGATGGTCGCCGTTGTAGTCGTGGAACCGCGCCTTGGCCTTGTCGGCCTGGTCCCGCTTTTCTCGCGGCCGGTAGAAGATGTCAGGAACAGAAAGCATGGCGATGATGGTGATCACCTCGTCCGAACACCCAAACTCGATGGACTTGATCAGAGTCTTGGACAGCAGAGGTTCCATCGGGAAGAAGGCCATGCGCTGGCCAAAGTCTGTGAGCTTCCCGTTCTCGTCCAGAGCATCCAGAATGTACAGTTCTTCCAGCGCCGTTAAAATGGAGTTCTGCTTCGGCTTGTCCATGAAATTGAACTCGATCACGTCGTCGATCCCCATCGCCTTGAGCATCAGAATCGTGTACGACAGGTTTTGTCGCTGGATCTCGGGAACGGTGTTGGAACCCATCTCGTTCAGATATGCGTTCTTGGTGTATAACCGATAACATATTCCGGGACCTGTTCTTCCTGCTCTTCCGGATCGCTGGTCTGCCTGGGCGCGCGAAATGGGCTGCACGATTAACGAATCCATCCCCAGCTTTGGATCATACGCATTGACCTTCACGTAGCCCGGATCAATCACATAATAGATCCCGTCAATCGTGACCGACGTTTCTGCAATATTGGTAGCAAGAACAACTTTCCGTTTTCCAGCAGGCGTGGGCTCGAAGATCCGGGTCTGCATCTCCGACGGCAGCGAAGAGTAGATCGGCAGGATGATCAGCTCGGCAATAGAAGGATTTTCTCCGCGTAAAAGACTCATCTTGTCCACCAAAGTTTCGCAGCAAGTATCAATTTCCTCCTTACCGGTCAAAAACACCAGAATATCGCCCGGCGGGTTGTTTGTGTGCACATCAATGACAGTCTCGATGCAAGAAGAGATATAGTCCAGCTCGGGCTCCTTGGTGTAGAAGATCTTGACCGGAAACGTGCGTCCCTCGATCTTGAACACTGGACACTGTTCAAAGTAGTTGGAGAACTTGGCCGAGTCCAGCGTGGCGGACGTGACTATCAGCTTCAGCCCGCCCTTGCGTCTGATCACGGCCTCCCGTAACAGCGCAAACAGAACGTCTGTGGCAATGGTTCTCTCGTGGGCCTCGTCCAGCATAATCACAGAGTATTTGGTCAGGTCCGGGTCGACCAGCGCCTCGCGCTGCAACATTCCGTCCGTCATGTACTTGATGATGGTCTTGTTGCTGGTGACGTCCTCAAACCGGATCGTGTATCCGACCTCCTCTCCGATTTTGCACCCAACTTCCTGTGCAACTCTCCGGGCAACACTGGTAGCTGCCACTCTTCTGGGCTGTGTGCACGCAATCACGCCCTTCATGGCGAACCCTTCCTCCGCCAGATACTGCGTGATCTGGGTGGTCTTTCCCGAACCTGTTTCTCCAACAACCACGAGAAAGTCGTTCTCTGCAACCAGTTTGACCAGATCTGCTCTTTTCTGGAAAACAGGCAGCGACTCGCGCTGTTCCCGAATGCTCATGTTGGACCGTGGACCGTACTCCTGTCGTTTGGCCTGTTTCTGCCACTCCTGGTACGCCGATTGTCTGGCCTGGTCCCCGTTTAGCCTGGGCATCATCTTTTCCAACGGGTCTCCATTGACCCTGCTCCGCTCCTCAAGCCGCTTCAGCCGCTCCTCCTCGCGTTTCTGCTCGAGTTTCCTCTGCTTCGCCTCGCTCATGAACTTCGAACCGTACTGAGCAACCCTTGTCATCGACCCTTCCGGGTTTTTCTTGACGGTCATGGCGGAATCGTTGGTTTCTGTCTTGAAATCCTTTCCTTTCAGAAAAGACGGCACCGTGTTGGCGAGCTCAATCTCGATCTCTTCATCCGACCCATCGCTCGACTGTTCGTCAACCTCCGCATACGGATCCTCCACGTCGTCTCTCGCCAGAGCCACCCGCTTGGCCCCAAAAGCGTGATTCAGCTGCGTCATCTCCCAGAGATCCAGCGTCTGTTTGCGTTTTTCGCCCCGGAAACTCTCCACGGGCGTCTCTTCAACCTCTTTTCCAGTTTTCTGGTCAATATTCTTCATTGATAGCGAGATCTTCCCGTCATCCTGCACTCTAATCACCTTCACATAAACTTCCTGGCCTGAACTGAGCACCTCGGATGGCGTCTGAAGTCGTCGGTTCCCGATCTGCGAAATATGACATAACCCGTCCTTCGACCGCTGGCCAGTGGACAGAGAAATAAAGGCTCCGAACGGCTTGATACTTCGCACCCGTCCGCTGTATATCTGACCTTCTTTTATCATTGATATATAACCTGGAAAAAAATTAAAAAAAAATAACCCATCCTTATCCGTTCATAACTGCCATAACTTCACGCCAGAGCATATGCACTAGCATAGCTCACGCTGCTGTCGTGGTACGAGGTCACAGAACTGCTCTGCGTGTACCCGAGCCAGTTGAAACTGCCCGCGGAATTGGTTTCCATCAGCAGCAAAAGCACGCTCAACGGCTTGGCTCCGCAGATAGTGTTTTCTGTGGCCTGCAAGTACTCTCTGAACGCCTTGTACGACGTCTGTGACGCGACCCGCATAGCCTCCTTGTCGAGAGCCTCGATGCTCTTGTAGATCGGCTGCCCCGCCACGCTCGAACTGGCTCTCAGGTCCTGTAGATCAGAAAGCTGTCCCGACGGGGTGTACGCCGTGTATCCGAACCGCGAGCCCCAATGACAAAAGTCCGTGCTAATCACAAACGCGTTCGCCGCGTCCTGAAAGTACGGCTCCAAATTCTCAGCCAATTTCCGCTCAAACGGCTCGTCAGAAGCACTCACCATGATTGGAACAATCGCAGGCACAGTCTGCCCGGCGTCGGCGAAAACCTTGTGCAAGAACGGCATGTGCATCTCAAAGCTGTGCTCGTCTTCGTCCATGTCGGAACTCATGAGTCGGAACAGCTTTGCATCCTTGGCCACCAGTTCAGAGATCACCTGTCTGTCCACCGGGACATTGCCCAGGGGAGTCTCGTAGTAGTCGTATTTGGTGGTCATGACGCTGTGTTTGTAGTAAACGTGGTGCGAGGGCCCCATGATAAACACACGTTTGATCCCTGAGACGTCCAGAGCGTTGTATGTCTGTGCCAAGGTCTCCCCCGCATACGAATAACCTGCGTGGGGGCCGACAAGAAGCCTGGCTCCGGCCACAGACGGGGCCGCTTTGGACAGCCAGTGGTCCAATTGGGCGTCAAGCCGGGCGGCAGAGCCCGAGTACCAGGATCCGGCATGCGTGGCTGGTCGAATCGACATTGGCAAGGTGTAAAAGATAAGTTAATTTTATTTGTGAAGCAATACAATTTTACGAGAAAAAGATTATCTCTTTCAGTTTCCCTCCACATTATAAGATAACTCAGAGTACGGTTTCGAAAAAAGTGGTGGGGGGTAAGGAGCGTTGGTAGCAAACTCCATCTCACGCCAGCTCTCAACAAGGTACTCCTGGCACTCCTTGCTGAACTCGATAACGTCCTTCTGGTCAAACGTCTTGCCCTGTTTGTAGGCCTGCCACAGCTTTTTGCGCTTATCTGCTAGCACTCTTTCCAACTGGTGGAACCGGAAATCAAACCATTCCGTGTAGAACTCGTCGTGCACGGAACGGGGCAGGATGCTTGGACGCACGCTCGTCAGGCAGCTGTTGTCCAGCACAGGCGCAGCAGGATAGTATCCGGCCACAGTAGCGATTCTATTTGAGTTAGTGTTTGGCTTGGTGGCAATGTGTCTAATAACTCTGGCCTGTAGCAAGGTACAATAACCGGGACGAGCAATGTTTGGAATTACCAGCGGTTTCTCATCGCCCGTGATGATCACCGTTTCTCCACCCTTGTCCTGGGGACACTCCCACATCACCACACACGCAATTGAGGTCGAATCGTAGTGCTGGCCCAGAATAGAGCCTGTTTCCTCTGCCTTAAAAACGGTGTTTCCGTTCTCGTCCTTGGACGGCTCGTACAACGGGGCGTCTTTTGGGAGATCAAAGTCGGCAAGGGCCACGTTCACATGATTCACATCGTAGCCGTACGTGGTGGTAACTTCCATGCCAATCAGCTTGGAAAATATCTCTTTCAGCCGTGGATGGTCGTACACAGACTTAGTGAACGGAGCATGGCCTTCCTCGGGATATCCTGCTATGTGGAAGTCGTGGCGGTTAGTTTTGAGACTGAAATCCGGGTTAGTGAGCCTGGCGTACTTCTTGACCACCTTAGGCTGGAACGCTTCCCATTTCATGATATCTATGGCCTCTTCTGTGAGTAACGGAAATGGATAGGTAGCACCGAAATTATTGATCGGTTTGGTATGGGTCTTGGTGATGCCCAGTTCCTGCAGCGTGAACTTCTTGATTTCGTCGTAGTACTCGTCTTTCCAAGCCAGATGTTTGGCTGGATCAAACAGTTGGTCCGGGTTGAAGCTCGGATTGGCCTGGATCTTATCGAGAATAGCCTGCACCTCTCTATCCATAGTTTCCTGGGGAATATCCATGGAATGGGCCCCTGTCAAGTAATCTTGGCAAATCATTGTCTCTACTCCAAACCAGCGCACCTTGCTCCGTTTATATACCGTTTGGTGGCTAAACAAGATGCTCCGTTATCATTTCCGCAGCCGTATTGGGAATTTCCGAACTCGACCGTTTATCTCGATTAGATAATTTTTTCCACCGAATACGGCCGTGAATGGTTTCCCAAACAGAGCCCAGCAACGAGTTCCAGGTTGTTTCGCGGGCCAAGCGACCGCAACGGCCCGTCGACGTGTTTGCTCGGGCAAAGTCGAATCTTGCACGGCACGAAACAGCACTCAGCAAAAGCACGTTTTTTCTCGAGCTGGTTTCGAAACTCGACAGCTGGAAACTCCAAAACCGCACAGATTGGTCCTGTTTGCGGTGTCTCGCGCTCGGCCAGCCCGTTGAACACTCCCAGGCGCTTTACCAGCTCGCGTTTCTTAATCTACTCGCTAAAAGATACAATATCCGGTCGGTTTCGCTATACGATCCAGCATTCACCAAACAGGACGAGCAGTTGCTTTGTGATTTGGATTACAAAGTCGAGGAGTTCTTTGAGGAGAAAGAAACCGACTCTATTCTTTTCTACATCCCACACTCGCCAATAAGCCTGTTGGAAACGGTGTTCCTGACCCGGCCAAAATGGATCATCACTAACGATGTCTCTCTATACACAAACAAGTACACCTCGAAAGAGTACAAGGACAAATATCCGCAGTGTGCCACCATCTCGCACAATATAGGCCGTACAAAAGACGACGGGTTCACCGTGGTGGCCAGTAAGAAGAAAAAAGTGCAGGTGAAAACAGATTTCCCCAAACTCGCTCTTTCTGTCCAGAAACTCGGCCCCGACTCGTCCAATCAGTGGGGTAATGCATTCAGTGATCTCTGCTTGTATTTATTTAGCGCATGACAATACAAAAGTTGTTTCTATTAGCTCCTTTGTGGAGCTCTTTTTTCGGTAGCTTGATTTTCTTTTGACCAACACCGGTCCTTTTGTACAGGTAATAAGCGAGCTTGTGTGACTCGTGGTGTTTCACACACTCGAATCCAAGCGACTCCGTCAATTCAGAGAGCCGCGCGTTGTCGAAATAGCGCGAGTTCGTGATACACGGTAATGGTAGCACGAAAAATAAATACGGCTTCGTGGCCGGGTCTTTAAGAAACTGGGTTATCCTCACCATCATCTCGCCTCGCACGTCCGCATCAGGCACAAAGTTGACCACCAAAGAGCACGAGATCAGGTCAAACTTGTCCGAAGAGCTTTTTGGTAACGGCCGCTGCATAAAGTCCTGTTCGATGATCTCGGGCTCCTGCGAATGGAGATCAATCTTGACCACTTCTTTGAACAGTCCACACGTGGAAATGGCGTTTCGCGAGTGCAGGCAGCCGATCTCCAGCGCAACAGCGTTCTCTTTACTGTATCCCAGCTCTTTTAGCCACTGAACGAGCTTTTTCGAGGAATCGCCACCTCTTTGCAAGCTCTGGCCCTGTGTAGATGCTGCCTGGTACGTCTCGAGCCCGCCGCGTTTCTCTATTTCACCGTCAATCTTGCCCAGCTCCGAACACACCTGTTCAACTGATAAGCCTTTGGCAGTGAGTATTTCGGAGGAGGGAGTCTTGTTGACCACCAAGACCTTCTGGATGTGTATTTTGTTTTCCTCGTAAGCTGCCAGCAGCTTTGGATCGTGCGATCTGATGCTTTTTGCAACGTCCCGCTGGTCAACCGTGCATTTCCAGTGGTGTTCCAGAAACTTGGCCAATTGGGTTTTATTTTTCAGCAAAACATGAAACCGACGAATCAGCTGTCGCGCCCGCAGCGGCTTGAGCGTGATCTGGCGCTTAGTGGCCAACAGGCCTTTTCTCTTTTTGAGCATCTGGTGGAGTGCATAAAACTTAAAATTTTTTTGATTTTTTCAGAAATATTTTTGAGGCTGCAGATCAGATGGTTAGTGTTGCGCAGAGACTCATTTTGAAGCGCAAGAAGGCGCAGGGTAAGCGCCAGAAACAGAATAAGCGCCAGAAGTCCGGCTCGAAGGAGGCGCGGTTTGTTACCGAGGACAAACTGCAGTGGAAACCGGTGCAGGTTCCAGACACCCTGGACGACTACGAGGGGTTCTACGGGCTGGAGGAGATCGACGGCGTTGACGTGAAGGTTGAGGACGGAAAAGTGAAGTTTGTTGTTCGGGGAGAACAGGAGAAGGAGACAGAGACGGAGCAGGAGCAACCAGAAGAGACAGAAGAGCAGGAACCGCAAGAACAGCAGGACGAGACAGACTCTTCACCAGAAGCCGTCCAGGACGAGCTCGACTCGAATGTGTTTTCCTCCCTTACCGAGGATCTACCAGAGGACGTTGATATGCCCGAGTGGAGCTCGTTGCAGCTATCTGCGCACACTTTGCAGGGACTGCAGAAACTCGGCTTCACCAAACCCACAGAGATCCAGAAGACCACGATACCTCTGGCCATGGACGAAAAGGACGTGATTGGAAAGGCCATCACCGGGTCCGGTAAGACGTTGGCGTACGGAATCCCGATTCTCGAAAAAGCAGAAGCTACCAAAAAAGACCATCCAAACGGAATCATTTTTACTCCGACCAGAGAACTGGCCAACCAGGTTATGAAACATCTCCAGCAGTTGTTCAAGTACACGCCGCTTCCGGAGAAGTCGGTGATATCTTTGACGGGAGGACTGTCGATCCAGAAACAGGAGCGTTTGCTTGGGCTCAAGCCCAGAGTGATCATTGCTACTCCGGGCCGGTTTCTGGAACTATTGGAGAAAAAGACAGAAACGGCTGTCCAGCTTGCGTCTTCCGACATTTTAGTTTTCGACGAGGCCGACAGACTTCTCCAAGACGGCCATTTTGAGGAACTGACCAAGATCTTGGAGATTTTGTACAACCACCGTCCGAAACAAGGGTTTGCCAAATTCCAGTCGCTCGTGTTCTCTGCCACATTTTCCAAAGATCTCTTTGGAAAGCTGGCGAGATCGCACAAAACCTCCACCGACTCAGAAGAGGAGGTGATCAAGATGTTGTCGAAACAGCTCAAGTTCCGTTCCAAGCCAGAATTCGTGGACGTCAACCCTACAGAGACCATTGCCAACAGTATCACCGAGGCGATGATTCCATGCGGAGCCCAGGAACGTGATCTGATGTTGTACTACTTCCTGACGATGTTCCCCGGCGTGACACTTGTGTTTGCGAACGCCATTGACTCGGTGAAACGTCTTGCTCCGATGCTCAACAGTCTGGGAGTTCCGTCTGTTTCGCTGCATTCGTCGATGATCCAGAAACAGCGGTTGCGGTCGCTGGAACGGTTCAAGGCCAACTCCGAGAAAGCCATCAAGGAAAACAAGTCTTCTGTGCTAATAGCTTCGGATGTTGCTGCCAGAGGACTGGATATTCCAGGAATCCACCACGTTGTTCATTACCATATTCCGCGCACAGCAGACACGTACATCCATCGGTCGGGAAGAACCGCCAGAGCCGGTAAGGAGGGTGTTTCGATAATTCTGTGTTCTCCTAACGAGGCATCTGGGCCATTGAAACAGCTGAGGAAAACCGTTTCCAATAAAGACGTGGATGATATGAAGACTCTGCCTTTGGAGATGGAGATTCTGGACCAGCTCCGTGAACGACTGGAGTTGAGCGCCAAGCTCGCACAGGCAGAAATCAACAACCAGGTGGTGAATAAGGAAAAATCATGGATAGAAAAAGCAGCAGACGAGCTGGGAATCGAGGACCTGAGCGATCTGGAAGAAGACGACTTCCTTAAAAGAGACAGAAAGAGAAAGGAAGGAAAACAGTTATCGAAACAGGACTCGAAAGTTCTCAGAGCACAGTTGAAACAGCTACTTAATCAGCCACTCAGAAAAGGGGGCAGAAGATCGTACATTGCAGGAGGTTTGACCAACGTGGCAGATATCCTTGCTCGTGGATCCCAAAGCAACATCCTCGGATACAACCACAAAGACGCCCTGGACGTGTTGAAGAAGAAAAAACGCAATGCTTGAATGTAATTAGTCACTATAAAATTCGTCTTCATCGTCAGAAACCAATTGCTCGAAATTGACCTTGTATCTAAGAAGAGCACCGATTCCACCGAATCCCTTCACGAACTGCGCTCCTTCGGAAGATCTATCAGTAACAAATTCAAGCGTAGCACCGTAATTTTTGTAGTTTTCAGCCAACCATTCCAAAAATGGCATTTCGTCCACAATCTCCATCTCTTGACCAGTGGCCTTGTCGAGCATGTAAGTCTTATCTTCCTGAGAAGGAGAAGCGTGAGCAATAACCTCGTTTCCTTCAGAATCCTTCAATGTGTATCTAACGGTGTCAAGACCCTCATAAACGATGATGATCTCACAAGCTCCCAAATCAAGAGCCTTAAGCGTATCGTCAATTCCGTAACAGAATTTACCGGTATCTTGCGAAATCTCGTCAAAGTACTGTGTGATCAGTTTCTTTTCCTGGACAAACTTGACGTTGGACAAAGTCTCAGCAGACAACTCGATGGCCTGGTTAAATCCGTTTTCTCCTCCGTAAGAGATATCAACCAACTTCAAAATCTTGCTTTGCAATCTACCGTCAAACATGTCGGATCTACTCAGCTCGGTCTTGAAATCAGCACTACCGGCCAGAATCAATCCAGCAACAGTCACCTTGTCGTTAGAAATGAAGTTTTGAACAGCCACCTCGGCGACTTTTCTGACATAGTTGTGTCTCTTCTCGTCTCTCAATCTGGAGAAACGCAATGCCGATTGTCCACCTCTTCCATGCTTCTTCGGCAGATCAACTGTGAATTTGTGCAAAACTTCTCTGGTGTTACCGGACAGAGTACCAAACAAGGCTCCATTACCGTCCATCACAATGAAACCAAATCTGTCGTCACTTTCAAGCAATTCGGACAGCGCCTCGGTGTGGAACTTGTTATCACACAAATACAGCGAGGTATTGATAGGCTTGAAAGGCTCGAATCCAATGGTGAGCTTCTTTTCTTTACCTTGCTCAGTAATAACTTCACCACAGTACACAATCAATCCGTTTGGAGGAACAGAATTGTACAACTTGAGTTTCTGCTGGGTAGATGTGATTGCAGAAAGCACAGAAAGTCTGTTCACACGCGATTTGATGTTGGAAGCGGTTCCGTACTCATCAGTCAACATTTTTTGGATCATTGGGATCTGACCTTTTGGAGGAATAATCAGAGAAATCATAGAGGTACCGTTACCTCTGGCCTTTTCCAGCGATTTGATCAATTTCTTGACCTTCCACATTTGGACGTTCTTCTCCGCCTCATCTTCAGTGATTGTTGGCGCCATGTTGTAAGAATAAAATTAAACAAATGTTTGCCTTGACGAAAATTTTTCATACTGCGTCGGTTGCAAATTTGGGTGTAGTGGAGAGGAAGTTTGGCTGGGGAAACTGTAGTGAAAAAAGTGTTGATAGAATGGTTGTAATCATCGGAGTATACTTATCTGCTTATCTGCTCTTCCCTGTCGATGGAACCGCCCGTTTAATCACCCTGTAGTTTCCCCTGCTTTGCGTCGATCGACCCTAGTCTCTAATTTTTTTTCTCCTGCCCAATATCTTTGTTACTCATGTCTGAACCCGTCGCTGCCCCAGCAACATCCGAAAAACAGCTTTCCAACAAGGAGTTGAAGGAACTCAAGAAGAAGGAGAAGGCCGCCAAGCGCGCGGCTGCCAAGTCGGGTTCCGGACCCGGCTCGGGAGGCTCAGAGTCCGCTCCAAAAGCAAAGGACTCTAACGGCAAGACTCCCACGAATTCCCACGTGAAAAAACAGCTCAACTCGGCCAAAATCATCGAGGTCGACCACAAAGTGCCCAAGATGTTCGGGCATCTTGAAACAAGAGAACAGAGAATCTCGTCCTCGCCCCAGATCGCCAACATTGTCCATCCAAAGATCCTGGCTTTGACATTGAAGATCTCCACCTACAAGATTGTTGGATCTACGGCAAGATGTCAGGCAATGTTGGAGGCGTTCAAGGACGTGATATTGTCGTATCAGACGCCAGACAATACCTCTTTGCAAAGAAACTTGACGTCCCATCTGTCTCACCAGATCGAATACCTTAAAACAGGAAGACCGTTGAGTATTTCCATGGGAAACGCAATCAGATGGCTGAAGCAAAGAATCTCGACAATTCCAATTGATTTGAGCGACGAGGTCGCCAAACAGCAGCTGATAGAGGAAATCGAGTTGTACATCCAAGAGAAAATCCTGTATTCCGACAAGGTGATCACTCAATTTGCATCCACGCACATCCAAGACGGCGCCAAACTACTCACGTATGGCCATTCAGAGGTGTTGAAGAAACTGTTCAAGTACTGCGCTCTGGAAGAAAAGAAATCGTTCGAGATCTACATCATCGACTCAAAGCCTCTGTTTGAAGGTAAAAAACTGGCCAGAGAACTGTCTGCTATTCCAAACATCAAATGCCATTATAATCTTATCAACTCTTTATCTACCATCCTGGAGAGATCAGACATCGACTTTTGTTTTCTGGGTGCGCATTCCATGCTGTCGAACGGACGTCTTTATTCGCGTGTTGGAACAGCCATGATTGCAATGGCATCCAAAAACAAAAATATCCCCGTCTTGGTGTGCTGCGAATCCATGAAGTTCAGCGACAAGGTCCAGCTGGATTCGGTGACCTTGAACGAACTCGGCGACTCCGAAGACGTGATCAATACCAAACCGTTTGTTAAAACCGGCTCCAACTTGAAACAGTTCTTGGATTCGCTGGAAAACAAAGAGGCCAAGAAACCCCAGCAGCAAAACAGCAAAAAGGACAAGAAAGAAAACACCGTCAACGACAACGAGTCGTCCGTGTTGCAGAATTGGAGAGAACTCAAAACACTCAATATCCTAAACGTGCTTTACGATTTGACTCCTCCAGAATATATCCAAAAAGTTATCACAGAATTGGGTGCACTGCCCCCATCATCGGTGCCTGTGATTCTGAGAGAGTACAAGACCAATGCATGAACAAGCTGTAATAAATAATAATGGAATCATTTAATCTGGACACTTTCTAATCCGTCATCGTCGCCTAGTTTGAGTTTCTCGACGTAAGTTTCTAGTTTTTTCCAATGCTGCGTTCTCAGATCCTTCTGACTCTTTTCCTCCTTGGTCTGCTCTTCATACAGAATACAACATCTGTCGTAAACTATTGGATTTGTATCCATAAACAGTTTGAGAGCGTTGTAAGCGAGTGACGAAATTGTGCGGTTCCAATTGTTTGGTTCGTCGTAGGTGAATTCCATAGCCGGTTGTTGCTGTTGTTGTTCAATTGCATCCAGCTCTGGTTGTGCCAGATCAAATAATGCCGGGAATATGATTGGCAAAATATTCTCTGCGTTTTCAGTAACCAATGAAACAAAATACTCGTTGTTGAAATAACAAAGAACCTTCTCGCTGACCTGGAAATGAGGCGAGGAAATGCATTTGGATAGCTGAGCAAACAGCGGAATCTCAATTCGCTGGAATTCTTGGGAGTCAATGATTTCAAAAATGTCCTCGATTTCATTCAAAAACATAAGCTCCTTTGGAGAGTTGATTTTCGGCCAGTACCTGAGCAGCCCCATAATCACCTCTTCAGTCAAACTTGGATCTTTTTCTAAAAATTGAAGGATACAGTAGGCCAACTGTGGATGGTATAACGATAAACATCTGACTTTATGCAAAGGGATCAAGACCCGAATCAAGAAAATCTTGTGTTCCTCTTTTAATGGCAATGCAAATCCATTAATGATAGAACCAAGGATTTCAAGCAACTCGGAGATTCCGTTGAATCTTCCCGTTTCATAGACAAAGTTGAGGAAGATATTGCTGATGGATTTCCTGATGAACGATCTTAAACTCAAGAATTTTCCGTAAATTCTGTGAAGCGTAGTTTTCAAGCAATCTCTCTCCCTATTATCTTCACTGTCAAATAATTCAAGCAATGTGAGCACAAACTTGTGGTCTATGTAGGGCTTTGCAATGGAGTTGTTAAAATCAGGGCTCTCGACAAATCGGAGGAAAAATTCGTACACCATTTGCATGTGTGGCCAAGCTAGCTCATAAACAGGTTCATCTTCATCAGGGTCGTAAATTTCACCCACTGGATTTACCGGAGGGGGAATTGGTCTGAAAACATTGACCTTAAACATTTCCACCACATGCTCATACATTTCTGAAGTGAAAGTCATTCTTGTTGTACTGATAAAAGAGGTCAACTCATGCAAAGTGATTCTTTTCAGCTCTTTGCCCTGAATATCCGAGGAAGGATCGTAGAAGTCGAACATGATCTTACATTGGTCGACTTTCTGGATGAACAGCTCCACATGAAATTCAGGGTCGACCTCGTCGAAACTGGCCAGTTTCTCAAATGGTTGCTGATCATTGGTTGGTTCGAATCTAGAAGAGGAGTGTCTTTGAGGGGTACGCGGTTTCAATCCAAGATCATCTTTAGGGACCTTGTCGAAAGGAGAATGATGGGCCGTGTGTAGTTTAGAAAGCTCGATCTCTGCAGGTAAGACATCATCGCCCCTGTTTGAGGAAGACGCCGCCAGTGGTGTTGGAGTTTGGATCTGCGGAGGTTGTGATTGTGAGCCTGATTTTGTAGAAGACGTGGAAGGAGGGGAAGCACTTGCCGAGTTGTCAACTCCTGAATTCAAAGACGACTGTTCCGAAGACGCAGATTGTGTTCTTTTCATCGAAGTTGGACTGGTACTGGCTGAGGAATTACTTTGGAACGAGCCTGTGGATTTGACCTTTTCCGGCTTCTTTCCGGTTTCCTCCTTTTTGTCCTTCTTCTTTTCTCCCTTGGCAGACCCTGTTTTGGATCTGAACCGTTGTTTAAAACCTTTCATCATCTTGTTGAGGCGTGGTTAATTGCGAAGGTACCAAGTAGTTTGAGGTAATTTAAATTCCAAAGGGCGGTACACGCGGATATTGGGCCTGATTGATGAAGCAATTGTTGCTGAAGATGCGGTATGGGGTCGCCTCTACGCGGATAACAATGCTGTTGCTGTTGAAACGTTGTTTATCTGAAACCAATGGCTCTTTCTAAGGTGTGGGAAAAAAGAAAACAGATTCGTTCACTCGCCACAACAGGGTTGGTCGTGGCAAAGTTGCTATATTTTTATAGACAAGAATGTGCATGCGCCACACGACAGGATAATATGTCGCACCAGCCGTGAAATTGGACTCAAGCAGTCTCGACCTTTTCGTTTGACAGTCTATTCTCCAAACTAAGGTAGCAGTTCCATAGAATGCTAACGATGTTGACCGCCAACAGTCGATGTTTCACCGGAACAAGCCAAAAATTAACAGCCTGGAAAATCGGCCAGACTTTCCAATTGTTGACCAACGTTTCCCAGTAAACTTCGTTCAATTTGGCTTTGATCTCGGGAACTCCGTAACCTTCCATTATTGTGATGCACGTATAGTAAAGCGGGATCCCCACCGGGGCCCAAACCAATTGGTCAAATGCCACTCTGGTCGATATGTCGAGTATTTTTTTTGGATACCATTGAAATGGGAAATGGATCACATCGATTAATCGGTATAGCCTGGTACCAATTGGTCCAAATATGAGTCCGCCATAGGTAATTGCCCTTGCGGTTCTTAAATATTCGTAGTTGCTGTCATGAGGAAAACATATTTGTGCCAGGGCGTCGCCTGCTCCAAACAAGATCTTTGGTTAGCAATTTCTATCATTGTTACTCACTCCTGTAGAAATCATGTTGGCCAACAGTGGGCGTCTCTTTGCAAAAGTTGAGAATCTGGTGATCATGACTTGCTCAAGTTAAGCAAAAAAAAAAAATTCACCGTCAATATTTTTCACTCTATACGATTGTACGCCTCATATGTCCTGGAATCAGGCACACACCTATTCGACTCAACTTCCGCCCAGCTTATTCAGTGGACACTTCAACAACAAACCACCTTGTCCATTCTCCCCAACTAAATAACAACAGCTTAACATTCCTGCTATCTTTAATATTTCCTTTTCGGGAACAGAAATTCATGGCATTAGTCCAAGCCCCGAATTTTAAACCTGTTGCAAGTTGGGCCAAAAATTTAAACGTCCAAATGTGGTCCCGCCGTTTGCCACCCCGAAACCGAGGACACGTCTCAAGCCTCGTCCTCGAGAATTTCATGCGATGAACCGAAAAGGTTCACGATTTCCAAAGTCACTACACCTTGCAAGTCAGTTTGGCCAATTCTCAATTGCCAGGTACTACCCCAGCGGTTTCAGGGTCTTGCGGCAAAATGTACCAGCCTATTTAAAGCCCACAGCATTTCGTGCTTCCAGGTGTTCATGTGTTCATGTCCTTTTTTCGTTTTGTATTTACGCTTCCTTTTTAGTCAAAGTGAAATTTCCGTTTTCGGAAAAATTGGGATCTGATCAAATGGCACCAGAGCGTTCTTGACTGGGTATCTGGTGAAACTCATGTGTTTCATCGTCAGAAGTAGACTGTAAATGGACGTACATCCCAATATATTGTCGAACAAGTCGACTGTAGTAGCATCAAACGCCCTTTTTCAACGCGAGCCAAGAGTCGTGCCCCGATTTCAAAAGTTATGGGAGCATCACCAACAGCAGCGAACAAACCGCGAGTTTGGTGGACAGTTGTAGTGAGCACAAACACAGTGGTCGTATCAGAAGCTGTACCTACATGATGAATATCACAGTAGAAAAATGTCCCAATTAAACACGGTATTTTCCCAATTTGGTGCTACTCTCTGAGCAAACATAGGTGGATTATGAAATTCCCAGAATGGCAATGTCGGCAGCTATTTAAGGAGACAAATTCCAGCAGACGAAAAAAAAGCTGCCTGGCAAAAGTATCCTACAACATGCACAGAACTTACTCCCTCAGATCCAGCAGAGCTCCAACTGCTTCGGACCTGCAAAACCCAATCCCTGTTCCTCCATCCTCCACGAAGGCCAACAGATTTTTTGGTAAAGGCTCTATTTCCAACACCATCAGAAGATCCACTGCTGGTTCGTTTGGTCCAGACCTTGCCAAGAAACTTGCTCAATTGGTGAAGATGGAGAAGAACGTTATGAGAGCCATTGAGCTTTCTTCCAAGGAGAGAAAATCTGCTGCTAAGCAACTTTCTCTTTGGGGTGCTGACAACGAAGACGATGTCAGTGACATTACCGACAAATTGGGTGTGTTGATCTACGAGATTGGTGAACTGGATGACCAATTCATCGACAGATACGATCAATATAGAATTACCCTCAAGAGCATCAGAGACATCGAGGGTTCTGTTCAACCATCCAGAGACCGGAAACAGAAAATCACTGACCAAATTGCTTACCTCAAGTACAAGGACCCACAATCGCCAAAGATTGTGATCTTGGAACAGGAATTGGTCAGAGCTGAGGCTGAATCGCTCGTTGCCGAGGCCCAACTTTCTAACATCACCAGAGAGAAATTGAAGGCCTCGTTTGCTTACCACTTTGACTCCATCAGAGAGCACTCCGAGAAGTTGGCTTTGATCTCCGGTTACGGTAAGGCTTTGTTGGAGCTGTTGGACGACTCTCCAGTGACTCCTGGTGAGACTAGACCTTCATACGACGGTTACGAAGCTTCTAAGCAAATCATCATCGATGCTGAAAACGCATTGGCTTCTTGGACTTACGAAACTGCCCAAGTGAAACCAACTTTGAGCTTCAAGGCCACTGACGGTGAAATTTACGAAGACGAGGACCTTGCTGAGGACGTCCAGAACATGCACGTGACTGAGCAAGAATGGGCCGAGCCTGAGAAGCAGGCCGCTTAAGTGTGCGTGAATTTTATTTCTGTCTGTATTGTTAAAAATGGTTTTCAATCGTGCTAACATGATTCATGACTTGGTAGTTGCGTAAACGTAAACGCAGAGCGACACCGGTAAAATCTGGGGGTGTCGGTATTTGATGCGCAATGTCTTCTTTTCGTCCTGTTCTTCATCGTCTTGGTCGAGTCCAAACGACGCCAATTGTTCCGTTTGGGGCTTGAAAACACGATCTTTCACCAACAGCCACGACCTCACCAGTCCAGAGGCGTCTTGGAACTGTAATAATTGACGTAACTCTTGTATTTCCGCCTCTGTGATCTCCAAATAGCATTTCCATGTATCTGTGCTGATCGGGACCCTCATTTTGCCTCCAGACACCGTTGTAGAGATGGACCTGATATGTTCCATAGGATAATCCATCAATATAGGCAGCAGCGTCAGCTTGATCTCCTCATACAATAATCGCAAGTCTTTATTGGAAAGCGTGATTCGTACCACACGGGATAGATTCACCGTTGTTTGGTCCAGAGATAGCTCACTGATATTCTTCTGGATCTCCTTCCTATTCACATACGTCTTGACCGGCACCACATAGCGGGGATGGATTTTGATGAAAGAAGTTATTGGTGCCATCGATTATAAGAAATCAGAGAAACCATTGATTGTTATTACCTAATCCGCCACACACTAGCCACATAGCACGACAAGGGCCGTTGTGTCCGGCCATTGACTAGCTGGGAGATACTCAATGCTTACGATGTGTTATTGGGCCAAACAGGTACAAGCCCCACTTGTCATTGATCCAACACTCCTAAACTCCAAGGATAAGGCTGTGCAAAATGTAATGGTCTGTAAACCAAGTAAATTTCTAGTAATATTCAACCATGTCCAGCGACGGGTTTACCCCGATACTCTCTATGTTTTACGCGATGTTCCACCCGACAGAGGGAACAAAGGTAGTTTGCCAGGTTCCTAGCGGGTCGGTTGTTCCGTCAGATAGAAACAAAGACTCGTCTTCGTTTGCAGTTCCTTTGTTTGATTTTGATTCCATTAAGAACTACGTGATACCCAAACCAGCTCTCTGCAACAAGCTAGTCACTTTCAAAATCAGCAATTACCGTGTTGTCGGGTTTCCTGTGAATATCTACGGCTCTCACTATGCCAGAAACTCGTTCAATTTCAATTTATGCTTTGTTTTCAACTACGAAGAGGATACAACTCCATACGAAGGCCATGTCAGACGTCTGGGACACATGTTCCGCGCGCTAGAGGAACAATCTCAGATTCTCTCCAAAGCAGACAAGAACCACGAGGTTTTTTTCAAGCCCCAAAACGAGTCCGAGCCTGTGAAAACATGGACCAAGTCTTCAAATTATATTAAAACCATACAAGACGAAGACATTGGAAACGAGGGTGCATACCAGAATCAGGAACAGGGACAACCTACAGAGCCGATACTATCCTCGATCGAGAGTCTGGTCCAACAAATATACCAGGATTTGAACAACTACTCGGAATGTCTCATACCAATTGATTCTGCCAATTCGGTCGATATCAAGCTGTTTCCTATTTTGCCTCCACCTCCGGAAGTGGACGCATGTGATGTTCCTATTGCCACTGTGAAATTAGAGTCCATGGTGGACCCTCTCTGGGATCCTACAATGGTGAAAATACTGCCATACATCAACGGAATCAATTGTGTCAAGAAAATCAGTGTATTGGCGGATTCCGACTACCAACTAACCAAACAGTGCATACAGCATCTGATCCATTTCAAATCAGTCACAATTTTAGATATTTTCCAGTTTTCAAACTGCTACGCTCCAACATCGCACATTGCAACCTTTTTACGCGATCCTTCCATGGCAACAGAATGTCAAGGATACGTGATATCCACCACAGGAACTTTTCCAGACATGCCTCTTCGAAGAAGAAGAATGTCGTCTTCCAATTCGGACGTCGACCATGCAAGCATCCACTCCTCTTCGCTGGGAGCAGACCGCCCATCAAATACACCCGATGCCCATCACGCATCGTTTTCTCCGCGAACAAATTCACTGTACCAGAACTTCAAGCCATCGAATTCCAAAATGCAGATGGTTCCTCTTCCATCCAAGGCCACTTTGTTTTACCTTTACTGCTCAATGAACCAGAATCTGACTTTAAAGCAATGGTATGTTGAGAACAGCAAGTTGCTGGCTCATATTGATATTAGACGTCTTATCACATTTGGAGTTCTAAGAGGAATAATCTATAGAGTGCGTTCATATCCAGTTTCCGGAAAGCTTTCGTCGTCCATTGACATTGGAACGACCTATTCCAACCACAATAACGCAAGCCATCTTAAAAGTGCTTACAACGTTTCGGTGCTACCAGTCACCAAACCAAGTTTTCAAAGATTGAGCAACGACTTTGACGAAGAAGATGAACTGGTTGAAGCAGACGAGCTCAATGACAAGTTTGTTGACCTGTTGGACCTGAAATCCGAAAGGATCAAAAGACAAAAGGAAGCAAGATTGTTGCGTCTTTTAAAAAAATGTAAGGACTTTGACATGATCTGCACCGAGATGTCAATGCCCAGAAAAGATGTGATGGAGTTGCTTACACGATTAGGCGAATGGAACGTCGTTAACTCGTAACTATATTATAATTTATCGATATCATCATCGGCAGCAGACTTTTGTAGTTCTTGCAGTTTTTCATCCCGTTTATACCCTGCTAGTCTGATTTTCATCAAAGTGTCTTCAACAAGATCGGTTTTCGAAAAGGTCCGACCGCATTCGGGGCATTCAGTCGACCTGTAGTTCGCCAACGATGCTTTGTCATACGTATGTCCACAAACGTTGTTTCTAATGGGATTTTTCATAATCAATCTGGAGATTGGACATGTTAAATTGACCTTACCACCTCCAATCTCGATTTCGTCGTCGTCTTCTTGATCATTAAATGGAATAGGTTCTGTAGGGTTGATGGAAACAAACAGTTTCTTGTTCAATTCCAGCTCGTCTGCCTTTGCCATACGATCTCCTGCCGATTTGAACTCCTTGGAGTTCGCTGAAAGGGTTTCCTTGTATAGATCATGAATCTGGGATGGAACTGTGGTCATTTGTGCGTAGTGCTCGAAATCGTCCAATTGGAGCTCTGACTCATTCCTTTCCAAGATCTCTGTCCGAGCTTTACGAAAGGCCGTCAAATATGCTGTTTGTCGACGTCGAGTCTGGCCCAGCTTGATCAAGACGCGTTTTCCTTGTTCCAAAACCGTATCCTCCTTATACTTTTTCCTCTTTGTTGACTCATATTCTTCCAAATCAAGCTTGTTCTCAACCAGCTTCTCGACTTCCTGTTCTAAATTAGCATCGATATACTTGAACAAGGTCTCCATCAATGTATTATCTGTTTCTTTGATCAAAGTCTCCATAGTTTTCGTGGGATGAAGTTGTCGCAATTCCGATTTAAACTTCTTGTTCAACGGGTAGTACGTTGGAAGTTGAAACAGATTCGGATTTGATGGGCCTGGTTGCTCGACTGTGTCAATTTCGTCCTCTCGCTCTCTTTTCACAGACATTATTAGGAACAAGGTAAGAAAAAAAACACCACAAAAAAAAAACATTTATTTATCCTTGTATTTTTCGACCATGTCTCACGATCCAGAGCCCGCGGCCCCTGTGACTATATTGCAGAAGATTGTGACCCTCCAGCACATTCATTCTCTTTATCTGGCCGCACAGCAATCGCAACCGCCTCGCAAAGATATTTCATTCAATATCCTACAGCTCCAAACCATGATAAACAATAATCCTTTAATAAATCCAGACTTCGACTTATTGGACATCAAGGGTTCTCTCGACGCGATCAAGGAAAAGAAACAAAGTGGAGGAGCGGTCCAGAACATTTTAACTCCAGTCCAGATCGTTCAGGTGATCTCAGAGAGCCTCTCTGGAGACACTGCCGAAGAACAGGTTATATCGCAAGTTCCTAAAAGTACCGTATTCAGACTATCAAACAAAGTGGATATCACTCTAGTCAAGGATAGGTTGATTAAGATTTTGAACAGCTACAAGAATGCCACATTGGAAGAAATCACTGCCATGGAGGTCAATTTCAAGGAGAAGAAGAAGGAAATCAACCAGATAGAAAATGGTAATATCGAAGATACAAGATTGGTTCAAGAATTCTCTAAAAACGTGGAAGAGAACAACGATGAGACATCCAAGGAGGAGATTGCAGTCGACCAGAATTCATCTCAGCAGGAACTAGTGAATATGGTGAAGGAGAAACTTGAGTCTGAAGATGGCAAGGAGATCACCAAAGTTCTTCAAGACTTGTCGGAGAACCAAGAGAAAGACGAGAAAATTGTTCTGGACGAAGAACAATTGGAGAAAACGTTGCAAATGGCCAAGAACGAAGAACAGGAAGAAGAAAAACAGAAACCTGCTCCGAAAGAACTCGCATCTCCAACGCCAGAACCAGCGACTCCGACTACTCCATCAAGTGGCGACGAATTGCGTGGACGTAAACGGCGTGGGTCGGGAAGCGTTCCTCCAAATTCTACAAAGCGGTTCAACGCCCTTTCGACACAACTTCTTACACAAATCTCGTCTAACCGGTTTGCGTCGATGTTCATGCAGCCAGTGAACGAGAACGAAGAACCAGATTACTACAAAGTGATACGACACCCGGTGGATATCAAGAGTTTAGGAAAAGCGATACGGACAAAAGAAATAACAACATTTGACGAGTTAGAATTCGAGCTTCAACTGATGTTCAGCAACGCAATTATGTACAACGATATGCATCAGACAGAAACGTATAAATGGACCATTGAAATGATGGAAGAAGCACAAAATCTTCTCAATCTATTCCGAGAGTCCTCCAGCTGAAGAAATCTATTTGCCGCCTCTCATTTGGTTCATGAGGATTTGGTTTTGTTCCTGGAATCTGGATCCAACTCTCTCGGAGTGTTTCAGGAATTTCTCAGCGCACTTGTTCAAACAAGTGTCCTCTTTGGTGCTAAGCTTACTGGAAGTGAAATCGTTCACACAGTCATTGAAACATCTATCAACCAAGTTGGTGTATAGCTATAATGTTAGTATTAGACGTTAATTCTCACTCACCCTCATGAAATCATTCATTTGCTTTTGTTCCACAATCTTCTGGAACTCTTGTTGTTCTTTGTAGTTTAGTTGATCCATGGTGGTTGTTTATTTGATAATATAACAATTGCTCGAAAATTTTTCAAAATCAATTAAATTAATTCCTAATGTTCAAATCGTATGGGGAAAGGGCCGAGGCCCACCCTTCAAATGTTGCCAGCAGATTACTAAAACTGATGGAATCTAAACAGACTAACTTGTGTGCTTCTGTTGATGTTACCAAAACCAAGGAATTGCTCGAGCTTTTAGACAAATTGGGTCCTTTTATCTGTTTGGTCAAGACACATATTGATATAGTTGAGGACTTTTCGTATGAGTCTACGATCGTTCCGTTGTTGGAGCTCTCCAAGAAACACAACTTTATGATTTTTGAGGACAGAAAGTTTGCCGATATTGGAAATACTGTCAAACTTCAATACAAAGGTGGAATCTATCAAATCTCCAAATGGGCACACATTACCAACGCTCACGGTGTCACTGGTTCGGGAATCATTTCGGGCCTTCGTCAGGCTGCTGAAGAATCTACTGATGAACCGCGTGGACTTTTGATGTTGGCTGAACTCTCATCAAAGGGTTCGTTAGCTTACGGTGAATACACAGCAAAGACAGTCGAGTTGGCGAAAAGTGACAAGGAGTTTGTGATTGGATTCATTGCTCAAAGAGACATGGGTGGTAAAGAGGAAGGATTTGACTGGCTTACAATGACTCCTGGTGTCGGTCTGGACGACAAAGGAGATGCTTTGGGCCAACAATACAGAACTGTTGATGAAGTTATAAAAACCGGTACTGACATTATAATCGTTGGAAGAGGACTTTTCGGCAAGGGAAGAGACCCATTGGTTGAGGGAAAGAGATACAGAGACGCTGGATGGGCAGCATATAAACAGCGTGTTGCTAATTAGTATTTCAGATTATGTACACGAATTTATGATTCTAGAATTGGAGATTCACTTAGCTGTTGGCGCGAGATCTCAAAGACCAACAGCCCAATAGAGGTGGCGGGAATACTTGTGAATGACGAGCGGAAAAAGCCTCTATAGCAGAACCCAAAGAGCGTGAGATGCGATTTGCGCCACCGTTGCAACATGATTTCAAAGGTTTCGATGTAGGAATTATAGTAGAGCTTGAAAAAACGGCGACGATCGACCTGATGAGCCTCATTGTACAGGTCTAATGATTCCAGTCTAGACAAATGGACTTGTTGCACCTTGTTAAGCGGGTATTGGATTGCCAATAAGGTGGTAGCTGCACTGGCACCAGCCAACAAAATAAATCCTAGGTTTAGAACTTTCATAGATCTGGTATTTTCCTGAGGATTGGAAGGAGTGTGGAACAGCTTTGAGCGCCAATGTCTGTACCATTGAATCATTCCCTCTGTTTTATGGTAGCCTTGGTTTTTGACCAGCTCAAAGACTGAGAAATAAAACGCAAACCCAAGACTTTCTTTAATGAAGTTTAAACTGAATCCGGCAAATATTCCAACAGGACCGATCTGTCTCAACTTATAGACTCCATACTCCCAGAGACTCTTCTGTTTTCCATTGACCAGCTCGGAATAGCTGGATCTGGCATAAAGAGCGTCGATAGGAGATGCTGCCACACTTGCAGCGGCACCGGCTATGAAACCCGCTCTAAATGTATCGATCGGTCTTGGGTCTTCAAGTGATTTGATATTTTTCTTGTTAAACTGCTGCAACACCGTCAGATATGTCGAGTATAAGATCAGTCCAATGGCACTATTGGCAATAATCGGGGGCAGAACCTGTCGCGGAATGAAATTCCATCCTTCTCGTTTGATTGATTGGTATAACAAAGCTATTCCTGAATGTGTTCGTAAACTCCACGGTTTGGACGCAAGCTCTCCATGCAAAAGCGCACGAGCAGTGGTAAGATAATCAAAACGAGACGGCCGGAACAGCTTCGCAGGATTTCTCATATATGCCGACGTGATTTGATACAAAATAGCACGGATACCTGCAGACGATGCCGAAACCACCTGGGTGTTGCGGTTGGAGAGCTGTTGGTTCGAGGGGTTTGTGTCATCACGAATAATTCCCGTATCACTGTTGTAGAAGTCTTCCGTAAGTCTCGGTCGTTCCATCAAGGCTTATTCCGAAAGACGTATCGTTGAAGGTGGGTTTGTATCGATTTGGGATTGATTACTTGGAATAAAATTATTTTTCTACACCGCCTTGAAATTAATAGGGAAATCTGATAATTTAATCAACTTCATCCACCGATGTGTTCTTGGCATCATCCGACCGGGCGACGGGTTCGGATTCTTTGTGATCCTCCTTTTTTTCTTCAACCTCTTTTTTCTGGTCGTCCAAATTTTCTTTGACATCATCTCCTGCTTCAACATCTTTTAGTAATTGTTTGAGTACCGGCTCAAGCTTGAGTTTGTTCAACTCATCAAATTTGAGTTCTGTCCTTTTCACAAGTAACATGTTCTTCAGGAATTCAAGAGCCTCATCCTTGAAGTTCTCACGGTGGCGATTTCTGGCCAAGAATTTAGACGAAAGAGTCAGAAGCTTGCCCACTGTACTGGTGACATCGTTGAACTTGTAGATCAGAATCACCTTACAGGCCAAATTCAAAACATCGTGTTGGGTTTTAACCATTCCATTCACATCTGTGCTCTCCACCTCAGGCTTCAACAGCTCGAGCAATAGTCTGATACATCCTGCATCTAAAACAAGTTCTGGAGAAAGCGAGTCAAGCGGAAGATCAGACGAAACTAGCAAAGTCGTGAGAGTTTTTAGTGCGTGAGATCTCAACTCACGGCATGGATTGTAGCATTGATGCGCAATAGCTTCAATAAGTGGATACCAACTAGATGGAGTTTCGCTGTTATTTGGAATCGTTTCTTTGAATTGTTCAGATTCAACAATTTTCGACAAGCTCAAAGTCAAACTTATAGACTTGCTGGCTGTAGCAACCAAGTCTTGGAACGGATTTTTGTTTTTCTCCACCTTGTGACCACTGGCAATCAATTTATCATACTCTTGCTCCCACTGGGCTCCATATGCTCCCACGGCAGATATTTCATCCAACAGACCCAAAACGTCCATGTAGTTCTGGTAGGTGATGATTTCAGGTAAGGTTTCGATCAGACTCCGCATAAATTGGTAAACAATCTCTGTGTTCTTCGGCGAGGCTGCAAAGATCCTGATCAGTGACCAATACTTTGAGTTTTGCGACAGAATTATCTGGCACCATGTTCCTTTCACCAAGACTAACATTTGTAACGGATGTAGAATGACTGAGCCATATTTCATCAGTGCTTCTCTATTTTTCTCGGCCAGAGTCAAGAACTTCTCGATTGTGGAATTCAGCAAGTCGGCGTTAGATTTATTGCCATTGTGCAACAATAGAAGCTTATAGGCGTTAACCCTGACTAGACAGCTCATCTTAAAATCTTCAGCAGGACTAAACACTTTATCGCAAAGAGTAAGTGTCTTAATAACGAGCTCCTGTTCTCCAGTAAGCAACAAGTAGCAAACACATATCTCCAAAATGAAGAGGATTTCATTGAGGTAAACTCGTGGATCAGCATCTTCCTTACTTGGGATAGACTCCAAAAGTATGGAAACGAACTGGTTAAGGTTCTCTGAATCTGTCTTGCTCACATTCCGGAATAAAGAGTTGATACTGCTGGACTTGATGCATTCCATAGTTGATAAGGTGCACTCAATTTCCTCGTCAGTAGGCTCAGGAGTGTCGTCAGACAGACCTTTAAGATAAGATGAGAAAGTAGAGAATATTCCATTGTCTTTGAGGGCCTTTGTGCGACTGAACTGGTATTGTGGTTTTGGCTTTTCCAGTCCGTCCAAGCCAATCCGCTTCTGGAACTCTGGAAAAAGGTCGGGTTCAATAAGTCCATTTTCGAACAAAGTCAAAATGATTTTAACCAAGGGAACCCAGTGCTTTGAAACCCGGTAGTTAGATTTGCGCACGATTCTAAATAGAACCAAGGTGCTCAATTGAGCTCTAAAATCTCTTCCAAAGGAAACAGAAAGATAACTGACTGTGATAGTCTCATTTTCCTTCTCTAATTTTAATTCTGTGATTGGAAGAGCTTCTCTGGAGTCCAGCGCAAATTCAGATTCTTTAACTCCAGTTAGAGTTGTCAAATGAGCAACAATCTCAATAATTTCATCCACCAGCTCATTCATACCGAAGTACGACGCGATGGATGCACACTTCTCGACACTTGAAATCATCCTCGTAACGACGCTATCGTGTGTGGCATCATCAAACATCATGACCAGTGTACTGATAACATCTTTTGAAATCTTTTCGAACAAGACCTGATCAAACTGCAGCGAGTCTTCCAATTTTTCATAAGCGAGGGAAGAAACTTCTTCGCTGAGCAGCTTGCTAGATTGCTCTGCAATTAGAGAATGCCAGACAGTTTCAAACCACTTAGATGTTCCTCTATGTTCCTCTGGCATAATGATTTCCTTTTCCCTAATAGAATGGTAAATTTTCTCGGTGTACCATTGAGGGAAATCCTTTCCTTTGTAGCATCCTCTGAGGTTTCTTTGATAGTCTTCCAAAGTCATTGGTTTCTTAACATTGGGGTTGTGCAGATCGGTGTTTAACATAATGATAGAAAAGGATAACACAAATAGCGAGTCCTGGTCTGGTGTGACCTTTTGATCTTCATCTTCTTCACCGTTCTCTGCAACGGAGTCTGCATCCTGGCATGATATATATCTGTGGTTGAATACTTCGACAATTCTTTCAATTTGTTGTGCTTCTCCTGGTAATCTAAAATTATTCAGAAGCATTCTAAGTGCTTCGTCTGGTCTCAAGTTTTTGAAATCCAACAGATCAATAAACTCCTTCAAAAGCTCCTTATTAGAAGGCTTAGCAAGTAATTCTCCAAGCTTCTTCTTGTCGATCCGACCAGATTTCTCAAACAGAAATCTGGCCACTTCAGAGACATCACTGATATCTTTGATAAAGCCTTTTTCTTGTAATAAATCTAAACCGGATTGAGGTTTTTCGTTCCATTTCTTTGTGCACTCGATGAAGTCCGACTTCTTTATCTGTTGCAGGACTAGTTGATTCGGAGAAAGACCACTAAATTCAATGTTCAGTTTGCTTGCTTCTTTGACTCGGTCATGAACCCCATCGACAAAGCTCAAAACACCCTCCATACAGATTGAAGGAACATTACCTGTGGTAAAAAGCGTAACTTCAGATGAAGATAGACGACAGAGAAGCCGAAGTGTCATCTCTGCAATATCTGATCTATCAAAATCACAGTCGTATGACTTGAAAAGAGAGTTGAAAAACAGAGGAGAGCGGATCCAAAGAACACTGAGGGTCTCAACAAGAATTTCCTTGATAATTGGGAATTTCCCAGTTTGGAATTCACCACCCAGTTCTTCGACTTCTTTTTCGCTCAGTTGTTCAACTTCAAAGGAGCCTTTTTCTCCCATCTTGAACACCCTCTCTTGATTTTTTTCCAAATCCTTCAGAAGCATGTCCTGATTCGCAACAATGTCCTGAAAAATTGTGGTCAAAAGCAATTCAATCTGGATCTTCAGGTGTTCATTCATGTTCAGGGTAAGATTCAGAAACAGTTTCATTGCCAAAGTGAGCAAGTACGGCGAATCAGCGGTCTGTATCAATTGGACCAGATGGTGGCACGTTTTGTCAGAAATTAATTGAAGAAGTGCAGAGTGTTTAGCAATTATTCCACCCGACACTTCGATGATTGTGTTCAGTATGTTTAGTGCAAGAATCCGCGAGCTTTCAGTGAATCTGAACTGATTTTCCGGGGAAAGAATATCAATTGTATGATTCATATACTCCTTCATGCATGGAAGACCAAACGGAACTTGCTCATCTTCTGATAAAGAAGAAACGTTGGTCCCGGCCACTTCTTGTGCCTCTTCCACCTGCTCTTCCACATGAACGCTGACATCGTCTTCCTTTGCTTCTGGAGTACTAGGAGACTCGTCACGATTTTCCGGAGAATTGGATAAATCGCTTTCGCCCTTGCTTTCATGGTTAACGTCGTCTTCGTAATCGGTCCCCCCTATAGTATCAGTTGGGAGCCCGCCACTTTCGGTCGTGGCTGTGAGTTCCACCTCCAGTGTTTTCACATTGTGGTCTACTCCTTCATCAACAGGAATGTGTCTCAATTTGCTGAATATTTTCTCGGTGATTCCAATCAGCGATGTTTCTGCCGCGCTTCTCAAAATCTCCCTTCTTCTTGTGTTGATTGCCAAAGAGAAGCAAGTTGACACGGTTTCATACATCGAGTCATCTGTCAGCAAATCTCCCAGCTTGGATGACACAATCACTTCCAGCAGTTGTATTATTTTGATCAGAAGAATGTCGTCTTGTGTTTGATCTGTCCCTTCGAAACGACAACGAGATAAAGCAGAAACAATTTGGCCTAAGCATTGTAGTATGTTTGTACAACCCTCGTTGACAATTCCGTATTTGATAAACTTGGACAGGGAGGTCACGGCTACGTCAGTTATGTAACCAGAAGTGCTTGGTGATCTGATGACCAGTAGAAATGGTTGGAGTAGAGTTAACACGTCAATATCGTCAATTGATTTCAATTCACTGAGTATGGATCTCAGCTCAATGAAACCGCTTAAAAAATGGTCGTCATCTTTCACTTTAGTTCCTGATCTCAAAAAGGTTGAAAGACGGGTACCGTTGTCTTCGTCCACATATGGTGAGTTTTCTTTTGTAAATTGACTTCCAAGGAGTGCAGATAGTGGACCAGTGACCGAGGACTTTGATGACTTTCTCATCACAGAAGAAATGAATGTACATTCTCCTATTGCGAACGAGAGTGGATCAATTGTCGATAATCGGACAGAGTTCATGGTCTTGATCTAATGGATGTGAGGTTCGGTCTGAAATTGTTTTGGCTTTACGATTTGGTATCCGATAGGTAACACCTGATTCAAAGACCTGAAAACTTCCAAAATTCAATAGTTCCAAAAGACACGGTGGTTTGTTGTCCTGTCAATCGGGGTCTATTCAATCTCGGTTAATCTAGTGACAGATTGTTATTTTGTAAATCAACCTACGCCTGGATAAAAAAAAGTTATGAGCACTGCGTATTTAGTTTACGTGAGATAGATAGCTCATGTTATCTCCCGGGCTGCAATAATCACTGATACCAAAGCTCTTCGGCGAGAAACCCAACAACACTTAGTATGGCATTATTGAAAAGCTGGCGGCAGGCAAGAAAAGCAATAGTAGCAGTATTTACGGTTAAATAAGCTCTAAGACTTAGTTAGTTACTTCTACGGTATAGCACTTACTAGAGGTAATTATGTCTGGAACGACATTCCACATATACACATATTGCTGGGGTGGCCCTATTCGTTGCTCTGCTATGCGCATCACCTGCAGCTATATTAGAGAATCGATGTATTGACCTTTCATAAAATCCGAAACAGACCTTTTTCCTGATAGTCTGATTTAAACACCCAATGAGGGTTTTGTGGAGACGAACCAACAGATATGCCTTCACGCAGGACTTCCCAAAACCCAAGCATGCACTCAAAGGAATTCTTATCCCGACCAATTGATTGCTTAAGCTATCCTAACTCACCAATATGATTATTGCCTCCTACTCACACAAAAAGCATCAGCTACCATATGAATTCAAGCAATTTTTATTTGGGGCTGATGATCCCGCATCTCACTCTCAGTCACTGTGCCCCAGTTTATCTGGATCTTTCTTTCAGTGGACAGACGAAAAACCAGGAACGCCATATGCTGGCACCATACCTGCTATGCTTTTACACAGATTGATCACTCTCGAAATAAAATACCCTAGCTGAGAGGATACGTTCAGCTCAATATGCGCTGCTTTAGGGGATGAACTAATCAAACTGACTGATGATGCGAAGAGTCTCTAAACTGTCTCTCGCACTGCTTCTGTGCTTCATCCAGCAGTTAAACCACCAAAAACTGATTCTGAGTTCCCCAATAGCAACCCTGCTTCACAAGATTCGACGACTAATATCCCTGAACCAACCGGACCACAATGCTTACCTGCAGTACTCCACTCCAAAAAATCGTTCTCTCAATCTTATGATCTGTCAATTCTCACTTGACAGAGCTAAAGACATTCACTTACCTTACTTCACTCTATGATATGCTCATATCATGAAGTGCCTAACCTATCAGGACAAGTTACGCAGTTTACTTCAATCAGCCCCACTCGTCCTTTATCTGCACAAACCACATAGCATGTCGACACCAAAACCACCCGCTATTTCTCCTGCTACGCTGATTCGGACTTCCTTATAGAACTTATCAAATTCACGGGTCACCTTAACCATCGTCCATATATTAGTGCTGACCCTGGAATGTTTACTCCTTCTTCTTACTATATGCAAGCACTTCTTCGGAGATGTAATATCAACGAGGACCTCAACCTTGAGAGTAGAATCAGGGCGGCGGTAGTAAAAACATCGCGCTGATGGAGTATTAGGTAATTGAATGTTCGATTACATAAGTTATGAAGTAGATAATTTTTCTGGTAGTGTCTACTTATTATATGTATATAATTTTCTCCGATCTCCAAAGACAATGGGACTATTCGCTTATTTAGACATCCGCGTAGGAAACAAGGATTTGGGGAGAGTTGTTGCTGAGCTCTCTACAGATTTGGCTCCTAAATCGTGCAAGAATTTTTTGGATCTTTGTAGATCCAAGAGTTACAACAACACCTGTTTTCATAGAGTTATTCGAAACTTTATGATCCAAGCTGGAGATACAGACCACAAGATAATAGACATAAAAAACTACCCTCCACCTGATTTAGGGAAAGGAGGTAAGTCTTCTTTTTTGTCTGAGTACTTCGAAGATGAAAACAAGGTGGCCATTGACAAAGCTTTTCTGCTTTGCATGGCCAATCAAGGTACAAAGGACACTAATGGCTCTCAATTTTTTATTAGCACCACGCCATCCCCTCATTTGAGTGGGAAGCACTCCGTTTTTGGCAAGATAATTCATGGCAAGTCCATAATTCGGGAGCTTGAGAAAACTCCAGTCATTAGCAGCAAGAATAGTGATCCTCAAGCATGGATACCTGCGGCAGATAACATTGCGTTGATTTATGATTGTGGTGAATGGAAAGAAGGAGATTACCTATTCTGCTACAACGCTTGTACAGATAGAATCGGTGGAGATATTTACGAAGAGTATCCAGATGATAACGACGAAAACGAATTGGATTTGGAAGATCCTAAAAAGACTTTACAAGCTGCAACCACAATCAAGGAATCGGCAACACTTTTATTCAAAGCATCCAGGCTGGATGATTCACGACTAAAATACAAGAAGGCATTGAGATATTGCAACGAACTTATACCAGATCAAGATTCAAACCCAGAATATTACAAGAAGTTCTTAGACCTGAAGAAAACCTTGTATTTGAACCTTGCTTTGATTGAACTAAACCTCAAAAATTACCAGGGCACTATAGATTACTGCGGATACTTGCTCGAAATGGACAGTGATGTTACGTTGACACGGACACAAACATCAAAAACCCTTTACAGGCTTGGAAAAGCTTATCATGGCCTCAAAAATTTCGAGGTTTCGTTAGAGTTCCTCCAAAAGGCTAGTCTGATCAATCCTGATGATCAGACAGTCAAGTCAGAAATGGCTTCTGTCAAGAAGTTGGTCGAAGATCAAAAGCAAACCGAAAGGCAACGGTTTGCCAAATTTTTCAGTTAATCGATTACTATATAGAAATTTTGTGGTGTGCGATGATCACCGCGAGAAAAAATCGGAATAATTGTTTTCAAATTACGAGTAAGTCTTTTTCATGGCGGATATTGCAACTGTGTCTCAACTGCTAGAGAAATCGTTGGCTCCTTCTACTGCAAAGATTGCAGAAGAAAGCTTACGAGCAGTCGAAGGGCAACAAGGTTTTCCCTCAACCCTTTTGCATGTGGTCGCAACTAGTGATCTGAGCATTCCAGTGAGATTGGCTGGGTCACTTTATTTCAAAAACCTGATCAAACGGAAATGGATTGACGAAAATGGTGTCTATCGATTACATACAGACGACGTCCAAATTGTGAAGACGCAAATCGTTGCATTGATGATTCAGTTACCGGATTCGCTACAAGTTCAAATAGGAGAAGCCGTGTCTCTCATCGCCGAATCTGAATTTCCCGAGCTTTGGCCTGATTTGATTGACGAACTTGTTGGTAAACTTAGCCCAGATAATATGCACACCAACAAAGGTGTTTTGAAAGTGGCACACTCAATCTTCAAGAGATGGAGACCGTTATTTGGATCCAACGAACTGTACTCTGAAATCAACCTTGTACTATCGAAATTTGCACAACCATTTCTTGAAATTTTGAAGATGGTGGATCATTTGATTGAAGAGAACGTCAACAACAAAGACAATCTGGCTCTATTATTTGAAAATTTGCTTCTATTGGTGAAGATCTACTATGACTTGAACTGTCAGGACATCCCAGAATTCTTTGAAGACCATTTGCAGGAAGGGATGGCCGTTATTCACAAGTACTTGAAATATTCCAACCCACTACTTCAAGATTCGGACGAGGATGATGAAATTGATATTCTCACATTGGTCAAAACTAGTTGTTGCGAGTTGATTCAACTGTACACTACGAGATACCAAGAAGAATTGGGTAGTTTGATTACTGAGTTCATCAAAACTATTTGGGATTTGCTCAGTTCCATTGGTCCCCAGCCAAAGTATGATATCTTGGCTTCGAAATCGCTCCAATTTATGACCATTATTGCATCTCTTGAAGCATACAACAGCGCTTTGAAGTCTGAAGGCGCGCTTAAGGAGATAAGTGAAAAGATAATTCTTCCAAACGTTCTATTAAGAGAGTCAGACGAAGAGTTGTTTGAAGATGATCCAATTGAATATACAAGAAGGGATCTTGAAGGATCAGACTCTGATACAAGAAGAAGGGCAGCCACCGATTTCTTGAGAGCTTTGAAGGAAAATGAAGAGCAAGAGGTTACCAAGGTTGTAATGACTTATGTCAATCATTATCTTTCCGACTTCCAGTCAGACTCTTCTCATTGGAAATCGAAAGACCTGGCCATCTGTTTGTTCAGTTCGATCGCTGCAAAGGGATCTATTACTAATGCCGGAATTACATCTACCAACTTGCTTGTTGATGTTGTCAACTTCTTTTCCGAGTTTGTGGCTCAGGATCTGGTCAATCAGGTTTCACACCCAATTTTGAAGGTCGATGCTATAAAATACATCTTCACATTCAGAAACCAATTGACAAAACAACAATTGATTGAGGCTTTCCCTTTGCTTTCATCTCATTTCCAAGATAGCAACTATGTTGTTTATACATATGCCGCCATCACCATTGAGAAGATTCTATCGTTGAGAAATCCTGCTAGCCATCAGCAATTATTATTTGGCAAATCAGACATCCCTTCGGCAGTTTTTGAAGATCTTTTGATGAATCTGTTCAGACTAATGTTTAGCAAGGGCGATTCCCCAGAAAAGCTTGCAGAGAACGAGTTCTTGATGAAGTGTGCCATGAGAATTTTGCTAACTGCAGAAGATTCTTTGGGTACTGTTGCACCACAGCTACTGCAGCAGTTGATGAAGATTGTCGATATCATTGGGAAAAATCCTTCAAATCCAAAGTTTTCGCATTACACTTTTGAGTCTATTTGCGTCATAATCAAGTTCAACAACAGTCAAATCACGAGTATTTTCGAATTGATCAAGCCCTGTCTTCTATCTGTTTTGAGTCAAGATATTCAGGAATTCATTCCATACTCATTTCAAATTCTAGCATACTGTCTTGAAAACTTTCCACACACAGAGAAGATTCCAGTTGAGTACGAGCAGCTCATCAAGCCTCTTTGTTCGCCGGCAGTCTGGGAGTTTAGGGCAAATGTTCCCGCAATTGAGAGACTTTTGTCTGCAATTATCAAGGCGCAGCCAACTGTTTTCACATCTACCTCTTCTCTGACGCCTATATTGGGTGTGTTCCAGAAACTTATTTCTTCAAAACTGAACGATCATTTAGGATTTGACTTTTTGGAGGCAATCTTACTCAACATCGATATCTCTTATCTCAATCCGTTTATGAAAGAGATTGCAATGATATTGCTTTCTCGTCTTCAAACTTCTCGGACAGAGAAGTTTGTCAAAAGATTTATTGTCTTTTTAAGTTCTATCGCTGCATTACCTACCTCAAATGACCCAGCATTCAAGAAAAATCCACTGAACTCGTCTTTTGTCATCCAGTTCATAGAGAATGTTCAAGTGGGTATTTTCCAACAGATTCTGACTAGTGTTATCACGCCAACCATTGAATCATTCAACAACTTGCTTGATAAAAAGATTTTAATTGTTGGGCTGGTCAACCTTATCACCGAGCAATCACAAGTATTGGGGCTGGAGAACTTTAAGCTTGTCCTGTCTAAGCTTCTTAGGATTTCATCATCTGACAGCATCAAAAACTACAAAAACTTTAATGAGAATGTGGAGCTGCTACTTGAACTTGAAAATGATGAGCTTTCATTTGGGTCCAGTTTCAATCAATTAAACATCATTCAGCAAAGACCATTTGATCCTGTGAAGGAGATCAGCTCAAAGGAAATGATATCAACTTATCTCCGCACCAAGTTGACTTCGTTCCCAAATATTCAAGCTGTTTTGGTCACTTTAGATCAACCGGATCAAGAGCTTGTCAGATCATTGGGTATTTCCTGATTTGACACGTTTATCTTTACATGAAAACACTGTTGTTTTGTAATATACACACCTCTATCGTACTTCGTTATTTATCATCCTCTGCCGGTTGCTCGGGATATTGTTCTTCACTTTCATTATCTTTTTGCATGTCTTCAACCTTTTCCAATCGTTCCTTTTCAGCAATTTCGGCAGCGGTTAAAAATCGTCCTCCTTGTCCTCTTGGTCTTCTCATAGCATGCTTATGTCTGGATTCGTGTAAATAGGGTTTGCGACCGCGTTGAATCTTCAGATTCTCTTCAAGCTTTGCTCTCGCTATCCTCCTCTTGAGTATACGATGGTATTGTTTTGCATTCACGTAGTATGGTTGGTCAGGTTGCTGTTGCGTTATAGATGTATTGGAACGAATTTGGGCCGGTGGTGATGGTGTAGTGGGTAGTGGAGATTGATCGGTTGAAGTGGAATGGTAGTCGGCACCATCTAAGTAGTCTCCGGGAAGGGGTTGTTGGTGGTTTCGATAAATTAATCCTACTTGTTGAGCTTGTTGTTGGTCGGGTTGTGTGAATTCGGATGACATCGCCGCAGACATCGAGGTGTTGACAGCAGCTGCTTTATTATCGGACATTAGAAAATAGAATATCGTCGGGTCGAAAAAATTAAAATATACTGCGCCGGGTAATTTGCTTTTGATTATAATGGTCTAGGTTAGGCTACCACAACTCGTTCTTTGAATAACTAGACTTGATTGTCGTGTAGAAGATACATAAAAATTCCGAAATCGCCAGTTTCCTAAGCCAACAGAAATCCTGCTACATGATAACAATCTTTTTATCGGTTTAATCTGAATACTATTACACAAACTTTATAGCTAAACCCTTTTGATTAGACGGTATAGCTCAAAAATTGCTGCCGGAGTGATACCTTGAATTCTTCGTGCTTGACCTATTGTTTCCGGTGAGGTTTCGTTCAAAATGGTTCTTGCCTCCATTGAAAGAGCTGGAACTTCAGAATAGTCGAAGTTTGGAGGAAGAAGCAAGTTTTCGTCACTTTTGAAAGCTCTGATTTGAGCCATTTCTCTCCCTAAGTAGCCTTGATAGCTTCCAAACACATCGATTTTTTGCTTGAGATTTCTTGGCAGTCTGTCAAGCTCTGGATTCTTCAGCACTGGAAGAAGCGTTTCCAAAGAAATGTTGTCATAGCGGAGTAAATCAAATGCAGATTTGTAACTAGAATCCATCCTGATTTTTAAAGTTTCGACAGCACGATTCCAATCTTGTGATGTTAGTTTGAAGTCTTTCAAAAATGCAATGCTGCTTTCGTAAATCAGCTTGTCTTTGCTGAACGCATTCCATCTCTTCTCTGTGACACAGCCCAAATTGTAACCCTTTTCTGTTAATCTCAGATCAGCATTGTCTGCGCGAACACTAATTCTGAATTCGGATCTGGACGTGAACATCCGATAAGGCTCCTCGACACCCTTTGTAATCAGGTCATCAATAAGAATACCAATATAGCCATCGGATCTGTCGAGAATCAATTGCGGCTTCTTTTGTTCTGTAAGTCCTGCATTTATTCCAGCAACTATTCCTTGTGCTGCAGCTTCTTCATAGCCTGTTGTGCCATTGATCTGACCTGCCAAATACAACCCCTCCACTGCTTTCGTCTCCAATGATTTCCTAAGCTCTCTTGGATCAATGTAGTCATATTCTACCCCATACCCAGGTTGAAGCATCTTCACATTTTCTAGTCCGATGATATTCTTCAACATTTTATCTTGAATGTCTGCTGGCATGGTACAAGATATTCCGTTGGGGTAAACCACATCTGTATCCAAGCCTTCAGGCTCAAGCCAGATGCGGTGTTTCGGCTTATCAGAAAACCTAATAAGCTTCGATTCTATCGATGGGCAATATCTTGGACCTTTAATAGTCTCCCTTATATGTATGCTTTTATCGAGATTTGAGAGAATCAGGCTATGCATTTCAGGGGTAGTATAAGTAGAGTAGCACAACAACTGTTCTTCAATCTTTGGCTTTTCGTTCAAGAAACTCATTGGTTCAGGAGGATCGTCGCCCGGTTCGGGGAACACCTTAGAATAATCGATTGTCTTTGAACTAATTCTAGGTGGAGTTCCGGTCTTTAGTCTTCCTAATTTGAAGCCCAAACCCTGAAAGGTTTTACTCAAACCAAAGGATGCATCCTCCCCTATTCTTCCGGCAGGCCACACTTCAAGACCCAAATGTATTTCTGCGCTCAAGAATGTTCCTGTCGTAATAACAACTTTATTACAACGGAGAAGTTCGCCATCCGAAAGTACAACTCCACATATCTTTCCCCTTCTAAATTTTTGTCCCTCCTCGTTCGAGCTTGACTCGTCAATAATTAGATCATCCACCCTTGCTTCTAAAATATTCAAATTTGGGTAAGTCTTCAAATGGTTTTGCATTTCATTCAAATACAATTTGCGATCAATTTGCGCCCTATGTCCCCACACGGCCGCTCCCCTCGAACGGTTTAAAATTTTGAATTGAATTCCAGCCTTATCGACAATGGAAGGGGCAACTCCATCAAGAGCATCGATTTCTTTAAGTAATGAACCTTTTCCGATGCCTCCCAAAAGCTGGATTACATGATGTTACTCCAACTTTCGAAGCATCTGGAGTAATAAGGGTAGTCTCTATCCCAGTCCGCGCTGAACCAGATGCTGCCTCGACTCCTGCATGACCACCTCCAACCACAATAACAGGAAATAATGGTCTTTCCGTCAGCTTTCTTGATAATTCAGCAGTCAGTGACAAGCTCCTGTATTGTATCTCCTTGAACCTTAAGAAATGTGATGTTTTGGTAATGGAAATCATTTGAAAATATAAGTCTTGATCGGTTTTTTCAAATCGAATTTTTCCAATTTTTTATTCAGATTTATTAAGACAGATTGATTATGTCATACTTGCTTTACAAACATGTTTTTTTTGTTTCAAATAATGTGGGATTGACTGGCTTTGTTCACGATTAACATCTCCAGATTGTTTAAAATCATTGTATCTGGGTCTGAATTTGATATATATATATTTAAATGCAGCGAAAAGAATTTTGCATGCAGAATTGACGGATGCTGGTGACTCCATTTAGACCGACCATGTGCAGCCCTGCTACACCCAATTCATTCCAGCTCTAGTCTTAATTCTCCCAATAATATTGGATATTATCGTATTACTGATAGAGAAATGACAGGTACATGTATACTAGAAGCACACAATGCAAAATTTCACGTAGATTCTTATCTCCAAGAGCTAGAGCTTCTTGTATAATTCTGAAAAAGCTTCAACAAACACAAATGAGAATTCCTTTCAGTCTGACGTCGTCTAGAGAATTATATAGTCATCATAATCATTCATTACTACTTTCAGGCCTACCCCGCGGATCACTCTGGATCCTCTTCCTCTAATGGCACGGAAATCGAACTGTCAGTTGAATTTTCAACGTCCTCGATCCCAATTAAGATACTAGAGTTGAAAACCTGATCGTTGTATATGTCAAGTTCTTCTTCAAAACTTTTAATGTTTGCATTCCCCATCTCTTGTGAAAGCTGCTTATTAAGGATCAAAGAGGACGCTTCTATCTTCTCCATTCTTTCCTCCTCTTCAAAGTCGCTCATTTGGCTGGAGAATTTATCACTGTGATTTTCCATCTCCTTCATCTCTTTTCTCAATGTTCTCTTTTTTGCACGTTGCTGGTATCTAATTTTATCGTTATAGAGCATCTTCTCAATCTCTGAAGTGATCTCCAAATCGAAAATGCTTGAACTCAAATTGAGAATATTGTTTTCGATTGAACTTGCTTTGTCAGAGAAATTCAAAACGTCATATTTGGGTTCTAGCCTTATACGATGCAAAAGGAGTTTGACATCGTCGTAGTTCACCATTTTTCTATTGGCATGTCTAATGTAAGCATCCAAATCATTGAGCTCCTGAGTGAAGAAGTCCTCACTTATCCGTTGCAACTTTAGCAAACTTTCTTGTGATTGTAGCTTTCGATGTTCAGATTCCGGTAATACCCACCTGACCAAGCTCCGTATCATAGGCAGCGACATTTTTGGAGTCTTCAAAGACGTTGGATCAGGATTCTTGGACCTTTTTCTCATTGTAACAAATGATTGCGTTTTTGCTGAAGATTTGGAATTTAGCAACGAGAGGTCTGCAATTAAGCTTGGTGAATCTTCGTAATCACCAACACTTGCAGTAATTCCATCGTTGTCGTCATCATCATCATCGTCGTCGTCGTCGTCGTCTTCATAGGGAACATCGAGGTCAAAATTATCTAAATTAGTGTTTAGATCGTCTAGAAGAGGCAATTGGTCATCAAACAAATCGGTTGCTTCATCAATTGCATCCGAACCATAATCACCTTTGTTTCGAATAATTCCTTCGGGAATTGCGACGTTCGAATTGCTAAAAGACGCTTCTAGAGATAGTCTGCTGGATAATCTACCCTTCCTGGGAGTTCGGTCAGGTGTTGTGGAATCATTTTCTTTCAAAACTTTAGAGTGACTTGCTAGGTCAATCATTGAGTCAGTTGGATTAAGTTTCTCGTACAAGGTTTCGATCGCAGTATGCTGGAGCGGTGATTCCAATTTCCGCTTCTTCCTTGTATCTTCCTTCTCCAATGAGAGCAGTCTTCCCAGCATCTGCAAGTCTCGTCGCGGAGAGTAATTCTTAGTATTTTTCGCTTTGGTAACCGAGAGCAAAAGTCGGTGTCTTCTAGGTGTAGTACCATCAGAAATGGCCTGAAGAGTTATTGGTGTGGTGGGTCGCCTTGGCGTCCTGTTTGGAGTATTTGCACGAGATGAATTTCTTGATGGCGTTCTTGAAGATCGTGGCGTTGACTGGCGGGAGTCGACACGATCTTTTGTTTGCTGTCGTGCATGATGAAAGTCGTTCTGAGATCTTTCGGAATGCAAATCACCTGTATACTTTCTAGGTGTACGTAGCATATTAGATGGATTCAAGCCCGATGCTCTAAAACTTGTGGCGGCATCAGCACTAGGATTCGTTTCTACGCCAAAATGTCCGGCAGGCGAGAGAAGCGACTCATCAGCCTCAGGCGCGTTATCTCTCGTAGGTGATGGATGAGAAGTCATGTATACAGCAAGTTTAGTACATCAAATCTCCAAACGAGTTATCAGTGGTAGTATTGACTACTGAGTCAATATGGCTATGTCACTCTCGACAATAGAATTCGTGATAACCTTTTTTGATTGTTTTGATCAATATCAGGAAAAAATCAACAATCTTTGATACTTAGCCACTTTAGCCACAAATCAAAATAAAATATTGTCAAAAAATTTTGTCTATTGTATTTATATGCGCAGAATGTCAGATCAAGCTGATGGTTTAGATGACGGGCTTGCCTACAGCCACAACAACTCTGAACATGAATTATCAGAGCACGGTAGTGATGTAGAAGAATGCCTTACAGAAACGAAGGAGAACGTCAATATTGAAGTGAGCTCCAAAAAGCGAAAAAACAAAACTGACAAGTTGTCACAGAAGAAAAAGCAGAAAATGGAGTTCGACATCGAACAAAAGCGAAGTCTTGCAAAAGAGTCCCCTGAAATTATTTTCGATAGATTAGCATTGAAGGTTAGACAGCATAATCCGAATCTTTCGGCTTTGGAATTGAGTGATTTATATATAAATAAATCGTCATTGAAAAGTTCACAAAACTTTGTCATTGAACGAACGCTAGATCATTTGAAGGATTTCCTACAGTCAAATCTTCAGAAAATTCTCAATGAGAAGAAGTTCATTTTGATATTATCTGTCTCCGCAAGACGCGCTTGTGATGTGTTCCGAGCTACAAAATCAATTCCAAATGGTGCCCTCAAATTGATAAATAAAAACAAGCTTCAGGACGATTTAGCAGTTCTCAAAAAATCAAAATCTAGAGTTCTTGCTGCAACGGCCGGAAGGGTTGCGAAGATAATTAATCACGAAGATAACGTTCTGGAGCCAGAGAGTATTGGAGGAATTGTGTGTGATTCCACTTTCCTTGACACCAAACTTCAAAACGTATGGGACTACAATGAGACTTTTCAAGTCATTCATGAGATCACTTCTAAAAACACACACTGCAAAGTCTATTTGTTCTGACTGATGAATCGAATATCTATCTTATCGAGACGGTAAGTCAACCACAAAATATAATTTATCTGTGCGATTTCCATAAGACTCTTACACTGTTAGGGTTATATCTGGCTTTTGTCTTGTCATTTTCAGTAAAAGGGTTTTGTTGAATAGCGGAGTTCAGACCAGATTCATCTGGTGAAGGGTAGCTACCAATTTATCGTAGTGGCATAAATCTCGTGCGTGTTCTGTACGCTTATGCCATAAATTTTCATGAATTTTTTTTACGATAAATATTGACTTTCAGACATATATTGATAATTGACCATCATGTATCAATGGTCTTCAAAAGCGCTCGGGAGAAAAAGCTTTTGTTTGCTTTCTAGAAGGCTCATTTCACTTTCTTCGGTGCAAGGCAAGGTACAAAGTCCGAAGATCAAGACTGAACACAGACTTTCATACGAAAAAGCTAATAATACTCGTGTCGGTGATAGTGCTATCCAGAGGCCCCAAAGTGCAACAGATTTTGGAAATTACAAAAGAGAATCTTTCGTTTTGAACCTCACAGAAGAGGATGCTTTGAAAATTCCATCTATTCTAGCTCTTCACGCCAGATTGAATTTGTCGCCAAATTTCGAAAAGCGTACGCTTGTGAGGGCTCTTACATCAAGAATGGAAGATAATCAATACGCCGACAATCAGCAGATGGCTATTTTTGGTTCGAATATTCTGTCTTACTACGTGACAGAATACCTTTTATCCACGTATCCAAGACTACCTATAGCCATTTTAAAGGCTGCTACGGAAGCTTACATTGGCGATTTCTCGCTTCATGATGTCGCTAAAAATCAGTGGGGCATAGAGGCAGACACCAGCACTAACCTAGAAAAGTATTTGTTGAAGGAGCCGAAGCTGTTCAAATTTGGTAAACTTAGGTTTGACCAGTTGGTCACTGATGTCGAGGATGGTATCACTAGATTCAATAACGCGTCCAAGACCTCACTTGCAGCGTCTACGGCCTTTGCCAACAGTGCTAGAGCGATTGTTGCTGGTGTCTATGCCGCAGATGGTGAAGCATCTGCTAAAGAATTCATTGACTTGCATATACTGTCGAGAAAGGTGGATATCTCTTCGATGTTTGAATTCGAAGAGCCAGGCAAGTTGATCACAAGGCTTTTAAGGACGAAGAACATGGAGCTTCCAACCATCAGATTGATTTCTGAAACTGGTCGGCAATCCAGCTCGCCAACATTCATTGTTGGGTGCTTCAGTGGAGATAGCCTTCTTGGTGAAGGACAGGGCTCTTCTTTAAAAGAAGCAAGAATTAGAAGCTGTGTTAATGCTTTGAAAGCTTTCTATCTCTACAGGCCTCTCGATCCAAAGCGTCCAAGTGAATCTACTTTCAAGCCCATGTTCGTGGATGAGGGAGAATCATTCTATTGAAAGCTCTGGTTTTTTCACTGATTACATTCTGTACATATGATAAGTGAATAAGATGCATTTTATATAATTCGATAATACTTTTCTCACGATTGGACTAAATGATCAGTGTCTAACCTCAACTTTTCTTTTATGAGTTTATCCGGACATAGGTTTCAACCAATCTTAATTGGTCGTCATTCAGTTTTCTCGAAACCAGCTCATTTGCCAATTCGATATTTGACTGGTCTTCAAAGTTTTGGGATTTCAGCTTCAAAAGCAATGCGTAATCTATTACGGCGGCTCTCCGAATTGCAGTGTGCTTAGATTGTAGGGCCTTGTAAAGAGCCACATCAATCTCAAATATTGACTCAGAAGTCAAAGCTGACACATCCAGAAGTTTTCCTAATCTGTTCAACAGAAGGAGCTGTGTCCCCATTCCCAAAGACTTGAAATTGTATAGTTTCCCAACGATTAATTCAAGTTTCGGAAACAACTCAAGAAATTCTGAAAGCGCCAAAAACAGTTCTTCCGAGTCGTCGGGGTTTCCAATAAGAGAACTTAATTCGAAAAGCTTTTGAAATACCCTTTGACTTTCACAACAATTACTCTTCAAATAAGAGCATCGTAAAAGTGTGAGAGAAGCAAGAATTTGAGGCAATGGAAGTTCAACGGACAAAAAGTTCAAAGTGAGATTGCAAATCTCGGCTGCTTCGATAGAACTGATTCCGTCATTCACTATCGCGCCTAACAGAAGTAACTCATCAACAGAAGCGAATCGCTGTGTTATCCTTTCTTTTAGAATCGCAAGCTGCTCAACATCCGCTCTTATTCCGACCATATGACACGACTCGAATCCAAACCACGTATCAATTTCTTCAAGAGGCACTGCTTCATCCTCGTATATTTCAACTTTTGCTGAGGAGCTAGTCAGAAGAGATAGAGGATCTGTCGATTCCATAATTGCGCTCAATTGGTTGCTAGTGTGTGGAGCAGATCTGAATGTGTCTTCGTCCGCAACTTGACCTGTTACTGGATCAGCATCTTGTTCTGCCAGCGTCAATTGGTCAAGATCTGGTGTATTATCCGACATAACCTGCCCTCTATCGAGGTCCATGTTTTCAGTTTCAGATACTCCCAAGCTTTCCAATGGGCCAACTCTATTGTGAGCTTCCTTGAACTTGGTGGATACAACGTGACTCATTGCTGAAGAAGACGAGTTAATTGGGGCCAGATTGGACTTCTCCACAAAAGGGTTGTCCAAGGGTGCGTACGCGCGTGAGTTTTCTTTCAAAGGAAATTTGGGCATGATCATAGTCATGTCTGATTTCACGTCTTTAATTTGATCGAACTTTTTGCCGACAACCATTGTTAAACCATCATTTGAATTTTCCTCCATGTCGGGGATATCCATATAATCCGAAATGGGGGAAGACGGGATAATCAATGTGCTGCCTATTTCTGTTGGAAGTCTTCCTTTTAACTCTAACTTCATAATTTTTCCTTCGCTCTCATTGAAGCAATCGTTGAACTCACACTGGTTACTTCTGTATACCGATTCAATAGCTGAAAGAAGCTTTCCTGGTTGTATGTGAACTATCTCCCAACATTTCAATAGTTCTTGGATCAGCGTCTTGACAACTGAGGAAGAAATAAATTTCAGATCCTTTTTGAACAGGTGCTCAACAAAAAAAAAGCAGGTATCCATGAACTGGACTCTGTACTTAACATACTGCATTGACAAATTAATATCATCGCACTTTGAAGCATCAATGCACATGGAAATGACATTTGAAATAGCGCATATCATAGTTTCAAAGTCTTGAGAACCAATAATATCCTCGACATTGGCCTCAGTTAACTCCGTCTCAATGTTGTAGTAGCAGCTGATACGGAGCAAGTTCTCGGCTTCCAGGTATAATGAAAGCTTTCGAAATGTTTCGCTTGACTCAAACATCATAAAGAACATGCCAGGACTGGCTATCGACAATCTGTTGACATTAATTTCAAACTTGCTTGGAAGTGGTTCGCCGCTCGTGTTGATCAATTCACGGAGACCCTCCGCTTGACGAGACTTGTCTTCCGAGGATAAAGACTCATAAATGGAATTTCGTCTCCTTTCTTCATCTGATAAACTATCATTTGAGAAATCCGATGCCCTATTTATTTTTTCAATAGGGAGATTTAATGTGAATGTTCCCGTGGTGTCATCCTTTTTTTGACCGTTGTCATTATTTTCCTTTTCCTCAATTAAGTTTTGGTCAGGGGATTTGGACTCTGCTGAAGACATCTTGGTGGAGGAATGAGCTGCAGAATTAGAGCTATAGCCATGTATATCCCGTTCTAGTCTAACTTTGGACAGTTTTGGATCACTATCAATACGTTGGGAGTTCCCCACGTGATGAGATTCCCGCTGACGGGCCATTATGAGCTCCTTCATTGAGGGCCTATGGCCCAGCTTTTGCCTGGACTTCAAAACGGCATTGTCTTGCATTTGGCGTGGGTTTGCTCTCTCCAGCGCCTTGCATGTGTTCGCATCCAAACGTCCCATTATGCGATTAGAGATAGCAGGAAAAATACTGTTAAGTCCCCAAAATGCCGCCCGCATGGTCTCACGGACAGCGGGAGCTGGATCTGCCACTCCCTTCTGAATGCATTTTTCAACCGATTCGAGGAATGTGGGATTATCGACAATAACTCTATTTTCCTTATGCTTGAGAAGGAGGATAAGAAGCCATATCCCTGAGTAGACTCTGGGTTGCGCATTTTTGTCTTGGGTGGCTAATACAATTTGATTCAATATTCTCGGATTGTATCCGGCGTGAACCAGGAGGCCAACAATTCCAGCATGAGCGTTTTGCTGGGAAATTGACTTGCGTGCAGAAGTGAGTTTTATAAGCGAATTCATAAGCATGTCAACCAGTGTGCCATCCAGAAACTGGCCAAACAAGATACCAAGCTCTTTGCATAATTGGCAACCATTACTTGATAGTGTAGTTCGTAAAGAAGAAACTGCTTTGCAAATGCACTCCTTCTCTTGCTTGAAAAATTGGGAAAGCAAACTGCAATATTGAGAGACCGAGTTCCCTCTCAGTATTTGCCTCATCTGTACAATTGCCTGTTCTCTTGGACTCCAATTGAACTCAGTCTCTTTACCCTGAAAAGGTGATGTCAATGACTCTAATTTTTCCAAAAGTTGTTCTTCGTTGGTAAACGATATGGCGACTATGCTGCTATCAATAGAGTATAACGGAGTATTCTCTAAAATGCTAGACAAGCCGACATGGACCCCACTACGTCCATCCTCGTCATCACTTTTGCTTGAGTCTGTTGATGTTGCAGAGTGCGCACGACCGGAGGAACTAGTTCTTGACCTATGACCTTGAATTGATGGCCGAGTAGATCCTTGGGATGGAGCAAACCTGGACTGTTGTTGGTCGCTGGTATTATCAAACTGAAATCTTGACGCCCCGGATTTCGTGGAAACGCTGGGATTGGGTGGACCTGTCGCAGTGACCTTCGTGGATCCCGCACTTATGAAAGATGCCTGTTCTGATAATCGTTTATATTCAATGATAAATTCCTCGTCAATACGTGTCAGAAGGCGAATAGCTTGGGTGCGGGATATTTTGGTTTTCAACAGGTGGTTGACAAGATCGCTTTTAGCGGTCCTATTGGTTGGGTTGACGACTTTGAACACTAACGTGAGTAATTCGCAAGCAGTGCTAGAGACTTTCGAATCGTTATCATCTAGCAGGCATACAGCTTCTGGTAAAAATGGTTTGAAAGTGAAGCCAGGAGTGTTATCCACTATTTCCCAAAGCATTCTCAAAACTTCATACCTTATTCGAGGATCAAAATGCCGTAGTCCATAAGTCTTCAGTGAAACTTCAAATTCGTTTGGAACCGCTTGCCAAAACGTTATCATCGCCTTTTTAGCTGTGTTTCTAAGAGAGATCTTGTCATCATCCAGGCGGTCGATGAGGAAAGGGACAACCTGGTAGTCAACAAGTTTTAATACATTGGCATCTTGGATACTGACGCGCTTCACCAAGTGGCATATGGTAGAAAAGGCATTAGTCGCCAATACTGGTTTGTTGTATGCCAGAATCAAGGCTTCGAAATACCTGGGAACATAAGAGAGGTTAACCAAATCTCTTTTAATGCGTGCTTTGAACTCAACAATCAGGTTTGTTGCCAACTGTTCATCAGACGACAATATCGCACGAAAAAGTGCATCGCCACTTATGTTAGCCATCTTACTTCTAGCTTTACACAGACTGGATTTAATGGAGGGCACTTGATTTGTAAACAACGCGAAAACAAATTTATTCCGATTAGGTAAGCTGTTATTCTTCATATACAGGAAGCAGAATCTTGCCAGATTTGTGTCTAACACCATTGTATGAGCATGCAAGCTTGCCACCAAACTCACTAGGCTGACTCCATCCTATTTGTGTGTTTTTAAGTGACACTCCGTAAACACTATTGTCCTCAATTGCTCGAAGCAAGTGCATTGCAATTCCCAGTCTTCGATATTTGTGACTTACATAAATCCTTGAAATGCCCATCACTAAAGGAACTGACTGATGAGGTACAATCTTTCCAGATTCATAAACCATCCACTGGCCAGCATTCACTCTCTCTGTAGAGCAGATTGCAACGGCTTTATTTCTTATCAGAAATAGGAACACCTTACCTCCGTTGACATCGCTCAGCCAAGACTTGTTACCCTCCGGTGCATTAAGTACTGTATTCGCTATCTTCAACAGTTCAACTGCGACCGCAGTTTCCTTGGCAGAAGATGGATTAATCTCAACTATTCTACCATCCACACCTGATTTCAATCGATGGTTTTTGATAAAGATTCCAAACTTCATGAAACCAGGCCCCAAATCAATTCCCTCAACAGCCCTTTCGTGATACTTGTTGTGTGACTGTTGATCAGCTTTTAGATGCGGAATATACGACATTTGGCACTGGGGACAGATAGTTTTGCGTAAAGACGAATTGAAATAAAGCTGTTGGGGTCCTTTTCGGACCTTGGACAATGAGTTTTTGCTCACTTTTGAGCCGGAATTCGTGGTTCTCGAAAACTCTTGATCGTTGGGCTGTCTTTCATGCACGAATTTCTCTGAATTTACCATCGAATTCGTATGATTGGGCAGTTCTTCTCCACCAACACTTGGAATGTTCAGATTCAATTTATCTGCGTTATGATACCATTTATTGGTACCTAACTCCATAAAACCATTTGGTCACAACAACGAAATTGTTCGGCTAAGAGGTTGTTTTTTTTTTTGGAAGAAAAAGTCTAGTGCTAGGCAATGTCTACATATAAGAACCCAAACCCAGATTTCGAACATTTATTACCCGCTTCATCTCATTGGAAGACAAAGATCACAGACTGGTTACAGGAGGATATTCCTTCGTTTGATTTCGGAGGTTTCGTGGTTGGAGATAATATACAATCTGCCACCCTCTATTGTAAGAGCGAGGGTGTTCTCTGTGGAGTCCCATTTGCCAACGAGGTGTATAACCAGAACGGCCTAACATACGATTGGTATGTCAAAGAAGGCACATTTCTTGACCCAGCTTCTTCGGCAGATAAAAAAATCAAAGTTTGCACGGTTTCCGGACCAGTGAAAGACATATTAACTGCCGAGAGATTGTCTCTGAACATCTTATGTCGGTTAAGCGGGATCGCGACTCAATCTTTCAAAACTGTTACTAGCGCTCGTCAAGCTGGATACAAGGGAATTATTGCGGGGACCAGAAAAACGACACCAGGTTTGAGACAGCTGGAAAAGTATGCAATGCTCGTCGGAGGTATCGACCCTCATAGAAATGACCTTTCATCAATGATAATGCTTAAAGATAATCATATCTGGGCAACTGGATCTATCACCAAGGCTGTTGAGAACGCTAGAAAAGTTGGAGGATTTAGCATCAAGATCGAGGTGGAAGTGCAAAACGAGAAGGATGCTGATGAAGCAATTGCTGCTGGTGCAGATATAATCATGCTAGATAATTTTCAAGGCGAGCAATTACAAACGGTTTCCAAATCTTTGCGTGAAAGATGGTCAGGAACGAAACATTTTCTCCTGGAGTGCAGTGGTGGTCTCACTTTACAAAACTTGGCCGAATACTTGAGCAATGACGTTGACATATATTCAACATCTTCAGTTCATCAAGGTTGTTCTATTGTTGATTTCAGTTTGAAAATAGCTAAATCCTGATAAATTACAATTACAATCACAATCATTTAGCTTTATTATATAACGCCAATGCACACTTGCATGCCATATTGTACGAACGTGATCGCTGAAATGTATTTATTTTGGAAGTTGCTGGCTCTTCTCTTTCTGCTGATGTTGCTTTGCAACTGCATAGACAATACCTGCAACAAATCCAATAAAAATGGAAGAGATAGAAAAGAAGTTGATTGGAGCATCAAAGAAAATCAATCCACTCAAAGCAATTGGTAACTTGTTCAAAGCACCCACCATAGAATAAGTTGTGGACGAAGTGACTCTGATACACCAGCCTGAACAGTAGGAGATACCAACGGAAGAAGCTCCTGAAAACACCATAGCAGAAATAACGGCATATCTGCTGGACTCAGGGAAATTGAGAGCAACATTCTCAGCAGACCAGTCTTCCAATAACAATGATGCGATAAGCAAAATTGGGATAGAAAGCAGGTTGTTGTAGAACATAGTGTCAAAATCTTTGAAGTTCGTGAGCTTGATTCTCTTTCTCATGGACAAAACGAATGTAGCCGAAGAGAAACAGTTAAGGAACATCCAGAAGTATCCAATTCCAATGGCAATGTTTCCAGTCTCGTTATCAGTGTCACCGTAACAGGCAACGACTGATGAGAGGACCATAAGGATAAATGATCCCAATGCCATAGAAGTAACCGAACCTCCAAACCATAGAACTTCACCATAAGCAATCAAAATAATTGTAAGATTCTTAAAGATGGTGTAAACGGGGATGCTCAAAAATTGCAATGCTTTGGAAGAGGTGTAAATCATACCAACCAAAAGGAATGCAATAGGAGACCATTTCTTAGCTTCCGTTGAGTTGAACTCTCTGTAGGTGATAATTCCCAGAAACTTGAGAACAGAGATAGTTGCAAGACACACAACAGATTGGACGGCCAACAAAAAGAAGTTCAAGTTGAAATCTCCAGAAACCACATATTTGTTGGTGACAGTCATAAGAATAGACGATGCACAATAAGCAAAAATGGACACTGGACCAGAGTTAGCAAGTTGACCCAAGAGAGAGCCGGCCTGGGGTGGCTGCTGAATGGTAGCAACCGGAGGATCTTCTTTCTTCTCAGACATGGTGAGATGAATTGTATCGCAAAAGATTATAAACAAAATGTTTTAAAGGACACGAAATTTCAAAAATTTCTCCTGGCCAGCCTGGCAATTTTTGGCGGGCAGCATTACATGAGATCTACGTTAATTACACGTGCTGATGGATGCCAAATTCCGCTTAGCCTTCTGATTCCAGTAATGGATATCTACAACATGGATCAGTTAAAGCTTGTCTTTGGACTTCATTACCGCTAACGCATCATCGCTTTATAGTTTTTATTGCGTTCCGAGCTTAGGAAAGTCTAGTGCAAATGGAGTGAAACTAAAATCTAAGCAGGCTTGAGGTGTGCGCCTGTATTTTCAAATTCAGTCTCGCGAATAAATAACATCCTTGCACAAGAATCTTTAGGATGGCCGACGACGACACGGAACTAAGCAAAGAAGAGAGACTGGAGGCTGCTAGAAAGAAGTTCGAAGACTTGAAGAAAAAGAAGAAGAGCAAGAAGAAAAGTAAAGATGATAACAAAATTGAACCCCCACAAACCGGCGTGGACAAACATGAATTTGACAATCAAGGAGAACACAGCGACAGAGACTCACAGGTTACTTCTCAGGTCAAATCATCGGACACACATGAACAGGAGATACAAATAGAAAGCATCGACGATAATGCAGATGACAAAAAACCGGCAGTCTCTGAAAAGGTGGAGCAACTCCAAGTAGGCGTGAATCCATCAGAGGATTTTAGAACTGATGCTACAGGCACATCAAAAGCCAATGCATCTGAGGCTTCTGATCTTCTGTCTTCTGATATCTCTGGTGGTGTCACTACGGGCGGTATAAATAGTTTGAGCTCTTCGAGTAAAGAGATTAGCCAACTCTCGATAGAGATGAGAGAAATCAAGCTTTCTTTGAGCGAAGCGGAATCTCTTAACCAGAATCTCAAAAACGAATTGTTAGATTTGAAGCTTTCCAAGTCGGAGCTTGAGAGAGAATTAGCAGATCTGAAAAAGGAGCTACAGTCATACAAGTTGCAATGCCAAAACCTTAAACAGACACTTGATGAAAATGTCCGCGGCCGTCATAGCGATAATCTCAGAGATATTGAAATCAATACCTCGGTGAAAAGTGCTCGAGGATCTCACCTTGTCGAACCCACCAAAACATTCCAACGATTCAACAGCTTCAACAATATTTCTAATGATTATCTGAATATTGTTGACGTTAGAGAACGGCTAGTTCAATGGCAAGGCTGGAATATTGATATGAGATCTTGGAGAAGTGTTGGAACAGGGCCACTGGTGGAGTTATGAACTTAAATATGGTAAGTAATTATCTGCGTTTGAATGCGACATGGCTGTGCACAGAACGAACTTAAAGGCAAAAAAATGATTTGAGTGCCTTAGTGACAATGTTTGCTCGATGTATTACAAGAAGTGGATATGCGGGTTTCTTTCTAAGAAAACAAATTCGGCAGAAGTCAGGACAGATTAAGACATCTAAGGTGATTGGAATTGATCTTGGGACTACCAATTCTGCAGTGGCGGTTGTGGAAGGAGACAAACCTAAAATTTTGGAGAACCAAAATGGAGACCGTACGACTCCTTCAATCGTAGCGTTCACGAAAGATGGCGACGTTTTGGTTGGCAATCCGGCAAAAAGACAGAGTGTCGTGAACCATACGAATACTTTCTACGCCACAAAGCGACTTATAGGACGAAAATATCACGACAAGGAAGTGCAAAAGGACATAGGTAAGATTCCTTACAAGATTTGTGAACACCGAAACGGTGACGCCTGGCTGCAAACCTCGATAGGTGGAGGACAGGCTTATTCACCATCTCAGATAAGCGGTTTTGTTCTAAGAGAAATGAAGAAGATAGCAGAGCATCATCTGGAAGCTGAAGTGAATAACTCGGTGATCACGGTTCCCGCATATTTTAATGATGCACAACGTCAAGCGACGAAAGCAGCTGGCGAACTTGTTGGGCTCAATGTCATCAGAGTTATAAATGAGCCAACTGCGGCTTCTCTGGCATACGGTATTGGAACCAAAGGCAAGAACGATGGTATCGTGGCCGTTTATGATCTTGGGGGAGGTACATTCGATATTTCGATTCTTGATATTGAAGATGGCGTTTTTGAAGTACGATCTACAAATGGAGACACTCATTTAGGTGGGGAAGATGTTGATAACATATTAGTTGAGTTCATTTTAAGTCAATTTAAGGAGCAGTCGGGTATTGATTTGGCGAAAGACAAAACTGCGATTCAGAGAATCAGACAGGCATGTGAGAAAGCAAAGATTGACTTATCTCATTCCCAGAAGACTGTTATTGAGTTGCCGTTCATTACATCAACTGAGAGTATATCAATCACTCTCACCGAAAAGGAACTTGATAACATGTGCGAAGAACTGATCGAAAAAACAATGGCTCAAGTTCGCAAGGCATTGAAAGACGCAGATCTCAAACCAGCAGATATTAATGACGTGATTCTTGTTGGAGGTATGACTCGGATGCCTAAAATCAGATCGGAGGTGGCACAGTTTTTTGGTAAGAAGCCGAGCACCAAGATAAACCCAGATGAGGCAGTTGCCTTGGGTGCTGCTATTCAAGGGGCGGTTTTGTCTGGAGAAGTTGAAAACGTTCTTCTTCTTGATGTCACCCCTCTCACTTTGGGTATAGAGACTTATGGAGGCATGTTCTCTCCCCTTTTGCCAAGAAATACGTCTATTCCCTGCAGGGTGACTCAATTATACTCGACTGCAATTGATGGTCAGAGTGCTATGGACATCAACGTTTATCAAGGTGAAAGGCCTCTTGTTCAAGACAATACACTTATAGGAAACTTCAAGTTAACGGATATCCCACCAATGCCAAAGGGGACTCCACAGATCGAGGTGATGTTTGACATAGATGCAGACGGTATAATCAAAGTCACTGCAAAGGACAAGAACAGCGGTAAGAAGTCATCCATCACAGTTTTCGGTAAGAGTGGATTGACAAAGGAAGAAATTGAACATTTGGTAGACGAAAGCAAGCACACCGCAAAGCAAGATCAGGAGAAACTGTCTATTTTGAGGCAGGTGAACAATCTCGAACTGGTTATCTTCGATACTGAACAGGCTTTGGAAGGGGTAAGCAGATACGTTGATGACGAATCTAGAGACACCGTTCACCACAAACTCAAAGAGATCAAGGCTGTCATCAAGGATTTCAGGAGTGGTGGGGTGCAAAATCAACAAATTATAAAGAAGATGCAAGAAGACCTACAATCTGAAGCTCTCGATGTCATTCGCAAAGCAGTTGAAAGGAGTAAACAGAGTAAAGCAAAAAAGTAAGTAATTAAACTTGATTGAAGCCATCATACCTCGAGAAACAGTTGATTAATCGGACTCTTGTGTGTAAACGATTCTCAGTTCCAACAATTGCAGTAATTACTAATTTTCCGCATTCAGTTTTTTTTCTGGACGCGTCGTCGTGTTGTTAAAAAAAGGTGAATCAGCAATATAGATTAAGTCTTCTTCTGCGCACAAATATAGTTAAATTGCGCACCAAGGTATCCGAAGTATTGGCCTAGCTGGAAATTCTCTGTGATAGATAGATACAAAAAGCCATCGCACTCCAAGAAAGGTCTTCATTCCCATTCACGCAAGAAATTTTAGGTATAAACAAAGTCGCCAGCTCCAAGGTTTCAATGTATAATCATCCAAATTTATCGACCTCTTCTACGGGTTCCTATTCCAAACGGTTATCTTCAAATAATCCGTTCAGATCTGCGCTTCTTCTTGAAGAAACAAGAATGGCAAGCGAAGATTCTAACTACAAGCGTTGGTTGGAAAAACATACTGAGGAAAATGATGATTCAGACGATGAGAACTACCCACCTCCACGAGTTAACGTGAAACCAAAGTTGTATGCTACTAACTCCGAATCGTCAATGTAAGTATACTTTTTATTTCGGTTGGGCGAAGCACAGAAAGCAAACTTGCTAAAAATATTTTAGGGTATGCCCTTACAGAATCAGTTCTCAAAGGTTTAACGCATGATGGCTGAGTAGATTTAAACTTCTTGGCTTGCTCATAGTGGTATAATATTTTCCGTGCAGAGGTGTTAGGGTACCAGAAAATCGTGTTTTGAGAGTTCCTTTTCCGAGTCTCGCGCAGTTTCAGCATTGGAGGTAATAAGCATCCGCCGGTCAGAAGTTAGGCTCAAAACATTTTTATTATCCACTTTTTTTACTGCGCAATAGCTTGCATTTTCAAGTGTTATAAAGACCGAGTCTTGATTCAGCTGTTCCCCAGTCTAAAACCTTTAGTGTTTGCTGTTAGTCCTTCTGCCCCCCTACCTATTGATTACTAACAGACAGTATTCCAGATAGAATGTCAAACAACCCCTTTACGGAGATGTTATCTCCTGCGTCTACCGGATCTAGGGGTGGTCGAAATAGACCGCACGAGGAGGCCTCCAGAGTTGTTCCTAGTGTCAACAGATCACGGAAGGAGGAGGCTTTTGGCTCGCATTCCAACTATTACGATGACCATGATCTTCCTCCTCCATACGATGAAGTGACTAACAAGTACAAAAAAGACGAGTATCCAAAGGACGAGAAAACTAGAAAGAGCAGTGATTCTGGCTCTTCTGGCTCTTCTTTGAACCCGTTTCCCGCCTCATCTGTTCCAAAGCAGAGTCACAAGCCTCGGAGCGATTCAAATCGTAAGCGGCTAGATGCTGAACAGTTGACAGGGACTGTAGTGACTAGAATTGCTTCAGATGGGAGGGTGAGATCAAAAAGTGCCGGAGAGCCAAGTAGACCGCGGAAAAGCAGCGAGCAAAAATCTTCCAGGCATCATAAAGAGCATAGGTCACACCGTCATCATCGCTCAAAAAAGCACACTGTGATGGAGAAACCGAAAAATTTGGATACGATCGACAAATTGGATGTCACAGGGTTCTTTTCCGGTGGAGGGTTTCATCATGACGGTCCTTTCGATGCATGCACGCCACACAGAAACAAAGACACTAAAGCTGCGCCTGTAATGGCTTTTCCAGCCGATGGCCCAAATAACTCTATCAAAGGAATGGCTCCCAAAAATGCAAGAGAGCAACAAATTGATATGGTGTTCGGGTATAACGAAGAGGATTCTATTTACACTCCAAAAACACAGTCTTCGCATGTCCCTGGAAAGAGTCCATATAGCAATGGAGTGGTTGTGAAACGTGCTTCAACCTCAAATAGCACTTTGCTAGATTTGAAACCGAATCCAAACGTTGTGGCGTTCGACTCGAATGTCAAATCAGCCCCAATTCACGGTGATACCACACTAGGCTTGGGCTCTTCTACATTCTTGGATGGTGCGCCGGCTTATGGTGCGCAAGAAAGGAAAGACAGCGGAGAACTGGGAAGAAAGAAAAGTCTTGTGGACAGATTGCGCAAAAAGGACGATGAGACTACAGGTCTGTTAAGGAGAGTCAAAAGTTTGAAAGTTTCCTCTAGAAGGTAATTTGAGCGGCATGCTTTCTGAGATTATGTTTTTTACGTTTTGGTTGTGTATTGCTTTAGTTTAAAAACAACTGCCTTTGAACGCACTTAAACTTTAAACTGGTGAAATCAAAGAAATTGGAGAAGAATCAAGTGTGGAGCAGCTTGTTCTCAAATGGTCTCAATCATAGCAATTTCGGCTGAATCTTTTAATATATTAGCCAGACCAGACATATTTTAAATTAAATCAGTCTTCTGAAATACCGATGTCTCAAAAGCAACTTTTCGGGTTTGTGCCATTGACTTATAAATAAATGCTGTCAGATCAGAAAGCTATTCCGGTAGCCATTATACGGTCGGACTCAAGTGATGAGGTCGCATATGACTCCATTGAAGTTAAGTGGACCCCTCATCAAATTTCTAAATTATCGAACCTTGCCCGCGGGATTATCAGACACAATGATACATACAGTCTGAAGTGTAACTTCACTGAATTAAGCAAAGAGTTCAGTGTGAAAAAAGAACTGATTTACAAAAAGCTAATCGAGGTATACTTCGAACTTCAAGAATGCCACCATGACCTTGCAAGCATGGAGTTAGATGTCAAAAAAGGTAGGAACGAAAAAGGCGAAAATGTAAGTATAGTCTCAAAGGCTCCTATAAGTCATCTTTCAATGCTCAAATTGGGCAGCAATTCATCAGGTCCTGAAGTAAACTCAGCTAAAGAGGAGTGGCACCCAGATGCTCGGTCATTAAATAAATTGGGATTTTTCTCAAGTCATCTCGGTTACGACGACAAAAGTGAGGGACCCGATGACTCTGGAAGTCTTGACCTTCAGGGTGAGACCTCGGCTTATCTATACCGATCGAAATTTCTTCTTAAGTCAGAAGCAGTGCATAATCCCGTCCCAGATACTGAGTCACGCGACGATGAACTTGACAGGAGCGACGAATTACTTCTTACTGGTACTACCGAAAGCCTAAGTAATTCATTACTAGAGCAGGTAATACTAGAGAGGCTCTAGTGTTGCGTTCCTTTAGTTGTTATTTGTTGGGTTACAGACATTGAACTTTTCTGAAGTATAATAAATGAATGCATCTAAACTGTGCATTAAAATTTGTTTATTTTTTTTCGTTTGTCAATCGTACTTCGAAACGAAATAATCATGTCGTTGAGAAAAAGCTTGTACAAACAAAGCTCGCGGGCGTTTGGTTCAATAGGAAATTCGAGTGATGTGGCGATTGACGAGAAATATTGGGTTAAAGAATGGTATTCTCCGCATAAATCCAAGGACCCATTGGTTCGTCAACAGGCCCCGACAGTGGGCTCAGTACAAAGTCCGTCGGGTGTTACAACTCCCTCTGAGCTCACACCTCAACCACAACAGTTTCAATCAAATCAGCCCCAATCTCAAACTCCTCAGCCTGCAAAAAGTCTGCGATTTAAACTGAGGGTGTGGACCGTGACCGATACCAATAATTTTAAAGATTGCTTAGATGAGGACACTGACACGGCCTTGGATCTAAATTCTCATCCTTATCTTGCTGGCAATTTTGGATCGAGGGAGGCTCAGGCGACAGGGGCAACTGGCCTAACAGATGCAGATATTAAATCTGCCGTCAGTGGAACTGGAGACGGTAGACTGTTCTCTAGCAGTGCTGCACCTTCAATAGAAGATCAAAAAGATGCGCAAAAGGACGCTGGATCTGTGGAGAATCTGGGTGAAACGACATGAATACAAAATCATCGAATGCTATGATAGTTCTCGCACATCAGAGGATTATGATGCAACCACATGCGTTAAATTATGGGCCTTTTTTATGATTTTGAAGAACTGTCGATTTCCAGTAGTAGCTATGAACGTGGTAATGTTTTATATCAGTATAACTACTCAGATTAGTGCGCTTTCCAATTCCACTTTGAGAATGCTTATTTCAGCTTTATGGTTCCTAATCCAGAAAGAGCAGCCTGAGGCTAATTTTTAGTAAATGTGGGGGTTTACATGGCCCATGCCTGTACACAAACATCGCATCGGAGCTCTCTTTTGTATAATCGAAAAAACTGTATATGGTAATATGCATGTAAAAAAATTAACTTTATTTTTCACTGACTGTGTAATTCAAGAATGCTCACTTTTTGCCCTTACTGTTCTAATATGCTCACAGTCGCTCGATCGGAAACTTCGGGAAGTAATAGCTTTTCATGTCCAACATGTCCATATGAATTTCCAATAATTGGTTTGCAAATGTTTGAACGAAAAGAGCTTCCAAGAAAACAAGTTGACGACGTCTTAGGAGGAGAGGGTGCCTGGGACAATGTGGACCAAACTGTCACACAATGTCCGGTGGATAGTTGTGGCTTCGATAAAGCATACTTTTTTCAACTCCAGATAAGGTCCGCTGATGAACCAATGACGACATTTTATAAATGTTGTAAATGTGGGCATCGATGGAGGGAAAATTAAGCAAAATTAGTCGCCCGACTCGTGTGGTCATGAGAGATTTGGCTCATAGGTTGCCAACTTGCATGGAATCTTGGCGGAAATCGACTCTTTTTTTTTTCGCTAACTATAGAAAGGGAATAAATATGACGGAACTTCCATGAGCGACTAGGAAGTGATTGCATGTACAATAAAAGATAACCAAATTTACTTAAAAATTGGAAATCCAAGCATCGAATTAAAATGCAACTTTTGATCAGTCTTCAAGCTCACCGAAAACCTGCTGATCGTCTTCTCTATTATCCCTTGGGACGAACTTCTTACCAAAATTTTGACCATCATCATCATTATCATCATCATCATTTTCACTTTCATCGCCACTGAATGGGCCTAAGTCTTCGGCTTTCAAAGCTATCAATCCGTCCTTCTCGTATTGTGAAAGAAGATCATTAGGTTTGGAACTTTTTTCGTACATCATAGTCTTTCGCGGGGTGCTTGAAACCGATACCGATAACGAAGAAGGTGGGTAACGAGAAACTGAATTTTTCCGCAAAGTTGTAGTATAGATTGGGACTCTCGACGTACTAGTACTTATCGGTTGGCTTGGAGTTTGCAACGATGATGAATTTGGCGTGTTGATGGTAGTGTTGGTCGAAGCTCTTGTTTGCTCTTCGATGGACAGGGGTGATGTCGAAGAGTTTTCATCATTTGGAACTTCTGGTGAGGGGGAGACTGGAGGTTCAGTTTCTCTCAAACCTCCCAGATCAGCTTCAAGCTTTTGAGGTAGCTGGTGACTGTTATTGCTTATTGAATTCACTTGTTGCTGCTGATGGTTATTCGGTCCCATTTGATGTTGTTGGGCATAAAATGACGGTGGAGGGGTACTCAATGATTGAGACCTGGATCTAAAACCCCCGTTTTCTGAACCGTTTTCAGTCATACTGCACAGAATACTAGCAGCCTCTAGAAGCTGGACCTGCTGATGCTTGCTAATAAGCAATTTTTTGGTCATATTCCATTCTGGAGTGTGCTCCCATAAATGTTTAGCAAGAGAGGATATATGTTTGTAACCCTTACCACAGGCTTCGCACTTGAGCTCTTCTTTCAAACGGCCTGTCTCACCTTCTGAAATTCGTCTTACCACGAACTCTCTGCTAAGCATAGGGACGGAGGTTCCCAGATGAGACTGCTGTGTTTGCTGTTGGTGGAAGTGGCTATGTATAGGGCCTCCAGTATGTGGAGACGATGACATCCCTCCTGAATTCAAAGGAAAGGACGATGATGTCCCATTGTAAGAAGAAGAAAGTCTCTGTATATGGGTTGGAGTAGAATTTGAATTCGCACTTTTAATGGGAATCGTATATGGTGCCGTTGATACAGATGAGCGTCTACCTGGCATGTTGTAATGATATCCATTGGATACCGAGCCACCGGAAGATGAAAGTCGCGGCCCTGGAGAAACCTGTTGAGTCGGTGGTAACAAAGTTTGATTCTGGTCTCCCTGCGGTGAGTATCTTTGCTCAAACGACATTCTAAGATTTTTGTTCACTTCCAACCTTTCAACCTTGTCTTCAGATTAGCGACTAGTAATTAGTAGAGTGATTATTGCTTGATAAGCTTCAGACAGATCACACGCTTAATTTCAAATGAGTTTGCAAGAGCTTTCACTTATTGTTCAGTGTCTTCCAAAATCTGTTCAAAGTTTTGTTGTTGTGCCCAAATTACCATATAATTTTTTTTCAAGTCAGAATGGTTTATCAAAAAAAAATTTTCAAATTTTTTTATCGGTGAAACCAGATCTGGTGCGCGGGTTGCTTTTACTTACAACTCGAATTTTAAAAGTAGCCGACCTTTTCTTGAACTCCCATCTAAATATTATCTTCAATTGTTCCATCAGTTAACTTCAAATACTTGGGTGATATCATTATAGCTCCAATTGTACGATTCACAGTTTGTTTGAATTGAGATTCTCATCAGTAAAATAATTTGGTATGTAAGCATTTTTAAATTCTTCGACTTATTATATATGTAAAAGTTAGATTACGAACCTTTGACTTGACTCTGTATTTAACTATAACTGTGGGATCGCAGCTGAATGCAAATACCAGAATCTTAACATTCCTCACCTAGTCAAGGTTTTCGGTTTTCTCGGGATAAACGATGTTTAAATAGCGTCGAAGCTGTTGTCTCAATGTCTGATAATCAAGGTTTTTGCCGATGAGAACTAACTTGCAACCCTTGGTCAGCAACTGAAAAGTATCCTCGTCTGCATCAATAAAGTCGTAAGTCTTTCTTACAGCTTGCAGTATTTTGACTTTTTCGTTCATAATGATGATACCTTTTGTTCTGTAAACCTCACAATTCGAATCTTTAAAAACTCCCTCGTTCCAAAGCAAGTGCTGGATGAATATTTCAAACTGCTCAGACTCCAGCGCTCCCAGTCTTGGAAATATAAGCGTAATAGTTCCAACTTTGGGATCATGATGTTGGGTTTCGCTGTTGATAAATAAAGAAGCATCCTTTTGTTCATAAGCACGTAAGTCCAGTATCTCCCGCACATCTAATTTGCCGAATGATGTTCTATGTACTGGAGCAATGGAATTGATGGACCTAATCTTAGCCTCAATGTCATTAAGCCTTTGCGTTTCTGAGATTGTGTCAATTTTGTTGAGAACTATTGCATCGGCCATTGCAACTTGAAGATGTGCAACCGTTATTCCGCCACTAATGTCGGAATCACCATGGTGCCGACTACCAGACTCTTCCAGCCAGTGTTCAATATTCTCAGCATCGAGTACTGTCACCACACCATCAATATATACATTTGACGATAAAGCGTCGTCCAACCAAAACATGGTCGCAATAGGCGCAGGATCAGCCAAGCCAGTTGTTTCGAGGAGAATGTAATCGAAGTTCCGCTTTCTTGCAACGAGGCGCTCTATTGCTGCAACGCCATTATCCTTCACAGAACAACATAAACAGCCATTTCCCAAATCAAGCCACTCTTCTATTGCCGTCGAATTGTCGCTTTTGATAAGAAGAGATTTCTCTATATCAGCCGAGTCACCGAATTCATTTAAAACCACTGCAATCCTCAGACCACCTTGGCGAGTAATCTCCTCAAGCAAAGTTGACTTTCCAGATCCCAAATATCCTGTAATGATGGTCACCGGTATCTTATCACTTACAGCTTCGTCCATTAAGCCTAAATCTTTACGATAGTTCTTCCGCTTTGCACCAAGTTTTGTATACCTTATCGGCTCAATTCCACTTGAAACGAGCTCGGGGATGTAATCATCGTCTTCCATTGCTGGGCACAATGAAATTTCTTAGACTTCAATTTTTTGATTCAAAATACTGACATACTTTTTTTAGTCAACTTGACTGAACACTGATTTGTTACACAAACGCACCTTAAACTGGTTTATTTGTAACGTACAGCCTCTAAAAAATAAGCCCATGAAAGTGAGATTGAAAATCATAGATGCTCTTTTCCTTGGACTCATACTTTATCACCTGCTGATTTCCCCGTATACAAAAGTGGAAGAATCGTTTAACCTTCAAGCCATTCACGACTTGCTCAATTATGGGTTAACAGATCACAGCAAATTTGATCATAAAGCATTTCCAGGGGCAGTAAAGAGATCCTTCACCGGTTCTCTAATTATTTACATGATCCTCAATCCGCTTCGAACGATAATTGACAGGGGTTTTCAGCTATTACCCGAGTCTTTCTTCATTTACAAGATGACTCAAATGAAATATCAGCTTTCAGCAAGGATTCTTCTTGGATTGTTCAACTGGCTTGCTTTTCTTGACTTGAAGTACTCTGTGAAAAGAACTTCACTTAAAAATAGAAGGCAGGAGGTCCAGCGGACCGAATTTTGGTTTTCGCTCGTTCAATTCACCCAGTTTCACATCCCTTATTATGCATCAAGGACCCTTCCAAACTTTATGGCTCTCCCTATTGTCAATTTTGGGTTAGCTCAAATCATCAAAGGTAAAGTATTAATGGGTATCTCTCTCCTACTTGCGACAGGTATAGTTATGAGGGTCGAAATTCTCGCATTCTCGGCTATCATCTATTTGATTGCTTTGGCTCAAAATCAGATCACTTTTAGGCGTTCAATCACAGCTTTATTTCTGGTATCCTTCTGTGCATCGTTTACTACTATATTGGTTGATTCCTATTTCTGGGAGGAATGGTCTTTCCCGGAATTCGAATCATTTGTCTTCAATGTGCTACACGGAAATGCAAGTAATTGGGGTATGGAGCCCTTGCATGCTTATTTTACAAAATATCTTCGCAAAATCTATCTTCTACCTCTTGTCCCAATAATTGCTTGCGTTGAAGCAGTATCGAAATCAAACGAGTCAAGATCTCAAAAAATCCACTTGGTCTCACTATCGTCGATTGCATTTGTCTTGATGATGTCAATGCAAAAGCACAAAGAATGGAGATTTATTGTATATGCCATTCCTGGCATAAATTTATCGGCTGCCCAATTCCTAGCAGGTATCAAAGTGACAAAACTATATCAGTGGCTAATAGTCATAGCTGTTTACCTTACAAGTATGTTGTCATTGATAGCTAGCTTGTTTTTTGGTTATGTGTCCAGCTTCAACTATCCTGGGGGGGTTGCTATGCAACTTCTGAACCAGCATATCCTTACCGACACGACAGTTCTCTCGAACAATACGACAGTAAGAGTTCATTTTGATCCCACATCTTGTATGTCCGGTGTAAGTTTGTTTGGTGAGCTTGAGCTAGAGAACGTTTATTATGACAAAACGGAAACTCTAGAAAATCTAATTGATAGAAACTTTTGGACAAGCTTCGACTATGTTATAACTCATTGCGATAACGAAAAACAGTTTGATTGCAGAAGAGAGAAGTCAAATGATCATGGTATATGGTCTGAAATCGAGGCGGTCTCGGAATTTGATGGGGTTGATTTACACAAGGTGATTAAAGATTTACCGAGAACGTTATTCTTTGCGTGGAAACATATTAGCATAAGACAAACCGCACAACCAGTCTTGCAAACAATGAGGACTTATGTGAAGACTAAGCCGTGTTTGTATCTATTTAAGAGATCAATGCCGGGTTAGATATTGGATACCCCAAACATAGTATTAAACGTCGCATTTAGAATCAACTTAAACGGAATGGAAATATCGATCTATTAAATCATAGGAACTCAGATTCGCCTGTACCTCGGGCCCTTGATTGCGAACAGAACTTTGCTCCGATATTTAAAGAAAACGAATCCGAGCAATGCTGCAAAAAGCACAAATGGAATCAAAACCATATGTGGATTCTGCGAACCATACCCATAACTTTCATTTTCATTCGAAACAGCAGTATCACTTTCAGAATTTGTATCTGGAAAAGCAGTTTCATCCATATAATCATCGCCCTTTTCTGCGTCCTGAACTTCGATCTTTGAGCTGTCAGCTTCTCCGTGATTTTCTGACTCCAACCCAATATAACTATCTGAATCGTCGCTGTACTCATACGATTCAGAATCTTCAACTGGGGAGACCGAATCTTGCTCGTCAACATTGGCTCCAATCGTAGCTTTCTGGCCAGAATAAGTTTGGTTCTTATGCAAGACTGTGGATTCAACTTTGACTATTTTAACATCAGTAAGAGGCTTATCAGAAACATCGGTCTTAACTTCTTCAATTCGTTTCAGAGTATCAAATCCTTCTATCAACTGACCAAAAACAACGTGTTTTCCGTCCAAAAATTCTGTCGGGCAAGCTGTAATAAAGAACTGAGATCCAGAAGTGTTTGGGCCTGAATTGGCCATTGATAACCTGCCTATCCGATCATGATTTAATTTGAAGTTTTCATCTGGCAATGAGCCCTTCTCTGTTCCATAAATTGAATGTCCACCATTTCCATCGAAATCACCTCCCTGAATCATGAATCCTGCGATAACTCTATGAAAGATGGTATTTTCGTATTCGCTTTGGGATAGTTGGAAGAAATTCTTCACCGTATCAGGAACTATAGTTCCAAAGAGTCCTAGTGATAATTCTCCAAGAAGCTCATCGCCCTGTTGAACTTCGAATTTGACTTGGTGTGTGAATTCAGGATCTGCAATTATTTCATTAGCCGATTCCGCTCTTATTGCCAGCAAGGCAAAGAGGCAAAGGTTTATTTTGTAGAAGTGCATGGATCTTTTGCGGTACCTTGAATGTTGCCGAGTCACTCCAATTGGCTAATTTCACGAATTATGTCTAATTTCAAATGAAAGTGAAGAAAAAGAGTGTTCGCTGTCTTATTTCAGGGAAAAAAAATACACGTATTTGCGTTAAAGTGATGCCGTAATGCGTCTGCACTCCACTATGATAAACTAGCAATGAATACATCAGATCCCCAATTTCAACATTATCAATTAATTGCTGATGCAGTCATGTAGCAAGTACATGTTAGTGCATGTGTCATAGGGGATAGATCTTGGGCTGAGTCAATTTAAATAGGCATATCGATAGGGTTCACTCTAGATAATTTAGACCAAAACGGGAGTCTACAGCTTACTTTTACTTTTGTCCAGGGTATCAGAATTGTGAAAATTTCTTGGTCGTTGATTTTGCATGTTTCCATGAGTTCTTCGAAGACTCGGTGGTAGCTATGCTTGTAGCGTGGAATTTTGTCTGATTTCAGACCAGTTGAATTTCACATAAGTGTATTCAAGACAATTTAACTTCGTATATATGATATAATTACAACATGGATCAGAATTCCAGCAACGAGGTAATGTACGAAACTCAAAGTAGATAAATTCCAGCGATATGTAAACAAAGTAATTCAGCAACTTTTCGGAGGAACTAACAATTTCATGCTTCCACTCCCCTTGCTCTTTAGGTTATCAAAGTGCACCAATCGAAAAGTGTTTCATTTGGATCTATATGATTCCTTTTCCTCTGGTGTAAGAGAGTTCCAGTCCTCGGCTAGTTCTTTAATAATGGCGCTATTAGATTGAAAGTCGGTAGTAATTCTCTTAGGATATTCAGACCTGATAAAATTAATGTAGGGGGAACGGACAAGATGTTTCTCTTTCCACGCTTCTAGTTCTTCTGTATACTGGTCTTTCAACTTTTTATGTGCCTCGATAAATGATTGCTTGATTTCATCGGACCCGGAGGCCCAATCTTTGGCAAAAGTTGCCATCAATTCAGGTGCCTTTTTGCCAGTGATTTGATTCGTTGCAAATCTGTGACTGATGTATGATTGATAAGCAGACCTTGGGGGCTTTGGCTTACTTGCGTCTCTCACTTTCTTCAATGACAGAGATGGTTGATCTTCCGGGATTGAGTCTGAATTCTGGTTCCAGACGCTGAAACTGGTGGAAATAAATCTTCTTGAAAACACAAGCAAAGGAGCTCTTTGAATAGAAAGAGAGAACATGGTTGGCGATGTAATTGGCTGACAGAGAAGCGATTTCGGGCTTTAATTGATTAAAGTTTAAAACAGTCAGTAGAATAAAAACAAAAACATACAATTTTGTCCCTTCTCAGAAATGTAGGAAAATAAGAATTCCACGACCCAATTTGACCTGTACCCAGATATTCAGTCATTTTGAGTCATTTTGACTGATCATGTTTACACTATTCAAAAGCTTTTTTCAGGCTACGAAATAAGAACGCGTTTACAATTGGGAGCAGTGAAAGCAAGAGTTTGTAATCGTTGATATACTTCCTTCACTTGAATAGCAAACAACCTTGTAAAGGCGCTAGTCGGTTATATTTTAGTGGCCACATCTGATTTTTGGACTAGCAAAGAATGAATAGCGGAACTGGGCGTTCAGAACTTGCCTATTCACATACATGCTGTGTCTGAGAACCTCGTTCATGATATGTTGCCTTAGTCTTCATGATTGCTCCTTCACAAAGGCATATTAAAATATGTTTCAAATTTGATCGGCTCACCCAAGCAATAGTTCCAAATCAGCTCATAATCAGTAACAATACCTGATATTCAATTCTTTGTTGCTCTCGATATACCATAGAGTCGTCCGCAACGGGCCATTTGGGATCAGGAGAAACAAAAATAAATGGTAAAAATCAGTCAAAATGAAAATTTACCGATGATTAGAGAGTACATATCTGTCAGAAATAGAATGTTAAAGTTTTGAAGCAAATGTTAGCCTAGGAGAACTCAGTTTGATTACGTAATCGATTGGATTTAAATTTGTTGAGCTAGTCTCGACCTGCTTACCCTATCTCTTACATATCATTGATTATGGAAGGTAAGAGTAAGGAGTGTGAGACTCAGATCGGGAAACATGAGATCGCGGAAGTTGAAGAATCTGCACTATTAGCCTCTCGCACGCGAACCAGACAGACCTATCTGAGTATGTCATGTTACAAGCCTAATATGTGGTGGGAACCCACATATTTATTTATAGTATTCTCAAATTTAACCTGTAACATTCCCATCCTATCCTTAATCACTTCTGACACACATCACATATACTCTATATGATGTGTCATTTGCTTACGTCAACTTTCTTATCAGTCCGAGTCACCTGAATCATTCACGACTAGCTTCACCACAACATCAGAACACTATTAATCAATGAAATGCATCCGGAGGTTTTGAGTCTTTTCTTGTCGCCAGCCCAATTAGCGTCACAATACCCTGTGAGCGAAACATATGTTCCTGGTTAGAGGGGTTTCGGATATATAATTACGTAATCCAGGGTCCCCGTCAAATATTTTAGAACGTGTTAGGCTTGGGTGAGGTGAATCTTTAAAGGTTTATTGAGATATCGACTTAGCTTGGAAATAACAAAGGTAATTGCCTATCAGCTTCGTTGATAAACCGAACAACTATTGGAACGACATCAGATTTGTTGGTGAGGCATTTAGTGATGGTCATATGAGTGACAAGTTCAATAATAGTCAGGAAATTTTTTTCATCATGGGTGGTGGAAAGGGGCCACATAGGTCAATGTGGGCCAGCTCAAGAGGTCTAGTCACCCTTGTACGACTCTTCTTGGGTATAACTTTTGTGGCTAGGCCAAGGACACACGCCTCACATGGGGTGTCCGCACTAGGAAGATGAGGTTATTTAGAGACAGCAGAGAAGGGATATTTATACCTGGAGTGCATATAGCCTGGAGAGACTGCTAGAGCAGCCGGAAAGTAAGGTGTAGGTTTGAAAGTTGCTCTATATAGCTTATTAGCGCATAGAGTGCCAATTTCAACACTGTTGAGAACAATTGAATCCTTTCCCATCATAACGTTGCTGGCCACGTTCACCAGTTTCTGCAATGAGATGAGGTTCTTTTGAGATTGTGGAACATATCTCACACCCACCAGTTGGAGCCGGTGGGGGGCATTACGTAGTGATCGTACCTTTGCCTTCAACAGCACATTGGGCACCAATACCTTCCACAAATCCATCACATGGAGTGAAACTGTCAAAGTGACTTTTGTTGTTACTAATGTGAATGGTACATCCTGAGCCTAACCAATAAGACTCATCGTCAAGTGGTCCAAGACGCATTGCATAGTCCATGTCTTTTTGCACAGTGGCACCAGATGTGATGTCTAGATTCGATTCTTCTCTCATATGAGCCATATTTCTTGCGACGGCTGCCGGCGCAGGAGAGATAGTCGCTGTGTGTCCTTTTCGTTGACACCTGAAGCACACTATCTCTTTGCAACTGCATCTTTTGTTTTTCATTCTTCTTGTCGTTGTTTCCGAGTCAGGTTGAGAAGATAATACCTGATTCGAGACTTGGTTAGTGTTACTCAAGTTTCTGATGAATGGAACTGCCATTCTTCTGCAATATTCAAGAGTCACATTCTCAGGGTGTTTGTAACTTGACAGATAATACTCATATAGGTCTGTCTGGTTCATGGTAAATATCAACTTAAAATATTCTCAGATATATAATTCTAGAGTTGTCCTCTCTTTCAAATGAGGGAGTTAGCACCCCTTTATATATATAGTATCTGAAATAGGAACAATGATACCCTAGCTTCTGTTCTAATAGAGGTGATTTAGTCTAGCGACTCTCAAATAGGACTGAGGCTATTGAAGGTTGTTAGATCTGAGTCTCACACTCCCTTCTCTTATCTTGCATAATCAATTATGTATAGGAGATTAGATAAGCAGGTCGAGACTAACTCATATTAGCTCAACACAGGGCACGAAGTAAGAATCAGATTTTCAGCCATTGGACTGTCAATAAGGGTCAAAGCAAGGAAGACCCATCCATACCCCGGAAGCGGATAGACCACTTTCTAACTGGTACGATAGCTTTTGCATTGCATCAATTGCTTGTTCCATGTTTCTGACACTTTCAGCTGAAACTTGTTTGCACACTTTCTTGAAGTAGTAGTATACTTCTTTGATAGAGAGATTCCCCTAAGACTGCATAAGGTATGACAGAATGTCAGCTCCTGTTATTTCTGGAGGTAGTCTTTCGCTCACTTCAGGCTGAAGAGATTCTCTAATGAGAACGAAGACTGCAGCATCTGCTTGCTCACGTAGGAATTTTCCTAGAGTCTCGTCTTCCACCGGGATTGGCAGTTCTCCCCTCCTTATATAGTAATTCAGATATGGCAGATTGCTATTGTTACCTGCGCATACATAAAGGAGATGTCGAGCGAGAGGCTAATAGTGCAGATTCTTCAACTTCCTCGATCTCATGTTTCCCGATCTGAGCCTCACACTCCTTACTCGTATCTTGCACAATCAATGATATATAAGAGATAGGGTAAGCAGGTCGAGACTAACTCATATTAGCTCAACAGCTGAATACATGACAACGGCTGAAGCTGCAAAAGAGTGTTTGTGGCTCAAACAAGTTCCAGATCAGTGCCTTGTCAAACTGATGGCACGGCCTCTAACCTGGGTTGACGATCTAAGTGCTCACCAGCTATCCGGACATTTTACAATCCATCAGAGAACCAAGCATATTGATATAAGTGTACACTTTCTACGAGAGGAAGTGGTTAAAGGAAATCTAGAATTGAAAGATGTGATATCGAGTCTGAACATTGGTGACACTCTTACAAAAAGCCTGAGTCGACGTAGAGTTAAAAGTCTTGAGTCGAAAAAGATGCTAGAAGAAGTTTAAGCAGGTCAGGCCTACGGTAGGGTTTTGAGCTAATATGAGTTAACCTCGATCTGCTTACCTGATCTCTTATACATCAATGGTTATGCAAGATGAGATAAAGGAGTGAGACTCAGATCCGACGACCTAAAATAGCATCAGTCCTGAGTCAATAGAATAAAGTACCTAGATTAGGGCAGAGACTTAGGTGTACTTGTCGCGTTTCCCAACACCATTTAAAGGGGTGCTTTCTTCCCTATTTGAATTGACGACCAATCTGAAATTGTGTATCTAAGAGTACTATTAGTTGATATCTACCCTGAACCAGACTGACTTGTATGAGTATCATCAGTCAAGATACAAACAAAAGCGACCGATACAGGTGATATGATGACATACGTTGGTTTTACGCTCCTATTTTCTGGATCATTTCATTCTAAAGTTATTAATTGCATGTCACTTAGAACGGTTTTTCAGTACACGCATAATTGGAGATATAGGATTGTTTTCTCAAGATGGTTAACTCCTGCAGCACACGTGATGTGTCTCAAAAATAATAGTGCTGGATTCTTTCCATTGGAAAGTCAAATTCTTTATCACTGTCTGCCATTCCAAATGAGATAGTCTTTATTTACCTTATTCAGTATGCCTAACTTGATACTTTTATATTATATTGCAGTCTGCAAAGTTGTCCCTGAGTAGGACTCCCCCCCTCAAATAATTTTCTGTGAAAAATGTTTCCGGTCATTCTAAATTATGACTGCTGCAATATGCATATCTTGCACACGCGAAAAACCGCTATGCATTTGAATCTTATCGGTTATCAGATCCCTCAATGCTCAGCATATATCAAAGACTTACATGTTTTTCCAGCTGAATGTGCTTGAATGACGTTTAGATATCCGAAAATCTATCTCTGATGTAATATTGTTGTGATGAAGCTAGTCGTGACTGAAGTACGTGACTCTGACTGATAAGGAAAGCTGACGTAAGGAAACGACACATCATATGTGATGTGTCTGTCAGGTGATTTAGGATCGAATTGTGAATGTTACAGGTCACTCCAAGAATATTATATATATGAGGGTTCCCACCACATATTTTGTTGAACAACTTATCTATACTGATATAGTAAGAAGAGCGAACTATTAACTGAAAACAATATGAATGCTGAAGAAGTCAACCATCTTAAGAAAAGAATCTTACAAATATGACTTGCGGATTGCTGCGTTGACAATAAGTCACTAGTAGCAATCCTGCTGAGCATTGAGGTATTTACAAGCTTATAAGATTCACATGCATAGGTTATTCGCTTATGCAAAGCCTGCACAGCCCTACTTTGAAAAGGATCGGAAATATATTTATGTGAAACTGTTGTAATGCATCCAGCAGCGATGTCAGCGATGAATTAGCTGTGGACATCTTATAACTTTAAAGTACTTGTAAGACACTTCTAATTATTTATTTCAGTTATATAAGGTGGGCTAACGCTCCTTTTATATATCACCTTATCTTAAGCGCCAGATCTTCTATCTTCTCTTGCTGATATAATATATTTGAAAAACTGTACTCGCTTACTTATGTAAGCGAGTACATAATCATCTGATACCTTTGGGACTATCTTCTTCAACAGAAACATGTCTCTGTCTAAAGCATGTTCCACAAAATAATGTCCAGGGAAAGGGGACGTTCTTCTCGGGAACAACTTTGCAGACTGGAATAACGGATCAAAGCATTAAGTTCGGAATATTTACTCAGGTCAATCAAAAATTAATCAATCACAATGGCAGACAGCACTAAACGATTTGACTGTCTAATGGAAAGAATTCGTCAATTTCAAAGCCATGCTCTGCGCTGCGGCGTGATGCAATTTGACTTTGAGTTACATAAATCTTTATAGATCTATGCATATTGCCTTATCTAGAGCTGGGATGGCACAGCTCTCGCAGACATAATATGCCGTTCCGTATACTGCCTGGTGCAGTCTAAAGAAAGAATCGTCTCAAATCTTCATACAGTCTGTCGTGGAATATTGAAGATGAAAAGAAATGGAACATGCATCCAAACCAATAAGTCGGGCATTTCAGTAGTTGGTCAATGGAAAGCTAAAAGCATAGCACGTGTTAAGCTCATTTGATGATCCGCTACTAGATTGACAACCTTACCGAATTGATTGTTAAATCAATGCAGACGGTGAACTGACTTTCTTTTTTAATTGTCATAAGGACAGTCTACTGAAATCTTTTATCCCAAGAAGTTATGCCTCGATATACGAGTATCACATGAATTTTAGACAGGAGCACAAAGAGACTTACACTCATTATTCATTATTGAAGTGATTGCGATCTTCTCCTATCAGAACTTTTTTCTGGGAATTCTTTTCCAAAAATGCTTAGCTGCTTAAGCGATCATGGCAAGCCTCAGCTAATTCACTCCTATAGCATATCAGTTAGATAAGCTGTCTACTAACTAGCGGATATGTACCATATTATTATAGTGATTTCAGATCACTGAGCCTTGAGGCTTTTATACCAAATCGTAAACTGCACTTGAAACAAGTGATATGTCCTCCGATTAATTTGTCATGAATCTTATTCCAGCTTCCGTATCATTGAAAGTCACGTGACTCAGTAGCAATTGACTTAAATCACAATATTTCTTTTGTATGCATCTCTTGTTCGGTCCTCTTCCTGCAATGGATAGTTTATTAGCCTTTGATATGACACACAGCCTACGTAAGTACGAGTGTACTTTAGGCATAAAGCAGAAATTGGCTAAAACCCTGAAGATAAGATTGGTTGTGTAGATAAGCAAAGGTGCTATTTTACCATCAATTGATCAGCCAATGGTTACTCTTTGCTTCACTATGATATAAATGCTACTTCAAAATTTAAAATTTCGGGTCGGGAAAGTACCTAAACCTTATTATATTTAAACTCAAGATATATGTACATATAATGGAAATCCGAACAGTTTAATCAAAACGGGGATCTAAACAAAATTGAGAAAATATTACAAGAATATTGTATACTACAAAATATCTGTAAGATTCTATTCTTAAGATGATTCACTTCTTCAGTATTCATAATGTTGCAGTTGACAGTTCACTCTTCTACTATGTCAGTTTAGATAAGTTGTTCACATTTATAAGTTGGACGAACCCCACATATTTATAGCATTCTCAAAGAAGACCGGAAACAGTCCCATTGAAATATTTCCATTTAATCCGGGAACACTTCTGAGTCACCCCGCACATATACTCTATGTTGTGCGTCATTGCTTCCGTGACCTCTCTTATCACTTAGAGTCACGTGAATACGTTCACAACTAACTTCATCACAACATTTTTCTCTTAGATAGTGAGTGAAATGGATATTCAATGGACCTGGTAACAAATAAGTTTGTTCAGAGACTTTTGGTTCCTTTGTGATCTTTGCCTAGGCTGATATAACTATGTTGAAAGATCAATCACGCTGTATGATTATTTCACTAGTCAGCTGTAAGATGTCTTGAATGATGGATATGCCAATTTTAACTTACTTCGTTTTTTAATCAGTCAGCTGGAATTTGATCTAGCCACTGGATGTAACACCAATTTGTCTGGTTCAGTGTGCTGAAGCATAAATAGTCAATGCATATGCAAGCAAGGTGCGTATGATGTAGAGACCTGCACTAAGATCAACAATTAAGCATGATGCTTATCAGGCGCTCAATATCAATTAGATACTGAAGCTACATGAGCTGTATAATTTTTCTTTGACTAACTTAAATTTGCTGCTTCACTTAACATGAACAATCTTTCTCTGTCATTCACTGATATTCAAACCAAACAAACTCCAACACAATGATTTTGTCACTTTTGGACAAAAAGTCAAATAAGTCTATTTACAGTTATGTAGTAGATTTGGTGTAATCATTTAATAGTTGTGGGTTTAGTCATTCTTTATCTAGTGGATGGATGCCTTCAAATACATAGCGACAATAGGTAAAACCCAGCAAATTGCTTGGATCAGTATTTAGGATAGTCGTTGTTGAGGTACTTGCCGTATATAATCTGTTAACCTCTGCTGGTTCAGTATGCTTACAAAGGTGCTACTGGAGTTTGAGAGGTTTCAACAGGGATAGAGAAAATCAAGACATAGTCATCCTGATGGACTTGTCATTTACCTTTTGTCCCCTTTCCTTTTAGCGAGAGTTACCTGATTAAGTTACGACCAATTAATTACAATACGCCATCCAGACCCAGGATGTGTTTATACACTACAAGCATAAGTAGTAAGTAGAGGCTTCTAGAATTATGTTTGTGAGGCAAATTCCTGAAAAACTATATATTGAACTTAGCAAAGCTCGTATGAGCCAAACCTTAACCGCATTTGAACATACAGGGATGGCTTTCAAGATTCGATGTAATTTTTTCTTAAGATGGTAGTATTAAGTCATCCCCCAAGTTTAAACATTTGAAACCTGGTATACATCAGATAAATACAAATATATTAAGTGTTGTTGGAGCTGGTGCATGTTGGTCTCGGGCCGCTTATCTACTTTTTCATGCACTATTGATTATGCAAGATAAGAAATAGAGTGAGACTCAGATTTGACGACCTAAAATAACACCAGTCCTAAACCATAATCAATAGACTAAAGACTAAATAAACTACCTGGACCAGAATAAATACTGAGGTCTTATTGTTGCGCTTCCTGGTACTATCTGAAGGTGCATTGTCATCTCTATTTGAATAGAGGACAACTCTCAAACTGTATATCTGAGAGTAATATAATATCTACCATGAAGCAGACAGACTTATATAAGTATCATCTGTCGAGCTACAAACAATTGCTGTGCTATCTCTTTTCTGAGAGGTAAATGGTTGTTTCTTTTGGCCATATTGCAAATTCTCTGACAAATCTTTCCAGACTTATATTCTCATGTCTGTTGAAGATACCAAAGTAATTGCCTTCCATAATGAAATGGCGGTATAGTAGCGACAAATGAAGGGCTCAAGGATTCACAACAACTGTTAACAAGTCTGCATCATACTGGTTTATCAGCTCAAATCTTTTGTCTTTTTGTAGCTCCTGGAATAGGAGTGTCATTACTATAGAGTTTGGATTCATAGAGTCCGCAATTTGTTGAATAGAGAATATAGCTCAATTGGTCCTCCTAAGCGCTGAATGCACTTATTGAGTGATGACACACATCCCAAGGAATCTTTCAATAGCACATAAGCTACCGGATGGGCTTTTAATTTTTGGCAGTTTGGATAAAATAATCCACAATGGTGAGGTCGGAACGCTCATGATAATGAAGAGGTCTCAATGAGCAATTTTGGCAACATTTATACGGCACATGCAGCATTTGTATCTCATTACGACTGAACGCCAAATAAACCAATTATAAAATCCAAACGGTTAGTCTCAATGTGTGTCTGTTGTGATGAAGCTAGTCGCGATTGAATCACGTGACTCTGACTGATAAGGAAGCTGACTCAAGGCAATTGACACATCATATAAAGCATGTGTGTGCGTTCGTGATGTGTATCAGAAGTGATTAAGGATCGGATGGGAAAGTTCCAGGTCCACTTTGAGAATACTGTAAGTTAGTAGGTTTCCACCACATTTTAAAGTGAACTACTTATCTAGGTGGTATAGAAGAGTGAACTATTTATTACAGCATTATGAATACTGAAGAAGTTAACCATCTTGAGAAAAGAATGTTACAAATGCAAATGCAGTCCATAACGAATAATAGTTGCAGTGAACTTCGATAGAGATGCCTGAGAGGAGTATAGGATGGGCGTTCATATCAGTAAATTGTATGTATACCAGAGCGAGTTTAAACAAATTGAAATAAAACATGTAACAATGTCTGAATGATACTAAGCGCCTGAGAAGATTAGTGTTTTCTTATCAGTAACGTTAATGCGTTCTCTAAATAATATGCATCTGCATGGACAAATCATGCCTCAACACTTCACGCTGGCGGATCTCTTTAGTGACTTCTTCATTTTGAGTTTCATACTCCCTCATCTTAACTTATTCGATCACCTATGCAGTACTGATTTACTAAGTATAGAAGAATGGATGAGAGACTCAGATCTAAAGATTATAAGCTGAACCAATCTTGATATTGGATCCAAATATTATACGACAGGGATCGGGATTAGAGCACAGGCAGCATTGGACCTCATCAATCACCTGCTCAAAAAACTCCAAAAAGAGGTTTTCCATCCGTCATCTATTGTAATCTTTCCTCATCGTTATAGTACTAAGCTTCCCTCTCTCTGTGTCTCTCTCAATTGATGCCTTCTCGTATATACCATTGGTGTCAGTCTAGTATCAAGACCAAAGAGTTGTTCGGCCCAAAATGTAGGACCTTGAATATGTATCGCAGTATAATCGATTAATTGGGTTACCAATGGGTAGTTTCTCCCCCACTTAAAGCTTGATCGGTTGCTCAATTATCTGATTGCGAGATGTGTACAAGTATCTGTTTCCCAAACACCCGCTCTTATATTCAGGGTCCAAACTGAAAACTTCACTTGTATCTTGAGCTCTATTTTATTTATTCGCGGAGGATAAGCCTTTTTTAAATTTCATGAACAACTTACTGACATAATGATTACATCAGCAGATATGCTAAATGATTACATGGCGCTTATATATGAAACTTCTATTCATGATTGATTAAGTATCCGGAAATAAATCAGGCAACTTAATCACCAAACTTCAAGCAGCTCTGATTGTATGTTACTAACCAGTTCGCAAACTCGAAATTGTCATTTTTATCGGACTGGGCTTCCGCCGTCAATTAATTCCACAGTATACAGTTTTCCAAGCAACGATTTCGCATCGTGAAACTTAAAAACCTTTTTGTATAAGTATAATCTCGAACAAGAAACGTGACGTAAACGCAACAGGCAAAAGTTTTAATTGTTCGTGCCTTCAGGTGCTTCAAGATTTGAGATTCAGCGTTCTTCTGTTCCCCGATAGACTCGAAAAGTACTCTTTTAGAACTTTGGTTATGAATTGAACCAGCAGCTCAAGAATGGGTTCACTTTTTCGAAATAATTTGAATCTTATGTTTTGGAACCATGGAAAGAAACCACCAAATTCAAAATATAACTTTTTGAGAAATACCTTAATAAACCAAGTATGTGTTAAATCAAATAATATCTCTCTTTAGCTCAGTTGGAAGAGCATGAGACTGTAATTGTTTAGATATCTCAGGGTCCCCGGTTCGATCCCGGGAGGGGAGATTTTTTTTACTATTATGATTCTATCCACTTGATTTTTTTTTTTCGCATTTCAACAGAGCAAAAGTTTGAGAACCAGAAGAGTACTTGTGTAACAGAATACGCAATCGATCACAACATAAAAGTCATAGCATGGAAAGTAGTGACGAAGAATTGTATGTAAGAACTTTTTCGGTACAAATGCACTAACTATCTTGCAGGACTTTGTCTTCACATGCTCTAGCGGCCCTAACCGAATTTAAGAATGAGGAAAAAGAGCGTCTGGAGCGATTCACTGCATTGAGTCATCAAGCAGAAGAGGATTTTACTGCTAGATCAACCTTGTCAATCGATGACTTCAAAGAAGACTGGCAATTATCGCAATTTTGGTATAGTGATGAGACGGCGAATATATTAGCTGATGAGTTACTAGACGGTGCAGATAGTGAAACAACTATCTGTGTTGTCAGTGCACCTTCAGTTTATGCAGCAATCAAGCTACGTGATCCTCTCGAGTTACCAACCAAGAGGATTTTTCTACTGGAGTTTGATCGCCGTTTTGAAGTTCTCTCTGGTTCCAAGTATTTCGGGTTTTTTGATTACAATCACCCATTGGAATTACCAGAACACCTCGTTGGAAAGTGTGATCGGCTGCTCATTGATCCACCGTTCTTAGAGGAGGATTGTCAAAGGAAGTCTGCCATTGCTGCCAAATCCTTGCTATGCAATGATAAGTCTCAGAAGACGAAAGCTGCTAAGTCTAGATACAGACTCATGAGTTGTACGGGAGAGCGGATGGCAGATGTTGTCAGATCTTGCTATCCAGATTTGAAAATGACATCGTTTTTCCCTGAACACAAAAATGGATTGAGTAACGAATTTAGATGTTACGCTTCATTTGAAGGGAACTCTTGGTCGTTTTCGGATTCATGAATGAACGAATACCTTCACACCCTTGCCACTATGTCGGATGCAATCTGATAATTTTTTGTTCTTGTCCTGTGAATGCAGTAATAGAGAGGTCCAAATTTGCCACAACGCCTATTTACTTTGCCACACCAGAAGTGTATAAATTAATTACCAAAACACATGCAAATCGAACATGTAAAAACATTTCATTCATTCATGATAACGTTTGTTTTTGTCTCCTTCAATCTCGTCTTCACAACTTAAACACTCAACTGAGCTTACAATTGTGTGGGAGTCCGTCGAACACCTATCGCCCCAAGAAAAGATAGTCTGGTGGAGAGAGATAAGTGTTCTACATGCATTTTATTTTTCTCCGTCACGCTGCTAGAGCAGACAAAGAGGTTCATCTGAGTGATGAAAATTTTCGCCCGGATTTGATTAATAACGATCCATCCTTTTGGTTGGCAGCATATGATCCGCCTCTCAATTCTTTGATTGCTGCGCAACAAGTTCAGCGTGCGTTTAAAAGGGTATCATCCAGTATTAAGAGTTTGAAGCCTGAGGGTACACCGTCAGAAATAATCATACATTCTTCTCCTTACAATAGATGCATTCAAACTTCTGAATACTTGGCGAGTCAGATCGTAGCATCTAGCTCAAAGTTGAAGCACAATTTGAAACTCAGGGTTGATCAAGCATTAGCAGATTGGCTCAATGAATACTATCAACTTGAGTTTTTGCCTCCGAACGACGGCGGATCATCTCTCATCAGCAATTTCAATAGCTACATCGAGTCTGAGCAAGATACAAAATTCCATTGTCAATCGCACAACTTTCGTTTAAAATCTATAAGAGACACAGGTTGGCTGTACAATAGATTGGGAAGGTGCGGTGACTATGGCGAATCTCCAGATGATTTCCGTTCTCGCTGCTTCAGTTATTTGAGTATGCTCACCCAATTTTATCAAGACTCTCAATCTTCAGATAAAGGCAAGAATACAGTTGTTTTTGTTGTATCACACGGCGCTGTGATTTCGATGTTCCTGCAGATAATCACAGCCAAATCTTTGTTCAGCGAGATACCTCTTTGCACACCAATATACCTGAAGCGCAATGATACAAAAATGACGTATTCTCTGGTTGACTACGATTTCAATCTTAGTTCAATTTTAGGATCTCTGAATGAAGGTGAACTACTTCCACTTTTACGCACAGAATTTCTTTTAGGAGCGAGCTCTGGCAATTACGATCAGCATGGCAGCTGGGATGTTGAGAGATCGACTGCTGTTTATCACAGCTCTCAAAGTCAGAGAAAACGGAGCAGGACAATTAACATAGCACGTACCAAGTCTTCAGAACAATTGAATGGGAATTTACCATTAAGGCAAGTCAAATCATCAAAACATTTACAACTTCTGAACAAGGATACCAATCAGACCAAAATATTGGATTTGAATAAACTAGAGGGTTTTCTTGGAGTTGATTCTGACTCTGATGATGAGACATTAGAGGGGGCATACTTGAGAAATGACGCTTCAGCTAGAGCCTCGTCAGTCAACGTATCCTCATTATTATCGAAAAAAAATGTACAGCAGATTTCCAATAGAGAAGAAGGAGCGTGCGACAAGGAATTCAAAGCTGAAGCCTGCGAGAAGACAGATCAATCAAAATATTTTCTCTTTGATCGAGACTTTGAACACGGAGAAGTTACAAGCTGCTCCACTTCTATAAGGGAAAAGCTGCATACTTCTACATTCGACAGAGTGAAAACTATGAGTGTTGACCAAAGTGTCTTCTCAAAAACAAGAGGAGAGACGAAGTTGAACTTTACCAATTTTGCGTTCCCGGGTGGCTTGAATGATACAGAGTTAGATCATTATGATCTACAGAAAATTCCAGATCACGACATAAGATCATCACGTCCGTTGAATTACTCAGTTCGGGATATACTATTCGCACAAATTGAACATGTCGACAAAGTTGATGAAGAGTATAGTTGGTTGGGGGAGAACAAGGATAAGCCAGTATCGGGCTGAGGGCTCTCGCACCTTTGGCATATGAATGCTGCTTCTTTGTTTAGTCCAATTCTGTGAAATCAGTCTATGTATTATACTGTCAGTCAACATTGTCGGTTTTTTACTAAAAGCGAGCTATAGTAATAATAATTCAATGAAAACAATAAGTGCACATAAAGTAAAATTGAAGAGTTCCTTTGTGCGTACCAGATGGCGTCTCATTGCGCACGATCTGGCTGGCTCATCATCTTGACCATTATAGAAGTTCTCGTTTATGACTTCATCGTTAAGTTTCAGTGCACTTGTCCCCCCGAGTTCATCAACAAAATTATGCAAAAGGGAGCGGTTATTAGAGTTGCAATAGCTGTCGCCATAAGAATCCCACCAGAAGCCGCCAGCTAGTCCCATTTGCTTAACGTAAGCTGCCTTCTGGCGAGCAGCCAAAGGACTGTCATAAAAAACTATCCCCCGATTTTGGTTGTAAGCATATGAAGATCCGACCGTTGAATTGTAGACTTCAATAAATCCATCCGGAGGAAGGTCATGATAATTTATGATGCATTGTTTTTTCTTTTGTTCAACTCCTGCAATATTTGCACATGTATGAAACTTATCACCGGGTTTCATACAGTCGTAGCTTCTTCCATAATTAGGCATCCCTAGAATCAATTTCTTTCGATCGATTCTTTCCAAGAGAAAGCGGACAGACGTATCGATCGATGCACCAGAACTATCATCCGCTGGATATAAGTTTGAATGATAACCAGATTTCTCCGACCAAGGACCTGTCATATCATATCCCATGAGGTTAAAATATGAAACGTATTTTTGCAAGATTTCAAAGTCGTAGCACAGCAATGAAGAGATATCTAGCGGCAAAGCCAATGATAGTAGATATGAATTCGTCTCCAACCCATTCATCCTTTCATGTGATTCAAATTTCTCTTTGAGAGACTTCATCAACGCTATCAACTTTGAAGCGTTTTCTGTTGTCGGAAACTCCCAATCTATATCAAGTCCATCAAATCCATAGTCAACCATAGTTTGGACTAAATTCGTCGAAAAATTCTCAATTTGTGCGTCATCACTGGTGATTTTATTAAATAAGGTATTCGTATTCTCACCGCCGACTGCCAAAGAAATCTTGAGACCCTTCTTCAGTTCTTTCATCTGTGATAACTGACCTATTAAACCTGTAGAGTTAACAAACTCATTTGATCCTTTGGATCCTGATAATTCGAAGTATAGTTGTTCATCTCTAGCTCCACAGGAGTTCGGAAATTCCGCATGATATAAAGGAAAAGATTCTTCAAGTGCAACGTTCTTGTCGGCCCACTTGGTGCTTTCCGAGCTGGGATCAATCTTGGCAAAGGCATAGTAAATATTTGTGATTTGCGAAAGTGGAACATCAATAGGGTAATGCTTGTTGTAAAATGACCATTCTGTATAATACACAGCACTTATAAAATTCACCTTGGTATCTTTGAGATCATCAAAATCCAAAGCACAAATTTTCAAAGAGAACACTAATAGCAATACAACCCGTAAAATCCTCTTAGACAGCATTTGGAATATGTAAAGAAATTAAAACTTTGTGATTAAGCTGTTCAAATTTGGGCCCAAATGGTCTGTGCGTGGAGAATTCACAGCAGAACATCAGTATTGCGACTTTTCCCCATATGCAGGAGACCCCGTTTCTGTTATCAAAAAATAGTGCATGACACAATATGGTTACCCCGTAAAATTTCTCCTTGAGTGAATAATGTATATGGGTGGGTGGACGATACATCCACGTGATCAAGATTGCGAAGAGGGTTTCTCAAAGTAGATGCAAGTAAGCTCCTGTCTATTGTTTGACAAGTGAGCCAAAGACCGCCCTGTGGTTGGTTCTCAAACGTATGAAATAAGGTCCATTTCTAATTGGTATCAAGGGTTCTGATCATTGGCATGAGTCATTCTAACCGATGAACGCTATATCCAGAATGTTTGGATGATTATCGGAAATATTCATTCACTCAGAAATTAAGCATCTGGCTAGATCTAAAATACCGCAGTGTGTATATCCATTCATTGTAGTAAATTGATAACAAATTTATCGCATAAAACATCATAGATAGCCATCACAGCCTCAGCCGAAGATTTGTATGATTGATTTGATGATCCCGTTTCTAAACTCAATACTTTTAGTCAGTTAAGTTCGAAAAATCTCCTATTATGGTTTTCAAAGTTATCATTCTTGAGGGAAGTAAAGGTAGGCTGTGACTGATTACTCAAAACTGTATTTGTATTTTTGCGAATTTGCAAGTTATTGTCGTGTCCCCATCCCCCTATTGTCATTATAGTGTTATCATTCTCGTCTTTAATAAGATGCTGGATTCCATCAATAATGAGTGACAAACCTGCTAACTCAGCACCTCGAGGCAGGATGATGTCTGCAAATTCTTTGGTTCTGAATATAAACTCATCCATTTCCACTCTGTATTGGCTCAGGTACTGAGTAAGCATTCGTTTAAGGAGAGCACCCCGCTCTGCTTTAGTATCACCAGTTGCTGAACCTGCTAATATATCCCGCTTTATCCATCGACCAAGCCTAACGTCTGCATCACAGTCGATAAAAATTTTTATAGTCCCAGATTCGAGTAAGGCCTTGTCGTATAAGGCATAAAGACCGTGAACGATAATAACATCACACCCCTGTAGTTCTCTGGCCTCCATTTGTGCACGGACTTGAAAAAAATCAAATCTTGATGGCCCAAATTCAGAATAGTTAGGTTTTTGATAGTCTTCCATGTCAACAATTGCGATTTTAATGAACTTGTATCTCGCCTCAAGTTCATCTTTCAATATCTTACAAGCCGAAGTCTTTTAGGTCAGTCTCGCTTGGCCATTTTAATGGATATACACGTACCTTTCCACAGGAGTGTCCTCCTGCAATAAGAATTTTGATAGCCTGATGCTTATCCTGCCCCATTGCTTTGGTCTGTGTGTTTTAAGAAATGAAATATAAAAATCCAAAAATTTCTTGCAACATTTTCCAGACCTTTTCACACCAACATAGAAAGGCCGCAATTCTGTTAATTACAGACTCGGTTTCCAATATGAGCTTTGACAGAGAGGCTGATAGATCTTTGGCTATTCAAACTTCGAGTAAAGTTCCTGTGGTGGGTTCTTTCGAGGAAATGAATTTGAAAGATAATTTGCTTAAAGGAATTTATGCATACGGGTTTGAAGCTCCATCAGCAATCCAATCGAGGGCGATCATGGAGGTTATTTCAGGAAAAGATGTGATTGCACAAGCACAATCAGGAACAGGTAAGACTGCGACATTTGCGATCAGTATGCTCCAGGTTCTCGATACAAACAGAAGCGATACACAGGCTTTGGTGCTATCACCAACACGGGAACTTGCTGCTCAGATTCAAAGTGTCATTCGTGCGCTAGGGGACTTCATGAGAATACGCTGTTATTCCTGTATAGGAGGAAAATCTATTGGTCAGGATATCAAACAACTGGCAAGAGGGCAGCACATAGTGAGCGGAACGCCAGGAAGGGTACTCGATATGATTAAGCGACAGACCCTGAATATCAGAAACATCAAGATGTTGGTTTTAGATGAAGCAGACGAGTTATTGGGTAAAGGTTTCCAAGATCAGATATATGAGATATACCAGTATATGCCTTCATCAACTCAAGTGGTTGTCGTTTCAGCCACTCTACCTAGCGCGGTCTTATCCCTGACAAATAGGTTCATGACGAATCCTACGAAGATCTTAGTTCGAAAAGAACAAATTTCACTAGAAGGAATTGACCAATATTATATCCAAGTGGAGAAAGAAGATTGGAAGTTTGATACATTATGCGATCTATACGACTCTCTCACGATCACGCAAGCTGTCATATTCTGTAACACCAAGAAAAAGGTGAGTTGGTTAAGTGACTCTCTCAGAAAAGCCAATTTCACTGTATCAGCGATGCATGGAGATATGAGCCAAGAGGAAAGGGACAGGGTGATGCATGAATTTAGGTCTGGAAACTCACGAGTATTAATTTCGACCGACATATGGGCAAGAGGAATAGATGTCCAGCAAGTTTCTTTGGTGATTAACTATGATTTGCCCCGTGAGAAAGAAAACTATGTCCATAGAATTGGAAGGTCTGGAAGGTTTGGCAGAAAGGGAGTTGCGATTAATTTTGTGACAAATTCTGATGCTGAGGCCCTAAGTGATATTGAGAGTTTTTTCAGTATTGTGATTGCCGAAATGCCCGCCAATGTAAGCGAGATAATGTAAATTAGGAGAGTTATATCTTTTTGGTTTCAGAGAGCATTGAAGATCTTGTAACAAACACAGAAACTAATCTCTCCACATATTTTAGGTCATTTTTAGCACTGAGGTTATGCTCATGATCGCCTGAATCTTCTTGTTCAACGACTAGTTGAGATCTGCTTCCCGACAGCAAAACATTTTTGTAAATATCGGATTCTCCAGTGTCTGTATCTTCAAAAACCCATTGGCTGGAACTTACATGATCTACTTGCCACCGGTTTGAAAGACAACACTCAAAATTTCCCTGAGCATCAAAAACTATGGGGAGATTCAAGTCATCATTGATGTCTAGCGACGTGTTCTGTGAGACATATTTGATTGGCAGGACTTCAATATTGGAACGCAGATAATTTGACTTATTTGAACTGACGAAGTTGATATCAGCTGAAGATGGCAGATTTTCTGATATCAAAGACGAGTCCTTCAAAAGTACATTGTAGTTTTTAGTTGTATTTGTCTTATCGTACATTCTCTGTTGCTTTAGAATGTCGGCAGCTAATTTATTACTTAAAGCGCAATTAAATTATTTCTCTGTATTTCTATTTTAGTGGTACCATTCGTAGCGCTAAAGGACAGTTGGAACTACAAAATGTTCCCACCTAATGCATTACATTTGAGCAAATGGTACTGGGTTAATATAACAGCCTAATTTTTGGTTTTCTGTTTATACTTTAGCATATTATAAAACTAGTTGATACCCTTTGCTCTCTTGGAGGAAGTAGAGTTCTTTGGCAATTCGTTCACAAAAGGAATAAATTCTGGTTCTCCCGGAATATACCTCCGCAAAACCTCAGGCACAATCAATCCATCCTCTGTTTGATAGTTTTCAAGCACGCAACACAATGCTCTTTCGGTTGCACACAAGGTACAGTTCAAACAATGAACATACTTTTTCTCCTTTTGATTCATCGACTTAATTCCGCATCTAATTTCCAAATTTCTAGACTGGTAATCTGTACAGTTTGAACAGGAGACTAACTCCTTGAATTCTTCTTGGTAAGGGAACCAAGCCTCTAGATCATACTTCTTTGCAGCAGAATTATTGAGTTCTCCAGAGACAATGCTGACAACTCGGTATGGAAGGCCCAAAGATTTGTAGAACTCTTCGGAATTGGAAATCATTCGGTCAAATTCAGCCCAAGATTTTTCAGGCTCCGTGATACAAAACTGTTCCACTTTTTCGAATGCGTGAACTCTGAAAATTCCCCAAGCATCTTTGCCGTGAGAGCCTGCTTCTCTTCTAAAACAAGAAGAGTAACCAGCATATCTAACAGGTAATTGTTCAGCTGGACTCTCGAACCATTCGTTCGAATGGTAAGCTGAAATCGGCTGCTCGGAGGTAGCAATCAGATACTTCTCATCATCACCGTCTTGAACTTTGTAAAGCTCTTCGTCAAACTCAGAAAGCTGAGCGGTTTTTGCCATGACATCCTTGTTCATCATAACAGGAGCTTGCATACATATGTACTTCTTAGAGGCCAAGAAGCTCAAACCATAGTTGATCAATGCTTGGTTCAGGAACACGCCATAATTTCTCAAAAAGTAGCCTCTGTGCCCCACAATTTTAACTCCTCGCTCTGGATCGTAACCATCAAGCCTCAACAAGATTTCGTGGTGTGAAAGTTTTGCAGGCTTTCCAGTTGCAGTGGCGACATTCGTGAGTTCGCTAAATTTGACATTTTCTGGGGCCCATGTACGAACAAGCTCGTTATTTGCTTCATCACAAGAGTCGATGACCGATTCGTGTACGATATTACCAACTTGGAAAACTTTCCATCTCAAGTTTTTGTCAGCCTCTTGTTCTTTCGAAATTAGTTCTGCCTTTTCATTGCTCAATTCATCTTTCGCCTTCAAAAGTTCCGTGGCATCTTCCTTCGCCTTGAACTTAAGCCCAATTTCCTTCTGGAGCTTATTTTGCGATTTGTTTAGTTCGTCCAGTTTAAATCTCAACTTTGTCCAATTATTGTAATCTTGGATGATTTCGTCCACAATTTCAACAGAAGCACCTCTTTTCCTTTGCGACTCGCGAATGGCTTTTGGATCGCCACCTTTCTCTTCAATAAATTGGATGATATCTAACATTCTGAAATAACAGAGCACCTACTAAATTATCAAACAGTTTCTTCAAAACTTGTAGTTTTGATACGATGTAAAACAGTATTTATTTGCCCAGTTGTCGAAAAAAATGTTTTTTTCGAGACCTTGCTGACCTAATCGCTTTGAATGTGGGATGACTACCCAGCTCTATTGGCGCTTAAAAAGGGATACGTTCGAAGTTGTTTTATCTTGACCGATATATACAGAACCAAATTGGGCCACAAGTTGCTCAGTCAAAATTCTCCTAGAGCCATGCCAGACGGATACTTCACGGAACAGGGTTTTGACTTTGACCTGGAGCAAAGTCGATCTTCGGCTGATTTGGCTCAAAATTTGGAGCCTCTCTCTGCCTCTCCAACAAGGACCAGAAGATCATTTTCGATCTCTAAATTTTTGACATCAAAAGACTCTAGAACTCATGCATCTAACAAGAGTATATTCACCACAGCCAAAGGATCTAGAGTCAAAGCGCCAGAAAAACCAGACGCCCCTGGATGGTACAAATCTTGGAGGTCGCTCAACACCCTCTTCAGAACAAAGAAAAAGTCCAAGCCCGACCAAAACGTTGGAACCAACAAGACTGAACATTATGAACATGACTCTGCGTCATCAGAACAAGAACTATCTTGCTATAATGCATACAAGAGCGAAGACCTTCAAATTTCTCTGAGCTCATTGAGGAGTCTTGTTGATCCTGAACTTTTACAGAAAACAACTGCAAGAGTTGTTCATGACAAGACAATAGTGGTCGATAAATCTGATGTAAAAGTAAAGAAGAGGATATTACAACAAACGAATAACGGTTCGACGGAGCATGCTTCCATTCATTTGCGGGGATCGAAAATCCCCTTTGATCAAGCTTGCCTTGATTCACAAATCAAACTGAAAAAGATGGACACTGACCAAAACTTGATAACGGACGGAAGTACTCTCGACTGTGAATGTGCCCATTTAGAAGATTCATCTCCAAAAGGCGAACGTCTTATTCCACAAGAAATCTCATTCCGGGGACAAAAACTGATAAACTGTGCTCCCGAAATTTATCTAAATTCGGATCTGATTGGGCTATTTGACACCCTAAAATTGAAAACAGAACAACAGGACAGCAAATTTTATGTAGCTGAAGATCAAGGATCTTTGAACTTTCCCGATTTTGAAATACAATCTCAGATTAGCAATGGAGATGTGAACGAAAACTCTTTCGACGAAAACACAACAAATGGACCACTTAGTTCTTTCGTTGAGGACCAACCAAGAAAGGGCCTCAGTATTGCAGAGGTAGACACATTGGAGCTACCATATTCAGCACAAGATAAGCCGTTATCCTCCTTTGGTAAGTAGCACCCATTTTGATCTCTTAAACTGACCATATTATAGAAAACATGACAACGGCTGGAACAACAATATATTCACCAGATCAACAAAAGGGCCAAATTCAGAGCACAAATGCAAGTCCATTGAGTGATATGAATTCTGATGATACTAGCATATCTAGAAATTTAGGGGATATTTTATCTCCCGTTGCAAAAACCGTAGCAATATTTCACGGGAGTGAAGAACAGATGACGGACGATGAAACACTCACCAATAGAGCTCCAATAGATATCAAGGTGGACCAAAATTCTACAATTATACAGGAAATTCATGATATCAACCAGAGGAGTCAAGAAACAACGGAGCAATTGACTTTGAAGTTTCATTCCAAAGCAAAAATCTTGATCTACGATCATGAAAGTAACTGCAAATCTATTCGAAAGCTTTTTAACTCCAGAAGAAACCCAACAGATAGTCCATTGAAAAGAATAAATCGTTCGATAAGCAGAAAACTGTCAGGGTTTGGTGTCAATGTCTCCACCACTGCCGTTGATGCGCCTGGGTATTTATACGGATCATGTGACAGATCAATTCTCAAAAGCAAGATCAATATTAACGAGGAACAAGAATCAATCAGAGCAAATAATTGCGATGAGGTGGGAGTGGAAGATTTTTTATGCTTCTTTGAAACTCACGAGCGTCGTCGGATGGACACAGAACCGTTTCTTGAACATTTCAGAGAGAAGCAGATAGAGAAATATTACGAAAACATGTAGCTAAGGATGCATACCATAGTTTCAGACAAAATTGTAGCTTGACAAAGATCCCAGACATTAGATTTACTGGATCTTTAGACAGATTAGCCCGTAATAAAGATAATTCTAGTGAGTTTATTTTCTGCTATTTTGTGAGCCTACGGGCCAGACTCTGGTAGACAGATTGCAAACACATTTAGTCCAGAGAGGAGGCACCTGTGATGATATCAACCAACTCATTTGTAATAACAGCCTGTCTTGTTCTGTTGTAAAGAATCGAATACTTCGAAATCATGTCGCCGGCGTTCTTTGATGCGTTATCCATGGCATTTCTTCTTGCTGAAATCTCAGATGCGTATCCCTCGGCCATTGCATTCAGAATCGAATTCGTCAGAGAAATTTGAGAGAGCGAAGTAGGAATTTGCTGATCTTCTTCCAACTCAAATTCAGAAAGCTTTGGCGACTCCTCAATTGTGATAGGGCTGAAAGAGGGGAAAACTGATGGCTCGAAAGAAACACCCGACACAAATTTGTTATACAGAATCTCCACTTTAGAATACTCACCCAGTTTGCTGATTTCATCGGCAATCAGGGACGCCTCCCAGAAAGTTGGAGCTTCTTTTCCAACTCCGTTGAACGAAAGAACCAAGTTCTCACTACTAGTTCTCAGCAGTTGTGCTTTGATTTTGTCACCAACTGTCACAACATCAGCATCGGGGGTTTCCAAAAGCTTTGCTCTGGTAGCCTTAGCAATTTGGGAGTGAATGGAACCACACAATCCTTTGTCAGAAGAAACAGCAATAATAAGAGTCTTGTCTGGAGACTCAGGAGATGCGGTTTCCGCGGTTGCGAAAAAGTCCTTATCACCCTCACTGAATGCTCTGGAAGATGCCATTGCTCTTTGAGCCTTACCCATTCTGGTGGATGCAACAACCTTCATGGTGTTGGTAATCTTCTCAATGTTTTTAATCGACTTCAATCTAGTCTCAATTTCTCTGAGAGTGGCATAGTTTCTTAATGATGTTAGTCAATTCCCATGACTCAAGCGAAGTGTCCAAAAGTGCCATCTGCAAACTCTCGCGAGTAGTCCATATAGGTTTCAAAACCTTTTGTCACAATTGGATCGCCCCGCTTCAAATTTCCAATACTTACCTGCTTATGCCAGCAGTGCGGATAGCCTGCAAACCTAAAGTGTACATGTTGACTCTTAGTTAACGAAATACGAGCTCAGCTTAGAAGATTATAATCTTTCAAGTCCAACGGAAATAAACAAATTTGACAACTCTAAAAGTTCGACGCCCGGCAGACTATTGGTTTTCACGGGAAAAATATTTTTACCGCATGGAAATACCGGCCGCCTAGGGGCGAACGCGGATCGAGAGTCTCGCACCACATCAAAGTAAGCGTTGATTGGCTCGGAGAAAAAATATTTCAAAAACGGGTAACCAGTTTAAATTACATAATCAATATTGAATTCAAGGTCTTCTCCAACGGATCAAATCACCTGTAGACACAAATGCCCAAACAAAATGTTTTTCAAACTGAAGGCCACTTAGTCTACCTAGCTGAATGTTTTTCTCTCCAATTGGATAGATTATTGGGCAGTCACGCCATTTAGTAATGGAGTGAAGGGATACATTTCTCTTTGGGGTTTGGAGAACAGACTCTTGGCTTTTGAAAATGAGGTTACCGTTGGTTCCCTGCGTGTTTGAATCTTCATGCTTTTTCATATTCTCCACTTTGTCCTGATTGATTATTTCATACAGGGAAAGATGCTGCAGACGGTTTAAAGATGTCAAAGACGACACTGATCCTGTTTGTGACTCGAATTTTGAACCTTGTAACCAACTGCGCCTCATAGTTTCCGATGCGGCAATAGACTGCTTGAAGCTGACCTCACTTTGGGAATTCAAGGTCAAACTTGACTTTTGTCTCTGGTTTATTAAAGGCTTGCCTCTTGCCTTTAATTTCCGAATCTTCGGAAGGTTTCTAGGCTGGAATTCATAAAATCTTATCGACCCATCATCCCCCGCGGTACCGATCCTGTAAAGCAAACCGGATGTCGTTTTAAAGAGGTCGACATTAATTGCACGTACCCACGATCTTGATCCCTCCAGACGCACGACTAATTTGATGAGGCCATTTGAAGTGTTGCTTAAACCAACGTTAGTGAACTCAAACACTGAAACAATGTCATCTTCCCCACCTGTGAGTAGATACTTGCCATCTCGCGTAAATAAAACGTCAAGGACGCCTCCATAATATGATGATACCAAGTCGGTGATATGCTCTGCAAACATATCAAAAATCCTCACGAACCCATCGTCACATGCCACGGCCCAAATGTTTGAAAACTCCGGGTGACAATTCAAACCTGTGATAGCTTTGGACGAGAACTTATAATGCGCAATTGGATTACTGAAGGTTGAAGACGGGCTCGACTTGAGGGAATGAAGCACTGATATGTTCTTCAGCTTTTCTGCGTTTCGTTCCTCAACTTTGTAAACTTCTGAATCTTCAAAATCTCTATGAAAGATCATCACCTCACCATCTCCAAATCCGACAGTTGCAAAGTTTCCACAGTTTGACCATTGTAAAGAAATAACAGGTTTATTTTTGAGTTTTGCATTCTTATTCCAGCGAGAATATTTCAATTTCGGAATATTTAGCCAGAAGATATCACCAGAAGCGAACGCTATCAAAACATCCAATGCAGTCTCCCCTGAAGTGGTGACATAGTGGATGTGTGACATCGCCGTGATAATACCTGTTGAAAAGACAACTTTCAACAGAGGTATCTCTGCATCAATTTCTTTAGCGTCGTCGGCTAATGTAATCAAGTTCAAAACTCTTCCGTGACATGCTAATAAGACTGATTCCGAATTAGAAAACTTTCTGTTAAAACCATCGGCCGTCAGAACTTTAGCAATGAAGTTGGAGGTGGATCGTACCAAACTGCTTTTGGGAACCTTCAAATCCTCAGAGGAAGGATTTATATCATTTTTCAAACTTTTTGGTTTAGTCCATAAGCGGACAGAGTTTGGATTTGAAAGCTTATAATCATGTGGCTTCTGCTTCTGGTCATCAAAGTTGATCACATCAGCAAGACAACCTGGTGTAAGGTGAACATTTTTAAAAGGGTCGGCAATCAAAGGATTTATTCCATAGCCGATGGGAAGCACTTCTGTTTTTCCATCTGGTTGTACACCAGTTGGTTCTGGAGGTAGGGAAAGGGGATTCGTAAGTTGATTTTGGTTAATGTTGCCCAATGTAGTGTGATACTTTCGAAGGTTTTGTTCCACAAACTTCGATAAAGAAGCGTAAGTGCTTGGATCGCTGGAGATCAAAGGTGTTCGCGAAATACGTATGGCCGTGTCAGGTTTGAATGTACCATCTAGATGTTCAAAACTAAATTGCTCTTCGTTCAATCTGAAGAGACAGTTAGGGTCTGTAGACTGAATCGGAAGAATGCTGTTGCTTAGTACGTTCTGAAACTGATTATTTGGCAGTTTATTGAAACGGGACAAATCTGCTGGTAAGTACATATTGATAATCCGAGAAAAGTTAGTTTTATCAGACAACAACAAGTGGAGACTATTTAATTTTGCGGCCCGACTTTTGGAATTCAAAAGTGTTCGCTAAAAAAAGCGAGATTCTGGGGAAGGCACCAGTTACATCATCTGAGTTACTGATGATATCAAATTTGATTGATCAAAATCCTTGAATAACTGCACATGATAAGGCTCGACTGAAGATTTGCGAATTGAGATAGGCGGACCAACTCATGTACGAAACGATTACTTCGCAAAAACTTTACTGACTGGTTTTTGTGAAGTGAATCAATCTCCTACATATTAAAATACTAGAAATAAAATTGAGAACCTCACCTATTTGGTGCATCATTTTAGAGTTCTGCCAAATCAACAAATGCCAGATTTTGTGGATTCTGTCTTTGACCACGCTCACCAACTAGTGAAGGAGACAGGACGTCTAGCATCAGGATCAGCAGATTTCATCACTAGTATTATTGGAAAACCTATTCCGCCTCCTTCTCAAACCAATGGCAGTCCACTCTTTCAAATCCATACCAAACGATTATCAAAAATAAACCTAAAAGTGGTTTTCTTCACGGCAATAGTTGGTGGACTTGCAATACTCGAGTTGCACCGAAAAGCAATACGGCACAGAAGAGCCAATTTATTGCCTAACGGCCGTAGGTTTGAAGTCATTTTAATAATTGGAAGCCCAGTATCAGTTGTCGTACAAAAACTAGTCAACGATTTGAACAGAAGAGGATACATTGTTTACGTTACCGCCAGAAATGAGACCGAGGTTAAAGCAATTGAAAGCGAACGGGATGCCGATATCAAACCTTTGCTTATGAATTTTGAATGTTCATCAAGTGTCAAGAGTAGTTTGCTTCGATTTGCTTCTATACTTGAAACTCCAGAGTCAACCAGTAATGAGATTGAAGAGGGAAAATTCTTTTTGCATTTCAAGGGCTCATTGATAATACCTGACTATTTCAGATATCCGAAGTATTCAAGGTTAGTACAGATCGAAAAACGTGAACTAGATACTATCATTGAAAATCAGTTCTGGAAAATCAATGGTATTCTCCAAAATGGTCTGCTATCTATTCTTCAGGAAAGCAACTCGAGAATTAGCGAAGTCGAGAGCTACAATGGAGTCAAAGTAGGCTGCGGGGGATGCAAATTGATATTTATCAATTTTGTTCCGATGTCCATAAGAGAGAAGCGCCGACTATTTCTTGAAATTACTTTGAAAGTTAACGATCTACTTTATGATCAATTATACGAGGAGAATTCGAAACATTATAACGGAATACCATTTCTGCTACCAAATAAAAACCCCGACTTCATTCAAATGACCAGATTAAGAGTTAACTTTTTTCAGGATGAGGAATCAAAACTCTTGACTACAAGGTTAGATTTTCAAAGCATATTGAGCTTTTTCGGAAGAACCAGAAACAAGAAATTGACCCCAAAACGGTTTCACCATCAAATTTTTGACTTACTAAACAGTAACCTATTCTACAAAAACTACACAATCCAGGCATAATAAATAAATAGTCCATACTCTCATGTCACAATTTTGCATCTAGTAATAGAAGGGTCTTCAACTGTCCCGGCCGTAAAATCTGAGATTGTAAGAACGCCTTTCCGGTCCAATATATACAATTTGTAACCTTCGCGATCAAAACGCATTGAGGCTGATTCTTTCACTCGATAAGCATTACTGACATCCGTAACAATCACCAATCGTTTATTGTCATTGTCATCCATCCGAGGGGTTGTCATTAGGTACACGGTTCCAGATCTGTCCAAGTATGCAATCGAGTCCCCTCGTGGCGAAACACAGCATTTGTGTATAGTATGACCCACGTCATCTAATTTTGATAAAAGCCTAGGATTTGCAATTCCCTCCGGTCCGGAAATAGACGTTATTTTTGTGTCAATGATTATAGGAACAGAGTTGTAAGAAACAGATGTAAGAGTCATCAATCTATTGTCCGGGAAAAATTGCAAGTCTGTGATCCCCTCGCTTTCAAGAGAGGTGTCCAGTTTTCGCTGTGATTTCATCACTAGGACAGGGCGACTTGGATCCGAGACACTGATGACCATAAATCGGGACTCTAATGCTGTGGCCACCGATAAGTATTGTGAATTTGGAGAGAACTGCAAGACCGTTATTGGGTCACGGTACGGCAATGTGAATGGGAAACTTGATAACTTGAAATGAATTGAAGGGTTAAAACTGATATCCTGTTGGATAGACCCAAGAAGGGAAGCACTTTGAGAAGTTTTAGACGTCTTTTCAAATTCATTGGTTTTGGAAAGACTGTCATGCTGCAATGTATATCCTTTGAAAGAATTTTCGGTGAACTGTAATCTCAAAAGAATTATGAACGCTTGCTCAGATCCAGCCAACTTGCCTTTACCTGTTACTCCCAAACTAACAAATCGCTCATCTGGAGACACATCAATGCAACGAATAGGAAAGCGAGACTGATATGTGAATAAATGCTTTCCTTTGGAACTAAGATCAATTATTCGAACGAATCCGCGTGTTCCTGATATAACAAGTAACCTCTCCGTTATCTTGCAAGAAAGATGTTCCCAATTAGTTAGTAGATCCATTGATTCGTTTACACTTTCACTGAAATTTGAGCTTGCAATAACTTCAGCTCTTGAAACTCGTATAAGTGAATCAAAGTCAGAGCCGTAGTCTCCATTGCTATTACCACAGCAGTAAAGAACTGGGGATTTATGAGGCATGGAAGGTGAAATTTCGTACACTTCCCACTTTTTCTCGCTGAGCAAAACAAATTTGGTCAAGTCAGGAGATAATGCAGTATTTATGAATAGCTTGCTCTTGAAAGGAAAACTGGAGTGATGGGTGTGATGTTGGTAGAGCTTCCGGTAATGGGGGAAGTTTTTTGAAAACAGGAGCTCTTTATTAGTCTTGAGTTCTTTCGCTCTTCTGTTTTGTTTCTCCAAGGTGGGAGATGAAGATAGAAGCTTTGTAATATTGGAGCCCTGGAACGACGTCTTCGTTTTCTGTCTTTGTAAGATATCGCTTGATGAGCCCGTGGACAACATTGTAACTGCAGAGACACCCAGATGATCAGATGATTCATCAAAAATCTTAATTGAGGACATCCGATCTTCGACACTTTTTTTATATTCGTTCGAGGTGGCAATCTGATCGGGTTTGAAAGTATCTCCAACCTCATTGAGAACTTCATGAAATACCGTTAGCAATGAAGATCCGTTACCCGTTGGTTCGTCTCGATTGCGTAAAACAGAATCAGAAAGATCTAGCGAATTCTTTTCTAAATCATCTTTCAACACCTGTATATATTCAAGAATAGAACGTAAAGGTTCACACGAGCGTAAAAGCTCACTATCTTCGTTAGAACATACGGGACAACCAAATGTTTTAGACTGACTTCTCAGTTGTTTTTCGAGAGTGCTCGCTATAACACAGCCGCAAGTGAGCACCACAGGATCGTCACTAAAAGACAGAACAGTTCGCGGAGGAGATTCAGAGTAGTCTATACCTGTTGGGATGTGGGCATATTTCTCAATATTGTTTATTATGGAGCTTATCGAAATGTTTGTCATGACATCAAAATACTCACTCGTTATCTTGCATGAAAAATGATGTGCAAAGATGTCTTATTTTCACTCGAATTTTTATTCAATTCAAAAGAATCACAAATTACTTGATTGATAGATTCTTACAGGATTGCAAGATGTCACAATTTTGTGGGTACACGTTAGAAATTGAACTGAATGATGCCAAGGGTACAAAAGTGAAGGGAACTATTGGAAATATTCAGGATAAAGATCTCTTACTCTCCGAGGCACAGTATTTACAAGGTCCAGATTCCAATTCCAACCATAGAGATCTTCTCATCAAGGAGGGCACAATCAAGGATCTCAAAGTCGTAGGTATTCCACCTCGAAAGAAAAAGGATAAAAAAAAGAGCAAGCAAGAAAAGGATAAGGATAAGTATTCGGAAACCAAGGCACTGAAAAAGGAATCGACCTTGGCCTCAGGTAAAGCAGATTGCAAAGGAGAGAGAGTCCAAAGCACCCAAGACCCCGATAACCATTATAATTATCATTCAAATGAGATTGACTGGCAGAATGAGAATCCTGGCACGCTAAAGAACATGGAGGTTTTTGATTTTGCATCGAATCTTCAAAAGTTTGATAAAAAGTCAGTATTTGAGGAGCTTTCAAGATTGGACAAGACAGATCCTCGCAACAGATTAGTCGGGCAAAACAAGCTGCCACAAAAAACTAATTACGAAAACACTGAAATGGTGTTACAATCTAGCCAGAAAGACACTTGGGAAAATATCAATTCAGCCAATGACTATACTCAAAGTGCATTGGGCAATCAAGCAAATGAAAAAATCAAAGAGCAAGAGACCAATTTGACCAAAGGAGGTGTACAGCAAACCAACCAGTTATCTTCAGTCATAAAGTCCAATGTAAAAATATACTCTTTGGAAAAAGATCTCATTCCTACATGCTCCCCTATTCAATTGGCCGAAATTATTCAGCTCTGTTCTAAAATGTTGGGTGTTTCTAACGAAGCAATGATTTATGATGCTGGTAGAAGCCTGGCAGAATTGATAGTGAAAGAAATAATAGGGGAATTTAGATTATCCAATTTGAATCATAATGCACCCCCATTGGTGCTTGTTCTAGCAGGAAATAATGTGTCGGGAGCAAGAGTACTTACAGCAGGAAAACAGTTATCCAATCATGGCATTAGAGTCTTGGCATACGTGCTTCATGATTCGGAGGAGTCAGAGGATGAAATGCTGGACATTGTGAAGTCAAGCTTAAACATTTTGACTAGCACTGATGGAAAAATTGTGAAAAGCATACCAGAACTAAATCACGTCTTGGAGCAGGTGGATTCTCCATTGGAACTCATAATTGATGGTCTTCAGGGATATGATACAAATCTTTGCGATCTGATCGAACCTGAGCTCAGTCGATCCAAAAATATTGTGGAATGGTGCAACAATTCCAAAGCCCCTGTTTTGTCGCTTGATGTACCTTCAGGCCTTGAGGCTTCATCAGGAACTGCTGATTTTGAAACATACATTGCTTCAAATTACTTGGTTTCCGTCGGGATACCTCTCAGCTCCGTGCTGAGTCTGTACCGCTTCGGATACTTTGAAAAACAGGATCTCAAGCATTTCTTGATTGATTCGGGGATTCCTAGAAAGGTTTTCACACTGAAGTCCAATCTGAGGAAGTTTGACAGGTATTGGTTTACTAAGAGCTGGTATGCAATCTTGAATGTTGAATAGTTAGCCGACAGCCATGATATTATTAAAATAAGTGATTGCTTGATGTATCTAGTTCTCGTGCTAAAATTGATGCGTATCTTTTTCGCAAAAAGTTGAACAAGAAATCGTAAAAGAATTGCAAATCAGTCAATTTACGAAAATTAGATAAAATACCACCCTTTTGATAATATTTTCTAAGTGATATCGACTTAAATTCTGTACTTCCAACTTGAAACTTTAGCCAATTGAATTCGTGGAGGAGAACCAGACCCAAGGGTATTTCAGGTTTTCACATACAATGAACTTCAAAATCATTTACACCTGCGATGAACTCCTAAGTTTACAGCATGAAGGCGTCTTATTCAAAAATACCGAGCTGCCGAACAAGGAGTTCTGGAGATTCAACGTTAGGAATTTCACGAAGACTAATGGAAGTACTACGAAATCATTGCAAAAATCTCATAACAATTACAAGAAAAAGGCCATACACAAATCTCCAAGTGAAGATAATTTTGAGGAAGAGACTCCGGAATGGCTAGACGAAACGGATTTCAAAGTCGATTCGAGTTTTGTGGGATACAGTTCCATTGGTACGCATTCATACGAAGAATTCGAAAGGGAGAAAAAAGAGTTCCATAGAAGACACGGAGGATTCAGAGAACCCCAAAGTCTGGAGGCACCAGTCATTGAACATGTGCCATCCAGCTCATTGGAAAAAGACTTTACAGGGAGCAAAACCGCTTTTTCGTCAGCTGAAGACAGTCAGTTTGATCAAGATTTGGAACTAAGGGACCATTTGAACGGGCAATTTTTCGACAATTTATTGAAGAACAAACTCGAACCGACGGAGAAGCATGAGCAACCCGCAGAGCAAAAGATTAGGCAAATAGACACTTCGGAGACATCCAAGTTTGAACGATTATTTCAAGCTAAGTCTGGTTCAAGTATCCCAATTGATAATTCAGGCACAACTTATACCAACAACATAACAAATGCTCCGATTCAATCGCAAAATCATGGGTCACCATTCAACAATCAAGGATTGCCGACAAACCAGTCTTTTGGTAACCTTCCACCTGGTATTCCGCTGGGACCTCAGTCCACTCAAATGCCACCAATGCTGCCGCCTGGGTTCAACTCTAATTATTTCCCACCACCACCACCACCACCACCAGAGTTGCTCAAGCTTATTCAGGAGGGCAAGTTGCCACCCCTACCGGGCATGCCTCCAGGTTTGAACTTTCCAGTACCTCAGATGGCTCCGCAAATGATGCCTTTTCCGACAGTTCAAAACAAATACACTTCAATAGCACCTGAAAACTCATCTGGATTCAATAATCAGTTGCCGCAAGGGACATTTCCTTTATTACCTCCTGGAATCACTAATCCCATGATGGGGTTGAGACATTTTGATTCTCAAGGTCAGTTTTTAGAAAGTGATGCAAAGTCGAAGCATTCAAATTTTCAGCAAAAACATGATACGTTCAAGCACCCATGACTAGTTAACAACCGAAAAGGCAATTCCACTGAACGACAAACCAGAGCTCTGATGAATTTATAACGTTTTGTATGCAAGAAGGTAGTTTCCGAGTACTATAATAATAATTGTTGACGCCAGTGTATCTAGCATCATGAAAGTTTCGTACTTTGCCGACCAAAAGAACTAGGAGCACGATTAACAAACAGTAGGAACGATTGAAACCAAAATATCCTACGGTACTGCTCTCTTGGGAATTTCAAGAAGGGATTGGAGTTTTCAAGGGAATGTCAGGGGTTATATCGTCTGGCTTAGAAAGAGCTACAGTAATAATCGGATTATTCTTTCAAAATGAGAGAGAGATATTCATACCCAGGCCCATAATTTTCAGATAGTCAAAATCAGGCTGTGTACAAATTCAGTTGAGGACAATATTTTGAGAAATTTAACAAACGAAAGAAGTACGAATTTTGGAGCTCAATCTTAACTCTATCGATTAAGTAGCGTTACTTTTGCAAACACCGGATTGAGTATATGTTCAGAATCAATTTTTCGTATTAGGATATTTCATTTGTCAACTCACTGAAACTGAAGGAACATCATAGAGAACTAAGTCATATTGAAGCAACAACTAACCTACTATGGATTCCAAATTATTGGCTTTCCAAAATAGCGATGCTCACCAACTCTATAATTTAACTGCTCATCTGTTCAAAGACGGTGTTTTCAATTGCTATCTGACCTCACAACAATTTAATTTGCTTGATTTGATCTTACACAGGTTCAAAGATGCCCAAGCTCGAAAACACTTATGGGAGTCGTTCATAAATAGCAACCTTTATCTTAAATTCATCAATTCACAGGAAACAGAGGAAAGGGACCAACATGTGGATGGGACAGATGAGCTCTATTTGAAAGAGGGTACAAAGTCGACCAAGAATCTGTGTGCAATTATCCGTTACCTTTTGTACGAAAAAGCTGTTGATTACTACTACAGCGGGGAAAGCTCAAAGACATCGAAATTTGGATTTTTTGAGATCCTGCGAGAAGACAGTGACGAGGATGAAGAGTTTGAAGATGCGAAAGAGAAACCTTTTTCACCCAAACACACACGCTCGGTCGTGACACGCGATGAAGCAAATGATTACGACGACGACGACGACGACGACGATGAAGAAGAGAAAGGCGAGGAAGAAAACGAAGACTCAAAGTGCGACCAATCAAGCAAAGACTCCATGTCCCTAGCTACTAAGTTAAATCAGATCCATCATGGTACTCGTTCGGACTCACATACTGGCTTGAATATTACGGATGATTCTGCGACACAACAAAAAACCAGTCCAGTTTTAAACGAGAGTGATAACGTGGATAAATATTGCGATGTTCCAAAAGAGGGTGAGCTAGAGGAGAATAGCTCAGGACAATTGGTCTTTACTATAAACATACAGTTGCTGATCAGAAAACCCGAATTTCCATCCACAATGGAATCAGTTTCTTCGACCGAAGAAGCGATCGGCACGATGGTCCATCCTATATTAGGAACTGCATCCGCTATTGAGTCCAATTTTGAGCGCCAAAATGAGCTTAAACTCATCAAGAATTTCAACAAGATCTATCACACTTTTGAGAACGATCAACCAAACATGGTCAAGAGAAGAAAGCTAGAACGAAGTGACAAGCAACTCGAACTGACGGACTCAAAAGATCAAGGGAATGGCGCTGACGAGAATGAGCATAGTGATTCTCATCAAAGCGTTAACAAGTTGATGGGACTTGGCGGAGCAGCAAACCTTTCTTTGAAAAACCTCCTGGGAAGAATTGAAGAGAATCGAGAAAAGTTGGATCTCAGTGACCTGGAGCTCAAGAATCTGATCATGGACGTTCGAAAAAACAGGTCAAAATGGGCCAGCTATAACAGAATTGGCCAAGAAGAGCTTTATGAAGCTTGTGAGAAGGTAGTCTTAGAGCTCAGGAGCTACACAGAGCATTCGATTGCATTTTTGAATCGTGTTTCTAAAAGGGAAGCACCAAATTACTATCAGATAATTAAAAAGCCAATGGATTTGAACACCGTGATGAAGAAGCTCAAGAACTTCCAATACAATAGTAAAACGGAATTTGTTGATGATTTAATGCTCATATGGAAGAATTGTTTAACTTACAACTCCGATCCAAATCATTTCCTCAGAGTGGATGCAATAGCAATGCAAAAAAAGACCTTAGCACTTATTCCTCTCATTCCGGATATCGTCGTGAAAGATAGGGCAGAAGTTGAACGAGAAACAGCGGCCATTCAGCCCAATGACGTTGAAGATCTCACGGGATCAATATCAACAAGGGGAGTTGGAAGTTCGAGCAGCGCCAAAAAATCCAAGAAGGGGCGTAAGGGTGTCCATGAAGACCAGGAAGTCACTGAAGTGACTGAACAGTCGGACTCAAACACTAGAGATGGAGATAAGAGTAAGATAGATCTTCCGACTATCTCGACTGAGCATCGGATCAAAGTTGAAGATGAATCTCAAATACAGGACTCCACAGAATTATCTGTTGCACCATCTAATATTTCAACGCCAACGGTGTCTGGCTCTCGCGAAGAAAATACCAATGAAAGAGAGGGAACATCAAACCCTGACTATGAGGACCAGGATGATGATGCCACAACCGCCATGGATGAATCGCAAGCTCAAGACCAACAACGGGAGAGAAATAACGACGAAGACAATGAAGACTTGGAAATGGCCACTTGGAAAACACTGACATCGAATACCAGATACAAGCTATGTTTGCAAAGATCCAGTCTGTTCCGAGGAAATAAGATCCAGCCAAACGAGGAGGCTTTGCTAAGAGATGCAACACAAATGTCCAATTTCTGCAGTTATCTTGATGATGAATCGAGCGTGGTGTTGCACAGAAATCGTCAATATTTCGATGAAAATGATGATCCTTATTTGATTGAATATGATATTGAGGGAGGCTTGCCTTCAATCCAATATCCAGGTATCAATTACGAGTCTATCGAGAACAATTTACTATCAGAAATGATAGATGAAGGTAAATCTTTGGAGGAGTTACCAGAGTCAGAGTTTACTGCAAAGAAAAAAGGAAGTAATTCAATACTCTATGACAACATAGCACTCATGCAAGATGTCAGAAGGGTCTGTTTCAAGATCAATATTATACGTCAAATGCAGACGTCTCAATTTTTGCATCAATCCCAATTCCAAGCGCCCGAAATTGAACGTCTGAAACCTGAAGATATTGACGGATTATCGAAGCTCAAAACCAGGGATCCATATTCTCAACAGATTGCTTACTCCGTTCTAGAAAAGTCGGTTGGCGTGATTTTGATGGCCAACGGATTTGAGTCGACAAGCCCCTTTTGTATTACCACAATGACACAAATTGCGGAACAATATTTTGGAAATCTTGTCAAATCTCTCAAGCTGAACATGGAGTCTAATTCAATAAACAAGCTTCCCGCTAAAAAGCAGAGACTTTTGGGCCTCAAAGATATCCTTTTAATGTCTCTACAGGAAAATGGAATCGAGAAACCTGACACACTTTACTCGTTTTATAAAGAGCATTTAACAAAACAGAACAAAAAGCTCCGCGATTTGAAATACAGATTAGAGAGCTTTCTTCGTGATCTTCTCAGACCAGGAATTCAGGAGCTAAGTGAAAACCAATTCACTGATGATTCAGAACAATTCATGAATGGTGATTTTTCAAACGAAATTGGTGAAGATTTCTTTGGCTTCAAAGAGTTAGGCTTAGACAAAGAATTCAATTTGCTCACATCGACTATTCCTTTGCATCTACTTCATTCTAAATTATCAAGTCAACTCAATAATCTGGATGCCAAGTCCAAGAAAGCCAAATATGAAGATTTCCAAGAAATTCAATTTCCTAAACTTCGAAAGCGTGATCTCACTTCACAGATTGGTCTATTGAAACCCTTTTATGATGATCTTTTGGCAAAATCTAAGACCACGTATCTGAAACAGTTGAAGAAATACAAACAAACAAACGAGGCCTCTGATGCAGAGAAAAAATCACTCACAGAAGAAACCAATAATAATACATCTGATGTGAAAGCGGAAAATCACCCCCAACCTGATTCCGTTTCTGCATTCGTTGAAATTGAGGATCCAGAAGATCTGATCATTTTGGAGGACAGCGACCTTCCTCAAAAACAACGCAACCATAGGCCAAAAATACCACCGAACGGTAAAATAGCACAAGTCAAACGAAAACTCATTGCAACCTCGTTTTTCATAGACGACCAAGACGCAAGAGAAAAAAATGTCAGTATGACTATCAACGATGCTGAGCCGAACAACGCTATTCCCGAAGATTCTTTCGGCGAAAGGTCTAAACTTCTGAAAGATGCAGAAAAGTCAGAACAATCTTCGTCAATTTCTGGTCTTGGTTCTCAATAGTTTGGACACTATTTGTGAGCCATCAAAAATGTATATCTTCCCCTCTGAGATACTGTACTATTAAATATATGTTCAAGAACCCTATGATAGCCCACGTTAATACTGCTGCAAGGTTCATGAGAACTGAGTTTGAAAAATCTTTGTAAAGTTTCGGCTGTTCTGGGTTGCTATGTTTGTTAGCTTGCACCAGAGGAGTTGTCTCCTGTGGCTCAGGCAACGAGTTTTCTTCACTTTGTATTTCTACCCTCATGATGGACTTATTGGCTGTAAAGTACAATAAAGGAGCAGACACGAAAGGCAAAATAAGTGACAAAATGACCTGCGATAAGTTCAAGATTGTTGCGATTCCTTCTCTCCCCATGAAGACCGCCATAAGTACGCATGGCACAACAGTGATTGAACGGGTGACGAGTCTCCTGTAGAATGGGTTCAATTTCCAATTCAAACAGCCCTCTGCAACAAGTGCACCAGACAATGTACATATAATGCCGGCTGCAATTGAGGAAAATAACATCGCTAAAGCGAAAATGAGTCCAGCTGTGTTTGACAAATACTCACAAAGCATGTCGTATATGGATATCAAATCTGCATCGATTGCTTCTGGCTTGCCATGTAGTGCAGCAGCTGAGACGATCAAAATAGATGAGTTTATGAAAACTGCCACCAGGCATAGAGAGCAGATCAGCTCTGCATATGAGTAATGTAAACAGTAGTCTATTGCAGCCAACGATGGCCGGTAGTCTAAAGTATCATCAGCTATCGACGATTGTGTATCCACTGTAGCTAGTTTATTCTTGATGTCGTAATCTTTCAAGCGAGGTTTCACCAAGTTTGATCCAAGATACAAGGAATGAGGCATAACTGTGGCACCGATAATTCCCAATGATAAGTAGACCGACTCTTTAGAGTTGAATAGTTGCCATGATGGTAAAAAACCCTCAAATAATTGTGACTTACTTTCAATATCAACCTTGTTGACCAGTACTATGAAACATCCAAATGCTAACAGAACAAATGTAGACACGAATACTTCAAACTTTCTGATTTGCTTCAAAGATCCATCAGGATTATAAGCTAAGAGAATGACCAATACATCCAGTACGGTCAACAAGACACCATTCTTTAGCTCAATATGAAACAGAATGAAGAGTGCAATAGCAGTTCCAACTATTTCTGCCAAATCCGTAAATATTATAGCCAATTCAGCCAGCAGGTAAATTCCAAAATTGAGCCATCGAGGTAAATGTTTTTGACAGTTTTCTGCGAGATCCAGACCCGTGACTGATCCTAACTTTATGCAAAGACATTGAAGAACTATGGCAAAGAGATTGGAAAGAAATACTATGAACAAGTGAATATAACCGAACTGAGCGCCGGCGTTCGTTGAGGTGCTGTAGTTGCCGGGGTCTATGTAAGCACATGTGATTAAAAGTCCCGGACCTATAAAACTTAACAATTTCCTCCAATCAATCATTCTAGCCGAAAAGTGAGTTTGATCTAATGATGAATACAGCAATTGATATAGTGTCTCAAGCACTCCAAAATTCTTTTGTAGTTCTGGTGATTCGGGTAATTGATTAACCTTGTACTATTTTTGGCTCCATTTTATCGGACGATTCAAATATTCTGTGCGTCGATCGACCATAAACTGGTCGCGTCAAATGAAAATTTAAATTATCAAAACATTGAAGATCGACTATTTTAAAATTCCGTTTTGCGTTGTTGACAAGTTCCGCTGATATCAATGCTTGAATCTTTCAAGCTTCAATTATGAGTGAAAAGCTTACAAGTAAAAAGTCTCAGTCAACTGTTCTGAGATCAGAACTTCAGATCAAACCATTGATACCAGAGACAATTCTCGATGTCACATCACAACGATTGTCTATCATCTCTATATTTGTGCTTATTCAAGGTTGGAAAATATATGACTTGTATCTGATCAAGAATGATGTGTTGAGGGAGTATTTGAACAATTCGGTCTCAATCAATTTTCTTCCTCCTGAGTGGAACTTCATTTTCAAGTACATGTTTCTGGACGGAGTTATTGTGTGGGCAAATTCGGTTTTAAGAATTCCTAAACTTGTTCTCAGACCTTACGCTTCTGGGCTTCTGATCATAGTGTTATACGTCATAACAATTCTGCTCACAACAAATTTCAGAATATCAATTATTCCTGTGTTCACTACCATTTTACAAGCCATTAGTCCTCAAAGAGAGCTTACGATTTCAGAAGGACTGGTTAACCGACAAACAACTTTCGATCAGTCGTCTCACTTCAGGGGTAAAAAAACTATCAGATTTCTGCCAGATTCTTCAATCAAGTTGAACCCTTTTAACAAAAACTATTGCTTGCAATCGTCACATTACAGCAAAATCAAAGTTCCTGTTAAATTCAATTCTTCAGGCGAGCTTGACTTTCTTCAGATTTCTCACACCGACTTGGACAATCAAAAGACCATTTTGAACTATACGAGAAAGGAGCTGAAAAAGTTTCTTGTGTCTGATTATTCTCTGTCCCAAAAGTGGGACATAAATTACATTGACGATAGAGTGACTTACTTGGAACTTGAACTTGACAAGCCGGGTTACTATCGAATTCAGGAAGCTCACGACATTAAATCCAAAAACATTCGAGTTTATAAGTCCGACTTCATTCTTCCAAGATGCCCTGAAGCTCACTTTGAGAATCCAGAACCACTGAAAAACCTGTGTGTTGATGATGAGTTTGATCAACTTTCTATCATGGTAAATGGTGTTCCTCCTTTGACTCTCGTGTACGAGGAGGAGGTCAACGGTGAGCTATCGCATCTCCCAAACTCAATCATCGTTCCCGAAGACCAGACATTTAGTTCCCCCCTTCTCTCAAAAGACTTTTACACGGGAAAGAGCGTCATCAAATCAGATTTCAAACAAAAGGATCTCACGAATATTGAGTGGGCAAAATCAAGACTCATTAAAGTTCCTCTGGCCAGCCGGAAAATAGAAAAGTCCGGTGACATAATATACACCATTGATAGCATAATTGACGGCTTTGGTAACACAGTGAAATATTCACCAAATCCTAGCGATACCAATCATTTTTACAAAGTCAAGTCACATCCAATACTACTGATCAATTTTGTGGATACGAAACCAGGAACGCCAATTCTTATCGACGAAGAGAAATTCTTGGAGATCAGACCTAGCTTGGCTTCAGATATACATGCAGAGGGTCCCTTTTCAATTGACGTTAAATTCATTCCATTGGACGGCGAAAAGCATTCGGGTGTCATGACCCGGGTTTTTGATTTTAAGAAACCGGCTAGGATATCTGTAAAAGAGCCTGGAAACTACATTTTGGAATCTGCTAGCTCAAGATACTGTCCATGTAAGATCGGAACATCAACAATCAGTGTCACGCAAGCAAAATACCCATGGATGGATGTTCTCGCTACTCCGATCGTTGATAATTGTGTTGGAACAACAGGTTTTAAGTTTGCCTTTGAATTTATAGGGACAGGTCCCTTTGAAGTTGACTATAAAGTTTCCAAGCTTGATCCATCAAACGAAAAGAAGGTGATCGCAACCAAGGGTGCAAAAGTATTGCGCTCAGAAACCTCTACCTTTGAGTTTGATTACAAACCACCTACCGAAGGTAGTTATGCCATAGAGTTTGTTTCTTTGAGCGATGCCCATTACAAGCGGAAAGTCAAGTTTGATCGCAACAAATACCGCTATGTTACTTATTTTGAGCAGCGGCCCAAGGCGTATTTTTCAGAGAACTCAAAGATTACCCAAATTAGTGTCTGTCATGCTGAGGGAGCTTCCATCGATTTGAGACTAGATGGTAAGCCTCCCTATCAAATTGCGTACGATTTGGTTTACCCAGATTACAAGATAGAGAGATTTGAGGTGTCAGATATTGTCGATCATCATTACAAGATAGAAACAAGTGATTTACTTCTAGGTGGTGAATATAAATTACTGCTTCGGAATGTCACTGATGCTTCACACTGTGGTATGGAATTCAAGGGCCAAGAAGCTCGCATTAATGTGCGTCCAAGTTCTCCACAGCTCAGTTTCACAAAGAGTGATTCGTACAAATTTGTTCAAGGCAGAACACTCACGGTCCCACTGAAGGCAGATTTCCACTCGGGAACAGACCTCACTTACCAATTTTTGTCTTTCGATGGGACTACACAGGAAACCAGATCCCTTCATAACTTTAGCCCTTCAGATGGGTTTCCTATAAAAGAGGAAGGAAAGTACCGATTGCTTGAGTTTTCTGCTGAAGGATGCAGAGGCGTTATTTCTGACGATCATGAAATCAGTGCAACATATCTTTCAAAGCCCCGACTAGAGCTCATAAGCAAAAGTGACCAATCTTCTTCAACTGTTTTATGCCAACGGAGTTCTGGTTCAATTGATTTAAAGGCTCTAGGAGAACCTCCGTTCATCATCGAATATTCCATTAGGTATCCAAGTGGTACCTTAGAAGAGAAAACAGAACAGGTCTCCAACAAATTTTTCTCCATCCAGCTCAAAACTGCTGAAAGTGGTATTTATGAATACACAATTAGGGGGGTGTACGACTCTGTTTACACCAGTGAGATATTGGACTCTCTACGGAAAGATAAAGAATATCACTTTGATGAATTTAAGATCCAGCACACTATATCATCTTTACCATCAGCTTACTTTGTGGATAATGGAGCCACATATCAGACATGTGTTTCTTCCCTAGGTAAGTTATCGTCACTCGAAGCAATCCCTCTGAGATTGTCTGGAAAGGCTCCCTACAATTTGAAACTTGGAATCTACAACGAACAGGAGGGTTTCAAGACACTAACGCTGACCGGAATTGAGACTGAAAAACTGGAGCTGCTTAATGTTTACGAGCATCTTAAGATAGGGTCGTATTCTCTTTCGATCCTTGAAATAGTCGACTCCAATGGTTGTTTCAGCAATGATTTTGAAAAAGAGCATGTCACAGTCCAAGTGTATGATGTTCCTAAAATTCGCCACCTCAATGATGATGTCACTCAAACTGAGGAGGATTCGCTGAGACAATCAAATGAATTGAGTCACTACTGCGTTGGTGATCACATCAATTACATGCTTACAGGTCTTCCACCATTTACTCTATACTATGAATTCGGTGGGAGAAGACAAAAGGTCAATGTGGAGTCCAACTACTTCAAAAGAAGAGCTTCCAGTGAAGGTGAATTGACTATTCTTGCACTCTCCGATTCCTCGTCTAAGAATTGCCTCGTTAATTTCACTTCGGAACTTGATGACAGTTTGAGGCCAGATCTTATGGCCAAGGTTTACGATTTACCCTCAGTCGAAATCTCGCAAGGTGATTCCCTAGAGGAGGACATCCAAGAGGGTGATAAGGTCGAGATCATTTTTACTTTCACAGGCACTCCACCGTTCAGATTGACATATATTCGTACGGATTTGGCGGAGCCGACTCGCATCGTGGAGACGGAAGTCATAGAAAACATTGTGGATCATGAGTATAGAATGTGGGCGCGTTTGGAAGGTATCTATGAAGCGGTTGAGCTTCAGGATGCGTACTGCATTGCCAGAAATCATAAATAATTAAATGTACTACTATTATGAAGAACTGATGGCAATACAATACCCATCATTCCTCCGATATACAAATGAGTGACTATATACAATATGCGTCCTTGAGTGTTTCATTTCTTCTTTTTCATCGACTCTTTACCTGTTCTTTTCCTTCCTTTGTTGTTCTTGCTAATTTCAGATCTTTTCGTATACTTATCTCCAACATCCTCCTCAGAATTGAAACTTGTGTTCGAGAATTCATACTTAGATTTGTTGACATCCTCGGCTCCTGTATGCGCCTTTGAAATTGAAGAATACTCTTCCAATGCGTTCCCGAAAAATTGAAGACTCTCTTCAACGTCCAAGTATAAAACCGTTTGTCGTTTCTTCGTGGGCGGTCTCAAAGGTAAAGTGAGCGGTTTGTATCCTTGAAAGAATGTATCCAATAATATTTCCTCCGGATTCAACGCTTCTGTACTGGGGACCTTGGCAAGAGAGCTAAAGCCTTTCCGTATTTTTTTAGAGGAGGGCAAATTAGTTTTGTTATTCTCCCTTTCATCTCTCGAGTCTTTTGCGTCAGTATCGGTCTTCATGGTCTGCACCTGCTTCTTCTGCTCAAGAACGCTCATTTTCTTTTTGTTTGCGGTGCGACCCGGTGTCTGTGAAGATTGGTATCTGTAGAATGATGCTGCTTTGTGACCATTTGCCCACCACCTATTGGTAGGGTTTGTTGATCTTGTAACGAATCTTAATATGCTCATCTCCGAAGGAACCCAATATATGAGGATTTCTCTTTTTTGAAAGATCTTTATCCCCGTGTTGTCAAAAAGAGAGTTCACGTTTCTTGTACGATTGGGAACCAAAATATATTTTGTTAATTTTTTCTTCCGGGTAATAAAAATAAACTCAACTGTTGGAATGACGTTTATCTACCTCTGAAGGCCCATCGTGGAACACAAAAGCGTCATTACCACATTACAATCGCTCGTTGTTCTATTAAATGTCTATATCGTTTACTGAATGGTTTTTAAATCTCCTTGTAGCTCTGTCCGTACTACGGATCATTAAGCGATTTCCTATAATCTCAAAATCAATATCGTCAATATCGCTCTTGATTCTGAGCTTGAAATATGTCCTCTCTTTACTTATCACTTTCAAGCCGCCAATCAGCTCTTTAGTTGTGTATGTTGGCTCGATGTTTATCGTATCAGTTTTCCAATTTTGTTTTCGAGGCACGATTAGCACAAAATTATGCTGTGAATCCCACAGAACAATCCCTTTCAAACCTATGTTATCAATACACGAACTCTGGGTCACTTCTAGCTCGGCCCCTATCAACTCACTGCTCGTGATTTTGCTAGTAATTGTCGGAATATGATTACTTGTACCAATCAGTTCTCGTGCATATTCATTCCAGAGCCGGTTCATCTCAATATAGTCCTCGTACAGGATCAAATCTTTGCACATTTTGAGCTTGCTGATGTCTTCAATGTTTCTGAGCAGTTGGGGATCTCGTCTCAATCTGTTCTGTAATTTTTTGGCTAGTTTGTTCTGATATCGTAAACTGTCTTTGACAAAAGACTTGAACTCATTCTTCGTTTTCCTCGACGATGGTTTGCGATCGTCTCTGAAAGAAACGATCGAACCCAATAATGACTTCTTTGTATTTTTGTTAGTACTGCGCGATCCGTCTGTAGGCTTTAAACTTAGGTAGCTTTTTTGGCTTCCTGTAACAGAGTAACGCGTGTCCAAAAGCTCAGAAATCTGTTTGTCATCACAAAACTTTGAACTTCTGGACAAAAGAAGGCGTTCGACGGTGTTCTTCCTGTCCATAAACTATAATGATCAAATAAATATTTTTTTCTTCGTTTCCGAAATCGAATTATAATGCGACGGGTATTTTCTGGTAGATCCCCTCTAAACCGGCACAGAAGGCTTTACTCTTTTTCTCCCTTTGATGAATATTTGGATCCTCTAGATCAAGAGATTGAACCGAAGCAGAATCACACCACAAATTCCACGAATGACTACGATCCCCTTAACTTATCAGACATCAAAATTATTGGCAAAGAGGACCCCCACCAAGGTTTTCACCCGAATGTTCTTCCCAATACTGATTTCTCAGCGATGTATCATCCCGATAATCAATTTCGGCCTGTGACTTTGAGTACAGAGGAATATGTCAAGAGATTTAGTCGATCGGTTTCTCGAGACTTATTTGACATGGAAAAATTCACCCGTTTTAGAACCTTCATGACCACAGCACCTGACAATCGCCCCACAAATCTAAGGCTTGAATCCATTGCGAAGACTTCTGGACCATTGACTGTCATTAGTGAGTTTAATAATCCAAGAGTGAATCTGGCTATCGAGAAATATCTCTATGACCAGATGCCCGACCCTTCTATTCATAAGAGCTCAGCAAGGCTAACGCTTTATAAAAATTCTCCATGTGTGGTCATAGGGAAGAATCAAAATCCATTCAAGGAGATAAATCTAAGAAAAGCGGGAATCCACAGTATCCCTATCTTGAGACGATACAGTGGAGGGGGCACAGTTGTGCACGATTTAGGGAACTTCAATTTTTCTTATACAACGAGTAAACAGTCTTTTAATAGGACAAAGTTCTCTGACGTCATGAACCGCAAAATAAATCAATTGATTGGGCTGGACTCCGATCTTCCAACGCCTAATTTTCCTTTGGGTACGAACGAGAAAGGAGACATTATCAATCAGCAAAATCAGAAAAAGATCAGTGGCTCTGCATATCATATATCCAGAGGAAAATCTTTACATCACGGAACAATGTTGTTAAACTCTGACCTGGAAATGTTGGCTTCCTTGCTAAAATTAAGCCAGAAGAGGAAAGATTGTATTATAGATAAAAGTACAGACTCGATCCCAAGTTCAGTTGAAAACTTACACCTGCATGAATTATTATTTCAACAATGTGCAATAGATGCCTTTACGGAGCTACACGGATCGCAAAATGATTTTGATCTGACTGTTTTCGATAATTCAACGATCTTGAATGGAAGCCAAATTCTGAAATTGAATGAAATAAACGAACTTCCGAAAGAGGTATTTCGGATTGCTAAAGAGCTTCATTCGTGGGATTGGACATTCGGTAGAACTCCAAAGTTCCAATTTGTCATTGATGAAGACGATTTGAAATGCAGTTTGACAGTTGAAAAAGGGATAATTACCCAAGTTCAGTCGTCAACACCGAATCTGAACTGTCTTACTAATATCCCATTTAATAATAAAGAAATCTCCAAGGTTTTAGATGGTCCACTTCGAGACATTGTTGCTTGGTACATCGATTACAATATCAATTATACCGAGTTGGGTTTGATTGCAGATTGAAATAATGGGGTCCCTGCAAAAAGGAGAAATACATTCCGCTATCACAAGAGCTACTAATTAGAAGACATCCATTGGATAATGTCACTACCAAGACCGTACTCGCTAACAAAATAGTGATTGGACGACTACATCTCCGAGGCGACAGAGGTCAATAGTCTAAGCATCCTTACACGGACTAAGTTTGATCGATCATACATACAATCAGCGCCAAATTAGTAAAATCTGTAGATCTCTTTATTTACAATTAATATTTTCTAGCGCATACCTGAGATGCTGAACTTTTCCTCTTCATAGCAATATAGTTCACTTACAATTATGAAGGGTATCGTTTCTTTATCGACATTGATCGCCGTAGTGGGGGGTTATGTTGTGAAAACAAAAGAGGATTTTGAATATTCCCCACAATTGCAGGATTATTTAAGTAAAAGACATTACAAGCGTTTATATGACGATCTCAACGCAACATCCAAACGAGTGTTTGATTACGACAATGAAAAAGTTTACGGGGTCAATCTTGGTGGCTGGGTGGTTACAGAGCCGTATATAAGCCCAAGTTTGTATTGGAACGCATCAACTGATGGAACAGAAGCTACGGTTCCAATTGATGAATACCATTATTGCAAGACTTTGGGGACAGAGGAATGCTACACCAGACTCAAAGATCACTGGGATACATGGATTGTCGAAGATGACTTCAAGAAAATCAAAAGCTGGGGATTCAATACGGTCCGGTTCCCAATTGGGTATTGGGCCTTTGCTCATTTAAGCACAGATCCTTATTGCTTCGGGCAAGAAGAATATCTGGAGAAAGCTATAGAGTGGTGTAGAAACCAAGGACTCTATATCTGGATTGATTTACATGGTGTCCCTGGCTCTCAAAACGGGTTTGATAATTCGGGTCTCAGAGATCATGTTAACTGGCAGCATCATCAAGCTTACATTGATCTATCGCTTGAGATCCTTCAATACATTATGGCCAAGTATGGAGGAAATGAATACGAAGATGTTGTTTCGGCGATTCAAGTGCTTAATGAACCGCTGGGACCAAGATTGAATATGAATCAATTGGAAGAATTTTATTTAAACAGCTACACGCAGATGAAATACTTAAAGAACGACATATCCCTCGCATACCATGATGCGTTCATGGCCCCAGGGTACTGGGATTCCAGAATGACTGGCAAGGTGAGCCATACCACTAATTTGACATTATACCCGAATACGGGGAATCTAACAGGATATACTAACTCATCAAATTATCAGGGAGATTTTACGAATATCGTGATCGACCACCATAGATACGAGGTTTTTGATTTGGGGCAGCTATCGCAGTCAGTGGAAGAGCATATTGCTTCTTTGAAGACTTACACATCTGCTATCACTAGTGAGAAGATTCCTAAATTGGTTGGTGAATGGGCTGCTGCCATCACAGATTGTGCTTTTTGGCTCAATGGTGTTGGTAGAGGAGCGAGATATAATGGAACATACCAAAGTTCTACAAACCTGGGTGATTGTTCCTACGCGAACGATTTTTCAGAATGGACAGGAAAGAGAAAGACTGAGGTGAGAAAGCTGGTCGAGGCTCAACTAGACCTTTTCAACCAAACTAGTGGTTTTATTTTTTGGTGCTACAAAACGGAAGATGCGATTGAATGGGATCTGGAGAAACTGGTTGAGTACGATTTATTTCCTCAACCCCTGACACACAGAAAATATGCTTCCGTTTTATCGAGCGATTCGATAATGACAGTGAGTTATACCCCGAAACTGATACCCCAAATTGAAATTATTGTACTTTTACTAACCACCGTCGCATTAGGAGTGGAACTGATGATTTTATAAGATTGAACTGCTTTTCTTTGAAAGACATTATAATCAAAACATGTGCACCCTTCTACTATCAAACTCTAAATTATAGTCGTGAATTTAGTGTTAGCGAAATAAGGTACCAAATTATTCTAGGCACAACCGTGTTAGCGAGTCAGTCTCCAACTAAAGGGTATCAAAATCAGTTTTGTCAGCACTCGAAATACTCAAGTCCTGACTCCATGTCTTAAACCGTCCCCGTAGTCGATACCACTTCGCCTTCCACATATGCCAATCGAAAGAAATTCACTTTTTTTTTTCTTTGAACGATCGCGCCGCAGCTCGCTGGAATGCGCGGGTCGACTTTGAAGTACGTAACATAAATAAATAAATCAACTTTATTTCTGATGAGTTTAAACGGTCCAATGAAGACAGTGGCAGATGCGAAAGTCTCCATTGACGTTGACGAAGCGGATATGTCTGTTCTTGAGGAAAGCCTTTCTTTAACTCAAGAGTTAACCAATGCTTTGAGTGCAAAACTATACGCAGTTTCAACTAGCAACGCTTCTGCCATCAAATCAATCAACCCTTTAATGACCAAGATTAATAGACTCAAGCTTCAGCAGAAGAATTTTCAGGACACTTTCAAGCTTGTGGAAAGCATTAAAGATTATGCCCAAGATATCAGCAAATTAGACAAGTCTATTAAGACTTTTGGTTCCCTTCAATCCGCCCCTCAGATAACAAATTACTGTCAGATCATTGATAAATATCAATCCATCCAAAGTGACTTGGAAAGTAGAAAATTGAATGATTTTGAAGGCCTGAAAAAGGGGCTTGATAATTCCATCCGGGACGCTGAGGTCACTCTCAAGTTTGAATTTATCAACGGTTTGAAACTACTCAGCAAAAGATTGAAGAATAACGACAACACATATACTCAAGACGAGAATGATATAATTTCGCGCCTGAAGATCATATACGGATACATGAAGCGCAGCAGAAACAAAAACTTATTAGACACACTGATCAAAGAGAGAGCAGATTTCAATTTATCCACGCTTCGATCTCTGAATCTAGACCCGCCAGCACTAGTCAAAGATCAAACTTATTATTACGACGGTGATAAACATGACAAATACTTCATTAAGTTTGCAAAAACTTTGCAAAGTCTTCTCTATGGAGAACCACATTTCCTGTCCAAGTTCTTTGACGATTTCAATCAAGTGAATCAGCTCTTGTTTGAGGTCCTTTCCTCTTCGTTGGAGCTTTTTGTCAAGCAATTCAACAGTTTGTCGAGCTTTGTGGAAATTCACAAATCCAGCTATAATTCGATGTACTTTGAGATCGATCATGGGCTTTCTTTAGTTCTTGGTGCTTTCAAAAGATTAAGTCTTCTGATTCCTCGTCAGATAGAGGATTTAGAAGCTGTATCACTGTCGCAATGTCAATCTGTCTTTTCTGAAATGTTCAAATACATTGACCAACGCTATTCTGATATGGTGGTAGGTGAGAGCGTCAATGAAACTTTGAATAACACTTTTATGTCGCTGATATCACGGACCAACAAATTTAGCGTTTTTCATGAATATCAATTGAAGGCCATTGCCAAAATGTCCAATGGGAGCTGGCTCCCACAATCTAAACCTCCAGGATTTCAAGAGATTAAGGGGGCGTCAAGTGATCCAAGTTATCTTTTAAGTGTCTTTTATGGGGATGTCATTGAATACAACTTACTTCAATTGGAGCGGAAGTATCGATCCAAAATGAATGACGAGGATTTGGGCATTCTTCTGCTATTCAATCTTGATGGATTACAGAATCTTTTAGATAATAGTGGTCAGTTGAAGCAAGTGCTCGGGCGCAATGGCTTGCAAAGATTAGACAAATTAAAGAAGAAATCGATGGAGAAAGCCACAGTTGAATGGACAAGGATGACTACCAAACTAATGCAAGCCTCGACAAGACAGGGTGATTCTTTTAATCTAAGCCCCAAGGAGTTGGGTAAGCTGATAGACGAGTTCAACAAGACATTCGAAGAGAACTTTAAAAAGATGCAAAATAAAAAGTTACCTCCTTTCTTCAAAAAACAATTGAATCAGGATATCAACAAAATGCTTGTACCTGCATACAGGGTGTTTTACACTAACTTCACGAACGGTTCATCCAAGAGTGTTGCCAAGCACTTCAAGTACGATATCAACGGCTTACAAAATAAAATTGCTAGTTTAGGATAATATATTATTCTTCAATTGCACTCTCACTATTCCGGACACTTTGTGATCCAGCATGCTTTTCATTGGTTGAAACTTCGTCATGTAGCCCGGTTGCAGCGAGAACTGACAGCACAGGTTCCACTCCAAAACTTAAATGTCTTCCTGCATTCCTGTAGTCTGTATTATGATCCTGATAATCTGTGCCGCTGTAATCGCCGTTTCTGCTCGAAATCTTTGGAGGTCCCATTCTTCGAACAGTCCTATTGTTATGGGTTATATGAGGTTGAGAGACGTTTCCAAAAGTACTGGTAAGATCGAATGGATGCCAGCTAGCATCTGTTGCAGAGCCGTAATCAAAATTGTTTGAGACAGAAGACCCAAGCATTGCCGTAATATCCACTGAGCTACCGTTGTCTGGGGCAGACTTGAAAAGAGCACTAGGGTTTTCACCTGAATAGATATTTGTTATTTCTTTGCTCAACAAAGGTTTCCTTGTGGCAGGATCTTCAGAAATGAGAGACCCTGTAAATGAGTTGATAGATGATCTAGTAGAGTAACGACTTGGTGAATTCATATTAGAATCAATCGTGGAGCTGGTCGGCTCCAAGAAATTGGTCTCTAATTCGTTACCGGGCATTTGGCTGGAGGCAATTGGAATATTCATAGGTTTAGACGGACTTTCCGGAATGGTGTTCTCGTTCTCGAAAGCTTGGGTAAGGGTGTCATCCATTCCCTGAGATGAATTCGAATTGCCCAAGAAATGGCCTGGAATCAATGAGGAGCTGATCAGTTTGGACTTGGCCCTAAACTGTGGGTCCAGAGGTGGCGATCTTGATCTCACGCCATCCGCGCTTCGTGATGTTGACCGAGATCTGATAGGAATAATTTCCAGCTTGAAGTTTCCACCCAAGTCCGATTCTTCTTGGTCCTGTCTTTCCGTCTCTCTATCCAAACGTGATCTACGCTCTTCTCTCACTGGCTCCGTGATCTTCACGCTTTCATCATTGTTCTCTCTGCTCGTTCTCGACTTCTCCTTCACTGCCTGGTCATAAGTTGGAGGAACATCTCTTGCAGTTTCCTCAAAATTTGGAGGAGGCTCTTCATAACCCAAACCACTTGAGTTATAACTAGAATTGCGAAGCATCTGAGGAATTAGTCCAAATGATCCAGTATTCCTTAGATCCAAGCCCAAAGGTGTCATTTCTGGAGATGATAGTGGGGAAAAAGGTTTTGCCTGTGGTGATTTCAGTTCTGAAGGTGTTCTATCATCCGGTTGATACAGATTCGATTCTGTGTTAACCCTGCTCCTTGGAGAAAGAAGTAAATCAATTGATTGTCTTCCTAATTGAGGGCTCTCGGCCATCTGAGCCTCGTACGAAGGGAGCAAAGTATTTGCGTGTGCACATAAAGGTGACAATATGTGGATGGGAGAATCAATAGAAAGCTCAAAGTGTTTTCTTTTCTTTGGGTCTTCAGCAGTCGGAGCGGATCTGGATATTCTGATACAGATCTTAATCCAATGATGAGACTGAATGTCATCATAATACGTGTCAGGATGTAGTCTGTACCTATCTCCGAGTCTCTCGGGAACATATACATGGAAATCCAGCTCTTTTGCTGAAATCTCGTCTCCATCAACGGACAGTAAATTTTCTTCATCATTGGTGGCTTTGTGTTCCAAAAGAAGATACTTACGAGGAGGCTCTGTCCTGTGAACATGCTTGCTTTTGCAGTAGTACTCCAAGTGTTCTGTGAAATAAATCTTGATCCTGTGTATTTTGATCTTGTCTAGTGGACTGAGTTTGAAGATGATCGGGAGATATGAATTAAGGAGGACTTGTTTTGACGAAACCACGATTTCATAATTCAATTGGTCTTCCCAGTCTCTATTAATGACGATCGGCTCATTTTCCTCACTTGAGTCTTGAGATGGAGTTCTAACTATATTGACTGTTTTTTTTGCGGTGAGGCTTGACTTAAATGTTCCACTTCTTTCCAAATAGGCTTCTAGATTGTAGTGGACAGATCCAAAGGTGACCTGAATGGATTCTGGTGAAGATGCTGGAATAGGATGCTCGAATGAGTAAATGTAGTCACCAGGGACAAAGAGTTTTGTGTCGTCAATGCTATTAGTAGATTTGATAGGAGTCAAGTCTTGACCGTCTTGCTGTGATATTTGAGCAAACAAGTTTGGGCGGGGCGAAGACGATCGTTTTCCCTTCAACACCATTGCCAGTGGGGATGGTGAGCGAACTGGCATCATTTCGCTCAATGAATCGATCGCACTAGTAACTGGAGATATACTATTGTCGAGACTAAAATTGGATGGTTCGCAATCCAAATCATTTTTAGGAATGAATATATCGGCATTGCTTCGACTTGTCTCTGTATTCTCATATGTGTTAGTATGATGGAAAAAGGGCCAGGTGTGCTGCATCAAAGTATTTTGCTCAACATGCTCAACTCGTTTAGGTGGAATTCCTTCAGGCCAATCCGTTCGAGCGACAGCGGTCAGTTTCAGAGAGATTGACTTGATCTTCACTGGTCTTAAAATCCTCACAAACAAGCATCCCCGGAGAATAGTCGGAGGTCTGTCTTTGGTTTCTTCCTCCGAAAACCCTTCTAGGAATAGGTTTTGTTCGGCCTGTATAAGATACAGTTTCACTGAGCCTGATTCTGCAGTTGGTTGAGATGGTAATTTGATGACTGTCTCCTTAGATAGCCCCTCAACGGGAAACAGAGGAGATCTTAGTAAATCGGTCATATTCAATGATATTCTCTATGGGTTTATACGGGAAGTGCGAGAATTTCCGATAAATGATGACTGAAATCTGAAAGTTCGTATCGAGATACCCTTTCTTATTTGATATGTTTTGATTGTCAACAGATAGCACTTAGTAACTCTTTTATTTTTCAAGTATTCATGAATGCCTTGTATCGGTAATTCAAACAATCGATATAAGCGACTACTGCTGCCTGATCTTTTTTTTAGATTTTTTTGAGGAATTTGGATACGTTCGATAAGAAATTGTCATATTTCACGCGACCCGGCATTTATTTCTTTTTGCGTCTATCGACCGATTAGAAAAATAACCTTAATTGTCGATATTAGGACCAAAAGGGTTTATGGTTACCGGTTCTTAAGGTTTCAATGAACTAATGGTATCCCACAAGTAATAGTTTCAGCTCCGATTCAATTTGTGATCATTAGAATTGAGTCGGAAAGCCAGTCTACTCTCTTACGGGTCTAGCGCTTTCTTCAGCTCCATGTACCCTGGAGGTGCTTTTTTACCCCACTAAACATTATTCGCCTCCATTACTGATTAGGATAGAGTCCGAAATCTGAAGCAATTGGCAGGAACTCCAAACAAGTTTCAGAAGTGTCATATTTGGTCACTAGTTCGCTGGATGATACGAGATGTCCAACAGATAGGATATGATGGCTACCATAAGCAATTATGAGTCTTAGGAAAAACCACATGAATCTAGTTCTATGATGACTCCTGGAGGTGATTTACAGCCTTATTTATAAAGTTGATAATCATTCACGAGCGTGGCCCGACGTGGTTGTTACACAATAGTCCTGGTCAAACTGTTGGTTTCGAGACCCCAATAGATCAAGTGACATTTACAAGCAAGTTTCGAGCCCCACAAATAGAACCGTTTAGTCAACTTGGATCGAAGACGCACACAGGCTCGGACTACAAGATTTGAGTGCTAAAGTATGCAGGAAACGAATTCTCCGTTAATTTTATAACGGCGAAAATGGGGGTGCCGATCATTTTTTAGCAGACTCTCCAGAGAAAACTAGTGAAAAATTACGAAGTGGATTTAGTTACTCGTTTCGGCAAAAAGCCGCTGACTACTATCGGAGACAATATATATCTTGCTGGATAGCCAACGTGAAAGAAATCTTTTCATTGAAAATGAGTGCTGCTGTGAAATACCCTGAAGAATTCGCTGGTTTTGCTGTGCTTGACACCAAAGATTGGAACAAGCCAAAGTACATCACCTTTAAGCCAAAGAAGTTGGACGACCATGACATTGACATTGAAATTGAGTGTTGCGGCCTTTGTGGATCCGACATCATGACTGCCATGGGTGGCGAAGGTTGGGGTGAGATCAAGCTCCCACAAATTGTTGGACATGAGATCATTGGTAAGGTTGTTCACGTTGGACCAAAGGTCACTCATCACAAGGTTGGTGACAGAGTTGGTTTGGGTGCACAAGCTTTCTCTTGTTTGAGCTGCAGACGTTGTGAAGATGACAACGAACAATACTGTAACAAGTCTGTGACCACTTACGACGGAACTTACGCCGATGGCTATGTTTCTCAAGGTGGATATGCATCCCATGTGAGAGCTCACGAGCACTTCTGTTTCCCAATTCCAAAGGAGATCAAGTCAAGCGAAGCTGCATCTTTGTGTTGCGCAGGTTTGACTGTTTTCTCCCCATTAAAGAGATATATTCCAACTGATCTGCCTAAGGGAGAAACTCCTAAGGTTGCCATTTTGGGTCTGGGTGGACTTGGACACTTGGCTGTTCAAATCTCTGCAGCTCTGGGAGCTGACACCTACGTTTTCTCTAGAACTGACTCAAAGAAGGAGCATGCTCTGAAGCTTGGTGCTAAGGGTTTTGTGGCTACAGGAACTGAGAAGGACTGGGCCGAAAAGTACTATGACCAATTTGACTTGGTTCTCAACTGTGCCATCTCTCTTTCTGGAGTGAACTTGGGAGGTTTCCTTTCTATCCTGAAAGTTCAAGGAAGATTTGTGTCCGTTGGATTGCCATCCGCTGAAGAAAAGTATGATGTCGCCCCAATTACTTTCTTCTCCAACGGTTCTTCCTTGTGCTCTTCGAACCTTGGTTCCAGAAAAGAGATGCTGGAGCTCTTGGACTTGTGCGTCAAGCACGACATTCGTCCATGGGTCGAGGAAGTTCCAATCTCTGAGGAGGGATGTAACAAGGCTTTGACTAAGGCTTGGGAAGGAGACGTTAGATATAGATTTGTCTTTACTGAGTTCGACAAGGCCTTTGGTACTGGAAAGAAATGAAGAAGCCATTATATAAATTCATTGCTAACTAAGATATTCTTATTTCCAAGGAGCACGCGTGGTTGGGTGTAGTGATTGGGGACGTTTGTCTATCAACTTAGCGAGCTCCTCTTCTCTTCGTTGATACATAGAGTGCATAGCAGATTCCGCTTCACTTCTGTAATCAAGTTTTGGTGCCGTTGTCACCTCAGCTTCAGCTTCGGGAGAAGACTCAGGCAATTCTTTGCCTGAATCAGAGTCCTTCCAAGGGAACAGGATCTCACCAAAATAGAAATGCTGAACAACAGGAAATTTGGATAGTACCTCCCCATAATACATTTTGATGAGACCCTGTGCTATCTTCTCCCATGTCTTTGAGGAGCTGATATCGTAAAGAAGCGGAGAATGTTCGCTGAACTGGCCCTTTTTGACGCGTCTGACGAATGCCATGGCGTTGAAGTACAAATTCCGATGGCATTGCTGTTTGATTACTGTTGGATTCAAAGCTGCAGAGGGTGTAAGGCCCATTCTGAAATTCAACGCTTTGGTACTTTTCTGGTCAGTTCCGACGGTCTGAAAGTCAACCAGCTGGTATGATCCAATGATATATATCAAATGGAAGTGATCGTCTAAGCCCCAAACACCATGAGATCCAGCAGGTTCTAAAGTGTACGTCAAAATCATTCGTTTGACCAGGTCGTAATATTTGCCGAAAATGGTCAGCAACTCCTGACCACTGATGACCTCTTGGTCCAAAATGTCGCACATCAAAAGACTTGAGATGAATGCCATAAACGAGAGTTCATGTCCGGTACCATAGTCCAATCTCTCACGAGACCCAAAGGACCCCAGGATATAATATTTAGCCTCTCTCACAAATCCTCGATATTGGTCTTCAAACTTGAACTTGCATTTTGGCTTCAAATGCTGATCAATAAAACCCTCGACAGACTTATTCAATTTATCATGCCAATCCCTACAGGCCATATTTCCGTATCTTCTTGGTCCAGGAAAAGGGGGCGTTTGATCAACGAGTTTGTTCAGCTCAGCAATGAAATCAATTACATGTTGGACGCTTGTTGAGAGGATGTTAGGGTCGAAATCGGAGGAAGGAGGCGGTAGGTCCAATAGCGCGGACCTTGATGCCTCCTTCGACTCGATTAACGAACGGTCGAGAACTCCTTCTGGTATATTTTTTAAACTCACTCTCTGGCAAATCAATAGTAGTGTTGATTTGATACGATCAATGGCAACCGAGTGAAGAAAATTCTTCACGTCACCAGAGCAATAGATCTTCTTTGATGGAGATGACCAATGCAAAGTGTCATCATCTAATGGTATTCTGGGCAAAGACATTTATTGTCCAATATAGTTATCGAAATACTAGGTAGTTTTTTTTTAGGATCTACACACTGTGGTATTTCTTCAGGGTGTTCTCAATTTGTAGTAGCTGCCCGAGAAATACCATTTGTTGAATACATGAACCACCGCCAGATTCAAAACAAGCGGGAACATTATGTGGGGCATTATTTTGGCAGTTTGATCGTCGATGCTGAAGCCATATTTGTAATACAACACGCCTAGAATGAATGCACAGTGAATAATGAAGAATAAGGGCGAAGCAATTCTAACCAAAGTGAACCCAATCATTGCTTCCCAATGAGACTCGTCAAAAACTTCGTTCTCATAATAAAGGTCTTCCATCCCAAAATACTTGGACGAAGACTTGCGCTGCTCGTCGGATTTAGGTTCAGGGCCTTTGGACTTACCAGCAATTATCAACTCATCAGGTGTCTCGATTATCTCCTCGTATAACACTCTTGGACGATTAGAAGAATATCTTCCTCGTTTGTTGTTGGTTATTATCGGTTTCAGGTCTGCAAAATCGGCCATCGATATATTTATTTTCTTATCTTTAATTTTCATGCACTAGTGCTGCCGACTGCCAACCACCAGCAGCGATAGCTAAAACTTGACCTTCAATTGGAACTCGAATGGGGTGCTCGACAACAATATCAGCACCATCCTCACGCACGCCTTCTCTCGAAAGTGCATCCGTTAGTTTCCCTAGTCCAAGGCACCCATTTTTGTGTGACTCTCGTCCCCAAGAGTAAAGCTCTCCTTTTTTGTTCAAAGCAAGGTAATGGTAATCTCCAACGGCTATTGATATCACAGAGTTGTGCTGTAGTTCTTTGTAGATTTTAGGATGATCGGACTGCCTATTTCCAAACAACACTTGGTCGTCGTTCGTTATAGCACTGAATTGGTCGAACGAACCGCTCAGCCGCACGAACCGGGGTCTTTTGCCAACTTGTTGAGAATGGCGATCCACATATTCTTGAAACTCTTTCAACAGCTTTCCGCTTCCGATCCTTGAGCCAAAATCTCCCGATAGCTTGACCTTGTAAAGGTCCCCATTGTCCGTCAAGTAGATCAGAAAACTATCCAGAACAATGTAATCGAGAATGGTACTTGTCCCATCAATAACACTCACTGTTGCACGAACCGGACCATATTCACCGTCTACTTGCTTCAAGTTCTCGCGTCGGTTCCAGACGACAATTCCCACGTTGTGAACCAAACATGTGCTGAAAGACCATCCTGCCCTAATCATCAGAATTTCGTTGGTGATCTTATTGTTGTCGTCAAAATAGAGAGCAAGCTCCACCCCCTTTTTCAAACGTCCCATGCTGTCCCAAGTAAATAGTCTTTGGTTGTGAGTGTCGAACCCAATGAAGTGCGACCTTCCACAACCGATTTGGTTGATCTTCACCCCCGGAGGAACTTCTGCTTTGTTGACACATCTTCCTGGCTGATAGGTAGAAGGACTTTCTCGCGCAAAATGATAGTCCCTTGATGAAGGACCAGGTTGCGATAAGCCTGTCATACCATGCCAATTGCGCCCGGTAAAATATAGATCGCCTCCGGTGGTCAAAACACAAAACGTATAGCCTCCAGCGGCAACATCTGCAATCCTCTTCTTGCCGAACTCCAATTCAACAGGCTTAATCAATCTTCGGTTATGATCTCGTTCCAAAACTTCTATAGATTGATCTCCGGGTGCGAAAAACCAGCCCAAACGACTATTTCCATTGTTTCCAAAAGTAAGAAGCTTACAGTCCTTTCTTATCTTGTACAGTTGAGGCCATTTGTAGTAAATGCTGAAGGGAACATTGTCATCTTTGAACGCCTTTTTGAACATCTCCTGCCAAACAATCGATTGGTTCAAAGACAAATACAAATCTTTGCATGTCAAGAAAAGAGATTGTATATCAACCTCATCAAGATATGGTACTATATGAAAACAGATGATATCCTCATTCAGATCCAAAAAAGAAACCATGATTATATTTAAGAACTGGTCTTCTCCACAATTTTAATCCAAACTTTATTGATATTTATGTAATCAGGTCGTAATATCATTAAATCGTTATAGTATAGTGATGCATATATATCAAACAAAATCGTCTCGACTTTCGAGGAAAACCCGGAGATGAAACAAAACATCTCCAAGACTCTTAAAGCTGACAAATTTGAATGTTTTGTCGTAAACAAAGTTGAAAATAAATGATCCAATCTTCAAAAATCTAAATGGTAGCTTGAAATCAATCAGCTCTCCAACTATCAAATCTTTCTCCCGCAGCACCTCCAGATCGTCCTTCAGAATAGAGTTCAGGTTCTTCTCCTGTTGGCTATAATGAAGTCTGTCTCTGTTGATGATATTTGAGATAGTGAGACTGGAAAAATCGCTGTCTAAATCGTGATAATCGTAATTGATTTTTAAAATGTATTCCAAGTTCAAGTATATTTTGAACAGTTTGAGATAATGCTTAAATATTATCTCATCCACTTCAAAATAACTACCAGAGGAAGCATTTTGGGTGGATGATCGATACTCAAACTTTTGTAACAAACTTGAGGAACCCATATTGCTGTATCTCATCTTCATTTTGAAAACACTCTCGAAATTTAGTAAGAACTTGACCACGATTAGGAACACATCAAGCAACAGTTGTGAGTCAATAGACAATTTGGATAAGAAATTCAGGTCGGCCAAACCAAGTTCAGGATCATAAATCTCCTGGAAATGTTGCCCCAATTGAATTTGGGAATCCTCATGTTGTCTGAAAAACACTGTCTTGAGAATATCGGTACAATTATCAAGCACCTTGGATAGCTCTTTCTGATAAAACGGGTCTTTCAACTGCTCGTTGTTAAAGACAAAACAAGTTTCAAAAAGGTTATTAACGTCATTGAATCCCCTTAACCAAACATTCTCTTTCAGTGTGTTCATTTTCAGGATAGGCGAGAGCTTGAAGTTCAAGTAATTATTGAGAAGAAGACTGTCCATAAGTATGACACTTTCTCTATGGTAAAGTCCACACGATCTCAGCATTGTAGACCAATTCTCTCCCACTTTGGCCAAGTTTTGCTCATCGGAGCCAAGCAGAGACATAAAATTTGAAACGTTTCCAACCTCAGGCATGGTAGCAAGCAAATTCTTCAAGTAAGCAAGCTGATGTAACCCATTCTGTAAACACACCAGTCCGTACTCGCTCACGTGGTTATCAGAAAAGAAGTTGGATTTTCCAAAAGCTCCAGTTCTAGGATCCAGCTGCTGAAATGGTAGAATAACCAATTCTTTCAAGACCAGATGGAAATCCTTTGGGTTATAATCAAAGCTTTCAATAAGGTTTCTGAACTCTGAGGGATTAGTGCATTCCCATAAAAAGGTAGAGGCCGGCAAATCGATCTTCAGGTCGTCAATTTTCATAGAGGGAGCGATGTTGTAAAGCGTTGATAGCAAAGAAGAGATATGGAAAATTGTATGAACAGTTCTAACGGTCGACTCATGTTGTATGTATCTTTCGAGATATGCCTCATTGATTTCAACATCGTTTGGTAGGTCGGCTTTTATGCAATTGAGTCCGGATGACTTCACAAGTGAGCAAAGAGCGCTGACCTGTCTGATGATGACATTCAAACTGATTTCGTCATCGGCGAATAGTCCATAGATGACAGATAGAGTCAAAGATTGAATGAGCCATAACGGAGACGAGTTATTGACTTGCTTGCGGTTGTCACCATCTTGTCTTATGAGCTTCTTTCTTGTTTCCAAATAAACGTGAATGCAACGTCTTGATGCTTCGTATAAGTTGGCTGCGTCACTCTTCTTATTGGAAACAATGGCTCCGATGGTTGCAATCAACAAAGGAAGACAAACCAATGAAACTCTTGTATTATCGGAACTGTTCTCATCCCAAACAATGTCTTCCTCGAGAGAGCTCAATGTGGACTTCATGAGAGAATACTCATTGAGCATCGAATGATGAATGAATGGGTGATGGTTCAAAAACTTATTCTTGAACTCACTGGCAAAAAAGTTGAGCTTCTCGTTTTCCGGAAGTGTTGGTGATGGGACTCCAAAAAACGGGTACTTGGACAGCGAGTGATGGATGTAGTTTCTGATATTTGAGGTGAACAAGTTCACCCTGGAGCACTTTTCAAATTTGCTTTTGGAGAAAACAAACTCGGATTTGTGATCCGTACTTTGGTTCGAAGATGATCTAGAGACTTTTTCATAGTAATCGGAGTTCAAGCCTTGTTTAGGACTCGCTTGTCTAGAGTTGGCGAATAGCGTGTTGTCCAGGAGGACAGGCGAAATGGTTGCGTTTGATGAGACAGAGGAATGGCTGATGGTGTTCTGGTCGCTATTTCCATAGAACGAGTATCCTTGCGGCACGTCGAAAGTTTTAGAAACATTAAGATCTGCGATTGCTTCTAAGTCGTTGATGTTTTGGTTGAACAGGGTTTCCTGCCATTGATCTACCTTCTCATTTGCTGGTTGTGTAACCAGACTGGAATCTGTGTCTGGGCTTTCCTGCATCAGTGGTGAGACATGTGCTTTGAACGGATGGACGGCCTGTTTGTTAGATGCTGATACCCCTGACATCAATTGCTCTTCGATTCCTGGTTGATTAGGGTCTCTGTTTTGGTAATTGTTGTGAGCAAATAGAGAGCCAACTTGTTTGTAAGGTAAGTCATAAAAAGAATACCCAGCCAGATCTTCGCCAGAGGCATGAGAACTCATTCTCACATCTGTTGTAGAAGGGACTGTTTCAGTGGATTGTTGAAAAGGAGCTATTCCATTCTGGTGATCCATCAAGTCAAGATTTGGCAATGAGTTTAGCCACTGCTCGGCGTCGTCATCAAATGGAAGCAACTGAGGTGTGGAGAATTCGACCGCTTCTGCAGCGTATGGCTCTGGAGTAGGCATGGCATAGTTCGAGCCACTGAGAGCAGAAAACGATGCTCTTCTATTGACGGGGAACTCGAGTTTATAATCGAATGTTTTCAAAGTTGGAACTGTGAACTCGTCGCGCACCTCGGAATCGGCTCGAAGTTTTGTCTCTAGCGCAGGTGAAGGTCCGCTGGAATGTTTACGCAAGGCAGATGATGTAGGCTTATTGACAGAGCTGCCACTCTCGAATCCCGCAACGGACCTCCGCTTTGACCTACGTGTCCCAACTCTTGTTGACGGCACGTCGACAGGACTATCGCCCTCGCTGTGATCAGAGCTTTCCTTGGGGGACGATGCCTTGGTAGACCGTCTTCTTAGACGAGGAACAACTTCGGCCGCACCAGCATGTAATTTTGTCGAGTGTCGTAATAAAAGGTCTCTTCTGCTAAATTTCCGAGAACATATGGTGCATGCAAATGGTTTCTCTTTGGTGTGTGATCTCTCGTGTCTTTTCAAATGCTCCTGTCTCGCAAAGGCCCTTGTGCAAATGTTGCAGACATATAACCGAGGCTTACCGGAAGGAGTAGTACCATTAAGCGTTAGTTCTGCTGGAACCGCCTTCTGGTCAACGTTCACCCCCTCGGAGCCCCGTGACCGGGTCTTGACAGAGCCAAACACTGGAGGCATTTGAAAAGTTTTGCTGTTATTCATAGTAGTGCAAATCATTCAAGTAAAAAGTATTGAATATATAATTCTCAATTGTTTCAACTAGTGGTTCATTCCAAACACGAGGTTAAATGTGTATTGCATAAAAAAGTAAAAAGAGGGACACCCTCTAATTATATATAAACCCTACTGTCATTTCTCGGTACTGCCCATCTTACATCCCTACAGCCAGCTTTACATGCGTGATATGGGTCATGGCCAATTTGCCGCTTTGCTGACCCTTCAAAAGAGCCGAATATATGCATTGTTGCTATGTTGGGTAAAGTTTACCCCACATTTTGTTTTCGGAACTTGTCGGACTCCTGTGAAAAAAAAAAAGAATCTTAGCAATAAAGTGGGGCGGCCCGGTTATGTCATAGCACCCTTACACCATCCAGATCGTGTCTTGCCTCGTGAAAAAAAAAAACACGATTTTGGTGTGGATTGAATCGGATTCAAGATGGCACAACTTGCACAAAGGCAAAAAAACGGACTTCGTTACGACCCCGAAGACCAAATCGATGTCGTTCAGTTAGCAAAGACTCTCTTGTTTTTGATCATATGCACCGCAGGCGTCATTTATTTTCTATTTGAACTCTATGCGTTGTTAGAAAGTCTCTTTTTTGCGTCAACAAGTCAGATCTTGATCGACTCCGGGGTTTTAGCAATCAAGGTTGTCGGTTCGTATTACCTGGCTAAAAAAATCAACAGCTTACTGCTTCTCAAGAAAGCCGACGAGTCGGAACTCAAAAAGTACAATTAAGTTAGATCTCATCATTATCGACCTCGATCTCATCCTCCTTCACAGTGAAACATATTCCCATCTCATCCAGAAAATCGCGTACGGTGTACGCATCCATCTGAAGACCGTTTTTCTCCAGAACTGCAGTTACTTCATTGAAATTGATAGGACGCAGCAGCAATATATCTCTATGCAGTTTTGGCTCGTTCTGTAAAATAGTCCGAATATTCAAAAACATACTGCTTCGCACTGTTTGTATTGTACTCTGTGTCATCTGATGGTCATCGTATCCTTTATTAAGTTCGGCTTGACTGAACCGTAACAGTCCTTCTCCTTGTGCTTCGGTGCGTTCAACAGTCTTTAGTTGGCTTCGATCAATCAGCTTCAGCGTCGAGTTTAATAACTGAACCATCTGGGTCCGAGATCGCACAGGTTTCAGGCCCCATTCAGTTATTTGCTTCTTCAACTGCTGGGTACTGAATTTTTCAAAATCGATTGTCAATTCATCGTAATCCGGCTGCGAGTCAGGGACAACTTTCTCGACCTTAGATAGCGTATCTATTTCCTTGAGCTTATCGGCGAAAAATTCGGTGCAACTGAAAAACTCGTCTTCGCTAACGTGACCACTTTTCCCGTGAAGCGATGGCGTTTCCGATTTGGCACTCATGGAGAATACCTCTTCACTAACTTCCTCCGTTGTTTTATTGGTCATTGATTGTTCTCGGTTGATTGGAGACGAACTCTCTATAACAACAGCTTCATCTGCCTGTATAGGAGAAGATGTCACAACCTCGACTTCTCCACCTGTTGTCTTGGGGTCCTCGAAACTCTTCAGATAGACGCTATCCAATACCTGTATATCGCCTCCAGCTTGACTAGATAAATCGATTGGATCTTGCTGCGTTCCTGCCACCTCCAAATTACTATCATCTGATACTTTGTACACCTGTTTCCGTTGTCCCTCCAATTGCCTTGATTGTATTGCGCACGTTTCGTAAGTTATCCATGAAAGTTCAGAATCTTTGTAGTCCTCTTCTGGGGTACAAGGAACAGACTTTTCGGAGCCTGTGATTTCAGAAGCTTCTCGATGCATGACTTGAGACAAGGTCACGACAAGATCTTCTGAATCGGACTCTGAACTTATGAAACTCTTCTCATCTTTCTCGAAGTCGTACAGGTTCTGGATCTCGTCCTTACTAAACACTAGAGGCGGGGTTGAAGATTCTTGCCACAACTGTTTATTTTCACGTTGTTTGTCGTACTTCTCAGAAATGAGATCAAGTGTCATCTTTGCGCTCTTGGACAACTTGGGCAGATTTCTGGTGATTTCGTCTCGCACTTCGACCCACTCATCCTTGGAATATAATAGGTTGATTTCATCCAAGTCTTGGGCTTTTTCAGTAGATTTTTCCTCGATCCTGGCTATACTTCTTATGATGTCTTTGACCTTTCGTTTCTTCCCTGATAATGCTAAAAGAACAGCAACATTATCATTCTTCTTACCATATTTCTTTGACATTTGATCTCCTAAACTCTTGATCTTGGGTCTCCTTGTCAAAGCAGCCTTATGTTTTGCTTTGACTGGCACGCTTGGAGCCAGAGAAAACTTCTGCTTCAAACTATTGAGTTTTTTGCGCTCTCCATCGTTTGATTCCCATTCCTCTATTTGTGCTTGGGCCTGTGTGCCTAGTAAAAAGTCAGACATAGTAGAGCCTAGCTTTTTTTGCTGATACTTTTTTTTTTGATTTAGATTGTTTACGCGTCATGTTTGTCCTGTCACCAAATAAGTCTCCCAATAAACGAGAGACCGACCATGATGAACTCGAGGCGAAGCGTATGAGACTAGATATAAACTCAGATGCTCCGGATGATACATTGACCCCAACGTCTTCTCCACTGGACCCAGAGAAGGTGTCGAAACAGAAACTAAAGAAACAGTTGGACGAAGAGCGCAAATTGAAACGAGAACAAGAAATGATAGAACGCAAGCTTCGTAAGGAGCGAGAAGAAGAAGAAAAACGCGCTAGGAAAGAGAAACACGAGGCTGAACTGCGAGCTAAGAGAGAACAAAAGGAACGCGAAAAGCTGGAGAAACAGCAAAAGAGAGAGGCTGAAGCAAAGCTTCGCGAGCAAAAAAGACTACAAGAGAAAGAGGAGAAAGCTAGGCGTCGTGCAGAACAAGAGGACGAGAAAGCGCGCAAAAGAGCTGAGCTGGAAGAGAAGGCTCGAAAGAAATTGGAAGCTGAACTGGAAAAGCAAAGACTGAAAGAGTTGGAGGAGCAGAAGCTCAAGAAGCAATCAATTACTAACTTCTTCAAACCCAAAGATTCCAAGGCCATTATCAGCAGCAGTCCTATAAAGGCAGAGCTCCAAGAGATTGGTGTGAGCGACTATCACAAGTACTTTTTACCCTTCAACATCCGATCTGGCGTTCGCATGGCACATGACAGCCTACGTCAAAGCGATGATCTGGATAAGTTCTTAAGTGGGGAGAAGACTGAAAAGGAGTCTTTCCAGGACTCTTTGGTCCGTGTGGAGCACGCACCTCCTTCCTTTGCCAGCGCATCAGAAATAATTCAGACATACAACATGGGGATGACTAAAGAAGCACAAGAAATGTTGGACAAAGTCCCCCAAAAATATCTCTCGTACTACGAGAATGGAAAGGTACCTTACCTGGGAACATATTCGATCCAGGTGACCAGCTTGGGATTCGAGTTGGAAACTAATCCTTTCACAAAAGTTTCTTCAGATGTGATTAAGATCAATTATGAATTTGACTCGGATTTGGAAGATGATGAGGACGACGAAGAAGGTGAAGACGTTGATTGCGACAACGAGTCTGATGAGAGCGATGATGGTCAGTCGGACGAGACTTCAGATATCGAGCAGTTTGTCGAAACAGATGAAAACGGAGTTGCCACCAAGAAAGCAGTCATTGGTCCGTTAGTCCCTGTTGTAAGCTGCTTGGGACAACCGATCAACGAACAAGATCAGTTTTCACAGTACTTCAATTCTCTAAAGTATGAGCGTCTGTGCGAATCTGCTAATTTGCCGATCGATCCACTCTTCAATTACTGGGAAGAGGAAGTACAAGAAGCTCAGACAGTTACGAAGGTAATTGAAGACAACAAGAATCAGGCTTCATCTGCTCCACAGCAGAATGCCACAATGACAATCAAGAAGAAGCTGATAACCGAATCGAGTCACTTGGCCAAGTTGACAGCGTTCATCATGGAAAACAGCGATTTCTCCATCAATACCATGACCGAGATAGCACAGAAACAGATTTTGTCGGACTACTCGAAAGCTGTGGTTAAAAACAGCATTAAAGAGCTTGCAAACTTCGATAAGAAAACCAATAAATGGGCCATAAAAGAACAAGCCCAAAGTGTTTGAACGAACGTTTACATAGTTGCATAGAAATTAAGTTACATTTTTAAAATGTTGTAAACTGCCCCCAGACACGATTTTTTCAGTTTTTTTTCGTGCTGTAATTAATATAAAACAGTTTTTCCTAATTCGGCAAATTGGTCAGGTTAGACATTTATATATTCAATGTTTTTGGCCGTTTGAGTCCTGAGGTAACCCTGAAAAATGATATAGTAGCAATCCATGCCTTCATAACTACGTGTATAGTGATTTCGATTGGTTTACCATTCCGAATGATTAAATATCGTAAACTCTTATTTTTCTTAATTACTCGCGTCTGTCGTATTTTTTCGCGTCCTTAAAACACGAAATCTTCAAACCATTTTTTTTCAATCCCTTCATGTCCTCTCCGCAAACCTCGCCATATCACGATTCGAATCAGTCTACTGCGCCTGATTCTGTGTCTCAGACTCAGAGACAGCCGGTGCCTTCGTCTCCGCTGTTTGTGGCGCCATCAAGTGAAGGATCTATGCCGGTTTCGCAAGATCAGGGTTCGAGACAGCGTTTTGGCTCGTCGCCAATTCCGTTCACTTCCTCTGAGCTGGGACATGACTTGAACTCACAAATCCCTCGCAGATCGCAGCATAGTAGAGGTGACATCCACTCTTCGGATATCATGTCTTCTCCTATGAGAAGACGATTCTTCGACAACTCCAATCCCCAACCAAGTCAAATGTCGGACTCACAACTCCCCTCCGAATCGCAACTATCCTCTGTTCAACAACTGTCGGACTCGGGCTCTATCAATCCAGACGAGCCAGTGAGAGTCATTTGGGGTACAAACGTTTCGATTCAAGAATGTTCTGACAATTTTAGAACTTTCCTCATGTCTTTCAAAATGAAGTACCGCAGAAGACTCGATCAAGTTGATGAAGACCCCGTTGAGGATGATGTTCTGTATTATGTGAAGGCACTCAATGTCATGAAAGAAACCGGGACCACCAATTTGAATCTGGACACCAAGAACCTTCTAGCTTACACAACCACTAAAAAGCTTTACTACCAGTTAATCAATTATCCACAGGAAGTCATTCCGATCATGGATCAAACCATCAAGGATTGTATGGTTTCTTTGACCTTGGACAATGCGTCCAATGCAGACCCTCAAGATCAGCTTGTTGATGAGATCGAATCCAACGTCTACAAAGTGCGGCCTTTCAACATCCAAAATCAAAGAGGAATGCGTGAGCTTAATCCGACCGATATTGACAAATTGGTTACTGTGAAGGGACTGGTCATTCGGTCGACCCCAATCATCCCAGATATGAAAATTGCTTTCTTTAAGTGTAACGTTTGTGATCATACTGTCGTTGTTGAAAACGATCGTGGAGTTATTCAAGAGCCTTCGAAATGTCCAAGGCAGATTTGTTCATCGCAAAATTCAATGCAGTTAATTCACAACAGATCCTCTTTCGCTGACAAACAAGCCATCAAATTACAAGAAACTCCAGATATTGTGCCTGATGGACAAACTCCGCACTCGATTTCTCTGTGTGTGTACGATGAGCTGGTGGACTCTACCAGAGCTGGTGATCGGGTGGAAGTTTGTGGAATCTTCAAGTCTGTTCCCTCAAAAGTGAATGCTAGACAGCGTGCTGTCAAGTCTTTGTTCAAGACTTATATTGATGTGGTTCACATCAAGAAGGTTGACAAGCATCGTTTGGGAGCAGATGTGTCCACTCTCGAAAACGAACTGAAAGAGCAGCAAGAAGTGGATGAGGTTCGTAAGCTCTCTGAGGAAGAGATTGTTAAGATCAAAGAGACTGCTGCGAGAGACGATTTATATGAGCTTTTGGCAAGATCTTTGGCTCCATCTATTTTTGAGCTATCCGATGTTAAGAAGGGAATCTTGCTGCAACTATTTGGAGGAACAAACAAGAAGTTCACCAAAGGTGGTAAATACAGAGGGGATATCAACATCTTACTCTGTGGAGATCCATCGACGGCCAAGTCTCAAATTCTACAATATGTTCACAAGATCGCTCCTAGAGGTATTTACACCTCCGGTAAAGGTTCCTCTGCTGTTGGTTTGACTGCATACGTTACCAGAGATATTGAAACCAAGCAGTTGGTGCTGGAAAGTGGAGCTCTGGTTCTGTCTGACGGAGGTGTGTGCTGTATTGATGAGTTCGATAAGATGTCTGACTCCACAAGATCTGTCTTGCACGAAGTCATGGAACAGCAAACCATTTCTATTGCAAAAGCTGGTATCATTACCACTTTGAATGCAAGAACCTCCATTCTGGCTTCGGCCAATCCTATTGAGTCCAGATATAACCCAAACTTGCCAGTTACCAAGAACATCGACCTGCCACCTCCTTTGCTTTCTCGTTTTGACTTGGTCTACCTCGTTCTTGACAAAGTGGATGAGAAGATCGATACTCAATTGGCAAGACATATCGCGGGAATGTTTTTGGAAGATGATATCCACACTGCCACGAGCCACGAAATTCTTCCTGTGGAGTTCCTTACTTCGTACATCCAATATGCCAAAGAGAATGTTTCTCCAGTGCTGACCGAAGAAGCCAAGAACCAGCTTGTGAAATCTTATGTTGAGATGAGAAAACTTGGCGAAGATGTTAGAAGCTCTGAGAAACGCATAACTGCCACCACCAGACAGCTTGAATCCATGATTAGACTTTCTGAAGCACACGCCAAGATGAGATTATCTCCTCTTGTTGAGCTTGAGGATGTGGACGAAGCAGTGAGACTTACCAAGTCTGCAATCAAAGATTATGCTACCGATCCTCTTACAGGTAGAATTGACATGGACCTGGTGAATACTGGACAAACTTCTGCTGAGCGGAAGATGAAAGAAGATCTTTCAAAACAGGTGTTCCAACTGATCGAGTCTCAAGGAACACTTACTTACGACGTGTTGCTGCAAAAGATCAATGACCAGTCTTCAACGAGAGTGGAAAACTTGGATCTTAGTGAGGTGCTTCGCCGACTGGAGGCAGAAAACAAGATCAGTATGTTTGGTCAAGGCCATAAGAGAGAGATCAGGGTCAACAGGGGAGTTGTGTAGAAGAATCAACATTATATATCGCAATCGACTTTTATTCACTAAATATCGTCTATTTGTCTTGGTTGCGTTTTTTGGCAGCCTCGACAATCTTTTTCCAGTCAACTCGATAGATGACAAACAGTTCGGCAACGCCGATCAACAACAAACCCGTACCATTACCGATCCATAGTCCAACCAATTCCATGTCCAAATGAAATGCAAGCACGAATGCCAATGGAACTGCCACCACATAGTAGCCCAGTAAACTGAGGAACCCGCCTATTGCTTGCAAAGCTAGCGCTCTTAATATACCATTTGCAACACATGCGAGTCCGTCGAACAGCACAAACACAGAGAGGAGTGGACACAGGCCAACAATCATTCTTGTGACTTCAGGGTCCTCTGTGAACATGCGTGCGATCAACTTTGATCCGAATAAAATCAAAAGGGAGTTGGCTGATGCGCAGACCACAGAAGCAGAAAGCCCCACTTTGGTGGTCACTCGAGCCGCATCAATGTTTCCGGATCCAATAAAATTGGCCAGTCTTGTTGACGAAGCAACAGAGAGAGCAAATGGTACCATATACAACAGTGACACCAAACTTGAAAGGGCCGATTGGGTAGCCAGCGCCTCTGTACCGAAATAGGAAGCTAGCAGTGTGAGGACTTCGTATGCCAACGACTCTGCTAGAAGCGTGACTGTTCCCGGAATAGCCAGTAGCGACAAGTCGTACCAATGTGTTAATGCCTCCCAAGTGAATCCGTCCCAGCACTCTCTTCCATCGATAAAGACCACATAAAGGATCAACAGGATGAACATGAGCCAGAAATTCAGCACAGCAGCAATTGGTGCACCAATGTATCCGAAATCCCAGTAGTAGATCAACACCCAGTTGACCAATATGTTTATGGGGGATGTAATAAATAAAATTAAAGTTCCAGCTTCAAAGATCTCTTGTGCTTGCAGGAACCGTTTGCCGTTCTCAAAAAGAATATACGCTGGTCCTCCAAGAATCAAAATTCGCAGAAACTGTTGAGACAATTCGACCACCTCTGGATCGTCGATAAAGTGTGATAGAACCGAGCCACTGTACCACCAAAATAGAGCCGAGGGGATGTAAAGAACCAAGGAGAACAGGCTGCATCTTTGGGTATGTATACCAACTTTGGCGTACTGGCCCGCACCATAAGCCTGAGGACAAAGAGTATCCAATGCTGTGGCAATTCCTTCGTAGATAGCCAAAATGATAGTACTGGTCATGGAAGCCATACTAACGGCAGCGAGTTCCTGCTTCCCAAGATGGCCAACAAAAACGACAGAAACTAACGAGAATATCTGTTCCAAGACAAACGTCAAGATCAATGGAAACGAGTATTGGGCAAGCTTCCATGATTCAGATGCCGTAGTGGCTTTCTCGTGAGCAAAATCCTCCACCTCTTCATCTTTGAATCCCATGTCTTCCTCGTATGACAGATCGCTTTCTTGGTCCTTGAACATTCTGTCTGCCTGAACAAGGAGGTCGTCAGTATCGTTTGCAGAACCATAGTTAGGAAAAGCTGACCCTGCATCGTGCATGCTTCTTCTCTCGCGCTCTTCCTCCAACCATTGATGAACAGAATCGATATCGTCATTGGTGTGGTCTAATGTCGACGGTAAAGACCTGGAGGTAACTATGGACTCGTTGTCGCGCTCAATAGCAGATCTGTGTTCAGAAGCAGCCTGCAAGTCTGTTCCAAGACTCAAAAAAGAACGTTGATCCACATCGTTACCGTAAACGAAAAGAGGTGATTGCGTGCTCGGAGGAACAAACATCAAAGGAATCTTACGTCGCTTCGAATTGATACCGGTGCTGTTCGCATTCATGATCGACTTGGGTATTTGACCAAGCGTTCGTGAGAACAAACCGGTATTTCGACGTTTGATACTGTCTCTTCTCTCCATTAGATAGTGTAATTAAGATAAAAAATTAGAATGCTTAAGATAAATACAGTAGAAAGCAGACAACCGAGAAACAAATTGATTGCAACTGTTTCGAATACACTTTGGAACCCAGACTGCTCTACTGACTAATGTGATTACTTGAGTGTTACTGGATCGGCAAGAGTGCCAAATGGTTTGAAAATTGGTTGCTTCCTGATTACAACATATTCTCATGTCGTAGAACGACATATTTTCTAGTATTTCCATATTCAATCTTCAATAATCCTCATAAATTAATCTTTCCAATAGAGGAAGGAAGCAGAATCACAAAATTTTTACCATTGCCTCCATCAGCCAAAATGAACTTTGAATCATAGCACATTGACCCCTTCATCATTGCAGCCAACAAAGATCGTAGTCAGTGCCCTTCTGTGCTAACTGCTACCAATTCAAATGTCACACCCCTTATTTGGTCGGTGCGTTACGAGCCCCCACACACGAAAGACACTGATTGGAGAAAAAATTATATTCATCAATCTATTACCATGTTTGCAAGACAAGCTACTAAGACGGCCAGATCCGGAATCAGATCCGTTGGTGTGAGACCAATCTCCCAATACGTTGCAAAGGCTTCGGGTACGTGACTTTCATTTTTAATACTAACAATTAGTTGTTTTCAGCGAGCTTATTTACTGGAGCAAAGTCACCGTTGAGCTCGGAAAGCAGATTTACGTTAGAGAAGGTTTGGCCCCACCAGCCGTTTCCGACTTCCAAAAAGTGTACTCCGACCTCTACAAGAAGGCCTTCGAATTCTCCGGTAACCCAAAGGCTTCTGCCGATCAATTGATTAATTTCACCAAGTCCTCGTCCAAAGATGAACTCCTCAGATATGGTGCTTACTTCATCCAAATTATCGGTTTGTTCTCCCTCGGTGAGATCATTGGAAGAAGACAAGTGGTTGGCTACCCATCTTTCGGTCCAAAGGAGCACCACCATTAGACATTAGACAAACGCATAGGTCTATATACTTAGTTTTTAAATCAGAAAAATTCAATTATTGGAACTTTCTTCTAAAGTCTTCCGTTTCTTGGAAGCATCTATCATTTCCTGTTTCTGCTTCCGTTTCTTCCGGACCACAGATGGCACAGTACTGATCGGCTTTCTATCCACAACCTTATTTTTGATCTGTTTTTTCTGCTGTTTGGTAAGTTTGGATAGATCTTCCTTTAACCAATCGGCCAAACCATCCTCGGAGCCACTTTGCTTCATCACGTTCACAACTGGCTTGATTGCAAGTGTGTCTTCCTTGGTGTAAAACGTCACTGCTTTACCAGAACGACCACCACGTCCTGTACGACCAATTCTATGCACATATGCTTGGGCCGAAACCGGAACGTCGTAGTTTATCACTAAGTTAATTCCTTTGAAGTCGATTCCTCGAGCCAAAACATCGGTACAGATCAAGCACCATAGTTCACCTTTACGGAATCGATCAATGATAGTTTCTCGTTGTAGTTGAGTTCTCTCTGCGTGAATGACATCAACATTTAAACGGTCGTAAAGCAACTCGTGGAACAAAGCCTTGGCTCTGGTAATGGACTGGAGGAAAATGATCACTGGCGGCTTGAACTCTCCCTTTCGTAGCATCTCGCGCAGAGCTAGAAGTTTGCCGTGCTCGTTACCACAATAAACCAACTTTTGTTCAATATTGGTATTGGCAGCTTCTTTGTGTCCAATAATGATACGGATTGGAGAATGCATGATCGAATTGGCAAGTTCTTCAACACTGGAAGTGATTGTAGCAGAGAAAATCGATCGGCGAAGTTTTGGATTTGAACATGCTGTTAATATGCGGTCTGTCTGTTCAACAAACTTGGATTCGAATAATTTATCGGCCTCATCAAACACAACTTGTTCGACCTTAGAAAGGTCCATCACCCCCTCACCTAGAAGATCAATAAGTCTTAATGGAGTTGACACCAAAATGTCAAATTTGGAGCTAGTTAAGACCTTGTTGCGCAATTTCCCGGCAATAGATTTGTTCAAAATTCCAACTTGCAGACTGCTATCCTTGCACAGTTTGACGAGCTCATTGAAAATTTGGGTTGACAGCTCCTTAGTTGGAGAAATAACCAATCCACGAATACCATGGTTCTTACGTCCACGACCTAGCTGTTGCACAAGAGGAATTATAAATGCTAAAGTCTTACCAGAACCAGTGGGGGCACAGCAAATAAGGTCTCGATCAGCCAAGCTTGCGGGAATAGCTTCGCACTGAATTGGCGTAGGTTCTGTGAACTCGTTGGAAATGAGGTTTTCTAGTAGTAATCTGTTAAACTTGAAGCGTCCAACAAGATCTTCAAAAGAACCAATCGGTTGATGAATATCGTCTCCGGAAACTTTAGCACCGTAAGATTTTCTCAGTGCGAGAGCTTCCTCCGGGGTAAAAACCTTAGTTGGAGGTTCTGGAATATCGTCTTGAGTTTTAGCAACGGTCGGCTCATCTATGATCGTTTCCTTCTTCTTGTGATCTTTCTGGTGAAAAAAATCAACCTCCTTGTCGAGCTCATCATCCAGGTCTTGCTGCTTGGCCACATTAACAGTTTCCAACTTCTGTAATGACTGCACTCCTGCTGGAGCATTGGACTTCTTCAAAGAAGCTCCTCTGGACAGGATCTTGAATATATCCATGGTATGTAGAGGATTGAATTTATTTCAAATAAATTTTTATCGTGGCAAGTGTTGTGGCTGGTGCAAAATCAACGTCCGTGGTGCCACACGACCTAGAAATTTTCACGCATTTTCGACAAAATTTTTCAATAGTGAATACAAAGCTAGTCAAGAGGTGGCGGAAAGCTAGGTGTTATGAGCTTTTGAGCGCAAGAAGAAAGGTCACATCTAAGTTAAATACACGAAAACAGTTTGATAGAGAATAAATCGAGCTTCCGGAGTCAAAATAGCACATACACCATCATATAACTGCATTTGTCTATCACAATCATGTCAGGGTTCACGCTACGGTTTGTTGGTAGAAGTCAAATCAAGCACAATACAAGTGGAATACAAGTGATAAATAAACGGTCTGTGGTATTCGCGAAGGGACCAAGAGTCAAAGGAGCTTTGCGGGATCCTGAAGATATCTTGACCGTTAATGGAATTAGATATGGATCCAGCGAGGATAACCTGAAACCATTGAAGACGTTCTTGCAAACAAAACTGAAAGGTAAGTACGAGCTGCCAGATAAGCTTCTCTTACAAATAATCACACATAAATCGTTCGCACATGGAACACAACCATATAACGCAAGATTGTCTTATTTTGGAAAAGAATTGATCCAGCTTAGTGCTGCCAAATACGCTCTATCGCAACCAACAGACAATGAGTTTGCTATAAACAACCTGAATTTCGATTCACTGGGGTCTTTCACGCAAAGTTTTATGAAGTCCGAAAAGTTACTCAAAGAATATGCTGTCCTGAACAATCTGGACACAGTCTTCTTCAGACGGTTGGCTCTCCCATCAGGAAGAGAAGATGCCGACTATAAGCCAAGATCAATCTGGTCCACCTTGACTGCGTCATTGGTTGGAGCCATAGCCACTCAACACGGCAAAAAGGCTGCTGAAGAATTCATACAACAGGAGATATTTGCGGGAACTTTGGATCAAGTCATCAAATCAAAGTCAACCCCATCCAAATCCGACTAAGTCTGTATATAGAACGTTGATATATGTACATTTCGGCATCTGCTATTTACATCTTTACACCAGTTTTCTCTAGTTGGAAAATTACACGCGTAAACCGAGAAAAAAACAGAGTTTTGTTTTTTACGATCGAACTTGTCTTCCATATAGACAAACCTTTCTGCTCCTTAGACGCATTTTCTACTTTCAATCCAAAACTTATAGACATAGGAAAATCAAGGCGCTTATTTGGTTGTCCGAAAAGTTAGACTTTATTTGTTTTGAATTTGGCGCTTCAATTGATTCAAGTTCTCAACCAGTTTAGAGGAACGAGTCGAGCAGTCTCACAATGACAGACGTGAAACGAACTTTGCACTATCATACGGTGCTCAAGAGCTTCTTGGATAACTCCTCCGATACTCTGACGCCAGTTACGTCTTCCAGAGTCATAAAGGCTAGGGAAAAACTCGGAAAGTTAACCAGCTCGCAATTCTTTGATCTGAGCACCGACGTTTATGATGAGCTTCAAAGAAGAACTTCTAGCGAAAGCATGCGTCCGGGATTTTTACCAGCACAGGCAAGTTTCCATCCAAAGAGAAATCAGGCGCGCCAAAAATTGGCGTCTTTACCAGCAGGCCGATTCAAAGATCTGGTTAATGATGTGGTATTCGAGATCGAAAGACACCAGTCTGGTTACATCAAGAAAGAGGATCAGATCACCAGTAGGGCAGTGAATGACTTGCCTACCGAAACTTTCAAAAAACAAGATCTGGTTTTGAATACTGTGGATTTGAAAACTCCTTTGAGTGACAAATTCGAACACTCACCTGTCGAGACGCCGACCCAGAGGGAAATCAAGAGTACCAAGGTTGTTCCACAAAAATCGCAATTATCTTGGTCCAGTGACGAAGAGGAAGACCTCACAGGTAAACCTTCAGCGTTTCAATTGCCCAAACAACAGGGACAAAAAAGTGTCGTCCCTGAGTCGACAGCAAAATCTGCTACACCTTCTCCAACTCGTTCTTTCCACAACGTTGATTCGACTTCGAGTCCCGAGGCTTTCAAATACACAGGAGTTTCGTCAGACGCGGCTTCTCCTACTGCAAACAGACTTTCGCAAGGAAGGAACAAGGATAGAGATCTACAACTATTGATAGAAGAGAGCACGAAAATGGACAAAAAGATAACAAGCTTGGAGGCAGAGCTCGCGGGCGTTAAAAAGCAAAAAAGCGATCTAGAGGCTGCTCATTCAGAGCTCAAGTCGACTCACGATCAGCTATTGTCGTCTCATTCGGAATTGAGATCGACTCATGACCAACTTCAGTCCAACCACTCGGAGCTTTCTACTTCTCATGATGGGTTGAAAAACCAAATCAAGAAATACAACAGAATGTCTAGAGATTTGAAACAGCTCATGTTAGAAAAAGAGCAGTTGAACAACACTGTTAAGGAGAAGCATATGAACATGTTGGCTTTGCAAGAGAAATTAGATGGCCTTTCCAACTCACACAGTCGTCAATTGCAAACCGAGAATAGCCTCAATGAATATCGTGATAAGCATGACAAGTTGTTGAATGAACACACCTCCACCAAGCAACAGCTCGAATCGTTGCAAGCTGAGAATGAAAAGCTGAGAAATGAACTTAGCAGTTTGCAAACACTCAAGGAGGAAAAGAAAACTTCCGACAAATTGGATAAGATTGTTCAGCAGCAGAGAAGCGTGTTAGACAACTCCGAAACAGACAAACTTTCCAAGCTTAATAATGATCTGCTTAAATGGCAATCTAGATATGAGGAGGCTAGGTCAGAGAAAATGGCCAAGTCTTTATCTAAAAGCGTGTCTCTGGGATCCAATAGTTTGAAGCTGCTGACCGATAGCAAAGGGTTGGTTTCTATGCCAATTGCAATCAATTTCTTCTCATCGGTTGATTCCGTTTTGGTTTATGTTACCGAAGATGAGATCAACACCGATTTGTTGTTTGAGAGAATAGCCGTGCTTGTGACTCGTGCCAATGAGATCGCGAATGTGGGGCAACTGGGTTCGTCAGAGTTAGCCGACAAGGGCCGTCTGGTGCAGTCTGCAATCTCCAATGCATTGACCAGCACCAGATACTTCGCAATGTACCGCGATGTCATTCCAAAGCTGGTGATAAACACTGCTGTTAATGACGTTTGCTTTGCTGTCTCTGATTTCTTGAAGGTTGCCAAGCTGAAGAGCGGAGAACCATCAAAGGCGGCAGACGCTTCGACTCTCACACAACAGGTTCCTAAATCGTTGAATTTGTCAAAAGAGCAAACTTTAGAATCGCCTGCATCTAATTCTTTGGAAACTCCGGTGTCTCCTACTCGCTCTGTTCTTGGCGAGGACTCCGACACTCCAGTGCGTCCACTAAGAATCACCCAAAAGCTTAGCCAAGAGGGCATCAAGGGAATTACTGACAATTCCAAAAAGGCATCCAAGCCTCCTCCATTTCTTAACGGATCCCCTGTTGGAACCCCTATTGGGCAAATAGTGGTGACTCCAACCAGAGAACGTAGCCAGGAGGCCGACCCAGAACAACCAAGATCAGCCCAAAGAGAAGTACCAAGTACAAACGCTGCGATTTCCTCCTTAGCATCTAGATTTTCACCTGACCAAGAGTCAAACTCTCCACAGAGATCCCAAGGATTCAAGGCGTCTCCACCAAGAGGAAACATCCTTGCAAAGATGAAGATGTTACAGGAAAATAGAGATTCTAGTGTTTCACCTTCGGGAAGCCGTTCTTCATCTCCTGCAAGATATGTTCCCGAAAGCAGCAGTGCGTCCTCGGCATTCGATAAGTTCGGTGCCAGAAGAAGAACTAGTTTGGACAGATCAGTGTCTTCGGCAACCAATGGCAGTGTTACTAGTAAGTTGAGCGAGCCTGAGAAACTACAGGAGCCAACTTCTAGAGTTCGTGCCAGTGTTTACGATAATCCAATGGCACAAGAGGAAACCACACCTAGAGAAACCATTGCCGAAGAGACCACTGCGAAGGAGCCTTTGAGCAGCGGCCTGGAAGCGCCACAATCAGGGGGCACGATTCCTAGTGCTGGCAGTGCGTTGAATCCTCTAACTGGACAGTCACCAACGGCGGAAACGTTTGAGGTGGAAAAGTTCGATACGCTGGATCCTGACAACACTTTGAAAGAGCTACTTTATTATCTGGAGCACCAGACGGTGGAGGTGATTGCTGCGATCCAGAAACTGTTGGAATCGATCAAGAACCCTAAGGCTACGAAGCTTTTGTTGAAGAACGGAGCTGGACAGATTATCAAGGTTGTGAAGCAGATGGCAGAAGGAACCAACACATTAATGAGTCAGACGAGATACGCCGAGCAGATGGGTCATGCACAATATGTGGTTGAAGTCCTTGAGGATTGTGTGCGGCGGATGGAGGTTTTGTATTCTAGCGGCGATGAGCGGAGTGACAAGGAGTTTGCAGATAAGGCGTTCAAGCAAAGATCTGCGGGTATTGCTTTTGACGTTGCTCGGAGTACCAAGGAGCTTGTGAAAACAGTGGAGGAAGCCAGTCTACGCGACGAGATTGCTGTAATTGATTCACGGCTGAACAGGGCTCCTGCAGGCGTTGCAGCATGAGCTATTGCTTTACACGTCATAGTATGTATGTTAGTTCAACGAAACTGTCAAAGATTGCTGCTGAGGTAATCAGCATATGGTCAAAAAAATGAGATCTGGGGAAATTGGGGCTAGAATTAATTAGTTTCTTGTTTCTTCTATTGACTTATACTAAGCCCGTTTCCAGTACGAAAACATCAGATCTGACCATACCAAGATTGAAAGGTATTGATTTGTTTGAGAAAGTGACGTCTTAGTCGGCTCTTTTTACGTTTAGGGAAGTTGCGGATTTGACGTGGGTTTGCCAGCCAATTTCAGCTGATTATCACAGAACAATATTAGTTGAGATTACAGATCATCCTTGGTAATACATACAACGATCCAACTGGAATCTAAGGGTTCTGTACATACTGCAGAAACAGAAAATTTCCAAAGACACGAGATTATAAGGAGCCGTTAAAAATCAGATTCTATTAGTATGATGAATGGAACCACTTTACAACCAAAATCGGAACATAAGGAGTTGCCCTCCATCAAGAATCTTTTTCCAGCTCTGGATGTGAATAGCACGGCTCCTCGAAGCCAGAACGTTCCTGAAAATGGATTCATCGTTCCGATGATTGGATACCCCACAGCCGAGGTGCGGTTGGAAGCGGAATTGAACAAGTTCACACAGATTAGTTCCGAGATCCAACAGATTTTGGATAGTTCCAAGAGTCTTCGAAGTGTGCCGCGTGAGCTTTTGGAGGCGGGAAATGCGCAGATCGACCTTTTACGTTCCTTGTACCAGTCTCTGCTGCGGACACACGACGAGGAGGTTGCACGAGTCCCTGTTTTCCAGCGTCCATCGGGTGGCTCTTCATTACAATACACGTTTCAGCCGGCTGCTCCCGCGAGCGCAGGCGTTGCTCCATTGCCGCTTCTCTCGTCTCCGTCTTCGTTTGGCAACATGGAGGAACAGGCCGCTCGCACGCTCTCTTCAATGATCGATATTTCTCCGACTCATCGCCACCAGCGCACTCCCTCCACCGAGGAGCGGTCGTCCACCCCGCCGGTGTCTCCCAGCTCGTTTTCGGTGCGCAAGCTCAAGATGAAAAAGTCTCCTTCTGGTGGAAACAATGTGACGGCCCAGGTTTTACTCGAGGCCCGCGTGGATAACGGCAATCTGGCGGAGCTTCTCACCAACGAGTGTTTACACTGCCAGTCCAAAGAAACCCCAGAATGGAGACGCGGACCGGAAGGAGAGCGCACGTTGTGCAATGCATGCGGTCTATTTTACGCCAAGCTCTGCAAAAAATACGGCGAGGACAAAGCCAAGGATATTATGAAGGAACGAAAGACAAAAGGAAGCGAAACGGACAGGCGAGTTAGTGTTGGATTTTAGGACTCTTTTGTAGTGAATATTTTATGTTTAAATGCGCAATCACAGAAATTCATTTAAATACTGGTAGCCAGTTTTTTCAAAACGTTGTTGAAGAAGGTGAGTCCGTTGACAAAACCGGCAAAGTCGTCGTCCTCGATCGGCTCAACGAGTCCTGGAAGCTGTTGTCCAGCATACCCAGTGTACCGGCCACTGACATAGATAATATGCTTGAACCATGGCCTCTTTTTCAAGCCATCGTGGTTGAGGAGCGCTCTTTCAAAGTACTTGAGCTTGGTGTTGGCCTTGAAAATGGCCCACTTGAGCTTGATCTTCTCCACAAACGACAGATCGTCCCAGTTGTCGTACTTTTCCTGCAGCACAACGGTGTCTTCGTCAAACGTGGCAGCAGACTTGAGCAAAGACGCAATGTTCTCGTACACCTGTGCAACCAGCTCCTCCAAGCTCGACACTTCCGGGTCCTCGTCCAGCTTCTTCTGGAGCCAGTCTTTTGGTATCTCAATTTTGCTGAACAGGTTCGAGATCTGTTCGGCATAGTCAGTGGTCTTGAACTTGTACAGTTTCGACTCACTCAGATTCAGCACCAAAAGTCCAGCGTATTTGGCCATCAGGTTGTGGTAGACAAAGCCCGGGTCTCCAAGAGTCTTCATCCAGTGATAGGAGTCGTAGACCGTGTGATATTGGTAGACCGGAGCCGTCTTGTTGGAGGTGAAGCCGAGATCAACAGACGGAATACCCAGATGGTCCAGGAACACAGTGTAATCGGAACCGGATCCCAGAGCACTGATATGGTCCTTGGAGATCTCCTTGAGATGGTCGTACAGAGTGATGTTGCTGTCGGGATATGGTAGTAAAGAGGCGGTCTCTCTGAGCAGACTGTAGAGCAGAGGAGATGAGCCCAGGTGCAGGATGTTTCCAATAGAAGCAACGTCCATGTTGAAGTACGCAACAGCCTTTTTGGAAAGCTGTTTAGCATAGTACTCTCCAAACTCAGTGGAACCAATCAGTCCGTACTCCTCGCCGTCCCAAGAAGCCAGCAGTATCGTTCTTTGAGGCTTCCAGCCGGATTGCACCAGACCACCCAGAGCTCTAGCAAGTTCCAGCATGACGGCAGAGCCCGAGTGTGGATCTCCAGCAGCCGGAGTCCACGAGTCGTGGTGGTTACCAATGATGATCACTTCGTCCTTATTCACTCCTTCGATCTTTCCGTAGACGTTGTAGACGTCTGTCACGTTGAAGTCTTGCTCGTTCACAAGATTGAGCTTGTACTCTGGGTTAGGTCCAACAGAAGTGTAGTCGAATCCCTTGATCAGTCCCTTGGGCCATGTGGCCACCTGGGGACCGTGGCCAGACAGTTTCTCCAGAATTGGAGTGACCTCTCTGAACGAGATTGGAAGGGCTGGAATCTTGGGGGTGGTGATCTTAGGATCGGACCGCGACTTGTCTTCACCGGGCTTGATTGCGTATCCTGGAGTAGTCGGGTCTCCGGGGAAGACCGATAAAAATTGAGCCGAACCACGCTGGATAGCCGAAGGGTTTCTCGCAATTCCCTCTGGATACGCCTTGTACCCGTTTTCCTCGGTCACTTCTCCATCGTCTGCCGGGTCCGTGAAAAGTAGAGCAGCTTTGAAACCGTGTTCCTGAGCAAACTTAATTTTGAGACCACGGAAAATAGCACCGTACCTAATCACAGCAATCTTGTCCTTGGTCTCAACTCCGAGTTTGTCCAACGTCTCAAAGTCCTCTTTGGTACCGTAGTTGCAGTACACATAGCTTCCCGTGAAGTCTCCGGAGGCCGCGTATCCAAGAAAAGCCGGAACGGACTTGAACGAGTTCGGGTCATCTTCAACCTCGTCTTCAATCAGCTTGGCGTCATAGACAACTGACTCGTTCTTGCCTTGCAACAGTTTCAGAGATTGATAGATAGGATAGCTCATATACGAGGTGTATGCGTCGATTTCGGCCTCCAATCCGTACTCCTCGAATTTTGCCTTGGTCCAATTGACCATTTCAATATTGTCGATTGTGCCGGGCAATTGGGTCCTTTCCGCATACTTCTTGAGCCATTTGCCCGCGTAGTTTTCCTCCAAAGCTCCCAGGTATTGCGCGAAAAGTTGAGGTTTGGAGACCTGAGTCTCTAAGGCGTATTTCTGGTCCACAAAGTGCTGAGAGCAACCATAGCCCCAGTACAATTGGAGGGCCAAAATGGCAACAAACACAAGATAGTATCTTGCTCTTGAAGACTTGCGAGGCCGTGAGCCAATTCCAGCCTCTCTGTCCTCTTTTTCCGATAAGTGTATCTTGCCAGTCATGGAAGAATAAAAGATTACCTGTTTTACTTGATAAGAACGGCCTTGATATGCATCTTTTATAGACGCGCCGATTCTGTGGATGTGCACGTCGATCAAAAATAATTGGGAAAAAAAAACAAAAACGAGCCTTCTGTTTTTAATTATACAGACAATACTTTTTTCAAAGGCCATCTGGCTAAACTGTCCCTTGAAAATAGACCAAATTCCCGTCGGATATTTGAGACGTATCCATATCCAATAAACCGATCGTTCTAAAACGCCATCATCAAAATGGTGTCCCCCGGAACAAGCATAGGATACAATCCTATAAATCTGATCCTCCGACTCTACTCGGAGTTTCTTACCTCAAAAAGACGCAACAACAAACTTATAGAGTTGAATTTAGATTTCAAGCCAACCGTCAAACATTTCAAACACATGTCCAAGCCAACGATTGTCAATTTGAGTATTCTGAGCTCGGTGTTTTTGTTTGTGCTCTATGTGCTCCCCATTTCAATTTTCTTTAAAGCACTTCTTGTGACGGGACTGGGATTACTGATCACGGTTCCTGTGCTATCCCAGTTCTTTCTTTTTGGACTTCCCGTGCTCGCTTGGGTGTTTTTGTTCTTCTCTGCCGGCCAAATCCCAACAAGCTGGAAACCTTCAATCAGTGTCAAAATCCTCCCATCCATGGAAACCATCCTTTACGGTGACGATCTCTCAAACATCCTGGCTACATATACCTCCAAGCCTCTGGATTTCGTTGCCTGGTTCCCATACGGAATAATGCATTTTGTCTGCCCATTTATCGTGGCTGCTCTTGTTTGGATCTTCGGACCTCCAACCGCACTTAGATCGTTTGGCTGGGCGTTCGGATACATGAATCTTGTTGGAGTTCTGATCCAACAGGTGTTCCCATCTGCTCCTCCTTGGTACAAGAACCTCTATGGACTCCAACCAGCTAATTACTCGATGAGAGGAAGTCCTGGTGGATTGGGCAGAATGGATGATTACTTTGGTTTCGACATGTACACCACCACTTTCAGCACTGCTCCGGTGATCTTTGGCGCGTTCCCATCTCTGCATTCTGCCATTTCAACGTCCAACGCTCTGTGGCTGTCATACTTGTTCCCCAAATACTCTCCGGTGTTTGTGGTTTACGTGTGCTGGTTGTGGTGGTCCACAATGTACCTGACCCATCATTATTTCTTTGATTTGACTGCTGGATCCGTGTTGGCGGTGACGTTTTTCTTTGCCGCCAAGATCCAGTGGCTTCCGATCAAGAAGGACGACTGTTTCTGCCGGTTCAACTACTACCGTTTGGAGTACGAAGACATCAGCAGCCAAGACCCGCTTAATACCGAGGCTCGCATCACCGTGGACGATCCCATGGAACTGGACGATGCCAGCTCCAGCGGACGGTCCACTCCTGCAGCCGACGACTCTACTGTCGACTCAAGTCTGTTAACGGCTTAATGCATAATGATAATACACATCAACTATTCAAATCGATTAGGAGGCCTTGAGAAGGGTCTCCTGGCGAATCTGGAGACTCATCACGATGCTGCGGTTCTCTTGGGTACTCGTGGTTTTCGTCCACCTGGTCGTGGTAGGTCGAGTAGCTGTAGTTCTGCGAGGCCAGGGAAATACCGCCCGACTGCGACTTGCGGTGTCCGGGCGAGCTGGGCAGGTATCTGGCCACATTGCTGGAGATACTGGAGATGGTGGACTTACCGAACGGATTTTGGTCTTCCTGCAATCGGAGCGAGTCCGACTGGTTCAGGTCGAACTGGTCTTCGTCGTAGAACAGCGTTCCCGAGTTCTGGCGCTCCGATTTCTTGGGACGGTACTTTTCGCGCTCTCTAGCGAGTTTCGAATCGTCAGTGGCCAATTCTACAACGTTTTTGGCCATCTCCTTTATTTGTTTCTCGTGGTTCATGTCGAGTCCGTCGTAGCAAACACCAACATGGTAGTTGTTCAGCAAAGCCAACGGGTCCAGATTGACGCGGATATCGTCCACTATATCAAAGATCACGGCCCCGTCTTCTTCTTGGTAGCAGTTTAGTAGCAGATATTCTAACAGCTGCAAACATTTGGAAACAGTGACAAACTCATAACCTCGGGTGACAAGGGTCTTCTTGAGAGTCCCCAGAATTGTCTGGGAAGACCGTTGTGGATACGCATACTCCTGAATCCGGTTGACAATGAAGTCAATGGCGAGCTTGGAGATGGACTGGCCAGAACCAACCATCTGGGCGCCTGCAACGTGGTCGGAAACCGCACCGGGATTGGCATAATTGAGAATCCAGGAACACAGCTGTTTTTTCTGCTTGGACGTGGGACCCCAGGGATCCGTGTTGGTGGCTTCCCGGATCAATATTTCCAAATTGGAGTAGCCGGAGAAGGCTGGGGTTAGCTTCCAGGAAAACTGCGCCACTTACCATTTTGTAGCTTTCTTGTTCGCTGTCGAAGGTCGTAGAACGAATACGTGCTCATTGCAACCGCCCAATTACTAGAAACGAGTAGTATTGCTTTCGGAACTAACAAACCGGGGCAAAAAACGTGAGCCGCAGCAGCTTAGACTGGGGAGAAAATTGGAGCCGATCGACGCGACGGAGCAAAAGTGGAGAGTTTTAAGAGAAAAGAAGAGAGTTTATAAGCCAAACACTACTTACAATTCACCACTGTTGGTGATCTCGATCTTGGCACGAGTAGCACCGGAACCGGAACCAAGTTTCTCAACAGCCTTGACAACGTCGAAACCGTCAACAACCTCACCGAAAACAACGTGCTTGCCGTCCAACCAAGAGCATGGAACAGTAGTGATGAAGAATTGGGATCCGTTGGTGTTTGGACCAGCGTTGGCCATGGAAAGCAAACCTGGCTTGGTGTGCTTGTGCACAAAGTTCTCGTCTGGGAACTTGGATCCATAGATACTCTTACCTCCGGTACCGTTGAAGTTGGTGAAATCACCACCTTGCAACATGAAGTCTGGAATGACTCTGTGGAAGATGGAGTTCTTGTAACCGAAACCCTTCTCTCCAGTGCACAAAGCTCTGAAGTTTTCAGCGGTTTTTGGAACGTCCTCGTACAAAGAGAAGACGATCTTTCCCAATGGTTTGCCTTTCGAGTTAGAACCTTCTTGAACTCCGAATCAAGCCACCAAAGACTCAATTCGCGTTCAACTTACCGTCAGCAGCAACTTCGAAGAATGTCTTGACCATTTTAGTTAGTTAGTTGTTCAATTGAATGAGCAATACAATTTGCCTCGCTAAAATTTTGCAAACGTGGACTGAGCAGGGTACCTGGGGGGCGGAAGACAGGCCGGGTAATATTACCATTTTTCCCAGTCGGCTAAAACTTTTCTATATACACGAATGGTAGCTGCCAATTATTGGATGTAGTTAACGAACCTGTTGACCGATTTGGCAAACTTCTCAAACTGGTCCTTGTCCATTTCAGCATCGGTTTGGGGAGCCAGTAGCGAAACCTCGAACCTCTCGTTTTGGCCGTTTGCAATCACGTCGTACATCAGGTGGCAGCCGTCAAAGTCGAGCTCGATGGTCCGACGTCTGTTGATCGAAGTAACGAGGAAATTCACCGGTTCTTGGTGATTTTTCAGTTGGATCGGGATCGGGTGCGAGACCAGCGCGTTAACCAGCTGGTTGACGGCGTCGGTGTCGGACATGTCCAGCAAATTCTCAGAAAGAGAGTTGAACAGAGACAGCAACGGTTTTTGCTCCTTGCGCTCTGGGTTGTACGGATCGGCAGCATCCAAAAGCACAGAGTTGCATGTAGATTGGAAAACGATGTCGTGGTGAAGGTCGGGTAGCGCAATCGGACAGTTCATCTCGTTTTCGTTCACATAAACGGTGCACGAAGAAAGGTCGATTTTATTTTTCGAGATTTGGAACCAGATCTCCAAGTTGGGCAAACTGACAAAGTTCTCGAACTTCTCATACGCGTCAGGAACAAGCTTGATTTGTAGTGCGTGGTCAAAGTTGTTTTTAATACCTCCAGCAAACCCAAAGAACCGGGCCTCTTTGTCGAGTAAACTAAGATTGGCCAATTTTTTGTTAACGTTTGGCAGGTTGGCATGGAAAAACCGCGAGCCAGAGTCCGCGTTATGGAACAAAAGCTTTCCGAAAGTAGCATTGTACGTTCTTGGCAGCCAGTTTGCGTCGGGTTCAACAGCAGGACTGAGTTGTTGGAAAATCTCGGCAGTCTGAGACATCCACGAAGGATTGGTTTCAGGAATGTCCAACTTGACCGGCTGTGGAACCTCTTGGTTGGCTCCTGATCTATCCGACTGATCAAGGAAGTTGCGCTGGAAGTTGTCAGGAGCTTGTAGCACCCGCGATCTCAAATCATCAACCTCTTGTGACAGAGTCGTAGGGTCAGGAGAGATTTTCAGAGGCGTACTTTGGACCTTTTTTCTCGGAGACTCGTATCTATAAAGAGGTCCCACGGCCCACCAAGGCAACGAGGAATCCTGGTAGAGTTTTGTGTGTGCTGATGGAATTGTCGAAAATCCTAGATGCTTATGTGATGTAGCTGAGAAATCGGTGGCAGCTAAAAGCAGCGACTTGGCCAGCTGCAAATTGGCAGAGTTAAACGTACTGAGCTGGTAAAGCTTGTCGTGCTTGATGACCTCTTCAAAATAAACGTTACTCAGTTTCTGGAGCTCGGGGATCGGCATCTTCCGATGTAAAACCTTGGAGTAAAAAGAGGATAGCCGGTTCATTGGAGCCAACGTTGTACTAACATGATTTAACAGGTAGTTCCACGATGCCTGGACAAAATTCACAAGCGACTCGTCTCCAAGAACTCGCAGATAGCTCAAATTCGGACTCAGTTCGACTTTGGCCCCGAGTCGGGTCCAAGACTGCAACAGATAGCCAGAATGAGAGAGTAGCAAAAATGCTTCCTTTTTATTTTGTATGGTTATCCGTGCTTCCTGGAGAACTTCATCGGACGCCGTCTTTGTGATTTTCAATTCCCAGCACTTGTTGATAATGAACTGGGCAAGTTTCTTTTTAGAAAGGGACGAAGAACAAGTACCTTTCCGTTTGTACTCGATATATTCCAGTAGCTGCGCTTTCTTGTATCCTTTCACCAAAGATTCCAGCAAAATTTCGTTCTGATTCTTGGATATGCTGCTGAATCCAGGCTGCAACTGATCCAGATCTTTGAACATCTGGTTGTCAGTTGGGGGAATCTTGAAAACCATGAGGTTTCTCAGACCTTTTTCAAACTCAACCACTTCCAGTTCGTCTTTTGCAGTGCCCAGATCAACAGTCTGTCGATAAGCCCTCAAGTCGTGTTTGATGTTTTCTAGTTTTGATTTTTTAGGTATGAATGGTCTCAAAACAATGTGTTCTTGTGTATCCTTAGAGTTCTCCCAAGGAAGAGTATCTGTCTCGCCTTGTTCCGACAAGTCTGTTTGGTCTTGCTCGTGGTGGTCCTCTTTTGGATTCACTTCCAAGTGTTCGTCTACTCGCGTAGAGTACCATCTGGCGGCTGATAAGCGCCGGCCGCATGCGAATCTGGAGACAGTTTGTCTCAACATGAAAAAAAAATTGATAAAAAAATATCCAGATCAGGCTTGAAAAAATAATTGAAGAATATTTAGGGAACAGGTATGGATGATGATCCATCTAAGAAACTGGTCGAGTTTTCCAGCAGAGACGAGTATCTCAGCTCAATGGAGGAGGACAGTGACGATACCGATTTGAGTTCGTTGGAGTCGAGCGATTCGGCGTCGGAAAACACGGTATCTGGGTCGGAGTCGCGCGAAGGGTCGCGAGAGTCATCTGTTTCGTCAGACGGATCCAATTTCCACGATGCGAGCGAGATTATCGAGGATGTTCCGCCATTGGCGTACGATCGCTTAGAGAACAAACCCAGAATATTTCAGGGAAATATCAACTATCTGAGATTCTACCAAGCAGAAAAGCGCAGATTTACATCGTTTACGAGTTCTTTTGGAACATCCAACCTTGTGGGAACGTCTATATCCGCTTCCGGGTTCAGATATCGCCATAGAAACATAAACAACAAGGCCGGGTCGTACTGGTCGGCGGAAGAGAAAGATACGTTTTTCGAGCTTCTGGCGCGATACTCGATCCATAGAGCCGACCTGATCCACGAAAACCTGCCATCCAAATCGATTTCGTCTATTTTGGGCTACTACAAGCTTCTGAAACGCGAATTACAGCAGTACAAGCGGCATAAACGACGACTTTTGAGACTCGTTTCGTACGACGAGATCCCGGTCTGCCACGAGATGAGTGAGGAGTTCATCGAGATGGAGGAGTCACAGGCCTTTTTGCTCAAGTCTGTTTCCAATATGCGCGACTCGGACTCCAATTTCAGGTTCAAAAAGACACATCCTGGACTGAACGACCAGGATTTGGTAGACTACGATCGCATGAACGAGATGTCCAACGCGGTTTTTGTGAACAATGAGCTGCTGGACCCAGTGGACGGAATGAAACGCAAGCTGTCCAAGCCGCTGGTTCTTGACGAGGAATCTAAATTTGTTCTACGTCAAATTGTCAAGAATATGACCTACGAGATCATTCTGACCGTTCTGGAGAACAAAGTCGAGAACGAACAGGACATGACGTTTGTGGAAGACGATATCTACCGTGCGCTGGCTCAGATGAAGGTCTCGAGACCGATTAAATTAAAAGACTATTGGTCGAATATTGGATGGAGACTCGGACTGGACGTTGGACGAAAACTACCGTCTGGAACACAGAGACTTGACAAACTGACACCATACGCTGTCAACGACCAGGACACGCCGCAGAAGTCAATAGAGAGCATTGTTGTTGATCAGGACGGCGACCAGATCGAGCAAGTGATGGACGGATCGATGCCGTTTGAGAGCGCGATTCTGAAACCAACGCCCGTCGAGTCGCTCGACGATCGCACACCGCATGTAGAGCAGGACGACCAGATCCTGGACCAGCTCGCCGAACTCGAGTCTGCCCTGCTGGAAAGGAAAGACCGCGAGGAGTCGATCAAGTACGAAAACCAGCTCCTGCACTATTTGAGCTGTCGAGAAGATCAAATCATGCTCAACGACGCGGAGCTGGTGAACAAGTACATTGACGCCAAATACCAATCCCCTGAAACCAACTTGGAGCAACCGAACTTGCCCCAACATGCCAATATCACCAACGAGATGCTATTTCTGCACACCTTTGATTATGCAACATATAATGACACCGATTGAACGAACCATGCTCACAGATCCTCTGCCTCCTCGGCAAGACCCTTTTCGAAGATCTCCTTACCTGTAAGTCGACCTTGATGGACCAACTTGAATCTCTCGGCGAGTCTGGTGTCGATACCCATTTCTGCACGGAACTTGGCTCTCCACTGGGCGAAATTCTCCTTTGTGAGTTTAGTTCCCGCAAACTTCTTCTGTTCCTCGTATTCTCTTGCCTGTCGTTCTTGTTCGACCATTTTTTCCTTTGCGGCCACTTTCTCTTGGAATAGAGTCTCTGCTTCGTCTTTTAATAGCGACGTGAGAGTGAAAACGCTGGGCATCCCCACGTTTTCCAGCGCATTACTATTCAACGACTCTTCCAGGTCCAACAGATCGTCTTTGTCGAGCTCCACGGACTCTTCCACGTTCAAAGACTCCTCTGGAACGTCGTCACTGGTCTTTTCCAGCCGCAGCTGTGGAACCACTTCAGGATATGTTTCTGGATACCGAACATTCAGAATTAGCGTGTGTTTGCGCTCAGTGTTTGTGTCCAGCAACAATGAAACACGGAAACTCGTTTCCGATACTATTTCCAGCTCGTCGGGATAGATCGACTGGAGGATTTCGATCTCCTGTTTTTGCTCTTCGAGATAGTCCATTGAAGAAAAAAAATTATTTCACATTTTTCTTTATAGCAGGTTCCATGTCTTTGCAGCAGCTGATTGTGGAATCGTCGCAGCTATTGGAGAACCAGCAGCCCGAACAGGCGGTGGAGCTTTTGCGGTCGAAACTGGACCAGTTTGGAGAGTCGCCGTTGTATCTACAAACGATAGGAGAAGCTTACTTGGAGAACGGAGACGTTGAGAATGCTTATCAAGTACTTAAAAAAGCGTGCGAGCTAGACCCAAATGCCAATGAGGGAGTGGAGAAGTTCTTGTATCTGGGACAGATTGTTGGTGGTCGGGACGGAGTGCAGTTTCTGGAAATAGGAGTGAAAAAACTATTATCGCAACTGGAGCTGGTTCAATCGGAATCCTCACAGCCCTTGGACGAAAGTACTCAACTGTTATTTGCAGCATATACAGAGCCAGACAAGGTTCAGGAGTACCTTTTGAAAAAATTGAATCAGGGTCTTTTTGGCATAATAGAGATCTGGATGACCGATCTGTGCATGGAGCCCGAGGCCGAGGAAGAATGCGAGAAATGTATCCAGCTGGCTTTGAGTCTGGACGAGACCAACGGAGAGTCGTGGTCGCTCTTGGCGAGTATCCGTATTTCGCAGCAAAAGACCCAGGATGCGCGCGACGCTGTGAAGAAAGCATGGGACTTGTTTGAGAGCAAAAAGACAGTGTTGGAGGACGCGGCAGACCCAGAAACTCAGATGGAGTATATAGATTTGTGCCAGCCGCTCATAACTCTGGCCAAATATGCCATCGAGACCGGGTTATTGGAGCTCGCGACCACGATCGCGTCCTCGGTGCAGGATATCAACGAGCAGAGCGTCGAGAGTTTCTATTTGGAAGGGTTTGGATACCTGTTGATTGCGAAACGCAACCAGAACGGTGTTTCTGAACAGGATGGAGATAAAGTTGCCGTTGCGTTTGACGAGTATCCATTGAAGCAAGCCGACGATACGGTGAAGGAGGCCCGGCTGGCGTTGACCGAGGCATACAAGCTATTACAAGTGGACAGTGTTGTTGCCGAGACAGATGCTGATTTGGTCGACACGGTGATGGGTCTTGTGACCGAGCTGGGCGGTCCTCTTTTCGAAAAGGCCAGCAAGGATGAGGTCGATCTGGATGATCTGGTGGACGAGGAGTGATCACGTAGACGTTTGTGGATCGTTAATAGTTTCCGAGCCCGATTCGGAATGCTTATCTGTTATTTTCATCTCGTCTAGTTCTTGTAAGATTTCAGGTAGAAAGGGCTTAGCTTCTTGGGATTCCAGCTCTTCGTCGTCCAAGATCCGCACGTACTCGGACGGAACGAGTCCTGTTTTGCCTGTTTCTGGTTCCTGGGCCACCAGCCACCCTTCGCCGTACTCGTAGTTGATGAATATGATTTGATCTTGCTTTAGCTCTAGTTCATTTTCGTTCTCTGGTTCAAACGGATAAAGAGCAACGGCGCGCACCGTTTCGTCCACCGGGTCGAGGTATTCGTCGGTGATCCCGTAGTGCAGCGGGTGGTTCGTGTCGTACGCAAAATCCTTCACGGACACGGACGATAGTAGCGACATGGATAAGTTACACGGTTGAGAAAAAAATATTTCAGCTAAATTTCCTGTATTATGACCACTGCCCACCGCCCCACTTTTGACCACGCGCGCGGGCGCGACAATGTTCGTTCGAGCATCAAACATAAGCGCGCACTGCCAGCGCACATGGCCATGAAGTACAGACGCCAGAAACAGGCCGTGGGCGACGACTGGGACGACGTTACTGAGCACGACGTGAGCAGGCAGGACGTTGCGGACCTCAAACAGGAGATCGAGGGGTCTTTGGACGACGAGGCCGAGCGCAGCAGACAGTTGCTGATTGAAACAAAAGACCTGGACACAGATAGCGAGAGCGACGCGCAGGCGGAGTCGGAGGACGAAGAAGAGTCGGAAGACGACGAAGAGTCTGATGAGGACGAAGAATTGCTTAAAGAGCTCGAAAAGATCAAAAAGGAGAAAGAGGCACGGCTGGAGAAACAAAAAGAAGACGAGCTCGCACGAAAAGCAGCTAATTCAAACCCGCTTGTCCAGTTTGACCAAGGAGTCCAAAAATCCTGGCGATCCACCACTTTTAGAAGGACAGAAAAGTCTCAGAAAAAAGGAGAGTTCGTCAACGACATGCTCAGAAGCGAGTTCCATAAACGGTTCATGGACAAGTATGTGAAATGATCGATTTTTATCTATAAATTATTGTCTTGCTCTGCGCCAAAGAGCAGCCAAAACCTGCTTGAAAAACGGCCAGCCGTTGTCGCTGCGAACTGCGTCGCCGTTCTCCTCGAGTCTTCTGAGAAGATACTCCTTGGTTTCCTTTGGAGGACCCCATGGAACGTACTTGATCACGTTCTTGGCCTGATAGTTGTTCATCAGCTCAAAAGTCACGTTGTCGGCCATTCCCAACAGCTGTCCCAGGACAACGTTTGACCGCACACGTAGGTTGCAGTTTTTCAGCAGCTCGGTGGCCTTGATTTGAGACTCTCTGTTGTGAGACGCAACCACCAAATGGCCCACTGTTGGGGCCGAAGACCCCATGTTGGCCAGAGCAGATGCTATGCCTTGGTTATAATTGAGGTCTGTTTCCTCTTTGGTTGCGAAAATGACGTTTCTGTCAGGCTCCGAGTGGATGTAAGCTCCACGAACAAGCTTCCATCCCAACAAGTATCCGCCTTCTTTAGCTAATTTATCTTCTTCCGCCAAAACCTTGCTCGAGTCCTGTAAATACATCTGCACCGTTCCAACAACAGAAACTTTGCCAATGTTGAATTCTCTGAACAGATCGCGTTGTAAACGGTAAACTCCCTGTTGTAGGTCGTTCCGCTCGGCGTCGATTACAGCAACCACAAACGGAGCCACCCGCGAAGGATACTGCTTTGCCAGAGCCTCGTTGGACTCCAGCACCGTGCGACAGATGTCACGGCAGTTCGACAGCAGTTGCTGGTACTGCGGCTCGTACTTCTCGTTGTTGTAGTTCTTGAGCACCTCTGCGGCGTTGTCTATGAGTCCAGTAGGTTTCAAGGCAACGTAGCCCGGAGGAAGAGTGTTGACGTCTGTTTTTGACAGCATTTTTTGAGTGTGCGGCACTAAGACCCCGGTGACCGAGTCCTGGGTCATCTGGACAATCTGACTGACGGGAACAGACACCTGGGCACCGTCGCAGGCCTCAATCGTCAGCGACAGCATCATGTTGAGGATTCCGCGCTGACTCAAACGGTCTCCAGTTTGCAAAACCTGGGGGATGTTATCTCCGCCGCAATAGTTGCGATAAACAAACAACTTGATCAGCCACAACGGCGTGTACGGGAAAATGGCAATCACCATCTTCAAAGTGGTCTTGGACAAGGTTGCGAGTCCAATCACGCCATAACCCAATAGTTCCTGGGTGGTGACTCCGTCTAGATAAGACTGTTGCGGAGGGTGGGTGCGACGCACTGTAGCTAGCGGTCGAGCATAAGAACGTAGAATCGGTGTGAAGCGGGACACACGCGGACCCAAAGTATGTAATCTGAGCATTGTAAGAGGGAAAAACAGGCGACGCCCACCTGTATTTATACAATTAATGGTAACAAGGACATTTTACCTACAAGGAATGTATCAGCGAGAATTTTAGATCTCGCTAAGTGTTCCCGAATTTTTTCTCCATCTTGAAATCGATAAGAGTTTCCTGAAAATGACCAGATTAATTAAATTGTCTCATACATAATACACAAACACAAACGCCAAACATGGGCTGATCTCAGTTGTTGATGGCCGCACAGTAGGCAATCGACCAGGTCTTGGACATTCCGTTGTCCAAGTAGTCGGTGGAGAAACTGGATCCACTGAAGAAGTTGTATGCAGTGGATGGATCGTACAATGCAACGTTAAGCATCAAAATACCCTTCCATCCGCTGGTGATACTGTCGATTTTCGAGCTCAGAACAGCCTCCCATTCTTCCTTGACGAAAGTAGGACCTCTGATCAAAGAAGAAACAGGAGTGATTGGAATCATGTGAATACCATGGATGTACTCGATGTTGGTTCCAAAATAGGTGGTGTGAGCAATCTTGTTCTCGAACCAAATACCACTGCAGTAGTTCTTGATGTACTTGGATGGCATCACCGTGTTGTCCTGGGTGTACAGGAAGTAGGTGTTGAGGGATCTCTTGGTGATGGCAAGCATCAGGTCGGCTCTGTTGGACATGTTGGAGTCGTTGATGGCCTGGGCCCAGATCTTCATACCGTAAGCAAAATTGTAGTCCTCACTGCTACTTTCCTCGTCCTTTCCATCGGCGTAGACGGTAATTCCGTGGGCAATGGAGTGGCCCAAATAAAAGTCAAAGTTTCTGAACACAGGGAAGTAGGTGTCGTCGCTGGAAGGATTGGCCACGTCTCTCACAAGAGTGTTGACCCAGTCCTTAACAGAGTCGATCCACGATCCGCCCAAGTCGGAGTCCACAAGAGCACAGATGGCAGCAGCATGGATGTGGTAGCCGTAGTGGAAATGGTGGTCGTTGTAGAAAGCGTTACCGTAATCCACAGAAGTATCACCTTTGGACATACCACCGGTGGAGCAGATTCCACCCCAGTTTGTCTCGTAGCACAATGGGTTTTGCTGCGAGTTGCCGCTGAACCGTTCAATTGCTTTTTTCAAAGAGGCCAAAAGAGTTTTGGTTTTGTCGCTGTCCTTTAGCACGTAGTGAAGCACATAAAGAACGTAGGCGTACTTGTCCAGGATCTTTCCGGCCGTGTACATGGAGTCAACGTCGGAATAAGAGTAGACGTCGTTTCCGTACTCGTCGGCAGCAGCAGACTTGATGGCGCTGAGCTCGGAGTCGGAGTAGTTTGGCGAGGAGAAGCCGGAGATGGAGCTCCATGGGTCCTTACCAATGGCTGTGGTCAACGACTCGGACATCTCAAACTTGTTGGTCAAGTAGGCAGTCATGGAACCGTGGACGGTGTCGTCCAGAGTGGCCGAGGTCTTGGTATCGGACGTGGTGGAGGTGAAGGAAGCCGCCTGGTGAGGCATGGCATACATGATGGTGGTGTTACTGTTGGAGGAGCCAGAGGTGGCATACTCGAATGCGTAGGTGGCAGTGGAGCCGGAGATCGAGGCCGACAACGTTGAAGAGGTCGGATAGCAACCAGCAGCCTTGTCGTAGGAGCTGTCATCTCCACAAGCAATCTGGATCACACAGTTGTTGATGGAATTTGAGCCAACGATGGTGTTGGTGTCTTTCAAAGCGAAAGAACATGTTTGGTTGTCAGTGAACGTCACGTACATGACCCAAGTGGCACCGTCGTTCAAGACAATCTTGTACTTGTCTGTTCCGGTTCTTGGGGCAGTGTCACCGTTGACAGACTTGATTCCAACTCCCGAGTGGAGTTCTGGGATCAGGTCGTTATAAACAGCAGAGACAAATCCCATACCTTGGACGAGCGAAGCGGTCAACGAGCCAGCGCTCTTGGAAGCAATGGTCACATCGATGGACATTTTCTTCAAATTGGCCAGCTTGATGGAAGTTCCGTCGTCAAAGTCGGTGGAGCCAAGACAAAGACAAATGTTTCCAGATGGAGCGTAGAAATAAGAAGCTGCTCCTTCTGTGTCTGTGTCTCCGTAGATTCTTTGTGCTGCAGTCTGATGAGACACTGCGAGTCCCTGGTAGCTCGTTTTGGTGGAGTACCAAATCGAATATGGATGTGTGAAAACGTATGAGGTCTGGTCATCCAGAGTCAGGTTTCCCCAAAAGTTATTTGTCTGCACGGCACCATTTTTGGTCACCCCTGAAGGAACAGAAACCGTGGAAGCCTGCTGTGAAAACGACGAGCTTGGCTTGGAGGTGGAGATGGCCTTAAAGATATCGCCGGAAGTCTCGCTGGAAGCTTGGACAGACATTTTTTGAGTGTTGGAGAAAGTAGCTCTGGTATTGATAGCAAATGCCCAAAGCAATGAGAGAAGAAAGAAGTGGTAGAAATGTTGTGGTATGTCATGGCGTTTAAATATGCTGCGAGGAGAACTAAGCCCCATACATTTTAAATCTGGGGTCGTGGGGGTCGTTAGATGGGGCACGTTTGTTTAGTAGTCCAGCTTGGGAACGAACTCGGGCACGGACCGGTGAACCCGTTTAGCAGAACGCACCTCGGCATTTGATATCGTGTCTGGCGGCGGCAAATATCCTTGATTAGTGGCCTGAGGCAGCTGCGTCGGCAACTGGTCCTGGCCCGCGTTAGTGTCCAATTGGGCGGCTATCGTTGCAACGGCGCTAGGCGTCGGCCGTTTCTGTTTTCGAGGCGGTGAGTTGACCAAAAACGCTCTCGGGAGATTTTTCAGCATCTCCAGCTCGTTCGCTCCAAGCTGGATCAGGTCAAACCGGCCTTTTTCGCGATTACGGAGCTCTGCTTCCTTCTCCTTAACGTCACTTGCAAGCCGCCGCTCCAGCAGCAGCCGCTCGTAGTTCTGGCGCGTGCTCACGTCCTTCGACGTGGCGGCTTGGATTAGCGCGCGATTGCGCAATGCTATGATTTTTGACGCATTGGCCTCAAAGTCCAGTGCCATCAAGTGCTCTAATTAATCTTGATTTTTTTTTTTCAAGCTGATAATAAATTTTAGAGACACCCCCACCTTGTTTTAGTGTCCATGAAATTCGCCGCTCTTATCTCCGGTGGTAAGGACTCCTTCTTCAATGTTCTCCATTGTCTTGCAAACGACCACGAGCTCGTGTGTCTAGCCAACCTGCACCCTCCTCCGTCAGACTCCCACGAAATGGACTCTTTCATGTACCAAACGGTAGGCTTTGATGTCGTGCCCTACTATGCTGAGTGCACAGGGAAGCCACTGTACAGACAGGTAATTAAGGGATCCTCGAATAACCAGAAGCTCGAGTACGAACAAACGCAGGACGACGAAACAGAAGATTTGTACGAGCTTCTCAAGGTCGTGAAGGAACATCACCCCGATGTCGAGGCTATCAGTGTTGGGGCCATTCTTTCGTCGTACCAGCGCACACGGGTGGAGGATGTTTGCAGTAGACTCGGCCTCACCGCGCTGGCGTATCTCTGGCAGCGGGATCAGGAGGAGCTGATGGGAGAAATGGTGGACTCAGATATGGAAGCCAGACTGATCAAAGTCGCCGCAATCGGATTAAACGACTCCCACCTCGGAAAAACCTTGCAGGAGATGTACCCAGTCTTGAAAAACTTGAATAGAAAGTTTGGTGTTCATGTGTGTGGGGAGGGTGGGGAGTTTGAGTCTTTGGTGTTTGATGCCCCATTTTTCACAAAGGGCAAGCTCCAGATAGTGGATAAACAGATCGTCAGACACACAAACGACGAGATCTGGTACCTCAAACTGAAGGTGCAGCTTGTGGAAAAATCCAGCGGAGGCAAATGCAACGTTGTTCAACCCCCACTGTTGCATGATCCGTTTGATCAGATCAGTCTGCAACCTTTAATCAAAAAGACCGAGTCCTTGTCTCATACTCCACACACGAAAGTCTGGGAACAAAACAGGGGCAAAAATTATGGACGTCTACGCTTCAACAACATCACTTCCACGGAACCCACCCTTGAAGGTCAAGTCACCCACATTTTTTCCCAATTGGAAAGGTTTCTCTCAGAGTCAAAGTTACATCCCGCAAACATCCAATCTTCGTCGCTGTTGGTGAGCGACATGTCCAACTTTGCACAAATCAACAAGATATATCAAACCTTCTTCACCAAACCATTACCCCCAGCAAGAGTCTGCGTCGAAACAAACCTTCCGAAGGAGTGTTTTGCTCAACTTTCTGTAGAGATCTTGGACGATCTCCATTTCAAAAAAGGACTGCACGTTCAAGGCCGCTCTTATTGGGCACCTTCAAATATCGGCCCGTACTCGCAATCTATCGCAGATACAAGAACATACCTTGCCCATATCAGCGGCCAGATCCCTCTTATTCCTCGTGACATGACCCCGTGTAAGGATGTTACTACACAATCGGTACTGGCATTACAGCATTTCGAGCACGTGAAGGAGGTAATTGGCAGCCCAACCAACATCTTCATCTGCTGCTTTGTGACGAGCCCAGCAACAGTCCCGCTCGTGACAGAAACATACAGACAGTACATTGGGCTGCAACGTGACCGAGATCACGTGAAAGAACTGGTGACCGTTGTTGTTGGAGCTTTGCCGCGGGGGGTTGATGTTGAATGGGGAGGGATCACTGTGAATGAGGCCGTGGGAGATTACGAGGAAGCCCAGATTGCATTTGGGAAGCCGTTGGAGTACAAGGAGGACCGCCACTACAAGATATTTGCTGGGCCCGATCTGTACCGCGAGGAATTCCCAGAAAGCTACGAGTTTGTTCCTGTTGAGCAAGTGTTTGACAGTGAAGCGCGTGAACAACCATATGCGGTGGTGGAGCTTGTTTGAAGCGGTACGTTGCAACCACTAGAAGGCACGCGGTCACTCGGGCCACAACCCTCACCGAGTTCACGTGACCACACACTCCACCTCGCACCAGAGTCGCGGAAAAAATTTGGTGGAGCGAGTGTGGATTCGCTGGAGCGCGAAGAGATTAGTCACAGATATTTCTTTTCAGCTATAGAGTTATTACAACATGTCGACCAGAGCTCCAAAGTGGTACGAGTCTGAGGACGTTCCTGTTCCAAAGCAAACCAGAAAGTCTGCTAGACCTCAAAAGTTGAGAGCTTCTCTCGTTCCAGGCACTGTTCTGATTCTCCTTGCCGGAAGATTCAGAGGTAAGAGAGTTGTCTACTTGAAGAACCTTGAGGACAACACTCTTCTTGTGTCGGGACCGTTCAAGGTGAACGGTGTTCCACTCAGAAGAGTCAACGCCAGATACGTCATTGCCACTTCTACCAAGGTTTCTCTTGAAGACCTTGACTTGAAGAAGTTCACTGTGAGCTACTTTGCCAGAGAGAAGACCAGCTCCAAGAAATCCGAGGGAGAGTTCTTTGGTGAGGGAACCAAGAAGGAGATCAAGAGTGAGAGAATCGAGGACCAGAAGGTTGTCGACAAGGCTTTGATCTCTGAGATTAAGAAAACCCCATACTTGAAACAATACTTGGCTTCCACCTTTTCCTTGAAGAGCGGTGACAAGCCTCACGCCATGAAGTTTTAGAGCCCATCACCGCCATCGCCCTGTTTGTCCATCAACTCCAAGTCCTACAGGGACCTTCCGTATTACAATAATTATGTGATAGTTAATATTGGTGTAGAGATGTAAATACCTAGAGTGTTATTTTTTTTTTGACCCTCCCTCAATTCAATGTCCTTAAAGACAAAGTATAGGGTCGATCAGTCTGCCGCGGCTGTGTTGCCCTATGATACCATCTACAATATTGAGATCGGCGGCAAGCTGTTTCGGCTGAGTGGGGCGTCGCTTTCGTCTGATTCGCCGTCCTATTTTACTAGTTTTTTTAGTCATCCCGAAAATGAAACCAAAACATTGACTGTTGACCGGTCTTCAGAGGTGTTTGCGAAGATAGCCACCCATCTTCAAGGCTATGCTATTAGGCCGACCGATGAGTACGATCTGATGAGATTGTATGCGGACGCCAGCTATTTCAATCTACCCAAATTGAGCAAACAGCTTGCAGAGGACTTCTATTACGTCAATGTTGGTGGTCGGAGCTTCAATTTCCCACAGAGTCTTGTCAAAGGCGAAGGAAACACGCCCAATTACTTTCATTTTGCATTCGGAACCTGTTTGCGGAACCCGTATAGCATTTCGGAGCTCAAAGACTTGTTGAGGCCGCCAGCAATGCTTCCAATTGTGGTCGATCGGAGCGCCTCGTTGTTTGCAGATCTGTTGGATGCTTTGTGGACAGAGAATTACAAAGTTCGTGATGAGACCCATCGCGAGCAATTGCTTGCGGAGTGTCGGTATTTCCGTTTTTTTGCACTGGAGCAGAAACTGATTGCGCACCAGATAGAACTCAATCCGTTCACCAACGAGGAAGAAATACTTATTATGCTTCCCGACGTGAAGAAGATTGGACTCAGCTACGACTCGAACGATAAGGCAATCTACAGACGGCCTTTTGTCGACTCCAAGGATCGCACTTTGGTGCTACAGATTGATTCGGAAGAATTAAGTTTATTGATCCACACAAAGCTGTCTTTCTTGAGCGCTTTAGCCACGGGAAACACCTTGAAACGATTAAAGGCGTTCTTCGGACCGCTGACCAAACCACTCTGCGACTCGGAAGTCAAAGAAGACGGCACGGTTGTGGAGAAAATGCGACTCTATGTGAAGATGGAGAATTGTACATTCACTTTGAATGGACTCGAAACCAAGAAAAACTGGTATGAAGATTTCTTTCTCAAGGACGATAAGCAGCCAATGGTAGAGGGAGACGTCATCAATGTCAAGCTTCTAAAGTCGCAGTGGACAATTCAGCTTCAAAATAGTAAACGACTCTGGTTCACAGGACTTCTTGCAGATGGAGTTCTCGACAGCGCCTCGTACAACCGTCGCCGCGGATTCATATGACTTTGTTAGTGTTCACTTCTCTTGCGCAATTGATTCACGGAGAACGATGCAAACAGATCGCCTTTCTCGTTCCATTCCACGTCGTTGCAACCATAAACCTCAGTGAGTTCCTTGTGCTCCCAGTTTTCAAGATTGTATTCGAGCAAACAGTTTTCGTCACCCTTCACGCTTAATATAAGACGATTGTTGTTTGCAGCGCCACAGATGATCGTGCTGGAAACACTCACGGACTTGTCCAATGCCAGCTTTCCATCGGCAGAGACAGAAACCACAAAGAAGGCGGCTAGTCTGTCAAACAGAACAACCAGCTTGTTCAGTTTAGGAACCTGGATCAACTGGGAAACGGCGTATTCCATCAGATCGCCCTCCTCGTTCTGGAACCGCGAGGGAGCCAGGTTCTCAGCGGTGAGGAACGGCTCGATGTCGGCAGAGTAGTCAAACTTGTCGACCAAGCTTCCTTCTTGCCAGTTCCACGAACAAATGAATTTGTCTCCTCCTGCACTAATTAGGACCTTGTTGTCGCACCATTGTGGAGCCACAATCGACGAGATGAACTCTTCGTGCTCGAACAGCCAGTTCTCGATCACATAGCTTTTAGGAAATTGACTGATTCTAATATGCTCGTCTCTGTCTGTAGTGATGACAAACTCCTTGCCCGAGCCGTTTCCAATATTAAGAACCGACGTGAGCATCGACACGTGTCCGAGGACCGGCACCAGGTCTTTCTCGGAGACGATTTCCGGGTCCAGAGTGTCGACAGAGTACACATCTCCAAATTTGTCACCAACCAGGATTTTTGTATCGTCGAGCGACGTGGTGATCGAACATGTTCTCTTAGGAAGCGGTTGGCGCTTCACCTCTTTCAAATGGCCGTCGATGATCTCGAAAACAACAACAGCCTTGTCTGTATCGGTGGTGAGGATCAGGTATTTCTCATTTCTGCTCAATTGGATATCTCTAATGTAACAGATTTTGGCTGGAGCTCCTGCGCCAGGAGTTGGAACTTTGGGAGGTCTGTGGTCGGTGGAGCCCGATTCCTTGACCTCTTGCTCGTATCTCTGGATACGGGCCTCGTACTCCTTAATTAGCGAATAGTTAGGATCAACAGTATCGACCCAGGAATCAACCAATTTCCAGCTTTCAGGTCCGCTGAAAACATAAACTTTGTTTCCTGCAGCAGCAAACAACAAACTGGCGTCCGAGTTGAGCAAGACCTTCTGAAATGGATGCTTCATGACTAGTTCTGTATGGTTTACCAGGGTTGAATTTTTCAGGAATTTTTTTTGCGTCGATCGGCGTGGAAAATTTTTCGAACGTCTAATCTGTTATCTGATAGCCAATTCAATCACCATGGAGTTGTCACACCCTTTAATCAAAGATGGCTGGTTCAGAGAAGAGAGCGAGGAATTCTTTCCCGGCCAGGCCATGAGACTGCGTGTGGAGAAGATCCTTCACGCTGAGCGGTCCAAATTCCAGGACGTTCTGGTGTTCAAATCGACCGACTTTGGTAATGTCCTGGTTCTGGACGGAATCATTCAGGTTACAGAGAGAGACGAGTTTGCATACCAAGAGATGATCACCCATGTTCCTATGTTTGCTCACCCGAGCCCAAAGAAAGTGCTGGTGATCGGTGGAGGAGACGGCGGGGTGCTCCGTGAGGTTTTGAAGCACGATTGCGTCGAAAAGGCCACATTGGTGGAGATCGACGAGTCTGTGATCAATCTGTCGAGAAAGTATTTGCCAAAGATGTCCCATGCACTGGACCACGAGAAAGTGCAGGTTGTTCTAGCCGATGGATTCGAGTTTCTGAAAAATACGGCTGCCAAACACGAGTCCGAGAAATACGACATCATCATTACGGATTCGTCCGACCCAGAAGGTCCAGCTGAAGCATTCTTCCAGAAACAGTATTTTGAGTTGCTCTATAATGCGCTGAACGCGAACGGAATGGTCATTTCTATGGCTTCCGAGAACATTTGGCTCAATATTGACAAATTGAAAACACTTAAGGATATTTGCAGCCAGGTGTTTTCCGTCACCGAATGTTGCTATTGCACCATTCCTACATACACTTCTGGCCAGATTGCGCTCATGTGTTGCTCCAAAAACCCACAATTGAAGGTGTCTGTGCCTCACCGACACGAGTCACGTGACCGGGAATCAGAGCTGTTCAGATACTACAACAATGCCATTCATGGAGCCAGTTTTGTGCTTCCGAGATGGGCGGCAGACAAGCTTAATTAGCGCGTATATATTTAGAAACCGAATATGTCGTCGATGGTTTTCCGGGACTTCTTCTTTTGCTTTTGTTTGTGCTTTTTCGGAGGCGGGTTGTCAATAGTAGTCAGTTCTGCAGGGGAAATCAATTCTCCAAGATCTTGGGAATTCTGCTCGGGCAGAATATCCGATGACTTTTCATGCGTTGTGGTTCGCATTTGGAGCAGGATCTTTCTGATCCGGGCGATGGATGCAATCAAAGTAAACCCCAGAGCAATGTATTGGCCCAGCTCTATAATACTGTAGAATCTATAGTAGCATGCACCCAGAACGTGATCTAGCAAGTAATCGATGACCGATTGGAGCTGGCCGGATTTCAGTTTCAACAGAGAATCTGCTTGTGTGGGGCTCAGATTGCGTTTGCGGAATTTGGGTGTGTGCGATTTGGAGAATTTTAGCGAGGTGAGTTGGTTTTTTCCGGAAATCTCGTCAATGTCTAGCAAGAGCTGTAAAATAGTGCGTAAACGACGATGTAGAATGTTGAAATGCTTCCACCAGACAGCTGATCGGTGCTGGTTCGAGTCCCGATGGTAGATCAGGTGGATGATCTGGTACTCGTTGAGCAAAGCCGCTTCCATCGTTCCTGATCCTGACAAAAAAAATGCCTAGAATTCTTGCAAAAATTGCCGGCTTACGTAAAAAACACGAACGCGCAGACAATGGTGGCTCGCATTCTCCAAAACAAAAATACAATGCACCCCTTACCGTGTTGGCGCGAAGAATGTCTTTGGCGTTCTCGACGCATTCCAGCACGAAGGGACTATATATACCAAAGGGTCTGGAAATATACTTCCTTCCACAGATTTATCTCACTATAGTCATTCATTATGCAATTCTCTAAGATTGTCCTCGCTTCTATCCTTGCCGCTCTCGTTAAGGCTGATGAGCTCGTTGGTGAGATCGCTGACGGCCAGATCCAGGCTTCCACCGGAACCGAAGGTGCCGCCACTTCTCCAGCTGAGACCACTCCAACTGCCACCACTCCAGCTGCCACTACTCCAGCTGAGACCACTCCGGCCGAGACCACTCCAGCTGAGAGCACTGCTGCTGAGACCAGCTCTACTCCAGCAAACGCAGCAACCACCTCTGCTTCCAGCGCTGCTGCCGAGACCACTACTCCAGCCACAGCTAGCACCGTCGAGTCTGACGCTTACGTGACCACCACGGCCACCAACTACACCACCTACTGCCCAGAGAGCTCTGAAGCCGCTACTGCTTCCGAGACCACTCCAGCAGCCACCACCACTCCAGCTACTTCGAGCTCCAACGAGACCGAGACCTTGTACGTGTTGAGCACCGTCACCTCTACCGCTTACGGTACTGAGACCGTGTACACCACCTACTGCCCAGTTTCCACTAGCGAGGCTGCTACCGGAACTCCAGTTCCAGCCACTTCTAGCACTCCTGCCACCGGTGCTACTACCGGCGCTACTGAGACCACTCCAGCTACTGGTGCTACCACTGGTGCCACCGAGACTACTCCAGCCACTGGTGCTACCACCTCTCCAGCCACCGGCGCAGGAACTAGCTCCTCGGCTGAGGGAACCTCGTACGTCGATGAGACCACCACTCCTGTCGTTACCACCTCCAAGGATAACACCCAGACCACCTTCGATTACGTCACTTCATACACCACTGGCTCTACTAAGCCAAGCTCTTCCGCTTTCTCTGCATCTAACTCTACCAGCTCTGGTGTGGAAACCTACGAAGCTGCCGGTGCTAAATTGATGGTCGGATCCGGTGCCGTCGGAGTTGCTGCCATGGCCCTCCTTTTCTAAATGTATATCAATGAATGTAATATTCTCTCGAAAGCAATTTTTCCATTATCATCTATTCAACTCGCTCCCCCGGTTATTTAAAAAAACTATCGGTCGGCCGTCAAATCGGCACACCGATAAAATCCAAAAAATATAAATACCCCCCCCCCCCCATTTCACTCACATATTTCTCATCAATCATTATGAGAGCTAATATCCTTACATCTCTTGTGCTTGCTTTGGGAAGCATGGCATTGCCAGTTCCCAAGGCAGGCTACCACGATGTCGAAACTGCTGCTAGAGTTGCTAGAACATTGGTGAACAGAGAATCTCTTGCCAACCTGGCTACACTCCAAAAGAGTGATGAGTTCCCTGTCTCCTTCATGGAGTACTACTCCGACTGTGACAAGGACGGTCAACCAATCTTCTTGATTGTTGACATCTCCTCGTCCAACAAAAATATCAAGGACGGATCCAAGGTGTCCCTTTCTGTCAGAGTGGGAGATCACCCAATTTCTGATCACGTGAACCCACATTATATCGGTGGAAGAGTCCGTTCCCCAGCTGGATCTCCAAGAGTTAACCTTAAGGGTTCTTTTGTTCCTATCAACGGATCCCTCGAGCTTGACACCTGTTTCGCCGAGAGACACCACGATGCTCCGGCCTGGTACCCAGGATCTCCAATCCATGCTACCTCTTGGGCTAAATTCGAGGTCGAAGATGTCTACCTTGTTGGTGGATTTGGTGATATCGCATACATTGGCGAGATCCCTGTCGACTTGTACTTGAACGCTACCACATTTGATGACGAGGAAGCCAAGGAATTCTCCGAACTCTTTGAGCTTTATGACGCTCCAGAATCCGAAGACGGATTACTCACCACTCTTTACAACGCATTCACCAACGCTTTCGACTGGAAAGACGAGGGAAAGAAGCAAAAGAAGTACTGGAAACACTTCGGTAAGGATCAAAAGAAGAAGTGGGCTCCAAAAGACCCAGAAGACCCAGAAGACCCAGAGGACGAGGAGCTTGATGTCGCTGAAGTGACTGAGGATCCAGACTACTGGAAGCGTTTTGGTAAAGACCAAAAGAAATACTGGAAACACTACGGTAAGGACCAGAAGAAGAAGTGGACTCCAAAGACCCCAGAAGATGATGACGACGAAGTTCTGATCGAGGCCGAGATTGAAGACCCAGACTACTGGAAACATTATGGTAAGGACCAGAAGAAATACTGGAAACACTACGGCAAAGACCAAAAGAAGAAGTGGACTCCAAAGTCTCCAGAAGACGGAGATGACGAGGCCTTGATTGATGCCGAGGTTGAGGACCCAGATTTCTGGAAGCACTACGGTAAGGACCAGAAGAAGTACTGGAAGCATTTTGGTAAGGACCAAAAAAAGAAATGGACTCCAAAGACTCCTGAAGACGGTGACGATGAACTTGAGATCGAAGCTGAATTAGAGGACCCAGACTACTGGAAGCACTACGGAAAAGATCAAAAGAAGTACTGGAAACACTACGGAAAGGATCAAAAGAAGAAGTGGACTCCAGAAGACCCTGAGGATGAGGACTTCGAGGTTGCTGCCGAGACCGAGGACCCAGACTACTGGAAGCGTTTCGGAAAGGACCAGAAGAAGTACTGGAAACATTACGGAAAGGACCAAAAAAAGAAGTGGACCCCAAAGGCTCCTGAGGACGATGACGATGAGGTCTTAATTGAGGCTGAGATTGAAGACCCAGACTACTGGAAACATTATGGTAAGGACCAGAAGAAATACTGGAAACACTATGGTAAGGACCAGAAGAAGAAGTGGGCCCCAAAGACTCCAGAAGATGACGATGAGGAGTTTGAGGTCGAGACCGCGGCTGAGGACCCTGACTACTGGAAGCACTACGGAAAGGAGCAAAGAAAGTACTGGAAGCACTACGGTAAGGAGCAGAGAAAGTACTGGAAGAAACACGGTGACAAGCACGATGATGAGCAAATCGTCTTGATCATTGACAACTAAGGATTTTAACGAGCGAATATATCCAATATACGATCTTTTTATTGAGTACTCCTAATTTGTAAATTCTGTGCGCGAGTGAAAATCGGATTATTTTCGTGAGGCCGGTGCAGAACCGCGTTATCGCGTAATTGCTGGTTTTAGTTACTGGATACGGAGCACAAGAAAAAATACAGTATAAATAAGGCAAAATAACCTTTTTTTTTGACTGAAAATGGCTCCTCGCAGACGTAATCTTGGTATTGCAACGGCTTCGGCAATCGTTGTTGTCGGAGCAGCTTCGTTGGTGGTTTCCACCTATCCACATCTTCTGGAAAAGCTTCCATGGTGGAAAAGTCAAAAGGCCAGTGATAAGACAGAATCTGAGGAAACCAAAGAATCCAAAGAAACCGTTGGCGATTCCACGGTTGTTGTTCCAGCTAAGGATTTGAGCGAAACCGAACTCAAACAGGTTTTGAAAGAGGTGGGTAGCAACTAATTGCGGACTAACTTATTAGAAAGCGATACCTATTCCTGAAGGTGCTACTCTTGATGACCTTATCGCCCTTGCTGATAAGGCTTAGGGTTTTTAAATTGGACAAAGCTTTGAGAATATGACATCGCCTAATTCAGCTATCAAATACACTGTATAATGAATGTTCTACGAAAGGTTGGTTTAATAATACATTTGATATTTAGTTGTAGCTCTCTATTTGACTTTTGAACTCTTTCCAGGTGATTTGTTCATTAGGCAGGTAGCAGAATTTCACTCCAATCTCCTCCACATCTTTGTTTCTGTATTCGTCGTCAAACAGACACATATTGGTCAACGGGATCCCCGTTCTGGAAGACAGTTTACTTAGATGCTTTTTCTTGGAACCTGAACCCCACTCGCTATCATCGATGTACTTTTCTAATCCGTAGAGTTTGATCAATTTCCGAGCCACAGCAGGCGTAGCTGTACGAGACGCGGTCAGGATTTGGATTTTTTGTTCTTTAAGATACTCAAAAATGGGAATCACGTCGGGAAACAGAGTAAGTTCGTACCCATATTTGTCCACCACCGTGTTCTTCTTGGACTTGTGCAACTTGATGGGGGTGGTCACGTGCGTGTCGCACCAACAGGCTGAAGTTAGTAGGCGCTTAATTTGAAAAACTATCTCCCCCACTTACGCCAAAGTGTGTAATCTAGATCAAACACCACCGCTTGTAAAGTCATGTGGGGACAAAAAAAATAACCAAAAAAAAAAAAATCGAATAATCTCCATATGTCTCATTTGGACCGGTTCAAGGTGACTTTGAACGAGTCTTTGGACAAGTCGCAGAAGTGCTTAGACACTTTGGTGGAACTTCGACAAAAGAAGCAGTTGGACGAGCAAGATTTGAAAAACTTGAATGTTTTTCACAAAGAAGCTGTGCTGGATAATGTGGCCTTGATCAATGGTAAAAACGAAATCAAGATCGAATACAACAAGCTTTCAGATGCGTCTCTCAAGAAGCTTCATTCTGGATACCACCAGTTCAATAATATGAAAGTGCAACGGTACAAAGGTCAGAATTTGAAGAACGAGAGTTTAACGGCCGAATTCACCAAACTTATAGCTCAGATCCCAGAGCTGAGACTGGATCCAATTCTGGACGACGAGAGTGACGAGTCAGACCAGGCATTTTTAAAAAGTTTGCGCAAAAATGCGCTGGACATCCGAGTCCAATTCGCAAAGTCAGATTTCAGCGAACTGCTGGACGAAAGCTCTGTTTCTCGTGTTGAACAGATCTTGAAAAACGAAGAAGTGCGAAAATTCCGTTTGGTTCAGCTGAGTGATCGTCATTACGAGAAAGAGCGCACATCGCTACAGAGCATGAGCCTGAAGTGGCAGAATCGTTTGTCCGGACTGACAAAGTTCATCAAGGAGGATTCTCAGAAGATACAGCAGGATATCAACTCTGTTTATGACGAGATACGAGAGACCGATGCATTGGAATTGGAAGAGGACGATGAATTAGATGAGGATGAGGATGAACTTGACGAGGAGAATGAGGAAGAAGACGGCGAAGAAGCGGACGAGGTAGACGCGACCCAAAACGAAGCTGTGGAGGCAGAGCAGGACGAGGAGCTACAAAGCGATGGACATGAAGATGCACTGGGACAGAATGGAGACGACGAGAACGACGTCGCCAGCGACGTTGAAATGACCAACAGTAAACCAGATACACCAGAACAGGGCGGCGCGTCGGACATTGAACTTGAAGAGTAAATAGAAATGGTGTAGCATAGAAATTTAAGCTAATTAATTTTACCCGGCTTGTTTGCTGCAACATTTTTATATTCCAGCTTGTCAGCATGAGTGCCAATTACTTGCTAATTTCCTTGCCAAAGAGCACATCAACAGACGAACGCTCGTTGGGCGGTTGGTTACAGACCAACATCAACGGGGGCTCGGTCGAGGTAGCGAAACACGAGCTTCCGGGCTTCAAAGTTGGCACTTTAGATTCGTTGGTGCTTCAGAGCGAAGAGCTCTCCAAGGTCGATCAGCAGCTCTACGGCTCCATTGGAAAAGTCCTGGATATCATGGCCAGTATCCATGGTGAGAGCGACGTCTCTCATGTTGCAAAACAAAAGGTGGATGGCAAATACGTGGACCAATTTTTGGAGACGTTCCGTTGGAACACTTCTAGATTTAGATTGGACAAGTCAATTGAGGAGCTGATCAAGCTCATTTCCAGTGAAGCATTGAACGTCGACAATGATCTGAGAACCACCTACACCAGCTACAATCAAGCTAAGTCCAATCTAGCTGCAGCACAGAGAAAACAGACTGGAGATTTGTCGGTCAAGTCGTTGCACGACATTGTCCGTGCCGAGCACTTTGTTTTGGACTCCGACCACCTCCAGACCGTTCTTTTGGCTGTTCCAAAGAGTCTGTACGAGAGTTTCATCAACCAGTATGAATCCTTGACGGAATTTGTCGTTCCTAGATCCGCACAAAAAATAGCACAGGATTCTGAGTACTTTTTGTACTCGGTCACTTTATTCAAAAAATACGTGCCTGCTTTCCTTGCCAAAGCTAGAGACGCCAAATGGATTCCAAGAGAGTTCGACTATTCTGAAGAGGTCATTGCCAAGATGAGAGACGAGTACCAGAACGCCTCCAAAGAGGAGCTCACTTTGAAGAACGATCTGCTCAGACTCTCCAAGAGCGCCTACTCGGAAATCGTTTCATCCTGGGCCCACATCAAACTCCTTAGAACGTTTGTTGAGAGTGTTCTTAGATACGGACTGCCACCAGACTTCTACTGCTATCTCTTGAAGCTGCCTCAAAGAGCCATCGAAAAGTCCAAGCAGGAACTGATCCAGAGATTTGGATATCTTGGTGGTAACGCATTTTCCACCGACAAAAAAGGAAACATTGTCACCGACGCTAAGCTGCACGAGTACGCATCGCTGGTCGACCAAGACTACGAGCCATTTGTGTTGTACGAGATCTCTTTGAACTAGATAGATTTAATTATTCCCGACGCGTCGATCGACCACGGTAGATAGATTTTCCTTCGCCTGCGGTGATGATGTCATCATTAAATTTGGTCCCCACCCTTATACGTGGATATATTCTATTTTGCAAAGAATACATTTATTTGCCATGTCGCAGAACTACAAGAAGCTTAGTAGCAGGCCTACGGAGTTTTCTCCGTTTGCAGAGGAAAGCTCGAGCTCAAATCACGACGCCCACTCGATTTCATTAGAGCCTATAAATATCAACACATCAGCAGAAACTAAGACTCAGCAATGGCAACATGAGGAGAACGTTTTTGCAGACCCTGCAGATCCTCCAGACGATGTGTCCACGGCGTACTCACACGTTGATTTTGATATTGAGGTGAAGAGCAAACTGAAAGGTCGCAAGTTGCTCTACTTCACTTCCTTATTTAGCTCCATTGGGGTTTACCTGTTTGGATTCGAACAAGGTGTCATGTCGTTAATTATCACAGAGAAGTCGTTTCTGAACTACTTTGACAATCCAAGCAGCATTGAAATTGGAACTCTGATTGCCATTTTGGAGTTAAGCGCGCTTTTCGCAGCTCTGGTTGTCCCGAAGGTTTCCGATTCCAAGGGAAGAAGATATACAATTATTGTGGGGGCATTGCTCTTTTGTGTGGGGGGACTTTTCCAGACGTTTGCACCATTCGAGAAGATATGGATCATGATGATAGGACGCGTGATTTCCGGCGCCGGAATAGGATTTCTCAGTTCTGTGATCAATCTTTATCAATCCGAGTGTTCTCCGAACGACGAGCGTGGAATGATCGCGTCAATGACTTTCAGTTGCAATATCCTTGGGTTTGCTTCATCTATCTGGTTGGACTTTGCGTGTTCCTTCATGACAGGCATCACTGCTTGGAAACTGCCTCTGTTGGTGCAAGTTCTTCTTGGAGCTGTGCTATTTTTCGGTGGCTTTTACATTGTCGAGTCGCCGCGTTGGCTTTTGGCAATGGATCGCGACAACGAAGGATACGGAATCCTCAAGCTCTTCTATGATGACGATCCGGATACCGACAAGGCCAAGAAAGAGTTCCTTTCCATCAAGCACATTATTGAAAACGAAAAAGAACAGTCCGAAATTGAACGGCGGAGCTGGTGGGCCACTGTTGTCAAGAACCGCAAAGTCATTGCTATTGGTGCATCCTCGCTCTTCTTTGCCCAATTCAATGGTATCAATCTTGTTGGTTACTACGCTCCTTTGATCTTCGAGCAGGTTGGATTTGAAGGAAAATCCGCGTTTGTCATCACCGGAATCAATGCCATCATATACCTGCTCTCGACACTGATTCCTTGGTTTTTGGTGGATAACATCAGAATTGGTGGCCGTCGGCGTTTGTTCATCGTCGGAGGCCTTGTGATGGGCTGCTGTATGTTTGTTTCTGGACTAATGAGCTCGCTCAACAGTAAAGTTGGATCGATCTTTGTTGCTATTCTCATTGTGATTTATAATTCTGCATTTGGATTTTCATGGGGCCCGCTCGCATGGCTGTACGCAAGTGAAATCTACGCCGATTCATATACCCGATCCGTTGGGGCCTCGCTTGGAACATCGATCAATTGGTTCAGTAACTTTGTTGTTGGAGAGCTGAGTCCAGAACTGTTGGATATTATTACTTGGAGAACTTACTTCATCTACGGCTCGTTCTGTTTTGTCAGTTGTGCCGTGGTGTATAGATTTTACCCCGAAACCACAGGTGTCGAGCTCGAGGACATGGACAAGCTGTTCGAGGAGTTCGAGAACCGTTGAAAAGGAGTACCTGTTTCCCATTTGTACCGAACAACCATATATTTCATTTCTTACCTAGTTTGAGCCATTTCGGAACCTTTCGTGGCTCGTTAGTAGAGGAGACAGTCCGTTGGGGCTTTGCGGACGCAGTTGACTCCTGCTTGATCTCCACAGTGGACTCTTGCTTGGAAACCTTGACCTCTTCCAGCTCGTCAAGAGTCTTGGCGCTATTAAGATACTCGTTCTTGATGTACTGTGCTCTTTTGTAGTTGTCCCGATAAACCAATAGCGACCGATGTGGTAGCTGGCAGTCCGCGACGAGTTGTTTATCAAGATCTTGAGCGGTTTTGAGAAGTGGCTGTGTTGGGTATGCAGAATGGAGCTCAAACACCGGCTGTGGTTGGTCGTGCTGGTCTTTGGCAAGCACCACCACTTGCGAGACCAGCAAGTTGTACAGATCGCCTAGAGTCTGATCTGGTTGCAAAACGAGCTGCACCTGAGTGTAGTCCGGGAACTTTATACGTAAAATACATTCCGTGATTGGTTTTTTCTCGGGAACCAGCTGCTCGCGCTGTTTTCTTGTCATCATCTGTGTACTTGGATGGGCCTGTTTGGCCAGCATGGATTGGTAGAACCTGGCCTGATCAACAGACATTTCATAAACCGACTCGTCTTCTGGCTGATCTGTCGGCTGTTCATTGCTTGGGACAAACACCTGGATCGGATCTGCAGATTCGGGGATATCCTTAGGTTTATCAGCAGAAACAGGCGAAACAGCCTTGGGTTTGATATCTGCAACGGTTGGCTCCACTTTTTTAGGGATCGCCACAGGAGTCTGGGTAGGAGTATCAATTTTATGTCTCTCCACTTTGAATCTCAACCTCAATGCATGGTTACCGTTCAAGAGACCCAAATCTTTCAAAGTCTGATTTAAATCCGTTTCTGTACTCAATGTCTTGTTCATACTTTGCACAACCGGTTGATAAACATACTTCCACTCGCCCAAAGCTTCTCTTTTGATCAATGGTGTTTCCAGAGATTTCTCAAACTCCTGCAAAACCTGGACAATCGTGTTCTCTGTGCCAAACTCCTTCACTGATTTCGAGGGCGAAGGTTGGACAAAACTGGAGTCTCCCTCTGGGGCAGAAATTTGCAGCTTGATCACAACCTTACCGCCCGATCCCGATTGGACCTTGGAAGTTGACTCAACAAGATCTAATTTACACCCCTGTGGCAAGTTGGACAGTCTCAATGGCAATGATAAGTCTAGCACCTGGTTCTTGTGTTTGAGCACAAACCGACTTGACTCCAGCTTAAAATACTCACAACTTTCAATCAGCACATCGTTCAAAATCTTGGATGGTACAGCTTTGCTCTTGAAGCTTCGAAAGTTGTAATTTATCGTCAGAGAAGACATGATAAATATGTTGGAGGCAAGGACAATTCAAGATGTAGACAATTTAAAGAGAGAAAAAAAATATAGCTTTGCCACATGTGGCTGATTAGTATTCGCGTTTTATAAACATAAACAATCAATTTATTTATCTGTGTTTTGACCAGTCAACACATTAGCTAGTAACTTGCAACAATGCCGCCAAAGCCCAAAGCTTCAAGATCCCGCTCTCCCAGCAAGTCGCCGATGAAGTCTCCCCAGAAGTCGCCGTCCAAGCTGCTTTCCAATGACGAGTCTCCTGAATATGTGAACAATACAAATATCAAGGTGATTGTGCGGTTCAGACCAGAAAACGAAATGGAGAGAGTCAGTGGGGCCACAAACATTGTTAGTTACCATTCTGATCAGCAGAGCGTTTCGGTTTCTGTGGCGTCCAACTCCAACAGCTTCACTTTCGACCGTATATTTGACGAGAACACCCGACAAGAAGAAATCTTTAACTATTCTGTTAAACAAACAACAGACGATCTTGCACAGGGATACAACGGAACGGTTCTTTGCTACGGACAAACTGGATCTGGTAAATCGTACACGATGATGGGCGATCTTGGAGATGACGAAAGTAAGGGTCAAACACCTCGGATCTTTGAGCAGATATTCCAGGGGATCGAGAATTCACCGAAAACACTGGAATACACAGTGGGTGTTTCTTATTTGGAGATCTACAACGAGAACCTCAGAGATTTGCTGAATCCAAAGAACAATTCCAAACTGGGCATTCACGAAAACAAGGTGGACGGAGTTTACGTTAGCAACCTCGAAACTTTGTATGTTTCGAACCTGAATGACGTTTACACGATACTGGATCAGGGTAACAAGAATAGAAGTGTTGGTGCCACAAACATGAACGAGCAGAGCTCCAGATCCCACGCAATTTTCCAGATCAGACTCAACTCGAAGAACCTCGAAGACGGGATAATCAAGACAGGTAACCTGTTTTTAGTCGATCTGGCTGGATCAGAAAAAATCGACAAAACAGGTGCTACAGGTCAGCTTTTGGAAGAAGCCAAGAAGATCAATTCGTCTTTATCTGCGCTTGGAAATGTGATTTACTCGCTGACAGATGAAAAGACGACGCATGTTCCCTACAGAGACTCCAAGCTCACCCGCATTTTGCAAGAGTCGCTTGGAGGGAACTCCAGAACCACGCTGATAATCAACTGCTCCCCTTCCTCGTTGAACGACCAAGAGACCCTATCGACGCTGAGATTTGGTTCTCGGGCCAAACATATCAAGAACAGCGTCCACATCAACAGTGAACTCAGTAACAACGAGTTGAAGAAACGGTTTTTGGAACAGGCCAAGATCAACGAGGAGAATAACCACAAGATCCAGAAACTCGAGGCACGCAACGGCACTTTGGAAGAAGAGAATGCCAGGCTCAAGGAAGAGCTCGAAAAATACAAAGGACTATCTAGCATGAATGGTTCCTCCGACGAAATTATGAAGCTCAACGACAAGATTGTTCAACTTGAAACGTCACATTCGAGCCTGACGAAGGAGCTCGACCAAAAGACTGCGCGAATAACAGAGCTCGAAAGCGGTGCTGTCGAGTCGAAGGAAAGTCTTGTCAAATTGGAAGCTTTGGAAAAAGCCATCGAACATTTCTCAGACCACATCGAGCAGGTTGAAACCCAGAACAAGCAGTTGAAGAAAGACATCCATTCGTTGCAACAGATGAGTAATTTGAAGAATACCAAGATCAAGGAGCTGGAGCAACAGTTGAAGGGCCAGGAAAAGCTGGTCGAGCAGGACGCTGACCTGTTTGAGCAGAAACTCAACCATCTTAAGGGAAGAGTGGTTTCTCACAGAGCGAAACAGCGAAGCGTCTCTGACGGGAAGGAAAATTCGATATCGAGCGACCTAATACGAAGCAGACCTTCGAGCAAGAATCGGATCGGACTCAACTTGAGAATCGTCAAGCCAATGAGAGGAGGACGACAAGGAACATGAGAAAGAGCATTAATTACATTATTCATGAGAAAGGACTATAGACACACTATTCGAACACTTCTTGTCCTAATTTCAGTCCCAGGATATTTCTGACGTCGCTGGTAAATCGCAGACTGTTCAGCAACGGTAGCAGGTTCATTAATTCAGAGTCTTCAGGGTCGTTGATCCAACCTTCGATCATGATTCCGTTTTTCTTATGGAAGCTGTAACTGATAGGAGAGTTATCGATGATGATGACTTTACTGAGGTCGATTCCGGAAGCGCCTCTTGTCCTGCTGACCGAACGGTCTCGCACTGGAGCGATATTTTCACTGGAGTTGTTGGCTCCTGGAGGGTACGGAGAGGTGCTTGGAGTGGATGCGCGGTCTTTTTGCTGGCCGGTCAGCACACCCAGATCCTTGACGTATCCTCTTCCCTCTGTGAAGATACAGCTGTTGCGGTAGAATCGTTGACTGAACAGGTCCTTTTTTTGGGCAGGGTCACCTTTATCTTTGAGCATGACCTCCTGTTCGAGGTAATTGATCACCGGGTCGGCGTATTCTTTGATCGATGCAGTGAAGCAGACCAAATTGAACCAGTTGCGCACGATGGAAAGGAACTCGTCCACGTACGGGCGTTTATAGATGTGGTACAATGTTGCTAGTTGGTTATTAATTCTAATTTCGAGTGTTGTTCCCTTATTTTTGTTTAGTATCGAGGAATTGTGTCTGGAGAGAGAATGAATCAGGGTTTCATCAAGGTCCAGCACCAGTGTCTTTTGAGGCAGGTTTGGCGGATAGTTGATGTTGAAGTTGAAGAGTAATTTGGGGAAGATGAACTTCTTTTTCCGTGGGGTGCTTGTTCCACTTGTTTTTGCGTTCTTCTTCCTTCCGGAAGCCTGCGGAAGGGCCTGTGGGTTGACCATGTCACTTGACGAGGTCAAAGGGCCGGTTGGCGACTTGATTGGGTCCTCGCTCTTGTCGAGCTCGAACTCTATATCTTCTTCCACAATGGTTGTGATTTGGGTCTGTACCGGGTCCTCACGCGGTTTCTGGCGTTGTGGGACTTCGCTCTGCGTAACACGAGCCTCCACAGCCGGTTTGTCTATATTCTGTTGCACGGTGGGATCTGTGTGCCGTACGAGCCCTATTATTGCTCTCAGCGGATACGTCACCACCAGCAACACCCACACCGTTGGGTTGATCACCAGGTGTTTTGGGAAAAAGAACAGAATACTCACCAGCACCCCAAGAACAGACCGGTCGTCGTTCTCTTCCTCCTCGTCATACACAGGCTTGTCCTCCTCTGCGCTGGGCTCTGGCCGATCGAGCTGTCTGGTGACGATCTGCGAATCGTCCAAGTCGAGCGACGATTTGGGATCGTCTGCAGGTGCTGGATTGAACGCCTTTTCAACGGTGTTCGCCAGAAATTGAATAGAGTTCATATAAAGGAATAACCCAACAAAAATAAATATACGATTAAAAATATCTTCATATTTTAATGTTGTGAAAATAGGCGAGTAAATAAATAAACCGTTGAGCAGGCCAATTTTTTTTTTCCAATTGCACCAAGATCAGTCATTCTCGCCGAAATCCACGGCCTCTCACAGGCCTACCAGCACCGCCACGCACCCGTCCTCTACCACGGGAGCCGTTCGAACCAGAACCTTGTCTGCTTTTCTCGGTGTCCTCCTCTTGCTCAAGAAGCCGGTAGCGGAAATCGTAACCCTTGGAGTGACAGTCCATGCGCACTCGTCCATCGTCTATGTCCAAAGTCAACAGCCCGTAGCTCAGGTCGCACAGGTTGTAATGCCACGTGTTCTGGAAGGAAATATAGTATAGGTCGTTCAGTTGGCGGATAATGGTGTTGAGTTCGCGTTGTTTCGATTGCAACCCAAATGAGTCCATCTCTTCTGTGTTTGTTAGGTTCTGCGACAGCTGCAGCGGCAGGATGTCTTCGACGCCCTTGGTGGAGATTGGGATCTTGTCAAACACCTCGAGCGCGAGTTCCGTGCAGGCGATCATTAGCGGGTCGTTCAGTTTAAAGAGCAGCTTTTCGTACCGTTGGTGGATGTTCTTCCAAATCACCGCCAGCTTCGTCCGCGCCTCATTGAACTTGAGCTTGAAGCTCTCGAAGCTCGGGTTGATCGACAGCTCGTTGTACGAAGAGGTGTATTTGAAGTGTAGGGAATTGGAGATCGAGTAGTCCATCTTGAAGAAAATTAAAAGGTGTTCCAACAGTGGCTCTCTGGCCGGCGACTGGTGAGTCACAAAGATCTTGATGGCCTTGTTGTAAAACTCTGTGTTCTGTTCGCTGAATTCCGTCATTGTGTAAACCAGCCTGCCCAATTGTAGCAAGGTGATCCATATGTTTCCCGGGTCACCACTTATAGGAAGCAGCAGGTCGGAATTGTCCAGGTCCTCCAAAGTAGTGTCTTCCCCGACGATCTCGCTCAATTCCAGCGACGAGCCCTGGTGGAACAGCTTGTGGTACGATAACGACCCGCCGATCCCCGCCAACAGCACATGCTGGCCCTTGGGCGTAGTGATTCCAAACACATTGCCATCGTCGATCACGTGCAGGTTGGGAATCTTGTACACGCCGTACCGGAACTTATTGACAACGAGCGAATCCTCGCACATACCAAAGATCGTGTAAACGGGCACGTCCAGTGTGGCCTCGCCCCTTAAAAAGCGGCCAAGCTCGCTAATCTCCTGATTCTCCAGCAGAGACTTGAGGTTCTCTGTTTCGCTCGAAAGATGCTCCACGGAGTCCCCCGTCACCTTGGATAGTTTCGAGATGTCGAGGATCAGTTTTTCGGAGAGCAATGGCGAAAACTCGACAATGTGTCGTAGATAAGACTCATGGATCCTATTCACACTGCCTTCGTCTAGAAACCCAAAATTCCCCGTATGAACTATCACATCCGCACGATATTGCTGTGCCAACTGGTTGAACAGAGATAACTCGCCGCGGATATCCGCTACACAGATGATTTTCACCCCGTTCTTTTCGAATTGTCGGACATTCATGTTGGCAACACCAGAGGAGACAAAAAAATTAATTACAACTTTACGAAATTAACCTTCTAATACAATCGAATAAATATTACTGTAAATATAAATACTCCCCCACCCGGATTCAAACCTTAGAAGCAAGCTCCTCGAGCAGCTTGTAATTACGTTTTTGGATAGCACCGTTTCCAGGAAGACGGGTCTGGCCCATAAGGTATTGGTCAACCTCACGTGCACACTGTCTTCCTTCCTGGATACCCCAGACAACCAAAGACTGTCCTCTTCTACAGTCTCCAGCTGCAAACAGGTTTCCTTCACCATCAACACGGTATCCGTTAGGATCGGTCGTGGCAACGTTTCCACGTGCAGTACGGCTCACTTGCAAGTTATCGGCTTCTGGGCCAATGAATCCCATGGAAAGAAGAACAACTTCTGCAGCAAAGAACTCTTCAGATCCTGGAATCTCGGCCATCTGCCAAGCACCCGAGTCAGACCGTTTCCATTCGACTCTCACGGTCTTGATACCCTTGACGTTTCCGTCTTCATCACCAACAAACTCCTTGGACAAAATACAGTATTCTCTTGGATCCTTACCGTAGTGCTCCTTCACCTCAGTGTGACCGTAGTCGACTCTGAAGATTCTTGGCCATTGTGGCCATGGGTTGTCCTTGCCTCTCTCTTCACCAGGTGTAGGCAACAGCTCGAAGTTGGTCACAGACTTGGCTCCATGACGAGTGGCAGTTCCCAAACAGTCGTTACCGGTATCACCTCCACCAATAACAACAACGTTCTTGCCCTCGATCTTGGCTCTGATCTCCTCCAAGTTCTCCTCGAGCAATGCTTGTGTATTCGACTTGAGCAAAGTCATAGCAAAGTCGATGTTTTGGAACTCTCTTCCTGGAATCTTCAAGTCTCTTGGAATGGTCGATCCAACACACATCAAAACGGCGTCGTTTTCTCTTCTGAGTTCGTCGACAGTAACATCCTCTCCAATGGTGGTACCACAAACAAAGGTGATACCTTCAGCCTCCATCAGATCGGTTCTTCTCTTGACAATACCCTTGTCAAGCTTCATGTTTGGAATACCGTACATCAGCAATCCACCAGGACGGTCAGCTCTCTCGTAAACCGTGACAGAGTGCCCGGCCTTGTTCAGTTGATCAGCAGCTGCCAATCCGGAAGGTCCAGATCCAATAACAGCAACCTTCTTACCAGTTCTGACGGTAGGTGGCTCAGGCTTGATCCAACCTTGCTGGAATCCGTAGTCAATGATACCTGCCTCAATCGACTTGATACCAACTGGTGCATTACCAGAAACATTCACCACACAGGCACCCTCACAAGGAGCAGGACAGATCTTAGAAGTGAACTCTGGGAAGTTGTTGGTCATCAAAAGTCTCTGCAAAGCATCGTACCATCTGTCCTTAAACACAAGCTCGTTCCATTTAGGAATGACGTTCGAGATTGGACATCCGGTATCACTTTGACAGAATGGAACACCACAGTCAATACATCTGGCAGTTTGGTAGTGCAAGTCTTCCTTGGTCAATCTGCTAGAAAGCTCTTTCCAATCATTGGTTCTGGTCTTGGCAGGTCTGTATGGCTCGTGTCTTCTCTTGTACTTGACGAATCCACCGAGCTTGTCCAGCTTGACAGCCTTAGACTCTTCAGCCTTGATGTCAATGATGGTGTCCTCAAGATCCATGACCTTTGGCTCCTTTGCAGCGCTGGCAGCAGAGACACGCTTAGACTTTGGTCTAGAAAACTCACCGTTGGTGACATCAGCCTCTGGATCCTCCTTGATGGTGGAGAAGTAGGAAGAAGCTTCCTTTTCCTTGAGTTCCTCTTGCTTCTTAGCCTCAGCTTCCAAAACCTTCTTGTAGTCAACAGGCAGCACCTTGACGAATCTAGACAAGAATCTGTTGAAGTTATTCAGGATTCTGTCAGCAATCTCGGATCCAGTGTAGTGTCTGTGATCCTCGAGAAGACCTCTCAAGAAAGCAATTTCAGATGGGTCGGTAATCGATCCAAGCTCAACCATCTCCTTGTTGACCTTCTCTTCAAAGTCCTGAGCCATGTCCAAAACGTAAGCAATACCACCAGACATACCAGCAGCAAAATTACGTCCAACAGATCCAAGAACAACAACTCTTCCACCAGTCATGTACTCACATCCATGGTCACCAGTTCCTTCAACAATGGCGGTAGCACCAGAGTTTCTAACGGCGAATCTCTCGGCTGCAATACCTCTGAAGAAGGCGGTACCAGATGTAGCACCATACAAACAGGTGTTACCAATAATGATGTTCTCCTCAGCCTTGAACTTGGAGTCCTTAGGTGGATAGACAATCAGTCTTCCACCAGACAATCCCTTTCCGACGTAATCGTTACAGTCACCTTCAAGCTCCAAGCTGATACCAGAAGCAAGGAAGGCACCAAAGGATTGACCTGCAGATCCTCTAATATTCACATGAATAGTGTCATGAGGCAAGCTCTGTGGACCAAAACGTTTGGAGCATCTGTAAGAAAGAGTAGTACCGATAGATCTATCGGTGTTGATAGCCTCAGCCTCAATGGTGACAGGCAGACCCTTATCAAGAGTAACCTCGGCCTCATCGATAAGCTTGTTGTCCAATCTGACATGCAATCTGTGATCCTGTTTCTTGATACATCTGGTAGCAACACCTGGTCTGATGGTGTGGGCAGGAGTAAGAATTGGAGACAAGTCGATGTTGGCATTCTTGGTGGTTCTCAAATCATCTCTAACGTAAAGCTTTTCGGTTCTACCAACCATCTCGTCGATGGTTCTGAAACCAAGCTTGGCCATGATTCCTCTCAGCTCGTTAGAAACGTAGTAGAAGAAGTTGATAACGTGCTCAGGAGTTCCCTTGAATTGTTTTCTCAAAACAGGGTCTTGAGTAGCAATACCGACTGGACAAGTGTTTGTGTGACATTTTCTGTTGAAAACACATCCCATGGAGATCAATGGAGCGGTAGCGAAACCCCACTCTTCTGCACCAAGCAAACATGCAATAGCAATGTCTCTTCCGGTCTTGAGTTGACCATCGGTCTGAACAGTGACTCTTCCTCTCAAGTCGTTCAAAACAAGAGTTTGGTGAGTCTCAGCAAGACCAAGCTCCCATGGCAAACCAGCATACTTGATACCGGTCCATCTGGCAGCACCGGTACCACCATCGTGTCCAGAAATCAGAATGTGGTCTGCCTTGGCCTTAGCGACACCAGAAGCAATGATACCAACACCAACTTCAGAAACAAGCTTGACGGAAACTCTAGCTCTTGGATTAGCACACTTCAAGTCGTAAATGAGCTGCTTCAAATCCTCAATAGAATAAATATCGTGGTGAGGAGGTGGAGAAATCAACCCGACACCTGCGGTGGAGTGCCTGGTCTTGGCAATGTTGTTCGAAACCTTGTAACCTGGCAATTCACCACCTTCACCTGGCTTGGCACCTTGGGCCATCTTAATCTGCAACTCATCGGAGTCAGCAAGGTAATAAGAAGTAACACCAAATCTACCAGAGGCAACTTGCTTGATCGAAGATCTCATGGAGTCACCGTTCTCAGAACGTCTTGATCTCTCAACATCTTCTCCTCCTTCACCAGTGTTGGACTTACCTCCCAATCTGTTCATGGCAACGGCCAAAGTAGAGTGAGCTTCCATAGAAATAGAACCGTAAGACATGGCACCGGTACAGAATCTTCTCACAATCTCAGTCCAGGGCTCAACCTGGTCGATTGGAACTGGAGTAGAGTTGGAGAAGTCAAAGTCCAACAATCCCCTGAGAGTACAGTTCTTGATAGCTTCGTACTCTTTCTTGGAGTATGCGTCGTAAGCTTTCTCGTTCTTGTTTCTGACAGCATCCTGGATGTTGGCAATAGCAGTTGGCTCGTTCACGTGAGCATCACCACCGTCTCTCCAGTGATATTCACCAGACTCTGGCAATCCCTTAGGCAAAACAGTAGCTCTCGTTGGGAATCCCTTCTCGTGAAGAGAGAAAGCATCTTGGGCAATGTACTCAAAAGTAATTCCCTTAATTCTGGAAGCAGTACCAGCAAAACATCTGTCAATAACAGAGTTGTCCACACCCAGAGCTTCGAAAATCTGGGCACCCTTGTAAGAAGCTAGAGTCGAAATACCCATCTTGGACATGACCTTGAGCAAACCATCATCAATGGCATGCTTGTAGTTACCAAGAACTTGATCATCGGTCAAGTTACCGGCCAAAAGGCCTTCATTGTTCAATCTGACCAATGTGTCCATGGCGAGGTATGGGTTGATGGCATCAGCACCATAACCGACCAAACAACAGATGTGGTGAACTTCTCTAGCTTCAGCGGTTTCCAAGATCAAAGCAACCTTGGCACGTTGCTTTTGTCTCACAAGGTGGTGGTGAACAGCACCACAGGCAATCAAAGAGCTGACAGGAACCCTTTCGGCACTGGTGTTCTTGTCAGAAAGAATAATAATTTGGTGGTCGTCAACAATTGCCTGAGTAGCTTCTTGACAGATTCTGTCCAAGGCGTCGGTGTAACCAGTCAAACTTTCAGACTTGTCGAAGGTGATGTCGATGTTGGCAACAGACCATTTTGGATAAACCTTGTTGATCTCTTTCAATGCGGCAATTTCATTGTTCAAGAGAACTGGAGAAGGCATCAAAAGTCTATTACATTGCGATGCATTCATCTCCAGAAGGTTTCCTTGAGGACCAATGTAGCACTCAAGAGACATGACAATTCTCTCTCTGATAGGGTCGATAGGAGGATTTGTGACTTGAGCAAACAGCTGTCTGAAATAGTCGAACATCAGTCTTGGCTGTTCGGCAAGACAAGCAAGAGCGGCGTCGTTACCCATGGATCCAAGAGCCTCTTTACCAGCAGTTCCCATTGGTCCAAGCAGAGTAACAACTTGTTCTTGGGTGTAACCGAATGCGAGTAATTTTGGATCTTCCTGCACGTTCAAAGAAAGATCAACAGGGCTGCTGAGTTCAACGCTCTTGCCTTCAAGCTTGGTGAAGAGTTCCGGCATGGTGATCATGTTGGACAGAATCCATGCTTTGAAATCGAATCTGGCAGCAACTTGCTTCTTCAGTTCCTTATCGTCCACAATTCTTCCTTCCTTGGTGTCAACCAAAAGCATTCTTCCTGGTTGCAATCTGCCCTTCTCCACAATTTTGTTGGTCTCAATTGGGATCACACCGACTTCGGAAGCACAGATCATTCTGTTGTCATCGGTAACGTAATATCTACAAGGTCTGAGACCGTTTCTGTCGAGGTTTGCACCACAGAATCTTCCGTCAGCAAAGGTGAAAAGAGCTGGACCATCCCATGGCTCCATCAAGCAAGCAGCCCATTCGTAGAATGCTCTCTTTTTGGAGTCCATGTTTTCATTGTTCTGCCAAGCTTCTGGGACCAACAGCATAACAGCTTCTGGAAGGGATAGGATGCCGTTGATGACAAGCAACTCTAAGACGTTATCGAGAGCGGCCGAGTCGGACCCACCTTCCTCGATGATTGGGTACAATTTCTCCAGTTCTTCGCCGAACAGTTTGGATTGCATGACACCCTCTCTTGCTCTCATCCAGTTCTTGTTACCTCTCAAAGTGTTGATCTCACCATTGTGAGCAGCCCAACGAAGAGGCTGAGCTCTGTCCCACGAAGGGAAGGTGTTTGTGGAGAATCTGGAGTGAACTAAAGCAAAATGACATTCGTAGTCGGCGTTGACTAAGTCATGGTAATAAGAATAAACTTGGGCAGGAACTAGCTGACCTTTGTAAACGATGTTTTTGTTGGTCAAAGAACAAATGTAGAACCAGTTGTGGAGACCAATGGTGTGGGTGGATTGCTTTCTGAGGATGTAAAGCTTCTTTTCGAAAGTTTTCTCGAATTTGGACTCAAACTCTTCAGGGGTGTAAGCAGTTTTTGGCTTGTTACCTGGGCCGTAAACTTCCTCGAGAACCACAAGAGGCTGCAGAATGAGAGGTTCTCTGGAAGAGGCAGCAGGACCCAGAATGGAGGAGTCGACAGGAACGTTTCTCCAGCCAAGGACTCTAAGTCCCAAGCTCGAAGCGATGTTTTCGAAAGTGCTTTTGGATTTCTGGAAAACGGTCTCGTCTTTCTTGAAGAACAAGTTTCCGACAGCATATTGTCCACTAGGAGGAAGTTCAACTGAACAGTGGTACTCAAACTCTCTGGCCATGAATTTATGAGGAATGGAAGTCATAACACCCGCACCGTCTCCGTCACGAGCATCAGACCCCACAGCACCTCTATGGGTCATATTACACAAAAGGTATCTGGCATCGGAAATGATCTTATGGGATGGCTCACCTTTAATATGACAGGCAAAACCAACACCACAATTGTCTTTTTCGTAGGCTGGGTCATACAGTCCCTTAGAAGTTGGGATAGTGGAGGCCCAGGAGCTGTTTTCTGGAACCTCGTCATACTTGTACACTGAGTAAGCTTCTGGCACTTCGCCCTTGATAGGCTCGTACTCCAGATGCTGATCACTTTTAACAACCATGCTAAAGACAAGAAAATTTTAATTACGGGATCTATCTATGATTATAATCACACCCACCCGCACAGGGTAAAATTTTTCCCCCATTCTATTGCAGCGGATGACTCCGCTCTAACCCTCGCTAAGGGTGGGTTTCGCCGGCTTGAGTCGACAAAGATAGAAAGATAATGCATTTTGCAATCTCTGGCCAATCGCATCGGGTGCAAAATAATACGATTGTTTTCTTATGCAGCTTGGCGTATTTGGGAGGTAGTATCCGGAATGATGGTCTGAGGAGTGGATGGCACCTTGACACACACCAAACACCTTGCACCTCACTCATCGTCCTGGTCATCCTCGTCGTCGTCCTCGCCCCTCTCGGCCTCCATCACGCTTTCAGAGTACTTATCTGTGTATTTGCGTGCGATTCTCGAGGCGCGACCGGCATTCTTGGCCTCCTCTCTGGCACGTTTTTGTAAAGCGGCTAATTGCGGCTTAAAGGCGGTGCGAACGCTTCGGTTACTGAAACTGTCCCACATCTTCAAAGTGGAGCCCGAGCCACCAATTACGAGGTTTCCGGCAACTTCAATGTCGCGCGCAAAACTGGTGGTCAGCACCTTGCCGCAGTCGAAATCTCTGCTCAAAACCATCGACGGTCCGCTCGCTTGGTTCTGCTGGCTATCCAGCTTCCATAATTTCACTGTTTGCTCACCCATTGCACCTGTGACAAGCATATTGTTGATAAACTTGTTGGCCTCCAAAGTAGAGATACCAGAATCGTGTGCATGCAAAGTCCACAATGGCTTGGACTCCATCTTGGCATCAAAACAGTAAACGTTACCGACATCTGTTCCGGCAAAAAATCTGGTAGAATCAGAGCTCCATCTAACGCACTCCACTTCTTCGCCAGTACCAATGTTGTATCTTCTCGAAACGCTCTTCTCTTCAGCAACTCGCACGTCGTTCACGCAACAGGCGGAATCGTAACCACCTGTCAGCAGAATCGATCCGTTGCTGCTGTCGGTAACTTCATCAAGCCATTGCGAAGAAGAAACATGCTTTCCGCCGTGGAGAGAGTCCAACGACCGGGCAACCTGGCAGCTGGTCAAATCCCATAATTTCACAGTACCATCAGCGGACGAGGAAGCAAGAACGTTTCTGTACAATTGATTGTGTGCAAGAGAAAGAACAGCATCGGTGTGTCTATGAGCGTTGACCCTCTTCTTGCTCTTCTTTTTCGATTTCTTGGTCTGGGACTCCACCTCGCCCAGAATAGCATCTGGGAAAGCCTTGTCGATACTGTCCAAGTTCCAGATCTCGATCTGGGGCTCGAAAGTTCCAATAGCTGCAAAATTGGCGACATTGGTCTCGTCGTTGGCTCCATACGGCTTGAAACTCATCCACTCAACACAAAGCGGGAAAGATGGCAGCATCAGATCGTGGTGAATGTACAGATTGTTCTCTCTAATCATTCCGTTGGCGATATCAGCGTCCAATTTGTCTTCCTCCTCTTCGTCAGCTCCCGCAGGAGCTCCTGCTCCGTCGTCATAGATGTAGACATCCAGATAAGACACATCGTCCTCTGTACGGGTAGCAAGCACCATATTGTCGGTAGGATACACTTGGAGCTCTGCCTTTTCTTCGGCAACCTCTCTATCGGTTGGCAGCGTGATGTAATGCTCATCAGGTCCATCTTCACCCATCTCCTCGTCGTCGTTCTCCACCTTGATGTAGGATGCAGCAGTGTTTGAGAGACCAGGGAACATGGAGACCGGCTCACCGGTAACCTCGTCAACAGGCTCGTCGTCGTAGTGGTCGAAATCGTACTCTTTCAAGTCGTCATCGATCTCCAGCTGAGATCTGACAGCGTTGGAATCTGTATTTTCGACCTCGTCCAAATCTTCCTGGGCCTCTGCAATTTGCAAATTGGCCATTTCCTCAATCCGAGCCATTTCCTCATCGTTCAGCTCGTATTTCTCAGGAAATTCCGAGGCATAGCCACGGGGCACCCAGCTAGAAGCAGAAATCATTATAGTGAAATATTTTTTAAATTTTTTTCAAATTAGGTAATGTGTTACCCTGGCCTTTAAATTTCTTGAATATATTCTTTCATTCAAGATGGCTCCGCCAGATGAGAAGACCATTGAAAACTTGTTGAAGAAGCTCGCAATGGGCGAGGAGCTCACCGAGAAGCAGAGGAAGGACATGAAGGACTACAAGTTCTGGAAAACCCAGCCTGTTTCCAAGTTCGATGAAAAGATCGATAAAGAGGGACCCATCGACTCGCTTAAGACCCCGGCCGATATTCCAGACGAGCCAAGCGCCATGCTGAAGGATTTCGAGTGGGTGACGATCGATCTTGAAAAGGAGGACGAAATGAACCAGGTCCACCAGCTTCTACACGATCACTATGTCGAGGATCAGGACGCATCGTTCCGTTTCGCTTACACTGCGAATTTCTTCAAGTGGGCCCTGCAGCCTCCGGGATGGAAAAAAGAGTACTACGTGGGAGTTCGTGTCAAGGCCACCGGTAAGCTCGTGGCGTTTATCAGCGGTATTCCATCGTTGTTGCGCGTGAGAGAAAACAAGGTCCCTAGCGTCGAGATCAACTTTTTGTGCATCCACAAAAAACTGCGTTCCAAGAGACTTGCGCCCGTGTTGATCAGAGAAATTACCCGCCGAGTCAACAAGAACGATGTCTGGCAAGCACTGTTCACTTCTGGCGCCGTTTTGCCAACTCCCGTTTCCACTTGTAGATACACCCACCGTCCATTGAACTGGGAAAAGCTTTACGAGGTTGGTTTCTCGTCGTTGCCTGCAGGAGTGTCCAAGTCGCAGATGCTTGCCAAATACGTTTTGCCATCCGCAACCAAGACTCCAGGACTGAGAAAAATGGTTCCAGAAGATGCAGACCAGGTGCTGGATCTGTACGAAAAGTTCCAAAAAAGATACGATCTGGTGCTGGAGTTCACAAAGGAAGAGATTATCCACTGGTTGTACTGGTCTGATGAGCAAAACTCTTTGGAGGACCAAGATAAAGTGATTGTGACCTACGTTGTTGAAGAGGATGGTAAGATCACCGACTTCTTCTCGTTCTACATTCTCCCATTCACAACACTCACTAACTCCGAGACAGACCAATTGAATGTTGCATATTTGTTCTACTACGCGTCAAAAGTTGGTCTGGGCGACTCGGACGACACGAAGCTGGCCAAGCGGCTGAACTCGCTGATCGGCGACGCTCTTATCGTGGCCAAGAATATGAAGATGGACGTTTTCAATGCGCTCACTTCGCAGGACAACGTGCTGTTCCTCAAGGACCTCAAGTTCGGCAACGGAGACGCATTCCTCAACTTTTATCTGTTTAACTACAAGGCGTTCCCGATTAATGGTGGCATGGACAACGAGACCAAAGAGCTCGACCTGGTCAACAAGAGCGGCGTCGGTGTCGTCATGCTTTAGACGGTGCAGAGGTGTAGAGGAAGGAAAAATAACGTATAAAACTAAAGACGGAAAAAATTTAGATTACAAATCATTGAGCCACAGGAACCCCGATGGACTACGGGAGCATTGAGCGCGATTCCGTAGACGATCTCCGGGAGATCCCCAAGACGGTTCAGGAGGTCCTGAAGTTGGACTCCTGGACCAATGAGAAGGTTCATTACCTGACATTTCGGTATTTCTTGCTCAGCTTCTTGTTTGTGGTTCCTGGGGCCTTTGTTGATACCATGAATTCTTATAGAACGACCAGCGCTCCGTACAGCATTCTGTTTGTACAATTTTTGTGTGATCCGGCTGGACAGTGGCTGGCCAAGGTTCTTCCAAACAAGGTGGTTCGTATTGGCAGGTTTCGCTTTAATCTGAATCCTGGGCCCTGGTCGATCAAGGAGTCGGTTTTGGTGACCTTGACCGCCGCTTCTGGTGCCACGGGAAACCAGGGAACTGCCGGTCTGTCTTTGGCAGAAGTGTTTTACAACAGAAAGGTCGATCCAGTGGTGGCTCTGACGTTTATGTACTGCATTGTTTGGACTGGCTACTCTTTTGGAGCTATAGCAAGGAACTTCGTCTTGTATGATCCGCAGTTTGTGTGGCCCAAAGCTTTGATGCAGACAGCTCTATTCAAGGCGCAAGAACACTCGGACAGGCGCTCCAACTCGCAGATGCGCATGTTCACCATTGGCCTGGCCATTATGTTTGTGTGGCAGTTTTTCCCCGAGTTTGTGTTTCCACTGACCTCGTCGCTCGCGTTTCTGTGCTACATGGCCCCAAACAACCACGTGGTGAACTTCTGGGGCTCAGGACTTGGCGGACTCGGGTTCATGAACATCTCGTTGGACTGGAGCAACGTCTCGTCCTCGGTGATGCTTAGCCCATATTGGACCATCGTGGTGCAGTTTTGCGGGTTCGCCCTCATGTGCTGGGTGTTGCTGCCGTTTTTCAAATGGTACGACCATGGCAAGTTCTCTCTCGGACTCATGGATAATAAATTGCTTCTGGCAAACGGAACAGCGTACCCAACACTACAGCTAATGACTCCCGACTTGCAACTCAATGAAACAGCATACCATCTTTTAGGACCAGTTCATTTTGGCACACAGCGACTGGCAAACATCTTCTTCGACTACGCAGCATACATCAGTGCCATTGTCTGGATTGCCTGCTTTGGGATTGACGATCTCAGAAGCAGCTACCGAAGATTGCGTTGCAGATACACAAACCCAAGCCACATGCAACACACAGACAGAATCAACAAAATCTACGCCAAGCACGATGACGTGCCTAATAGTTGGTTTGGGATCTTGTTTCTAATTAGTTTTGTGCTTCTGTCCACGGTCCTCTTGGCTACCGACCAGCTGTTCATCCCATGGAAGACCTACATTGCTGCTTTGCTTCTTGGAGCAGTGATTGTCACTCCAATGGCTTATCTGTATGCGATATCAAATTTCCAGCTTGCGATCGGCACTGTCAATGAACTGCTGTATGGATTGATGATGCAAACTCCATTTTTCGCAGGATCCAATGGAAAACACCCCTGTGGAGCGTCCATTTACGGAGCGATCGCTGGTAACTGTTGGTATCGTGCCCAGTACATTCTCCAGGACCAGAAGATCGGCATGTACAACGACATTCCACCGAAACTGGTGTTCTTCTCCCAGATCTTTGGAGACCTGATAGGAGTCCCGATCAACTACATGTCTCTACGATGGGTCATCAACTCTAAATTCGATTATTTGAAAGGAGTGAAAGTCGACCCCATGAGACAATGGACAGGACAAGTATTGACCAACTATAACAGTAACGCAATCCAGTACGTGTTACTCGGGCCAAAACGAGTCTTTGAACATTATCCTCTGTTGCCGCTTGGATTTGTGGTCGGAGCGTTGGCTCCACTGTTAGTGTTCTGGATTTCCAAGTACGCCAACCCACAGTTGGCCCGGAAATTCAACGTCACAATTCTTTTTTCCACAATGTCGAAGTTCTACGGCAACATCAGTACCGGATACCTCACACAGTTCCTTGTGGGTACGTTCACCATGCACTATATGTACAATTACCGACACCAATGGTTCCAGAAGTACAATTATGTGCTTGCTGCGGCCTTCGACACAGGCTTCAACTTGGCCAATCTGGCCATTTTCTGTTTCTTTGGGTCCAAGAACTCATTCCAGTTCCCTGAATGGTGGGGGAACGATAGATCGCATTTGGAGAAATGCTACGCATTATAGATTCATTCCTCCATGCCGTCAATATACTCTCTGGCCTTTCTTTGGCGTTCTTCTTCGATCTTTTCCAATTCTTCCGACGATGGTGGCAATGCCTCGTTCTGCAAATCTGCTTCTCGGGCCTCCGAGAACGACTTCAGTCTGTTGTGTAGTTCTTCTCTTCCGTCCATCAAAACACCACGAGGCAACTTTCCGCCGGAGTATGTTTTGAGATGTTCCACTTTTTCGGCCTCTTCTCTGAGGATGTTGAACATACGCGACATACGCCCAATGGACAGCAGCTTCTTTCTGAGAGAAGCACGGGCCTCCAGCGGCGACACCCCCGTTGCAGGGCCAGTGACTGCTGAGATATCCAACTCGGGAGACGTTTCTGGGACCTCGTTTAGAGACTTGGCAACGTCTCTGGCCAAAAGAGTCTCTTCCTCCAACTCGTCCTCTGTACAGATGTTCAGTATGGAAACAAGAATATCAAGCACTTTCTCGGCCACAAACGGCAGAGACCACTCAAACACGTCCATAAAGTCGGGAAGATGGTACGGCGAGTCTGTGGCAACAAACTGTTTGATATTGAAAGTTGCACCGTCATAGATCAACGCCGCGGCTTTGTTCCGGTAAGTTCCACAGTAGTTAGGCGCAGAAAACAGGGTTATCACGGATGGAAAGCCTGTTGAATCGTTCTTCCGATACATCCTGTACCCCGAGTCCTGGGCCTGATGAGCTCTGATCACACTCAGCAGGCTATTATTTTCCAAAAAGCGACAAACCGCATTGTATGAGTAGTAATAAGAACAATGTCTCTCGTAATTATCACGGAAGTAGCTGTCGTAATCGTTCTTGGAAAACTCTTCTGAGTCGTAGTCTGGGGAAGGGTCTGCCCACATGATGTCACTGAACAATCCTTTTGAAGGGAAATCCAGCCTGTATCTGTTGATTTCGTCGATATCACTCAGTTTTTCTAGTTCTGGAGAAATTCCTCCGTGACAGCAGAAGAACTGCTCGTTCAAGACTGCACAGAAAGGCATCATCTTGAACGTGTTCAGGGCCTCGCGATAGATGCTCAATGAGTACTTGACAGAGCATTCGCGCTTGAACGTGAAATGTTCAGTCATTCTCTTTGTCTCATGGTTACCTCTTAGCAACCAGAACGATCTTGGATAGTTAATTTTCATGGCCAGCAGTAAGATCAAACATTCCATCGAGTAGTCTCCTCTGTCGACGTAATCACCGAGAAACAAGTACTGGGTGTTCTTTGGGTCCCCACACATGTTGAGCATTTTGCAAAGATCGTAGTATTGACCGTGGATGTCCCCCACCACGGTTGCTGGACAAGACACCTTGAGCATGTTGGGCTCTCTTTCAAAGATATCTGCAGATGTTCTCAAGATGACTGACAATTGATGCTCCGATAGCTTGCCTTCTTGTTTGAAATGTTCCATGAGGAACCTATAGTCGGGAAGATTACCATGGGGGAACACCTCTTCGTCGGTGGGGATCCGGAAACTTGGAGGGTCTATTGATTTGACTATGCGGTCGGTGGTTACAAACGAATCTCCACGCTCGTCCACATAAACGGTGGGGTTATCTGGGGAATGGGCAATATCGCGTTTTTTGACATGCCTAAGGGCGTTCTCAATCTTTACGGAATTCTCGTGTGCCTTGATGTTTTGAAAAGAGCTCATATCCGCAAACAAGTAAAATGCTAAAATAAATAAAAATTATGGGCCAAGGCCGATCGACCTTGGTAGATACATGAGTGCAATTATTTCGGGGGCATTGCTTCGTTGTGGAGGTCTGCCAGTCGGACATGCTCGAACGAGGTGAGGGTGCGGTCCAATTCTTCGGGACCGTTGAGCAACACGCCTTTTGGCAGAGCTGCTCCGCCAGACAGCGTCCGTAGCTGCTCCACCTTCTGTGCTTCCTCGCGTAACATGTTGAACATTCTCGAGACCCGACCAATAGCAAGGATCTTCTTGCGCAGGGCGGCGTAGTCCACGGGCGAGGATTCCTGTTCCTCAGCTGCCTGGGGCTCCTCCGACGACAGCTCTTCCTCAGAGCAGATGTTGAGCAGATGCAGCAGTATGTCTGCTGTGCGCTCAGCAACGAATGGGATCGACCATGTGAACGCCCCCAAGCCATTGGGGAGCCGGTACGGCTCCAATTGCGAGCCAAACTGGCGGATGTTCATCAGCTTTGTGTCGTACCGCAGCACAGCAGCCTTGTTTCCATACGTGCCACAGTAGTTGGGAGCAGAAAAGAGCGTCATCATCGAAGGGAACTGCTGCGACTTGGTTTTACGGTACATCCTGTATCCGGAGTCCTGGGCCTGATGTGCCCGGATCAGACACAGGAGCCCGTTATCCTGCAGAAACCGGTTCACCGCGTTGTACGAGAACATGTACGAGCACCCACGCTCGTAGTTTTCGACAAAATCCGGCTCGTTGAGCACCTCGTCGTAGTCGTTGGACGGGTCGGCCCACATCAGGTCGCAGAACAGCCCGGACGACGGGAAGTCCACCACGAACCTGTTGATAGACTCAAGGTCCTGCACTTTGCGCAGATGTTTGGAGATTCCTCCGTGCACGCAAAAAAACTGTCCGTTCATAATGGCTGCCAAAGGCAATGTCTTGAACGATTCCAAAGCTTCCTGGTAAACCTTCGCCCCGTGCTTCTGCAAGCACTCCTCTTTGAACGTGAAGTACTCCGTCATGCGCTCCGACTCGTGGTTTCCCCGGATCATGTAGAACGTCGTCCGATGGTTCAGCTTCATGGCGTACAGCAGCAGCAGACACTCCAACGAGTATGAGCCTCGATCCACATAATCGCCAAGAAATAAATATGCAGTCTGGTCGGGATCCTGACAGATCTCAAACAGCTTGCAAAGATCATAGAACTGGCCATGAATGTCTCCACAGACAGTCACGGGCGCACCCACCCTGAGCAAGTTTGGCTCTATGGAGAACGCCTCAGAAGCCATTCTCAAGATGCGCACTACTTGGTGATCATGAAGCCTTCCCTCCCGACGGAAGTGCTGCCGAAGAAACCTGTAGTCGGGCAAACCATTTGCAAGAAACACAGACGAGTCTGGGGGCCTTGTTCTGATTGGCGGCTCGACCTCGGTAACTATCCGTTCTTTGGTGCTCAGCTTTCGTCCCGACTCGTCGATATAGATCGACGGATCGCCAGCAGGAACCACCTGGCGATTCCTCGCCTGGCGGATCACGTTTTCCAGTTGGGATCCCGAGTCCAAACGTTGGATGCCGATCCGTGGCTGGTCCTCAGAAGTATCCATGTCAAAAGACCGTTTTTTAGATAATCAGTAGCTGTGCTTAGCACACCCGTATAAATAGAAATCGACGCGCCTCGGTCACATGATTTTCCAGCTGCCAAAAAAAAATTTATCTCACATAAATATTTCTACTATGGACCTTGAATTAGAAGACTCCGGATACCTGTGCGCTTTGGAAGGGCAGAAGACGCTCGAATTGGCCGACGAAAAGAAACAGGCCAACTTCGAGCTCGGTGTCGCGATGCTGGTGCACGGATGGGACATCCTGACCACCGCCGTGGACAATAACTGGGGTGGACCCGAGTCGGCTGAGAAAAGAGACTGGATCAGCGCGATCGTGGTAGACCTGTTCAAGCAGAACAAGGAAGTCGACATCATCTTGATCCACGAGACGTTGTTCAACGCCATGGAGGACGAGTTCGACGTTCTTGTCGAGGATCACAGCACAGTTCACATCGCATCTGCCGTGGTCCAGGTTTACCAGGACTGTCTTGCTGGAACATTCGATCGTGTGCAGTCGATGTACCAAAAGTACTTGCAGAAGCAGGAGTACCGCAAAACCCACGGCGTCCAGAAAGTCGAACTCCCAAGTGACGAGAGCGGAGACGACGACGACGACGAAGATGAAGACATGATGGACGTCGAACACAACCACGACCACCACGATCATCACCACAGCCGCGAGCCTATCGTCGACGACGACGGATTCACAGTGGTCACCAAGGGAAGACGTTAATCTTCCAGCGCTAGATTCGACCGTGTTCGATTGATCGATAAACTATTTCTTGGTGTCACCTTGAGCGGGATCGGAGTGCTAGGGCCAGACTTTGGTCCAAACGAGTTCAGATTGAACCCTTCGAAGTCGCCAGCACTTGGAGGCGGAACAGGGCTGTAGCTCACTAATGGCGGAGTAGACTCCACCGGGTCCACAGATCCCATGCTCCGTGACAAAAGTGGCCGGCTCGGGCTCTCTGCTCCGTTTCCAGCAGCCTGTTGTGTATAGGAGCCCAGAGTTTGTATGGATGCCGCACTGGACTTACGCCGGTTCAGTGCCAAGGACCCAAATCGCTTTATGAACGAGTCTGTTGTTGCGTCCACTGTTGGACGGGATGCCGATAACGACACGTCTCTAATAGAACCTTTAATTGTAAGTAACTTAACGTCGGTTCCGTTCCAGATTCCAATTGGTGAAAGACACTGCACCTCAGAGGCGGTGGCTTTACCTCCCAAAGTTGTCCAGGTACCAAACCCCCACTCTGCCCCCACTTTACGGAAGGTGGAGACATCGAACATCGACTTTGCACGGCACACTTCCAGCTGGTTATAGATTGTTCCCCATAGCACTGATGTGTACCATCCAAGTGAGAGGTTTGACCATGTGAAACGCAGGGGCTCGAATTTGGTCTTGATGGGATTGTATTCGTTTGGAATCTTGAGCGTTGTTAGAAGTTGAGCCACTCCTGCGTTGTTGATTTGGTTGATGATTGCCGAGGCGTCGGAGTTTGTCATTGTCACCTTTGCTTCTAAATGATGAATCACCTCGAGGATGATCGTTGTTGACTTGAGCCCTGTCCACGTGAGCTCCAAAGGAGCGTTGAGAGGGAGTTTCGCTTTGGCTTTGAAAGACATTCCAACCGGAAGCTTGGGTCTTATTAAGTCCCCATCTTCTGGAGCCTGATACAACGGATCATCTTCTGCAGTTTCTGGGTTTAACGTTGGAGAGGAGGATCTCGTTTGTGCATCTTGTTGTTGCTGTTGTTGTTGAGGTTCTTCTTCGTCGGTCTTTGAGATTGTTCGGATTGAAGACAGGACATTTTCGTAAACTGTCTTATTTTTCAATAACACGTACAACCAAATGGCACACCCATTGGGGTGTCTGCAAATGAGATGGCATAAACCACGCATCAAAAGCGCCAAAAGGTCCAGATTCACATTTGTCTCGTTCAGAAAAGAGATACTGGAAAACTTGGCGATCAGATGGGTCAATACCGTGCATGTAGAATATGACATTTGCAATGTTGACTGTTGAACCGCAGTCAGATCTTTCATGGAGGGGCGTCTATTAGTGGTTGGGACTCCACCAGCAGGCGTTGCAACCAACGGAATCATGTTGTATACCCATTCTATCATTGTTGGCACCAGGACCAGTGGACAGTCAGACTGTAACAAGGTGCATGTTTGAAACACTAAAAAGTCTCTATAAGTGGTTGGTGATCCTGTCAAACGGAAGTTTTGAGGAAGAGCGGCGTGGAAGTTTTTATCGAATGGCGTGACAAGCTGTGTCATTATGATGGTGTCGTAGGAGAGAAACAGGAACAGGTACGAGCAAGTGCGCACATAGTTTCTGTGTTGCGCTGAGTTTTTGTAATGAAATATCTGGAAGAACAGTGCAACCAAGAGCTTGACCCCATAGTTTGTCGACAAATAGGAACGAAAGCGTTTGTTGCACTGGTAGAACTCCCAGATGAGCATGATGATTTCGGTCATCCATGCACTTAGATCGTTGTTGCTGGACATGAACTTGTTCTTCATCAAAAAGCTCAGTCCTGACATGTTGGAGGCAGACGAGATATCTGTCTCCAGAGGCCTAAACAGTGGTTTGATGAGTCCGTCTTCGAGGAACTCGAGCTCCTGTTCCTTGTGCAACCGACCACAATAGTAACGCACCAGGTTAGTTGGTGTGTCTATGAGTATCCCCTGTTTGGTCAGAAACTCTTTATCAGACTTGGGGAGCGGATAAATGATCATCTGAGTGAATAACTGCAAGGCACAAGTAACCATCAGAGTGCGCACTTCTTGGTGTGCGGGGATCTCGCTTTCTAAACCAGTATCGTATTCGTTCGGGTCTTTGGTCGAGCGACATATCAGGTTCAACAGTGATGAGATAAGAGTGAGCATCTGCAATTTGGGCACGGAAGTGACCAGAACTGTCAAATATCTGCTTCCGAGCGGGACCACTGTAGAAACTGGCTTGTATAGGCATTGAGAGCAGAGAACTAACAGGAACCTGAGAATCTCCAATCTATTGGAGTCTATTTGAACATTAGGACGTTTCAAAGACCCAGAAAGACCGATTCCGGGCTCCCAGATGGAAAATTCCACCGACATGGCGGAGCTTTGCTTATTTGTCTTAGGAACGGTAAATCCAGTGGTGAAAAGCAGATCCACTGCGCGGAAAACCAAAATGGCACCCAGGGGCAAGCTAGAATGCGACGATTCGTCCACGGTAGGCTTTAGTGAGAGGGCGTCCATCAGTTTGTCCCGACTCACCACGGCGTCCACCACCCCGGTTGTCGAATCTGCGGTGGAGAGATTTGGAGATTCAAGAGAGTCGAACCCAACGGTGGCCGTTATGGAGCCGTTAGAAACTTCCGAGTTGGCAGTGTTTGGGTCGATGGAGTGGTTCAGGGACCAGAATAAAGTCTTCTCTGCGCGGGCCAGCTCCGGACGTTCGTATAGATAAGGTAACAGTTTGGTGAGCACACGGACACAGTTGAGCAGTTCCTGGGGGTTGAATCCGGAGGATGATGCTTTGTTGGTGAGCCTGACCAGCTTGGTGGCTACCACTCTGATCAGCAAGCAGAAATTCCGTAAATTGGTGTCCCTTAACAAGACTATATGGGCGGGCGAGAAAGCAGTGAAGACGTCATTGACGCTGTGCGGATGGGTCCAAAAAACAGACCAAAACTCATCGGAAGGCCCGATGTCGGTGAGAGGGTCGGTGAGTTTGACCAACCGCTCTAAGAGAACCGATTTGGCGTCTTTTTGATCCATGGCCCTGATTGGCGTGCAAAGTTAAATAAATAGAGTGGTTTTTTACTAGAAATTGTATGGAAATGCATTAATCATAAAGAAACCAAGATAAGCATAATAAAGAGCGGAACATGGACGAAACTTGTATCGAGGCCGATCCTCGAAATCCTCAGAACTCCTCGTTGAAGACCAGTGGGCCGTATTTCTTCTCGTAGTCGTTGGAATCGTCAAAGGTACGCTTGGATCCGCGCGATCCATCGTTGAGTGCATCTTCCCAGTCGGCCAATGACGAAACGGTCGATCCGCGATAGTCTAATGGTGGGGGACCGTTGTTGAGGTGTTCTGGCACCGGAACACGACGAGTTTGAGCAGCAATGAACTGATCCGAAACCATGCTCGATTCGTCTCTCTTGTACCCATCACTCACGCTCTTTCGGATCCGCATTCCAAGTGACTGAAGCTGCTGTGTTAATGGGTCCACAGTCTCGATCTGTCTGTTCACGTTGGCTCTTTTCACCGACTCCATCTTTCAAACAAAATGTACCTTCCGTATTAAGAAAATTGATAATTATTTCTCCTTTGACTCCCTGCACGACTTTTGGGTATTTTTCTTTCGATTGAAGCTTTCAAGATCTAATCTCGCTGGCTAATGGTTCTTTGGAGCAAACTCCCCAATTTCCGTTACGGGAGGGTGATTGAGTCGTTTTTGCCGCTTAAGAACTTGGACAAATCAAGCGAAGATGCCAAACATATTTCCCAAAACTTTGTCAATGTATACCCTGGAGATCGGGTCTTTTTGTTCGAAGCAGAGCAGGGAGGTGAATGGGTCCGTGGATACGTTGTTTCCTTGCCAATGCCGTCTGATTTTCTTACAGCAATGGCCTCGTTGGATAAAATGCCCGAATCTCGTACCTGCGTGGCTGTTCTTCCAACCTCTTGTCTAGAGATCCTGAAAGACATCCCATTACCAAAGACTCCGTCTGGCCACACAGGACCCCCACCATTGCCACTGAACATTTTATCGACCGAGTCATCATACTTTGACGAGATTGTGTCTTCGTTGCGATCGTTGGCAGTTTACTGCTACGCCGTCTACTCAATGAACGAATTCAATCTGTTCAACAAACTTTCAGAAATCTTCAAAGAACTCAACGACATCAGACTCAGTTTTCTCTACGACCTCCTCACCAATCATGAGAAGACAGTAGCGTATCAAAAGTCCGCCGTTCTGGTCAACAAAGTGTCCAAATTGCTTGTTCCTGTGATCAAAAAAGATGTTGGTGGATATCTTGCCGTTTTTTCAAGGAACGAACAAACCGGTCAATTGTTCAAAGCGGAGCTCGAAAAACCGGCTGATTCAAGCATGATAAATCTCGCAAAAGTCGCACAGAACCAGATCTTCTCCGCTCTGGCTTCGAACTTCCCGGTTAGACACCCAAACATCTCCTATGTTCCTGAAAAGATGTCCAAATTCAAACCGTCTGTTCCATCCCACATTTTTGTGGACTTCAAGTCCGTGGTTGGCTCTTCGACATTTGTTCCAGAAAACTACGACGGCTTGAATGCATACATGTACCTGAGAAACACCAAGAGACAGCTAACAGAGACGTTTAGCGTTTCGATAAAACCTGGACAAAAAATGGAGCTGGCAAACATTCCTGCTGCCATTTTTCAGAATATACCCGTCAGTGAGGTTGAAAATACAAGAGTCTATTTGGTTGCCGTGTTGACAGAAAATATCCGTCTTGATCAGACAACGCTCAAAGTTGTTCGCAAAGGAATTGCAGCAGGAGTTGCTAACGTTACCAGAATGTTTAGCGTCCGACAGGGACATCTTTCCACAAACGAATCGCACCACTTTGCTATCAAACTGTTTGCGTCGTATTCTATCTCGGAGGATCCTATGTCTCCGGCAACAGGAGCTGGTCTCAATGACGGTGGATGGGGAGATCTAGTGGAGAGAATCATCACTGGTTCCACCCAAGGAGTTGCTGTCAATCCTCGCGCTGAGAAGTTGACGCTTGTGATCAAGGAGTTAAGAAACTCTAATCTTGATGAGGACATTCAGAAAACTTCGGATGCTGTTTCGACCGTGAGACCTATGGTTTTCTCTCCTTTTGAACATTCTTACGATAGAACCTATTTAACACTGGTTCAGTGTCACGGGATTACTCTCAAACGGAAAGAGGTAAGCTTTATAACGGTGATCGTGAAGTCTGTTGACGAATCTGTGACATTCAGCAGAGGCGCAAACGTTGAACAGCGATCTTCATGGCAGTTTATTAGCGTTTCACCAAATGAAAAAGTCCAGGAAACAGTGTTGATAAATGAGTCTGGCACAACATCTTCAACTCGGTCAGATCAAATGCTGATCGAGGTGTACAAGAACGGTAATTATCTTGGAGAAGGAAAGTTCCAATGGAAATCAGGGTCGCAGGTCAAGGATACAAGTAAGAAAGGTCACCTTGTTGATATATTCGGAGCAGGTAGCTCACACTTGGGTTCTGTGGAGCTGGAAATTGAATATGTTGGTGCCAAGTACAATATTGATCCTCATGTCTCCGCAATTACGAACTGGAAAGAATCGGCATTGGCCTCCCATCCCTCCGACCTAATTCAAGCACTTTCAGACCTCGACAAAGTTGAGCTTCTAACTGTTGTCAAGTTCTTTGGAGTACTGTTATTTAATCTGCTGGAAATATTCAACGAGTCAGTGGAAAAAAACAACGAGAATCTGAAGAGATCTTCCTTTGTGAGTATCGTTCATCTTCTAGACATTGTCCTTGCTAGACAGACTCATTACACATATTTATTTGCTGAATTTTTCACCAACTATACCCAGCTCCCAGCTATTGGTGAACAATTACTAGAACTCGCATCGTTATATTTTGCCAACGTTGAGACAGACTGGAACTCCACCGGAAGAGCGCTTTGTCGGGCATCGTATCCAGTTTTGAGAATCGCATCTGCAGCCGCTTCAGACAAAGACAAGTTTGCACGCAAGTGTCATGGCTTCTCTAAAGCGGCAACAATCATCATTGGATTGCAAAAGGATTCCTTGGTGGCAGACCAATTATTGCTTGTGGAGGCACTTGAGTTGTGGGTGGATACTTTCAGGGACTTTTGTGACGACCAAACAATAGTCGGTTTTGTATGCAATTGGCTCGAAGCCATTGGATTGCGTGGTTTGGCTTCTATGAACACACCATCCCTCAACGCATTGGCTAGCAAAAAGAAAGCCAATGAGCATAGATTGATAGTTGCCAAGATGCTATTTATTCGCAGACTTCTAGACTCCTGGCTTCTAACGTCTGGTTCGATTGCTGCCAGAGACGAGCTTGTTTCCAGCTCCTTAAAATGGGCTTTGGAAGTGATTGTTTGCAAGAAGGTCGATCTGGATGTCATTCGATTGGCTTTAGGTATTATTCTTTCGGTTGATACCGCCTCTTTCGGAAGCGAACGAGTTTTCGTGGATGACAGCAGTCAGCTGTATGCTGCTCTGTTCAGGATGATCCCAACCCTCGCAGAGACATTCTACAATTGTTTGGAATACTCTCAGGAAAATGATTTATTGCAACCAAGAAGAACATTTACGCAGCTATTTCCTACAGAATTCCCGTTCACAGAGCATACATTTGATTCTGCTGTGAGCGATGAGGTTTTCTCTGAGGTATTGATTGAACTGGCTATTCTGATCTCCATTCACTCTAAAATTGCAAAAGGAAACAGTTCAGCGCTGTTGAAACTCATGGCTACCAAATACATATCACCGGCCTTTGAAAAATTGAGCCCATTGATTGGTGCTTCTGGAAACCACATGCAATCTCCAACTAGACCTTTCGATACCATGATATGGATAGCAACCATTTTCAGTTCGAGATACTATCCTTCGGAAAAATGGTTTTCGCTTCAATCGATCATCACAGAGGGTATTTTATCTTTGACTGAAGTTGTCTACCCTCTTTCTGTTCAGTTGGTTCCGACCTTGGATAAGCGCGACCTGTTCAATATCGACGCATGGCACAAATATCTCACCTCTATTCTTCACTGCGGTATTGCACAAACGTCATCATTGGAGCATCTGTTTGATATCCCACGGAAATGCTGTTTCCTGCTAACAGGGGATATTCGTACACGAACGGCTACCTTACTGGAAACAATTTGGGGAAACTTGGGACAGCAGGCATCAATGTCGGAGTTCAACAGATTCGGTGTTGGTAAATACAATGGTTTCCAACCGTTGTTCATTGTCAGCTCTGAGTATAGTCTTGTGCAACAGATTCTTTTGTTGTGTTTGCAGCGCAATGACAAGTGTTTGGAGGTTGGAGTCAACATGGTCTGGTCGATGATTGTGGCCGAATGGTCCAACAAGAAGAATTTTGAGGAACTTCGGAGATCATGCATTCTTTCTTTGTACGAAATCTTCCACAAAGAGACAGGCTATTACCCTGGCTCCGAGGAAATCGTCAGTTTTGTCACCAAACTCACCGCAAAGGTGACTTTGACCACTCAAGACGAAGCGTACGAACCGATCATGGAACTGATCAAGACACTATGCGACTACTTTGAGAACTTGATTGGGCTGCAAAGCATTCCAAAGGGAGATGATTTCGACGACGATAGAATGTACTACCAGCTCAGATTGTCGCATTTCCTGTTGAAAGAGGACCGTCCAGAAGTTTTCCAGTCTTTTGTGAACGACTTGTATGAGTCCAGTTTGGAGAAGGAGAACTATGTTCAAGCTGCTCTTTCGCTAGGTCTTTTGGCAGATACTTACACTTGGGACACGGAAACCGTGGTGGAAGCCTGCGAGAAACCAAAGTTTCCACGTGAGACCGTCTTCAAACGGAAAGAGCATCTGTACAAACTGATAGCCAGTAACTTGGTGAAAGGAAAACGACCAGAGCAAGCAGTGGAAATATACCAAGAGCTGCTTGACTCGTACTACAACTACAATTTCGATCTGATGGGACTGAGTCATTGTCATGGCGAGCTGGCTATGATTTACAAAGCGTTGCAGACCGTGGATCGTGTTGAGTCGACGTATTTCCGTATTGCGTTTGTTGGATCTGGATTCCCCGACTCCCTGCGAGACAAGGACTTCATCTACGAGGGAATGGCCTACGAGCATATCACCTCGATGGGACAGCGGTTGTCCAGACTGTATCCAGGCACGCACTTGATTGGCAGCGAAGACCATCTTCAAAGACTGAAAGATGAACAGCCAACAGGCAAGTATGCACACATCAAGGTTGTGAGTCCTGTGAAAGAGCTATCGAAGGACAAGCTGTCGTTCATGACGAAACAATATATGGACAACAAGAACGTGCGTCAGTTCCAAGCTGTTAGAAGACTTCCAGGATCCAAAGGTGTCGAGGATTTGTGGACCGAGGAAGTTTCATACGAAACATACACGTCTTTCCCGACATTGATGAACCGGTCCGAAGTCAAGGAGACTAAAGTTGTACGGCTATCTCCGTTGGAGAATGCACTGCGTTCGCTTACTGACAAAAACGAGCATCTACAAGATTTACAGTACAAAGCACAGCAGGCCATCAAGGACAATGCAGATCTGAGTGGCTTATCCGAATCTGCGATGTTTAGCGAGATTTCCCGGGTGGTTGCTGGGGCCGTGGATTCCCCAGTTAACGGCGGTGCAGGACAATATCGGGTATTTTTTAGTCATGAGACAGTTGAAGGGCTGAACGAGCTGGTACAACAACAATTTTGGGAGCTTGTGAAAAATTTATTCAACCTTTTAAAGCTGCATGGAGCGCTTGTTCCGGAACAACTTTTCGAGAATCATAAAACGCTTGTGGAGCTTTTCAGCAGTAATTTCAAAAAGGAACTGGACTTGCTGGACCTGCAAGTGAAGGATGCAATGGATATGGAGAAATTACGCGAGATAATTTTTGCGAGCTCGGCCTCAGACTCCGCATTGTCTTTGAATCTGACCCCAACCAACAGTAACGTTTCGATCCATTCGGACTCGTTGGAATCGAGGTTCTCGCAAAATCTATCGATTACCGGAGTTAGGCTCTTGTCGAAAAATAACAAGTAAATAGATCTCCGGCATTTCCATAATCAGCTGACTGCAGCAATAAAATATAGAATTCCTTTTTTCTCTGTTTGAATAGGAAACAATAATTGTCTGTTGCAGTTGCTCGTTTCATTTCTGGCAAATCCGGCATCCGGCATAACTAAAATTAGAGAAGTCGTGACAGATCTAATTTAGTAGTTTCTATTGTATTGTGTCAAACAAACCAAGGGGCAATCTATATATTCACTGGCCAGTCCTCCCCTTTTTTCGGTATTATTTATCGGTTGGTTGTTTTTGGAGATCCCATATGTCCAGATCTCATGTTTCGTCCGTCGACTCGGACAACTTGAGACGTCTGGAACATGCTTTGGTCAAGTTCCATTCCTACAAACGAAATACAACCTCCAAAACAAACATCCTTCGTCTTTCACTCTTGCCCTTCCTAAGAAGCACCACCACCCCATGGACCGCCCGTCCACTTTCCAATGTCGATCGCTCGTTGAAAGAACATTTCCTTGAACTTTCTGCTGTTTTACTGCGTTGGTGGAAGGCTCTTTTGGTGGCTGTCAAAGATCTCCATCAAATGACCGCCATTGACAGAAATTGCTATCTTGAAGGTATTTCCAGAATCGTGGGACGTCAGGAATGGCTGGAGATTGCGAAGTCCACTCAATCCGAACTCAAGTCCAAACATGACGCCCAGTTACTTGAAACTTTTGAGTTCTGCATAGCAAGACTTGACTTGAAAAACATCAGTCTACCTATCAACGCGTTTGTCGGGAAAATCTTCGCATACGCTTTCATCAAACTCCCAGACATTTCCCGTGGATTGTTGTTTTTGCTAAACTCAAGAGTCAGAAATTATAAAGAGTTTCACGATTTGGTCGTCTCGAACAAATCTCCGCATCACCCTATTTCGGAAGTCAACAAATCTGACTTCGATACCGTTATAGGTTCGACCCTCACATTTTTCCCAGCACATTTGCATCCTCTCATCAACTCCGCAAAGACTCCTCGGAAGACAAGATACAAGCTCGAAACGAAATTTTTAAACTCCATCAGTCCTCCTTCAGAGAAAATCAACGGTATAAGTGATCCACGTGGTTTGTGGTGCTCTAGATGGGCTTCCTTGGATAACATTGATCTTTTTTGTTCGTTCATGAGACACTACCTGACTCTGGTTTCGTTTAGCATGCAGCAAACAAGACCTTTGACAGCACAAGAAGTATATGCTCTACCTGGATTCCCATGTTTGATTACACACGTTTTTGAAATTATAGACTTTCATGTTTTCCAATCAACAAAGCATCCCAACGTTCCTTCTTTGGAGTCCCAAGTCAGCAAGATTCTCAAACTTTTACGGGACTTTCTAATGAACCCAAGACATGAATATGAAGCTGCTTTATCAATGGGATTTCTTCAATGCATGGACAATGCTTTGAAATTAATTTTCTACAAGACAACCATTTTCCAAATGGAAAGGGTTGATCTTTGTTTCGATATTTGGATGAACCTGATCAAAAGTATAAAGGTCACGACTCCATTTCTCTTGCAAGCAATCGATTGGAAATTTTGGATCAACACCGTTCTCAAAATGCTACACTCCCAATTCATCAATTGTGAATTAAAGGCTTTGTCGATTTTCTACCAGATATGGGATTACATTCCAACTAATCAAGCATTGGAAGCAGATTGGGTTTCAAACAAGAATGAATCTCTCAAGTACAACTTGACTGTTTATCTAACGAATCCTGAAAATTGGACCAAATTCTTTGGTCATTATCTGCCTCTTGTTCGCTGCTATTACATCAAATTGTTGGTTTGGAAAGTTCTTGGACTCGATTGTCTGAATCTCAACATGGATGGCACATTTGTCGATGTTTTGACAGCCAAAAGAATTCAAGCTATAGTGAAGTCGCGACTTGATCAAAGTTTCGAGCTCTCCAAATTACAAGAAGTGGTCCCAACCGATCCGATTCTCAATAAGAAGTTCATTATTTCGTTCATTGGATCCAAGGACGATCCAAAGAAAGATATCATACGGTCGCATCCATATGAGATTTTAGACGACGCTGTGTACACATGTGCCAACTTGTCTACAGCCAACAACTCTGCTACCAGTCTTTCCTCATCAACAAGTTCATTGTCTTCAACCACATCCGCCAGCAATTCTAAGTCAAGGTTGGCACCAACATGGGTGTCTAAATTATTTAAGAAGAAGGCAGATGAGGAACCTTCCGTTCCCGAACCTCAGCAGGGCCTGCCTGCTCCTTCTTTATCCTCGCAGTCATTGACATTATCGTCAAAATCATCATCCCCTAGTCTTCTGTCTTCGGGTACCTCATTCAGTTCGCCACAATCGTCTATGTCCTCTGTCGAGTTTATCGACAGCAATCCGGACTCTAATTATAAACCCAATATGCCCATTGAGCTCTCTTTACGTGTCCCTGATCTGAGCAAGCCTCTTTTCAAGTTCCAGCTGGTTCTGAACGAGAAAAAGATCCACGATACTTTGAAGCAACTCAAAGATTACAATTCTACAAAATTTGTTGTGGGTGATAACAAGCGCTATAATACCAAGCCAAAGCTGCCTGATCTTGGAGTTGACACGAACAGTAGTTCTTTGAGCGATGAAAGTGATATTGACACAGACTCTCGCAGTCTCGATTTCCAGTTCCGCTCAACTTTGGTTTTGGACGAGAAACCTTTCGATTTCGGATCGATTTCCGCAACGCCAACATATGCCAACGCAATCTATGAGTATAACCAGATAGTGACGGAGTTCGAACGCTTCATCAAGGAGAGACTCGATAATTTGTCTGGAGCCAGCACTCCAATGGAAACGACGCTTTTCACACTCGAAGATGATCTTCCAGCCTCTATTCCGCTGCTTCTCTCCGAATCTCCTGAAAAGTTAAATGCATATTAAGCGTTAGTGTATCAGTTATATTGTCCTCAATTGTAATATCTAATATTGTTTAAGAAGCGTGTCTAAGTTTAAAATGGATTCGTCCTCTTTTTTAATTTGCGGTCTTGTTTCGTAGAATCGGAAGATCCCAAGGGTCGTGATCAAGCAGATAAATGAGCTCATGGTCCAGAACAAAAGAATGCCGATGAGTGATGATAATTTCGGATAATGGGCAAGGTACCAGCGCAGACCATTATACTTGATCTCGAGTTGGAGAACTGCATCTTCTAGGAACACTTGGTTATTGTTGAACTCCACCACCATTTTCATATGTTTGGAGTTCTCTAGTAGTGTTTTGAAGTCACCAGACGTGAGTAACACTGTCTTTAATGGTGGTATTATTGAGACAAGATGTAATTTATAATTTGGGGTGACATGGAGGTAGCGAGCAAGGCCGGTAGGGGTGAAATGCTTCTCGATCAGAGGTGGAAGTAAAGAGTTGTTTTCTTGGCAATCCAGAGCGAAATATTGAGTGTTGACAAAGTAGATACCTCCCGCAGGCACTATTTCTCCTCCACCACTATGGAATTGACTATGTTTCTTCATATACCAAGACTTCCACAATCCAAGCGCATTCTGGCTCGGGCGAGTTACCTCATTGACCCAGTGTCTGGTGAATGGCCACTCCCAGTTGACATTTCGAGGACCGTTTGAATGCTCTGAGAATGCTGCAGATCTTTTCAGGTTATCTGTGATCGGCCATAAATTGACAAATTGTGATTTTGTTTGAACCTGTGGGATATCCCAAACCCATGGTCGTAGCTCTTCCTCAAATATTGTATCGTCCAGAATAGAGAAGCGTGTACCGACAATGAAATTGGCCGATTTCAAGCAATTGGGTTGAAAAGATATGGAGATTTCGTACTCGGAAACAGGATCAAACAATATGCTGTTGTCTGAAACAGCTGCCAATCTAGAAAAGATGTCACCCATATTAAGAATTTGATAGGGTCCTCTTTCACGCATTTCATAGTTGAGATTTAAAGACTGCTGATAAAGAGGAGTGGGAACAAGTTTGTGGTAGAAGTAAGCAAACGATACAATAGACCATGGTAACAACACAAGAAAAATTGATGCTAGCACTATCACTGTGTATAGGGTTGTTCGCGTGAAAAGCAATGGCGTTGAAAGACTGATAATCATCAACTGAAGAAGAAAGGAATAGATCTAAACAAATACCATTAATTTTATAGTGGGCTCGATTAAGTAATGTGGAGGGGGGATTTTATTTAGTCTGGGCGGCTAAGAGCTAGTTACCGAAGAAACAGCTACGATATTGAACCGGCTGGTTGCCATGTGTGAAATGTGTTGGGTGGGGGGGAACGAAGCTTCATAATTTTTCACTCTAAAAACGGCTATATAAAAAAGTCTTTAAAATGTATACTGGCGGTCCTTTCTCGGCGGGCTCGAGTAGTTGATGCTAATGTGTTGTAGAATTTGTGCGATTAGTACTTCAACGACACTTTCAAAGTGTAAGAAGCTGTGAACGGTAGACAAATTGCAAGTGCGATATAATGACAAATGTAAGACATGGCCAAACAATCGACCTGTGTGTGGTCTTGGTAGTCGGGAGGTGTGTAAAATGCGGTCAGATAGATGTTTGATGTAGCAGGTGGCATACAAAAAACTAGATTAGAGACAAAATAAAGGATCGGGTCGTTGTAGAATAGACCATCTTTGTGAACTTTTGAATTGAGTGCGCAACCAATCACTGGCAATAGCACTAGTCTCACTGCAGTAACAACCAACGGTGTCCTCCAACGGCTCAATGGGATGTTCTTGATTCTTAGTCGACCAATTGTTCCACCAAGGATCAGCAATCCAAATGGCACTTGTGCTGCTCCAATATATGATGTAATGTCCATGATAAACGAAAGTGGGGGCAGCTTGTCTGGTGCGGGAGAAATGTGTGCCTGATCTGTTTGAACAAATAAAGCCTTCACCCATGGAATCATACAAATGGTGATCGCAATTATCATGGCAATGGAAATTGGCTTCTGAAGACTTTCAACCAACAAAAAAAAGACGCTCTTGAAGAGCCCCAAAAAGCCATTTCTTGAGAGAATCTGCGACTTGGGTGCTACTTGCAAGTCTGCGGGATCGGACATCTTCACTGTTCCTGTTGCCAGCTCGCTAAAGCGCGAATATTGTCTCACCACGTCGGCCATGTTCTCGGACGGAAGTTCCCGAAGACTATGATTAGAGGTTGCGGACGCGACACTGTCTCTACGACCAAGATCAAGGCCTCTGTGTGTGTTGGAGCCAGTGTTTCGAACGGAATTTTCCTTTTCTCGTAAAAATCGTAAATGATTTCCGCGATCGCTGTTGTCGTCTAACGAAGAGTCTATGCTCAGATCTGACGTATGCGTAGGTGCACGGTCCATATCATCCAACTCTTGTGTCGAATCAGATCCGTTAGGCGATTCTTCCTCGTCTTGTAAATTTTTGGTGTTGGCTGCTTTCAGTGCATCTCGGAAATCGAACTCGATCAGTCTATACAATCCGAGATTGAATTGGAAAAGCACTTGAATCACAGTGTATATGCAATCAAATGAGACTCCTCGGTCAACATTCGAGAGAATTCCCGAATCCTCGAGACTTTGCAAGTATGCGATAGGGAGATCTGAGATGTTAGGAAAAAGTCCCACGCTTATCAGACCCCCATACCAGACTTTGGGACATCGGGTAGCCAGGCCTGCAAGAAAGCATAAAAGAGCACCACCGAACATGTTGAAGAGTCCTAAAAAGGCTATCGTTCCTATTTGTGCGATGTCCGAGTTATCAATATTAGTCACAATCTTATTGAACATTAGCGATGGTAGAAGTACCATGATAGCGATGCTGCTGAGGTTTTTGGTTGTATCAACAGACAAGATGTTTCTACGTGATAGATAGAATCCTATGGCTATCAAAGCGTAGATCTTGAACATTGGCTTGACTGCCAAGTAGATGACTTCTCCTAAGGGTACGCCCATTTTGAAGTGGAGAAAAAAAAAGCACAAGCAACTAATATTTTAGTATGTAATAATAACTAATGTAGAGCTTCAAGAATTTCTATGGTAACTTCATCCGACATCGGGAATTTTTCCTCAATGTTTTCCGGGTGCAAATGAGGGAAGTCTCTTTTGATGATTTGCATCAGTTCGTCGTAAAATATCTCGTACCCTTTGCCAGTGAAATGAACCCCGTCGCTAAGAAGCTCTGTACTAGTAAGTCCCGACTTGACAAACGCAGCATGTAAATCCAAAGTGGGAGAATTGTATTCCTTGCAAACTTCGTCTATCGCGTCGCCATATTGCTTTTGAATCTCGCTACTTCTGCGTGCTCCCGTTTTCAAGTCCTCGGGATGAGTTTTGTCCCATGCAAACTCATCGTGGATCGAAGGCTTGATGGTAATCACAGGAATGCCTCTTTCCTTGAATTGGCTCAATAGCGTGGCGATATTCTGCGAGTACCGTTGCAATGGAACATGCTGTCTATGATCCCCTGGCAATCTAGAATCGTTTGTACCAAAAAATAGCCAGGCCAGTTTCACTTGCTCGGCTTCAGGCTTGGTGTCATGCTCGTATTGGAGGATCTTGGGAAGCAGGTGCAAAGCCTGTTCCGAGTTGTAGCCCCTAAAACCCCTCTGAACTATCTGGAATTTTCTTCTGTAGTCATTTGAAAGGGCTGCACCCAAAGAAAATTGGAGTAAGTCTGTCTTTGGCTCAATGTACTGCTTAAAAGCAAACTCTGTGATCGAATCACCAAATAACAGGAACTTGCCGTGCTGGAACTGACTCATCTTGACGGCTAACTATTAAAGTAACGGCTAAAATGCACGGCCTGTAATTTGCATGCTGCAGGCGGTGTAAGGCGGCGTCGGCGTTTCCTTAGTTTGAATAGGGGAACGAATCGGTATTCTTAGGGGAAAAAATCGGGAGCGGGCTTCATAACCATCAAGTTCGGGAGGGCGACGCTGGCACCCAGTTAGGTAATTTGGGTTTTTTGGAATGGCAAAAAGGAAAAGCTGTCTCCTGATATAGATATGTTTGGCCAGACTGCAAACGATTCAACACAACCGATCAACATCAGCTTTTCGCGGTCAGGGTCTGTCTACCAGAATCCGCGGATTCGAAGGGAGAGCATAGCCCATTCGCAGGGGATGGGAGGGATTTCATGGGGGTCCGTTACGATTGGTTCTTGGCTGAAAGATGAGGTTATGTTGCACGCTCAGCAACAACAGAATACACATAGCAATACTTTATCACCATTTCTGGGTGCTAATCACTCGATGAACGCTCATATGATTACTAATAATTTCGACAACCTCAATAGGAATGATAGTCTAAGCATGGCCTTTTCGCCCAGCATGAATAATACCTCCTATTTGGCAGACTTGGAGGCCACCTATTGCAAAGACTACTCCTGCTGCGGTCAGCTTCTTCCGACGTTGCACGATCTACTCAGACATTACGAAGAGATGCACATCCAGCCTGAACAACCCCTGGAAACTCCGAGAGCGCGGCCCGTGAACACGGCGATGGATACTGTGAGCACCAACGAGGTGTTTTTGTCGCATCAAGGAGGAGCAGACGGAAACTTACAGCCTCAGCAAACCCAAGCGCATGGAGTTGCTGATACTTTGGGTGCGTTTGGATTCAACCAGCAGCAGACCTCTGACGACCAATACCAACAATCTAGAATGGGATACACGATGCAATACCAACAGCCACAGCAGATGAACAACCAACAAAACAACCTTGGACAGCTTGGGCAGCCCGCTCTTCAACAACAGCATCCTACACTGTTCCAAATGCCTCAACGACAGCAATCGCCGCTTTCTGCGCAACCAACGCCTCGTTCTAATCACGCTAACGTGGCGCCTCCACGAGCAGGATCTCCTCGTCAGTTCGCGATGGACGAAGACGAGGACATGGATGAAGATAATGAGGTGTGTATAGACGATCCGGCAAGACATTTGTACGTGATGGAGCAAGGCGAGAGTCGGCCTTTCAAGTGCCCGGTGATAGGATGTGACAAGAACTACAAGAACCAGAATGGACTGAAGTACCACAGGCTTCATGGTCATCAGAACCAGACTTTAAGGGCCAACCCAGATGGCACATTCTCTGTGATCGACCCCGAGAGCGACGCTCCGTATCCTGATGGAATGGGTATGGAAAAGGACAAGCCATACCGCTGCGAAGTGTGTGGCAAACGGTACAAGAACCTCAACGGTTTAAAATACCACCGTGGACATTCGACGCATTAGGAAGTAGTAATAATAGATTAGGGGAGGATAGTTGCGCTGTAAAAAATGCTTGAGTTACTTCGGAAAATTATTTGTCATTAAGCAATCTAATTTCATCTACTATGCCGATTTACTACACCTTGGTTTTGGGTCTATTATTGACCGAGACAGTTCTGTTTGCTTTGATCTCGCTGCCATTGCCAAGCAAGATCCGTGGTCCGCTGCTCAAGACGCTTAGCATTCCCTTTCATTCGCAGCATTTCCAGATCGTACTAAAGTGTATTCTTGGTTTCATTCTTGTGCTGTTCATCGACTCCTTCAACAGAATGAACAAGATCACCAATGAGCTCCATGCTCACCAGGATAACCCTGTGACTGGTGCGATTGGAATTCACGAGTCTCGGTCTGAGATTCAGGCCAGAAGATTCTATGCGCAAAGAAACGCTTATTTGTGTGGATTCACCCTGTTCCTCACATTGATCGTCAACAAAACTTTCTCCTTGGTGTTTGAGTTGCTCGCAATCAAGGAAAAGCTTAGAGAACACGAGAAGACCAGCAAAATCCAGGATCTCGACACCGTTGACGAAGACTCTGTGAAAGAGCTCAAGTCCAAGATTTCGGAGCAAGACGAAACCATTGAGAACCTCAAATCCCAGGCAACTGCGTTATCCGATGAGTATGACGGCCTGTCTCAGAGAAAATCATAGTTTTCTTATTGCTTCTCGTACGAGTTGCTCTTATGTTTAGGAATGAAACTGAATCCGTCACCGGCTTTGCCAAGGAACATCTCTGTAATCTTGATCCAGTCCTTGTAGTCCGGCGATCCCAAAAGAGTCTCCAAGTCGTTTCTACCCTTCCAAGGAGGTGGTCTCTCATTGAGCTTTGGTGGAAGACGCTCCAGAATTCCAACTGGAATGTAACGATGAGTGAACGAGATGAACTCGCAAAGGTAACGTCTGGCACTGTTGACACCATACTCGTCGCTTCCCCAGTGTTGGAGAGCAAACTTGGCGTACTTCTCCAAGTATCCCAACCGTTCACTGGACGATTTGTCCAAATATTGCTGTGCTTCCACTTCTTCAAAAATCCATGGCTTGATAAGAGCTCCACGTGCAACCATCACCGAGTCAATTCCCTCGTCATTGGTAGCCTTGTACCAATCTTCGTGCGTGTAGCAGTCTCCGTTTCCGACAAAGTATACAGGCTGTTTGTCCGTCTCGTCTTTATTCTCTTGTTGCTGTTCGTTATAATCTTTCACAATTGCCCCCACTTTACTGATGTACTCCCAGTCAGCTGCACGAGTGTATCTCTGTTGTCTCGAACGTCCATGCAGAGTAATAGCAGCAGTATCTGTCTCGTTCAAGACACGTCTGACCAAATTCTCGGCCACAGGCTTGTCATCCTTCACACCCATCCGAATCTTGACAGTGACCGGAATTTCTCCTGAGGAGTAGTTCATACCTTTCAAGATACGCAGCAGCCTGGACGGACTCTCCATGAGTGCCGATCCCTCTCCTTTACGGTAGAGCATGTCGATAGGACATCCGCAGTTGAGGTTCAGCTCAGAAACGTGATTGGTGAGAGTCTGGATTGCCTCGGCGGCTTTGCATGCCTGCCAGTGCTTTGCAGAAGCGATCTGGACACCAAATCCAGGATACTCGCTTTCGTGAGCTCTTGGAAGGGCCCATTCCGAGTTGGACCCTTGAATGAGCGGCAAAGCAAGAGCCATCTCGGAGTATGTGACATCAGCTCCCAAACTGCGCATCAACCTACGGTACGGCAGGTTTCCCACGGTGGTCAACGGAGAGACGATCTTGGCGTTCTTGAGGTTTAGCTTCTTCTTCTCTGCGGTTTGGAAACGAGCTTCGGTGTATGTAGCAGCATTCAACTTAGCAGGGTCGTCCTGTTGCAGCTCCCGCTCTTCTTTCGTCATGCTATTCTTTTCGTCATTAACAATAACCACACTATCCAAGAACTTGACAACCTCGTCAGAAACTGGCATTGGAAACTTCTTCTTCTGAAGCTGACTCTTGGTAGCAGGCGAGATCCAGTTGACTTCACCGTAGTGATCTTTCTTCTCGACATTTTCTTTCTCGAGTAGCAGTCCGGACTCCTTGCTGTAATGCGATCCAAGCCACCGACATTTCAGTCCCGCAGGACAATATCCAATGGCCTCATACACAGGACAGACTCCGTCAATATCCGCAGGCTTGGAGTCAAGATACGCCTGGACATCATGCGAATAACGACATTTATCAACTCCAAAAGAACATTCTTTCTTGTTATTTGGATCAATAATGGAAGAACAAAGCTTGACCTCGTCGTGGGCTTGACGAAGATCTCTCTTCTTGTTCTGGCCTCTTTTCTTGTCCTTCTTGCTTTCTTTTTCACCAGAAGTGTGCTTTGAAGACTCTGCTTCATCGTCGTTGTAGTCTGCCGTCACACCTCCAACAACAAGGTATTCGGCCTTGATTGGAGCAACACCTTTCTCCAACCGCGGTTTCACATTTCTGTCTTGGGAGTCTTGCTCCCCGGCACGCTTCTTATCGACCTCGATCTCACTCATGAGTAAAATTTTATTTTGCACAGCCAGCTGAAAAATGAAAAATTCACGGCCCTGCATGATTTCGGGGCAGAATAAGAAGTTGTCCTAGATCAGCAGGGGCAGCTCAAGTTGTTGAAATTGAGTAGCATATTTCGTCTAAAGTACTGTTTAACGTGCTTCTGCATATACATACCAAAGATTAAAGTTTCTACATTGAAGTTTGCGATTCACAGGGAGCCAAGAATAAACTTTGCGGGTATTGGCCCAGTCAAGAACAGAACAGGTTGAATAACCAACCTCTGCTATCCATAATCTATCTTCTTGACCAGTGTCCACTAACTGCCACCAATGGACCTCCCAGCTCCCAGACACAAGGATAACTCTTTATCAATTACTTAAGCATCTTTTTCAAGATCATCTAATAACTTGAAAATTTTCAAGTCACTGATAATAAAACTTTAATCAATTTGATTTAGACATTTGGAAAATGGAAAAAACCAACGTTCTTGTTGTGGGGAATGGTGGCCGTGAACACGCTCTTGTGTGGAAACTGGCCCAATCTCCTTTGGTGAAAGAAATCTTTGTTGCTCCAGGTAATGGTGGATTTACCCAACTTGAGAACGTGACCAGTGTGGCTATTGGCTCTTCTCCAGCCGACTTTGACAAGTTGGTGGAGTTTGCCTTGAAGAACGATGTTGGTCTTGTTATCCCTGGTCCTGAACAGCCTTTGGTTGATGGAATTTCCACCTGGTTTCAAAAGGCAGGCATTCCTGTCTTTGGACCTAGTGCTAAAGCTGCCAGAATGGAGGGTTCCAAGTCTTTCTCCAAAGACTTTATGAAGGCCCACAACATTCCCACCGCCGCCTACGAGTCGTTCACCGATTACGAAAAGGCCAAGAAGTACATTGATGAGTCCAACTACAACTTGGTTATCAAGGCTTCTGGAACAGCTGCAGGAAAGGGCGTCTTAATCCCTGCTAATAAAAAGGAGGCCCATGAAGCCATCAAGGAGATCATGGTGGATAGAAAGTTTGGCTCTGCTGGAGACGAAGTTGTCATTGAGGAATTCCTTGAAGGTGACGAGCTCTCCATCTTGTGTTTGAGTGATGGATACTCTTTCTTTGACCTTCCTCCTGCACAGGACCACAAGCGGATTGGCAACAACGACACTGGTCTCAACACGGGTGGAATGGGTGCTTACTCGCCTGCTCCAATTGGAACTCCTGCTTTGTTGGAGAAGATCAGAAAAACTGTCTTGAAGCCAACCATCGACGGTATGAGAAAAGACGGCTATCCAATGGTTGGATGTCTGTTTGTGGGAATAATGGTCACTCCTGCTGGAGAGCCAAAGGTTCTCGAGTACAACGTCCGTTTCGGAGACCCAGAGACCCAGACCGTGTTGCCATTGCTGAAGTCTGATCTTTTGGAGATCATGTTGGCTACCGTGGAACACCGTTTGGACAGTGTCGACTGCCAAATCTACAACAACAAGTTCAGCACTACTGTGGTGATGTCTGCTGGTGGTTACCCAGACGCTTATAGAAAAGGTGACGAGATTACCGTCAAAGAGCCGTTGCCTGCAGACACGTTCATTTTCCACGCTGGAACCAAACTTGTTGACGGCAAGGTTGTGACCGCTGGTGGTCGTGTCATTGCTGCTACTGCTGTGGCCGACAGTTTGAAAGATGCTGTCAAGAAGGCATACGTTGGTGTTGATCACGTGACCTTCAAGGACAAGTACAACCGTACAGACATCGCACACCGTGCGTTCAGAGAGGATAGATCGCAGAGCAAGGTTTCCATCACATATGAGGACTCTGGAGTTTCTGTCGATTCCGGTAACAAGCTCGTTGAGCAGATCAAACAGAGCGTCAGATCTACCAAGAGACCGGGAGCAGACTCCGAGATTGGAGGATTCGGAGGTCTTTTCGACCTCAAGCAGGCGGGATACACTGACATCAACAATACTTTGCTTGTTGCTGCCACCGATGGTGTTGGAACTAAGCTGAGGGTGGCCCAGATTATGGACATTCACAACACCGTTGGAATTGACCTGGTTGCCATGAATGTCAACGATTTGGTTGTTCAAGGAGCTGAGCCATTGATGTTCTTGGACTACTTTGCAACTGCACACCTTGACATCAAGGTTGCTGCTGCATTCGTGGAAGGAGTTGCCAATGGTTGCAAATTGTCTGGCTGTGCACTTGTTGGAGGAGAGACCAGTGAGATGCCAGGAATGTACGCTCCAGGTCATTACGACACCAACGGAACTGCTGTTGGAGCTGTGATCAAGAAGGATATTCTGCCAAAGGTTGACGAAATGAAGGCCGGTGACATTCTTCTTGGTATTGGGTCTGACGGTGTTCATTCCAACGGATTCTCGCTGATCAGAAAGATCATCGACACCACGGACTACAAATACACCGACCCTGCTCCATGGAAGCCAGAGTCTACCATTGGAGAGGAGATTTTGATTCCTACCAGAATTTACGTCAAGCAGCTGCTACCTGCTACCAAACAGGGATTGATTCTCGGATTGGCCCACATCACCGGTGGTGGATTGATTGAAAACATCCCAAGAGCCCTGCCAGACACTCTGAGCGCTGTTTTGGATATGAACCAATGGGAGGTGCCCGAGATCTTCAAATGGCTTGGAAAGACCGGCGGAGTGCCAATCCCCGACATTCTCAAGACTTTGAACTTGGGTATTGGTATGGTGGCCATTGTCAAGCCAGAGAATGCCGACAAGGTCACCCAAATACTTCGCGAAGCTGGAGAGAAGGTCTACACCATTGGTAAACTTGTTGAGCGCAAACAACTTCCAGGCTGTGTTGTTAACAACACGCACGGCTTATACTAAATCTGTCTAGTTTTTCTAATTAAAAAAATGATGTGCTGCCATTCTTGGCCACGTGCAGCTGCCCTAGAATAAAAATTTTAAAGCTAAAAAAAACCTCACTCTCACCTTATTTACCTGTTTCGACAATAGATGAGCATTAAGAGCTAGTGGCCAATAACGTAGGCATTTAAGTTTTATAAGAAACCTCTTTGGGTACGATTTTGTCCACTTTATGATCAAAAAAGAGCCTCCTTAAGCGAATTCCAACTGCAGACCAACCTCCCAATATGTCTGATCGCGGATCCTCCAGATCGCGTTCACCAGTTATTTCGGTGAACTCAACCCATGACGAGGCATCAGTGCATTCCAGCATTAGTGATGATTCTCGTTTGAACGACCACAGAAACCAAAATATGACACTCCCTGTCAAGACAGACTCTCGTTTGCAAACAGATGCGGCTAGAGTATCCAGAGCAGGGATTTTCGATTCTTCTGATGCCAACGCGCGTGTTTCTAGAAAACCAGACCAGCTGTTGGATTCCAGTGAACTAAGAGACAGAATGGTGGCCGTCGATGACGAGGACGAGGATGACAACTTTGCTATCAAGATCTCGTCTCCAATGCCACCTATCCAGGAACGTCGTCGTTCTCGTGCTCGGTCCCGGTCTTTTGGCGAACAAGTCAAGTCTTTCATGAAACCTCGTGAGGACTCCTTCTCTGGTGGAATACTGCTTCCTCCAAGTTCGAACGTCAACCAGGACAAAAACATCACTATTGCCTCCAATAATCATCTGGGAAGAACAATTTCCAGAGCAAGCACTAAAAGTGATAAATCCCGCAGACGCCCAAGTAATTCGATGCAGAAGGATAATCAAAGCGACAACGATAGTGACAGAGACTCGCGTGCTTCCAACGATTCCCAAGAAACAGAGGAGGACGTTTGTTTCCCTATGGTTCCAGAGCACATTCGAATTGAAGGGATTGATTTCGACGAGATTGAGGAATTTATCAAAGATCAGAGAGAGGAGAACGAGATCTTTATGAGAAGAGAAGAAGAACTTAGAAAGAACGTGACCAAGGCTACCGGTTCTGAGAAATTCAGTACCTCTGCTCTCAGATACACTCCTCGTGTTGAGGAAAAAGACTCCGAGGACAGAGAGCCAATCTCCAAGGAATACGGTGTCACTGACAGCAGTGATAGCGAAGCCAATGGAGTCACCTTTGAAAGAGCATTCAGTGCTAAAGAGTCTGTTCCTCCTGACAGATTTAGTTTCTTCTCGTCTGAAGTTGAAGAGACGATCCATGCACCAGACATTCCTTCTCTGGTCCCTCCTGGCGCTCAATTCCAGTCTCTGTTTCAACATGAAGATGCTACCTGGTGGATTGATTGTATTTGTCCAACGGATAACGAAATGAAGATGTTGGCCAAGGCTTTTGGAATCCATCCTTTGACGGCAGAAGATATCCGTATGCAAGAAACTCGTGAGAAGGTGGAGTTGTTCAAGAACTATTATTTCGTTTGTTTCCACACATTTGAAACAGACAGCGAGAGTGAGGATTTCCTTGAGCCAATCAATGTGTATATCGTTGTTTTCCGCAACGGTATCCTTACTTTCCACTTTTCCCCTATTTCTCATCCTGCTAGTGTGAGAAGAAGAGTGAGACAATTGAAGGATTACGTGAATGTGAGTGCTGATTGGTTGTGTTACGCTCTGATCGATGACATTACTGATGGATTCGCTCCTGTGATTCATGCCATCGAATACGAGGCTGATGCAATTGAGGACTCTGTGTTTTTGTCTCGTGAAAACGATTTTGGAGCCATGTTGCTCAAAATCGGAGAGTCGAGACGCAAAGTTATGACGCTCATGAGGCTTCTGCAAGGTAAAGCAGACGTTATCAAGATGTTTGCCAAACGGTGTCAGGATGAAGCATCGACTCCACAAAATGCTGCGCAACCTCGTGGAGACATCGCGTTGTTCTTGGGTGATATTCAGGACCATATTATCACCATGTTCCAATCTCTGTTGTCCTACGAAAAGATCTTCAGTCGGTCGCACTCTAATTACCTGGCTCAGTTACAAGTTGAATCGTTCTACTCTAACAACAAAGTGACAGAGATGCTTTCGAAAGTGACCATGTTAGGTACCATTCTTGTTCCGTTGAACTTGGTGACCGGATTGTTTGGAATGAACGTAAAGGTCCCAGGACAAGAAGTTGACAGCTATCAATGGTTCGGAGGTATCATTGGGTTCATTTTTTTCCTCATTTTAGCATTCGGACTTGGAGCCACCTTGTATCTGCGACTGGTCAATAGGTCTCCATCGTCAGAGCTTCGTCCAGCAGGAAGATCGATTCGGAGCTTCCATTTCGGCAAACGCCAGAATGTCGAGCCTCAGCGTGGACGGAGTAATCGGTCGATGATCAGTTTACCTTCCAAATTCACTCGGTACGGTGATTGGTAATTTGTACTAATAGAATTATAAAGAAATTTGCAAATGTAGAAGGAAAAAATATTCCTTGGCAAATCGTCTATTGATGAAAGTTCGAGGTATTTGCGTGTTTACCGCGTTATTCGGTCTGGCGCTTAGTTCGATAGATGAGGTTGACCAGCGCTTATCACAGACTGGCGCCTCGCTCGAGATTCTTCAAGATTACGACGCAATTCTGGCCGATCTACGCAAGGCTGATTCTCAAGACCCAGCTATTGCCAACGTGTTGTACAAGCACGGGTTGGTGAACTTCTCATTGAAGCGCGATAGATTGGCTTTGCAAGACTTCCAAGCATGCTTGGAGGGCAATCCCAAGCATCAAGGGTGTTTGGACAGGTTTGCCGAGCTCTGTTTGGAAATGGGCGAGTATGATCTAGCCCATGAAAAAGGCATAGAGGTTTCAGAATACCAGAGACTTGAAGCAGACATTGTCAAATTGTATGAAAAGAAGAAATATACCCAAAGCATCAAAAAAGCATCAGAATTGATACAGCTGTCTCCAGCCAACATGAGAGTGCGAAAACTCGTGGTGGACTGTTTAAAGAAATCCCAGTTGGACTTCAATTCAAAAGTGCAGCAACTTGTTGATCAGTACACTGTTCTGGTGAACAACGAACGTGATGTTGCAGAATACAGCGATCTGTTTGATCTGCAACTATTTGGAAAAGGAAGCGATTTTGGAAGTTGTTCAAAAATCTTGAAAACATGCTTGAAATATGATAACGACTATGCTCCGTGTCGTGACCGGACCAAGATGACTGTAAAGATGAACAAGTTTTTGGAGTTGTTCAATCAGGTTTCTATTTACTACTCCTACTTGTACTCGGAGGAAGGAGACTTGGACCGCGTTGAGGAGCTGGAACCAACCGAGTCTGTGTGGAAACAGTCCCACGAACTGCTATTTGGCAAGGTGAAGGCTAGAAGTGGCGAAAAATGGTTTGGTGTCGACGTTTCAAAACCAGCGACCAACTTGGATCTTTTGGTTGATTTGAGTGTTTCGGCGCTGGAGCCGTTTGGATTTTCCAAGCAGGAGATCTTGGAGAATAGCGCTTTTCTACGAGACCTTTCACTTCTTGCCAAGGAATCGTGTGCTCGAACAGGAACCCGCTACAGGGGACAACTGAAATGTAGGGATGAGATACTTCCTGAGCAGTTCAAGGAGATTGACAAACTGATCAGCAAGAAACAGTTCAACGAGGCAAAACAAAAGCTGGACTCGATGCGGGCCGGGTTCAAAAAGAGCTCGTTATGGAAGCAAAGAGACGAGCCGATACAAAAGCATAGAGAAAACGAGCAACGACAAAGACACTACCAGCAACAACGGCAGTACCAACAGCAACAACAACAGCAACGACAGTACCAGCAGTACCAGCAGATGCCTCCACAGAGACAATCCAACGGGGTTGATCCGTACAAAGTTCTTGGAGTTTCAAAAGACGCTGACGAAGGTACCATAAAAAAAGCATACAGAGAGAAGATGAAGCAGAACCACCCAGACAAGCTGAAGAACTCGAATTTATCGCAGGACGAGATCGAAAGCAAGGTGGCCGAGATCAACAACGCGTACGAAACGTTGTCTGATCCGCAGCAGAAGCAGGATTACGATGATCAGTCGAACGGAGGAGCCCGGTTTGGAGCCGGAGGAGGCTTTGGCAACCAGATGTTCCAACAAAACGGGCCTTTCCAGTTCAACTTCCAATATGGCTCATTTGGGCAAAAAGCAGGTACTGGCGGTGCCCGAATGAAGAGAAAGCCACGAGGATGACCTAATAAATTATCTGCATCATACCTTTGAACCGGTAATGTCCGATATATTCTCTAGAAAATTATAACGTGATCTAAAAAAAGGCGAAATAAATAACTATCCCCATTACCAGTACTCCGCTTCCTTTTAAGGAACTATGTTAAAATCGTTCACTTCCAACTCCCTCAAGCAGGGACAGCGGGTTTCCAGCAAGGCGCTTCAGCACCAGCCGGCTCCGCAAACAAGATTGTTGAACAGTCTGGTTGAGCAACAAAGCTCAGGACAGCCGTTCAACACCAAGAAATACAACAATCAGGGGAGGTTTTCCCGTCAACAGTTGAATCGAGGCAACCATCCGGTTTCTGCTCACGAACTGGCCAACAGTAACTGGCGGCAATTTACCCCCGATGACGCAAACGTCCATCGGGATTTGACAGCTTTTGATCAGTGCCTACAACAAAATTCCACATATGATCTGGCCACCGGCCGGGTGAGTGGCGGGGCTGACGATTTCTGGGCCGCAGTGAGGAAAATCATCCCACTGTACCGTTCTTTGGTTCACACGGGCGCCCTGGATGAAAAGAGAATGGGCGATTTTGTCTCCCTTCTCCGCAACGGGCTTCGAATTCACAGACTGGAATTATCCAAGCTCAACAAAAATTTGGATAAAGACTCGACGAATCCGATCAAGAACATCCATTATCTTCTTACATGTGCTATTAGAGAGGTTTCTTACAACCTATTAGACGGCTCTGTTACTCTGAATGCTCATGGTCTGACTCATCTGTTCAAGGCGTACAAGGATCTTGGGTTCACTTTCGAGGCTGTTCACATTTGGGAGGCCGGCAAGAATAACCCAAAGTTGAACCAGCTGTTTACATCGGAGCCAGTTCTTGGCTCCATCTTCCCGTTTTTAGTCGAAAGCGGGGACTTTGATTTCCAAGAAGTTTGGAACATGTATGAAAAAATCAAGGCGGGTAAAAGTCACCATGAGAAACTTCATAACGAGTTGCAAGTTGGAATGATCAGAGTTTGTCTTTTCAAGGGACACACTCAAGATGCTTTGAGTATTTTCCAACAGCTGAGCTCGGACGTTTACTCCAGATTCATCTCCAAAGGTATTGAGCCACCAATCAACGTGAAAAGCTATATGACCATGGCACACTTGTCTTTCATTGGCTTCAGTAAGGACATCGGAACAGCTGATGTCTTCTTCAAAGACGCTGTCAACGAGAGCATGCCGTACTTGACTCCGTTGCAATTGAACTTTGTCAAGAAATATCTTGCAAACACATGGGAAATCACGCAGGATTTTGAGAAAACCAAGCAAATCTGGCTCACCACTTGGAAAGACTACGAAACAAAGCGCACTTCGAACTCTTCTGTGTCGTCGTCTTTGAACGACTCGTTCTTGTCTATTTTCTTTGCCAAATATCCAAACTACACGGATTCTGCATTCCAGGAGCTCCAACAGCTTGTGAATGACTACAGCTCGATCCGGACGATTGATGAGCCATTTGTGAACGTGTTGTTGTCCAAGAGCACTGTCTGGCACAACGCCAAGATCTTGGAGTATATTTTCACTACTGCACATAACAACAGCTTCCCCAAGACCAATGTTTTCTACCGGTGCTGTTTGAAAGCATGCGGTTCGGTGGATATCGACTCGAACCAGATATTAATATTATTCAGACAACTGTTGAAGTTGAATGGATCCACGGGAATGAAATACATTGCGCATGCTGACTGGATAGCCTTGAGAGATGCCACGGTCAATTCTCAGCAGCTGTATACGTTCAGCGACCCGAACTCGCGGATTGACGTCTACTTCAAGCTGTGGAAGATGTGTGCTCCATACTTTATTTCGTTGGCCAATTTCAAGAACTACATCTACAAGGACATTCGGCTGAATTACAACTATTCGCAGATATTCCAGCAGATGCCAAACATCAAGACTGATATCAACGTTCCCGAAATCACTCTGTTCAACAGAAACGTTTCGATCGACAATTATATAGGATATTCTTATTAGGTGGGGCAGGATACGGATTAATTAGATGATATATATGATGAATTATGATTGAAAGAGAAATGATCATTGTACTACTGTAACGGAGCTGACTTTGTTCCCGTCAAGTAACACCTCGAAAACATAATGTTTGTCCCCAACAAGCTTAGTCAACCCCCAATTCTTGTAGTCGTCTGTTTCTTCTGGGTTTGTGGAGCATGAGCTTTCGTTTTCAGCAGATGTGCTGCTTTCCACGTTGTCATCGTAGCCGATCATTTCGAATTCGTTATTTGTTGTACTAAAAGAGTTGAGCTCGTAGTCTTTTCTGTTGAGGAACACAGATTTGTCCTTGGACTGTGGGGACAAGAACTCGTACATCCTATCAAAGGCCTCGGTGGTGTTCCATGTGTATTGGTGGTTGTAGCTGATTTTGTTAACTTCAACGTTGATTTTCTCGTATTTGAGAAAGTCCAGTGAGTTTTCAATATTTGTGTGAAGCGTCACTTTGGATAAAACTGCAGATCCGATCACGGACGACTCGTCCATCTTATAGAAACAATCTATGCCGTACCTGTAGTAGTTATGGACCTTGTAGACGTTAAATTTCTCGGACTTTGACGAAATACGAGAATCTCCGTTCTTTAAAAACGTATCGTCCGGAGACCCCAAATAGCCCAGAACGTTTCGCATCGACGTAGTTCCCAGCTCCAAGTGGAACGACGCTTTCTGCTGGCTTTTGTAATATATTTCGAGATTCGGGGCACTCAAATTGTTAATGCGAGCATACAGAATCTGTCTCTTGACATTCTCCGAGGCTTTCGGATACAGCGACGGCAGCAAGCTGTATCTTTCTTGAAGGTTCTTGGTATCAAGAATTTTGTTGATGTTGGTAACTGCGTCTGTCCAGTTGTCGCCTTTGAAGATTGTGAAGGAGGAGCAATTGACGTCTTTTTTGCTGCTGTTTAAAACTCTGTTGAGATCGTCTTTGTTTTGGTTTTCCGACAACTGATCTAAGCTGAATCGGAACGCTATTCCAGGATATGAGAGACAGTAACTATTGGACGCGGGATTCTCCACCCCGGGATATGTTGGGCCAAACAGCCGGTTATAAATATGTTTGAAAGATAAGGAGCCAATTGGTTCGTTTTTGAAAGTGAACTCAACCCCCACCTTACCCACCTCGTTGACCTCAATCAGAATAAGTTTCTGGTATGCGGACTCGAAAATGAGGTTGATGCTGACCCGCGTCAGTTGCAAAACAGTGGTCTTTGAGGAGTTGGAGTAGATAAATCTAATATCGTTGTGCAAACCGTGTTTCTTTAATAGCGCGTAAGTTTGGAATAGCGAATGGCCCAACGTGAGGAATCCAAGTCCCTCAGATGGATAGAGCTCAAAGGATTTCTTGGGAAACGAGCCCATGCTGTTGTTCCCCCTAAAATAATTATGATTATGTAAATATGTACTGTCAAAAAAATTAAATCTTATCTACGTAGTACTATGACCACAATAATCCCCCACTTGGATTTCGACGTGGCAACGCCCAAATTAACCGCCGACTTCAAACTGGTTCTTCTTGGAGAGTCGTCGGTGGGGAAATCGTCGATTCTGCAGCGTGTTCAAAACGGAACCTTTGACGACACAAAGTCCTCAACCATCGGTGCGGCTTTTGTGTCCAAGAAAGTCAGCAAGGACGAAGGCTCAAAGCTCGTCAATCTGCAGATATGGGACACTGCCGGCCAGGAACGGTTCCACAATCTTACCCCATTGTACTACAGAAACTCAAATATGGCATTTATTGTATTTGATATGACAAGTATAGACACTTTCAAGAAAGCAGAATATTGGATAAATGAGCTTGAGACGTACAAGTCAGACACAAATTCAGGTCTGATACTTGTACTTGTGGGTAACAAGGCCGATTTGGTTTCCGGAGCATGCGATTTTGAAGACGAGATCCGCCAATTTTTGAATCTGAATAAGAACATTTCCAGATACTTCACTGTGAGTGCAAAACAAAACACAGGGCTTGTTGAGCTGTTCGGCTATGTGGTGGATAGTGTTGACGAGTCGCTGTTTCATGAATTTTCCGCAGAGCAGAACGGTCTGGTGGATCTCAACATTACAAGAACCTCGACCGGTAACTGTCAATGTTGAGCACCAACAAAATCAAGGTTGCCGCCATCTCGATCCACAGCACCTGGACCGGAGGCCGTTGCCACAGAATTCCTCCCAAAACCATGAACTGGACATTGTTGATCTTTTGATACGGACAGATCCAAATGTTGACCAACACATGCATCAAGAGAACGACTTTCAGCCACCGAGACTTGGAAATCTCCGCAACTGGTTTATACGTCTTTGGTGTTAGTTGCTCGTAAACCGACTCCAATTGCACAAGAATCTCGCCGCTCTCGGGACGTTTGGTATAGTCCGGATCAACCATCATTCTAATTAATCGCAAATACGCAGGCAACAATCCGTCTGTACGCAGAGTTTCCATATCGTCAAATATGTCCGACTTTAGAATCTCCTCCCTGATTGTGCTTTGATCTGACGATTTGAAAGGTAACTTTCCGAAACACAAGTAATATAGTATCATCCCCAACGAATAAATGTCCGATTTGTACGAAAAGTCATGTAATCTTCCTGTTTGATCGATTTCAAACAGTTCTGGAGCGCAGTATTCCAAGGTTCCCGTATTTCCTGTGGAGCTTCGTTTGCTATTCTCCATGATGGATTCTCCAAAGTCGCTCACAACGAGATTTGGGATCCTGTCCAATTCGCGAACCGACTGAACTGGTTTGTAATCTTCAGGGAATTTAGTCTTGAACAGACAATTGGACGGTTTGAGGTCTCTATGCAGTATTTTTTGTTCATGCAAATGATGCAGTCCATTCAGAACATCCTTGAAGATCTTGTAGATCTCAAAGTTGTTGAGGTACCTTTTTCCTCGCTGGTGAAGTGATTTTTCTGCTGCACCTGCCTTGCGTCTGCGACGGAGCAGCTTTTCTTCATTAATGTTGAATCTGGGATGGATTGTCTCTTCAACCATCTCTTCTAACGTTCCTCCATCGCAGTACTCGAAGAGTATGAAAACCACTGGCACACGAGGCCCAAAGTCGCTGATTTGATCCACTTCTAACCAAACATGGTTATACTTAATAATGTTCAAGTTCCCACTGTTGGAAGAATCGGTCAAGCTGTAGAGAAACTTGACCTCGTTCAAGATCCTGACCAGATTGCCAAAATGGTTCCCAATGGCTATTTTTTTCAGCGCAAACACTCCAAGCTGGAGGTTATATAATTTGTGCTCCACTTTGATCACCTTACCATTTGACCCATTGCCAAGGACACCAAGAACGGTGAAGAACTTCTTGAAATACCCTTGGTTGATCAATTCCACCGGTATCTTCTCGGAGTCGGTGGGGTGAGACTGCCGAAACAAGGACGAGATCAATTCTCTGTTTGTCTCGTTCCCAGCATCCACTTTGGCAAGAAGCTTGAAGTAATCATTGTGCAAGAAATCTGGCCTCGATCCGGTGGGGGGAGACCCACCCGACTGATTTACCGACGTCGGATCAATGTTGAACTGGTACCCGCAATCAGGACACACAAACTCAAACTGCGAGGGTACAGATCGTCTTCTTGCCCCATTCCCACCACCATATCCGGGGGACTCCTCGTTGTCCAGATGAACAAGCTCCAAGTCTTTGGTCTGAGAGTTGTACAATACAACAGAGTTGGATAGCTTATTGTGGTGAACCACGCTCAAATGCTGATCATTATACCTCACTATGGACATATGAGCATCTGAATCGTTTATGACATGTTTTTTGACATAAGCCCATACTTTGATTACTCGGCCGGGTAAATAGTTTACACGTTGAGTAACGGTGGCTATATATTAGTATGTTACAAACTGAGCAAATAGTCTGTATTCTCAGCAGGCTTGGTATTGAACAATGCTGTGGTGGAAGCGAACTCGTCGGTTTCCGGTATCAGAGAAGTGGATTTGAAAAGTTCGTGCGTCGAGTCGTCGTTGTGAGTCTGTTTCGCGATGATTTCGTTCAAAGAAAGCTTGTAGATCATGGCCGTGTCCAACGTGGGGTCCTCAACAGGCACCTTCACGTCCTGTTTGTTTAGTTGCGCTCTCAAACGTCTGATCTCTAGATCTTTGTTTCTGTTTTGTTCGTCCATAAAGTTTTGGAGTCGTCTCTTCAGCTGCGTGTTGGCAGCCAGCAATTCCTCGCACTCCTCCTCTTTCAAACTCAACTTGTGATTGGCACGCTGCAGCTCGACTTGCGATCGACTCACTGCGCGTTCGGATTTCTCAAGCCGGCTGTTCATCGATTCTAGACTTTCTAGTTTCCGTTCTAAACGATCGCTCTCACGAGCCCTTGACTCTAGCATCGATTTCTCAGCTTCTAATCGCTCTGTCTTGTGTCTGAGCTCGTGCACAACTTTCTGTAATCGCTCGATGCGTGCTTCCTGTTGTGCTTCCTTTGATTTCAGGTCTCTTTCTTTAACTTCTAGTTCGCGATTCCGCTGCTCATACTGTCTTTTCTCCTCACCCAGTTTACGCTCTAGCAGACCGTTGCGCAACTTTGCGTCCTCAAGCGATCCTTCCAGCTTGGTCACGCGGCGTTTAAGTTCGTTCAATTCAACTTTTTCCAGTTCTAGCACCGGCCGCACGCTGATATTCTCCTTTTGCTCCACCAGTGAGCCAGGCCGGCTTCTTATACGCTTGTTTCGCAAAATTCGTTCTTCCTTCTCGCGCAATTGGCGGTTCAGCTCTGCGCTGAACTCGCCAGCTTTCCTCTCCCCCTCGCCCGAAATAGGCGCTTTCTCGGGCTCAAACTTGCCTCCATTATAAAGCAGGTCTGTGAGCTTTAGCTTGGAGTTGGCGGTCTGCGACTTACGGAGTTCCAGCGAGTCCTCGTCGCTTTTCTTTCTAAACCAGTCCATAATTTTTGTTTACGTTCGAAACCGTTTAAACGCGTCCTGTGGCTGGTGTGGCTGGTGTGGCGGTGCTCAAAGTCCGAAGCAGCATAGCACAGCAACAGAAGCACATCTACCAGTAAGCGTTCGGTTACACTGTCGGGGCTGAAGATCAAGATGAATGTGTAGACTTAGAATCTGGCTAAATTGAAGTGGGCTGTCTACTTCCCTGTTTTGATCCCTGTTGTTAACTTTAAAATAGCCAAATTATTAATCACCCGATAGGGCCCACCAACATTGGCACATTAGCCTTTCCTCCAACATACCGAAATTATCCGCTGGATGAATTGACCGTACCGGTCAACCCTCCACCATTATGGAGGCCCACAATCCGTACCCCTCCGCTCCCCGAAATAACAGGTCCATTTTCCCACATGATTTCGTCCAATGAAAATCGTCTAATCGACCCGTCGTCGCGTCGGACAAATTCCCCCTTTTCTCATTTTTAACCACCTGTTGCTCTTGTTGTCACAACTTTCTGTTTTGGTCCGACAAAAACGTTGACATATTTGGCGAGAACGGCTTCTTGATTGTTCTGGAACACAGGAATCTTACAAACAAACTTGGTGCTATAGTATCTCTGAGTTTGGACAATACTCGACTACTTCGACTATCGACGGGACTACCTTTAACATAAACATTCAATGTCAAGTGAAGAATCTGGCCTTGGCCAGAGGGGCGAATCGTCCACCTCCAAACACCTTAATGCGCTGTTTCTTACACAACTGAAGGAGCTATCTGATTCTATTGCGTCCTCTTTCGACTCCATCTCCTCTTCGTTAGGAGAGCTTAGAAACAAGGCTGGCTCGATTGCAACGCTGGCTGCGACCTTGTCTGACGCGTACCAGACGAACCAGCAGCAGAATGGCGGTGATTCCAAGATCGCCACCAAGGACATCGACGCCCGACTGATGATGTTCCAGATGGCTCAACAAGCCCAGAATGGACTGCCTAAGCATGGGTTGGAGCAGGACTCGCTTGCTTCTGCGAAAAAACGCAAGATCTTGCCCGAGTCTCTTCCCGAGGAGGACTTGGACCAGCTTAACAAGTCGTACACGAACGACGCAAACCTTCCGGAGGTCGATCTCAATTCCAGAGCAAAGAGCGTCCAGGATCTGTGGGACGAGTGGAATCTTGGTTACAGAAACCAGGAGCCTTTGAAGCTGCTCGAGAGAAGATACGGAACAAGATGGAGACGCGGTAGAATTGCGAAAAGCGCACAGAGAAGAAAGAAAGTGATCGAGTTTATTGAGAGCGAGGCTAAGCGGAATCCAGGAGTCAGCGAAGAAGACGTGGTCAGATTGTTGGAGAATTACAGAATCAAGAAAAACAAGGGACTCTTCTGGCTGTACGGCTCGTTGCCCAACCATTTGTTCAACGCAAATGGCGAACCAATCGAGTTTTTCCCTGATGCTGAAGATCTGCCCCAGAAAGATGAATTGAGCGACGACTCGGAGGCCACGGCCGCTGCTGTTGCGGCTGCAGCCGCCGCTGCTTCTGTGAAACAGTGATGTTTTTCCAGAGTTTAGTTTCCTTCTATTTATTTCGGCTTTCAAGTGTATACGAATTGACTAATTGTACTTATAGATTTTTAAAACCCGAAAGGATTGTCTGCTGTGGCGTTAGCCAAGTTGGCTCTTCTGCCTGTTGGCTGGCTCTGCAGGCCGAAAGAAGTGGAAGGAGCATTTCCGAAACCCAGTCCTGTTGGCTGTGACACCAACGGCTCGTTGAAGGGCTGGTTGAAATTATTTTGGGGGAACGAGCTCACGCCTGTGTTGAAGCTGGTGGCTTGGCTGGCCATCGGGTCGAACCCGGTGTTGGCGCCTGTGGCCGGTCCGGTCAGTCCTCCGATCGAGGTTTGCGCAAACATGTTGTTCAGCTGGTTCATGCCAAACTGGCTCTGCGGAACGAAACCGGTAGACTGCTGGCCGAACCCAGTGGCCTGTGGCTGGCCAAAGCTAGTAGGTTGGGGCTGGCCAAAACTGGTGGTCTGCGGTTGACCAAAACTGGTGAGTTGGGGCTGGCCAAAACCGGTGGCTTGTGGTTGTCCGAATCCGGTGGCTTGTGGCTGGCCAAATCCTGTAGCCTGTTGCTGGCCGAACCCGTTCAATCCAGTCTGTTGGCCAAACAGGTTCGTTTGTAGTCCACTTGGCTGTCCCAGAAAACCTCCCGTCTTCATGGTTGGTTGCATGGCAGGGAAGCTGGTGTTCAAAGGCATGAAGCCTCCGGTCTTTTGGATTCCTCCAGTCTTGTTCATCACCAATCCAGTTGGCTGTAGTGGAATCAAACCACCGGTTGGCTGTGGCTGAGCAAACGAACCGAACGTGGTAGCAGGCATGAATCCGCCGGTCTTCTGTGCAAACGAGGTCGTTGGCATGAATCCTCCAGTCTTTTGTGCGAACGAGGTAGCAGGCATGACCTTTCCGGTTGGCTGCAAAGGAATAAGTCCAGTTGGCTGGCCGGTCATCATAGGAACCATGGTAATTGGCATGAATCCAGTAGGCATGGGCATCATGGCACCGGTCACGGCAGACGTCAGTTGAGGATACAAGGTACCTGAAGTTTTCTGAGGAGCAACTGCAGGGGTGGTAGTGGCTTGTCCAGTGGTGGCAGGCTTTAAAGGCGCAGCTGCTGGCTGTGCAGTCTTGGTAGCCTCCATAGGCTTGATATTAACCAAGTCCTGAATCGATCCAGTCAGCTGGGGAGTAACAGACTTGGACTCTCCGGTTTTAGCAGCAGGCTTCAAGGACCAGGCGTCGTCTTCGAATTGTTGTTTCAAATTCTGGCCATTGACAGAGTCCACAGAAGCGTTTGACTTGTTGTTCTTCAAAGAACCGTCAGTCGAGCTGAAAAGACCGCCGTTTGTTGGTTGAGACGAAATAGGCTCTGGATTCCGGTTGAACTTGGCGTCGAGGTATCTGTTGACTCTCAAGATGTCTCCTTCCTTCAGACCTAGCGTTCTCAATAACGAAGTGTTGATATCCTCCAAGATGGCCTCATCCATCTGCTCAGAAGTGAAGTTTTTTGCGTATTTATCACAAACGTTGGCATCAACTCCACAGGTGACGAAGAAGTCAAACCAGTACTCGTACAGTTTCTCGTTGAAAGGAGCAGATGTCGATTTTGGTGTCTTTTGAACAACAGGTTCCGACACAGGTTCCGGCTCTCTTCTTGGAACAGAAGATGGCTTCTTCTCCTTATAAGAATCAAGAGACATTCCTGTAATTCTTTCAACAAACTCCAGATCCTCGGTGGACAGTTTTTGGGCTGCAACAGCAATCTTGACACCGTTGACCTTGTGAAGATGAATCTTTCCGTCAGAACATCCCAAGAACTCAGCCTCGACCTTGAAAGAACCTGATCTGTCGATCCAGGTTCTGACACGGTACATATTAGGCTTTCCAGAGTCCTTGCTTTTGGAGGACGAGCCTTTAGATCTTCTTTCTCTTTCTCTTTCGTCAGCTCTTCTGACTTTATCTCTTTCGTCTCTATCTCTAAGCTCTCTTTCCTTACGTTGCTGGCGACGTCTTTGTCTTTCGAGTTCTTCTCTTTCAATTGCGAGTTCTCTCTCTGCCTCCTTCTTTCTTTCCTTCTCCCTTTCTTTATCAACCTTCTTCTTTTTAGGACTCAATGAGGAGGAAGAGCCTTTTCTAGAGAAGAATGCTCTCAAACCTCCAGAAGAGGTACCGGTGGCAGTTCCGGTGACTTTGACAAAATTCGAAGGAACAACACCCTGTTCTCCAGTGGAAATGTTCTGAACCATCCACCACTCCTTACTTTTCTTGTCGTTGAGGATGTAGACAGAGTCTCCTTCGTAACAGGTCAGTTCGTCAGGAGAAGCGGCATCAAAGTCATAAATGATTTTTCCTTGCTTTTTCGTTGACGGAGTCGATGCTTCCTTAACATCTTTCAAGGCATTCATGGAAGCCATTCCCTTGATATCTCCCAATATGGAAATAATCGCTTCGACTGTGTCTTTTGATCCAGCATGGAATTCGTACGAGGCAGTAGGGTTTCTGAAGTCGAGGAAAACGTGCTTCTTTTCGTGGTTGTACGAAACCAGATCGTTGATCGACCAGTATTTTGGATCGGACGAGCCATTTCTGGTGATGAAAACCTGCGAGTTACCAACAGAGAGTGTAGTCTTCTTTTTCTTTCTGCCGTCGATCTCGTAAACGACCCAGTTGAAGAAATCGTCTTTCACGAAATCGTCAGGGTCCTGGACACCGCCGTTTCTATCCGATTCCATCGAATCGGCATAGGCATCAGAAACAACAGATCTTCTGGAACTTTGGGTGCCGCTTCGTGGTCTGCTCGGCATTGGAGGCGGAGCCTCCTCGGAGGGAGACGTTGGAGAGTCCACCACAGACGGACGAGAAGGCATCTGCGGTGCCGGGGCCTCTAGAACGGCGGACGATTGCTGCGATTGGCCCGGTCTCTGGGGAGGAGGAGGGAAGTCGGTCAAGGCTGAGGAAGAGCCGTACGACGACAATTGAGGAGCAGAAGCTTGTGCAGGCTGTTTCTGGTCAATCTCTATGTAGTTTGCTGGAATGAATCCGAATTGTTGGTTGTTCAAAGATGCGAGTGTCCAATTAGGGTCGGAGGTGTCATAAACGTCGAACTGCGCGCCTTCGGAAAAGGTGAGCTCTTCTTCAGTTTGCTTATCGTAATCGTACAACGCGGTGGCATGACTGACGGGTTTGGCCGGCTCTATGTAAGTGCTCGGAACAAGACCCGAGGGTTCCTCCACGTCTGCGTCGACGACTCTCTTTTTAACCTTCCACCAATCATCTATGTCAGACTGTTCCAGTAAGTAGAGGATGTCGTTTTCTTGGATCGACAACTCCTCGTCATTCTGGGCCTGGTAATCATACAGCGCCACGTACACTCCCAAAAATGCGGAGGCCATGGTAATTAATGGTAGTACAATTTGATATCAAGTTGTCCAAAAGGGGGATTTTGGAAAATACAGACCAGACAGGCAGAAAGGACTTTTAGTTGTAGAAAGGGACGATCGACGCAAACTTCTACCGACCGCAATTTTACAAAACTACGACACCAAGTTTTTCTCAACCCAATTTGTGCGCGAAGCCTTTACACCACCAAAATAGGCTTATCGATTGCTGCCCCCTTCTTGCAACGGAATCTAGCCCCAAATTGTGCATATGCAGCAGCCAGCTTTAAAAAAATGCTCCTTTATAGAGTTTCATCGTAATTTTGTGAACGCGGTGCACGGATGCAACGTAAGTTTAACAATAATTAGAGATCAATTAGATCCGTACAATTTTTACCTCACCCGTGCAAACCGGCAACTTGCACACGATTTTTCTTTTTAAGCGAGGCGTGCAGGCTAGAATAACCCATCAACCAGGCCAAAGGTCCAATGAAGATTAATTGACCGTTTTCTTTTGTTTCAAACTTGCTAAAACCTCTATTTAAGACCTTTGATCTGTCACATTATCACTGGCGCTGAAAGAATGGTGAGTATAACATGATCCTCCTGTTGACTAACATTTGTAGCAGTTCGACTATGACAAACACTCCACTCCAAGAGACAAATCCTCTCCAATCTCGTTGACCGAGTTGTCCAGGAATATGAAGGAGGTGTCTCAGATGCCCCGTTTGTCTCCGGGCTTAATTTCCACTCCAACCACGGCGCAATTTCTTTTGTCTCCAGACGGTCCGGAAAATTACACCCATTACACCCACCAACATCGGAACTCAGTGTCCTCGCTGACCTCTTCTGTTTTGAACCCAACTCCTGGCTCGCTGACCCATGGCGTGAGCGGAAGTAGCACCACGGTCTCTGATATGTATGGGGCGGCCCAGACCGCCACAGCGGAGCCTCTCACTCCTCCCGACTACTTTACTATGCGTCCTGGCGTTAGAGACTCCCACTCGCGCACTAGTTCTTTCTCAAATTCGATTTGGAATCAGACCCCAAACTTGAAACTTTACTCACCTTGGGCTGGTGCTGCAGCCAATATTTCTGAGCTGGACATCCTGGCTGTGAACTCCAACCACACCGGGTCCTCTGAAGATGTGCTGCCTTTACAGAAACAAACGAGAAATAGATTCATGTCGTTACAGGGTCCGGCCCCAACAAACGTGCAGGTTTTGGAGAAACAGTTGCAGAACTTGACAGTTGCTCCTGCCCAGCCTGTCCAGGCAGCTCCCAGAAAGTCCAACATCACTCACAACACCGTATTGGATGAAACCACGGACGTGCTGGCGCTGTCCAAAGACCAATACGGTTGTCGGTTCTTGCAAAAGAAGATCGATGAGGATTTCACCAGAAACCACTCCTTGATCTTTAATGGAGTTTATCTCCATTCGGCAGAGCTGATGATGGATCCATTCGGAAATTACTTGATACAGAAGCTGATCCTCAACGCGAGCGTTGCGGAGCTTCGTCTGATTCTGACTAACATCGCGCCTCTTATTGATACCATCTGCCGGAACCAGCATGGCACTCGCGCTTGTCAAAAGCTTATTGATTGTCTTTCCACAAACGCCCATTACAAACTTCTACAGAAGGCCATGGCTCCGCACATTGTTGGCCTTATTCAAGATTTGAACGGCAACCATGTGGTGCAGAAATGTGTTGCCAAATTCCAGAACGACAACCTGCAATTTATTATTGAGGCTATCTGCAGCAGCATTGTCAGAATCTCCACCCACAAACACGGCTGCTGCGTTTTACAGAAACTGCTAAACAAGTGCAACAGACAGCAGGTTTTGCAATTGGGCCACGAGATTGTGGCCAATTCGTACCAATTGATGCAAGACCAGTTTGGAAACTATGTGGTTCAATTTTTAGTGTCGTTGGATATCCAGCCATTGAGCTGCGAACTGATCAAGATAATCATTCCGTTCATCTGTGATCTATCAACTCAGAAGTTCTCCTCCAATGTGGTGGAGAAATGTCTAAAGATCAGATTGGATCGGGGCCCAAACCCATTGCTTGACACACTGTTGCAACCGCCAGTCTTGGCTGTATTGATAAAAGATCAGTTTGGAAATTACGTTGTTCAAACTGCAATGGACATTTCTCCAACAGATTATAAACTACGCTTTGCTCTGGCAATTAAACCCATGCTGCCTTTGGTGAGATATGCTTCGTTCGGTAAACGGATCCACAACAAAGTGACAAACATATTAAACGAGACAGAGAAACAGGCTCTGCAGGATCAGTTACTACCACCTATCGATTTGCAACCTTTGACACTGAACGATGCAGAGAGATTTTTATGAGAAATGGTTTATGATTTGGGAAAGTTGTGATAATTAAGGTATGGTATGTATTTTTGTATGAACATGAGACTAGAAATGAATGTATTATCATTCTTAACTAATCTTTTCTTCTTTTTGCTCTTTCCCATGCGCTCAATCTCTTCCGTTTCTTGGTGGCCACGTCTCTGGAGTTGTCGAACATGCTCCAGTCTTCTCCGAAAAACTCGTTCTGTTGCTTTCTGCGCTTGTCCTTGGTGCTCATCTTTAGTTGAGAGGCAGGAAGACGGGTGAAATTCTCTTCTTCGTAACGCTGGATCTCGGCCTCTTTCTCCAGTTGTCGCTGGGACTTCACATCTCTTCCCTTGTTGACAATAGTAGAACCAATAGAGGTTTCCACTGCCGGAGCCTCGCTGAGTTCTTCCAGATATTCGTCCATGGATTGCAGGTTTCTGCGGCGTTTTTGCGAAGGGTCGGATTCTGTGAATGCTTGCGGAGGTAGAGCAGCGGCGATCTTGGGAGGACGGTACTTTTCTTGAGTTTCTGCGGTGTCCTGGTTCGATTCGGACGACGACTGTTGTTTCTTCAAGAAAGCAGAGGCATCTGGTCTGTAGTTGAGTCCCTCGTCCTCTTCCGAGTCCTCATCTTCGTCACTGTCACTATTCACCAAATCCTGGACCTTTTCTTCTGCTTGTGTCTGTTCTTTTTCACGTCTTTGGTAGCTGGTGATGAGTTTATCGAGCTGGTAGTTCAGTTTCTTCTCCAAAGGCTTGACACCTCTGTCCAGAGCGACTCTTTGGACAATGCTTCCCTTCACAGCTTTATCAAATGCCTCTTTGTTGCCCGATTTGACGAGATCAAGACGAGATCCAAGGATGACAATCAGATTATTGATGTATGAGAGCATGGCTGAATTTTTCAACGACAAAAGAGACACTCCCTCGAGGTCTTCTGACCCGGTCATCAGACTTTTCACCAGTTCCGGCACATTGTTCGAGTCTTCTAACGCCGACGCAACAGTGTCTAGCGACGTGGACGTCGACTTTATCGACTCCTCAATGGATTCTAGCAATTTATCTAAAGACATAGGAAAATTTTATGCACTGTAAAAAAAAATTTTAAATATTTTTTTATCTCCTATATTCTCGATTCATCATGCCTCAAAACGAGTATATCGAGCAGCATATCAAACAGCATGGTAGACGGCTGGACCACGACGAGCGCAAAAGAAAGAGGGAGGCCAGAGAGTCGCATAAGGTGGCGAAGAACGCCCAAACTCTGAAGGGATGGAGAGGTAAGCAGTTTGCCAAGCAGAGATACTCTGAGAAGGTGGCCATGCGCAAGAAGATCAAGGCTCACGAGGAGAGTAAAGTCAAGGGTCCTAAGAAGCCGGCAGATGAGGACGGAGAGGCCCTTCCTACATATTTGCTGGACAGACAGCAGCAGACCACAGCCAAGGCCATTACATCTTCGCTCAAACAGAAAAGAATGGAAAAAGCCGACAAGTTTTCTGTTCCGCTGCCAAAAGTTCGTGGTATTAGTGAGGAGGAGATGTTCAAGGTTGTCAAGACCGGAAAATCAAAGTCGAAATCCTGGAAGAGAATGATCACCAAGCATACTTTCGTGGGAGAAGGATTCACAAGAAGACCTGTGAAACTCGAGAGAATTATCCGTCCATCCGCATTGAGACAAAAGAAAGCCAACGTTACGCATCCAGAACTGAAGGTCACCGTGTTACTGCCTATTCTATCCGTCAAAAAGAATCCTCAATCGCCAATGTACACCACTCTGGGTGTTCTTACCAAGGGAACCATCATCGAGGTGAACGTTTCCGAGATGGGAATGGTCACTGCTGGAGGTAAGGTTGTGTGGGGTAAATACGCCCAGGTCACCAACGAGCCTGATAGAGACGGAGTGGTGAACGCTGTGCTACTCGTTTAAACTTAGCCCGTGCAAGGATGTGTGGTTCTGGTGTGGCGTAATTAAATTTAAAGAATAATAAGATATCTTTTTAAAGATAAACCGTTTTGGATAGGAAAGAGCTTGATAAAGCAGCAATATTTGAGGTTCTTGTTTTCTCTTTCAGCCGTTTAGTTAAGGTTATTTCATTCGCTTAGTTATATTAGCCTTAGTTATGAAGTTATCGTCGTTTGCTCTGGCCTCTCTTTCGTTGGCCATTGCCCAAGCACTGCCGCTTGCCGCTCCCGAGCAGCAAGTGCTGAACATTGCCTCATTTGAAGGTGCAGACCTACCGGAGGTCGACACCGCCGCTCTTCAGGCTCTCATCACCGAAGAAGCGCTCAGAGAGAGAGCAGAGACTCTGTACGAGATTGCCACCAAGTCGGAGAAGAAGTTTGGCCATCCTACAAGAGTCATTGGTTCCAAAGGTCATTGGTCCACAATTGACTACATCAAGAAGGAGATCCACAAGTTGCACGGTTACTACAACGTTTCTGTCCAGGCTTTGCCAGCTACCGTCAGCGAGACCAATGCCTTTGATACTTTGATTAACGGCACCAAGCCTGAGTCTCTTACCGACTTTAGCCTCAGTCCTCCTACTCCTAACAAGGACTTTGTCACTGGCCCTCTTGTTGTTGTTGCTAACAACGGATGCGACTTGTCTGACTTCCCAGAAGACACCAGTGGTTCTGTTGTTTTGATCAAGAGAGGTGTTTGCACTTTCACCCAGAAATCTGTCAATGCAGGAAAGTTGGGTGCTTTGGCTTCCATCATCTACAACAACGAGGACGGAGAAGTTAGGGGCAGTCTTGGAGGTGCTCCACCAGATGCTGTTGTTGCTCCAACTGTTGGTATTTCCAAGAAGGACGGCGAGAAGTACGTTTCTCTGTTGTCCCAAGGTCCTCTGTCTGCTTCCGTTTTGGTTGACTCTTACATTGCCACCATCAAGACCTTGAACGTTATTGCAGAGACTGTTGACGGCGATGGTGACAACATTGTTATGCTTGGCGCTCACTCCGACAGTGTCACTGCTGGTCCTGGTATCAACGACGATGGCTCTGGAACTATCTCTCTTTTGGAAGTTGCCAAGCAATTGACCAAGTTCAAGGTCAACAACAAGGTGAGATTTGCATGGTGGGCTGCCGAAGAAGAGGGACTCATTGGATCCAACTACTATGCCGAGCACCTGTCTCCAGAAGAGAACCAAAAAATTAGATTATTCATGGACTACGACATGATGGCATCTCCTAACTACGAATACGAGGTGTACAACGCCTCCAATGCTCTCAATCCTGTTGGATCCGAGGAGTTGAAGAACCTTTACATTGACTACTACGAGTCCAAGGGATTGGACTATGTTTTGATTCCATTTGACGGCAGATCCGACTACGTTGGATTTATCGAGAATGGAATTCCAGGTGGAGGAATTGCTGCTGGTGCAGAGAAGAAGAATGCGTTCAACGGTGAGGTCTTGGACCGTTGCTACCACAGCCTTTGTGACGATGTGAGCAACCTTGCGTTTGATGCTTTCCTGATCAACACCCAACTGATTGCTCACTCGGTGGCCACTTACGCCAAGTCTTTGGCCGACTTCCCTGTTAGACAAAAAAGTGCCAGTGTGATGGCCGAGACAGCCAACAACTTCAAGTACCGTGGCGGTCAACTAGTCATTTAATTGACTCTAAATTAGATCATTGCTACAGCATCACTGGTTTCGTTGTTTGTAGATGACAATATATGCACTATGCTCTATAGATCTTTATTCAAGTACTGGTCCATGGTATACATTGATTTTGGTTTTGGCTTGTCGCCTTTATCATTGAGCACCTCCTTGAAGTTGACTCTGTTGCTGACTTTCAGCTTGCTCAAGGACGAGCTAGAATGCGTGGAAGCTGTCGAGCGCGAGGTGTAGATGGTTGGCGGGACAAATGGCGCGGGCGCGTTGTGCGGGCTCTGGAGGTCAGGGGTGACCGCCTCGGTGAGCTTTGGTGGGAGTGAGTTGATGGTGTTGACAGAGTTCCTGTTCTCTGCTGGAGGTGGAGACATGGGACGGACTGGCTTGGAAAGCTGGTGTTCGTTTGCATTAGTCAAATGACGATGGTTCGTGTTGATTGGCAACGAAACGGCAGAGTTGTTGACGATCGACGGCTCCGATAGCGACGAGTCTGAGGTCCCTGACCCAGACAGGTTCAAAAGTCTTGAAAATCCTTTAAATCTCGACGTGTCTGGAACTTCATCGAAATCGCTCAACAGATCTCCCGAACGAGACGTCCGCATCAGATGGATCGAGTTTGACGATTTCTTGATGATACTGTCGTTCCGCTTCACATAATCTTGATATGACTTGGACTCGGTGAACAGCTTGAACAGTTTATGCGACTTGACCAGTTTCAAGGCGATTCGCTGGTCTGGTTTCTTGATGAGCATCTTGCGCAACAGGTCCACCAGGGACTTGAAATACGCGATCAACTTCGAGTTGTAGTCGAAACCGTAGTTTGCGTCAGTGAGTCGTTTGAGAGTGTAGCATTTGCTAAACGGAGGATAAACGATCTCTTTGTCGACGATATCGTGGAACAGTTTGAACTCGTTTTCGTTGTAGAACGGGAAAGTCTCAAAAAAGAGGTAAAACAGCGTGATTCCCAACGACCAGATATCGATTTTGTAGCCTGGGTCGGTTTCTTTGTCCTTTTTCAATTTGAACAGCGTAAACCCGTGTTTTTCAGAAGACTGATCTGAAACGTGCTCGTTCTCGCACAATTCCGGCGCAAGGAACAACGGAGTGCCCACGATCTTCTTGAACACCTCGAAATTGTCCTCTGTGGACTCGCCGGTGAGTCGATAACACGTTCCAAAATCGGAAATCTTGACTGTTCCGGTGTGATCAACGAGTAAATTGGACGGCTTAATGTCTCGATGCACGATTTTCTGTAAATGCAAAAACTCCAGTCCATTCACGATGTCTCTGATCTTGCTCTGAATGTTGTCCATGCTCGACCTTGTGGACGGATACGTTGAAAAATTGGTTCTGTTGAGCTCTCCAACGGAACAGTACTCACTAATGAAATATATGCGTTTGTTCGGAGAATTATTGATAATGCTGTATGATTGGAGGATGTTGGGATGCCTGTAGTCTCTGAGCAGCCTGATGACGCGAATCTCGCTTTTTACTCGACTGATGTTGGAAACATTGGACAGATTCAAGATGGGTTTGTCGATTCTGGTATTACCCACGATTTTAATTGCGTAGTAGAATTCCCCGTTGTTACTGGTCAAATTGGAGATCTGGTGGTCGGTCTGAGTGGCTACCAAAAGCACCTTGCCGAACCTGCCTGTTCCCAGCTTCTTGACGCTTTTGAATTCGCTCAGATGGAATTCATTATCCATTCTTGGAGAACAAAACTTGACACAGAAATCCTATAGATCTGGAAACTCCTTTAAGATAATTTCAGGTACAATTATGGCGGAGGTAAAAAATGCTGTGCGAGAGAAACTTGTGGATTTGGAAACGGTCAATTGATCAATGATATATCGGCTGCAATTTACGCGCTGCTTTGGCCTGCTCGCAGACTTGGAGCTTTCGTTGTCGCGTTCTTCCTGCCTCCAAGAAGGGTTACCCGGCCTCGCTAATTTGGATATATTGGAACCAAGAGTGCAAAAAAAAGTTTCTTCTCAACGCCTGAAGATCAGATTCTTCGTACATGGCTCTTGCCTTTTACCAGAGCCATCCGGGATCTGTCTTTACTTGAAAAGGCATTCTACTAATTTTTGGCAATCTTTCCCATTCAATACTCTTTAGAGATTGGCGGGAACATGTATATATAGAATGTAGACAGACATGCACCAGAAGTTCTGGACCGTGTTTGTGAAAAATGGTTACACCAAGCAGCTTGGCCCAGTGTGCCCAGTATAGCCAAATTAGTGCGCAGCCCAGAACGGCAAGTGCGTGGCTGGCTCGGCCGGTCTGCACGCATTTTACGCCGGCCGTGTTTTGTAGTCCGCTTATTTACGCCTCACCCCTGCCGAATTTGGAATGAAAATTTTTGTGGATCGTGTTGATGTTTTGAAATTGGAGATTGTAATTTTTTGTTGTGTGTCCTTGCATTTCGTTCTTACATACAAAGCAAACGTCTTAGCGCCCAAACTTCTACAGTAAACAGTCAGTACTGTTTATGACCTTCATTTCTGCTTCATAATATCCACGTTCCTTTGAAAAAAACGCGCTTTCAATAATAAACATCAACATGATCTGGAAGAGAGACAAGTGTTCCAAGGGAGAGCAGTACTGTGAGACCGGCAATGGAATAAGCACAACATCGATCGTTCTTGCGGTGGTGATTCCTGTCGCAGTGGTGGCCATCGGCATTCTATTCTTTGTTTGGAGAGCATGGAAACGTAATAAAAAGGAGGCCTTGGACGACAATGATCCAGACTTTTACGGCGAAAACACCGTCCTGCCGGATTATCCACTCAAGGAAGACCTTTATTCGAACAAGGATACCACAGAGAACCCATTTGATGGTACAACGTCGCGTTCTCCAAACAGAGGCATCGACGAAAAGGACCGAAGTTTCAGCAAAACAGGTTCCTTCTATAACACGTCTCAACTCAGTCTTGGCACCGGCAATATTCTTGGTACGCCAAGAGCTCCACTCGAATCCTTTGTGATACCCAGAGTGGACGACTCCACCTCCAAGCATTCGCTGGACCAGTTGTCCAGACAGCTCGGTGGTGTTTATCCTGGTTACAAAGTTCCTGAAGACGTTAGACACAGTTCGCAAAACATCTCTAGACGTTCTTCTGTTTCACAAGACTCCAAGCCTTTGACGGGCTATGCGAAATCTACAGACGATCTTGGAAAGAAACTGCCTGTCGAGACTTCTGAGAAGTCGTTCGAAACCCCTCACGAGTCGTCCACCATGTTGTCTCATCCGGTAAACACGGCGTCTCCGCCAACCTCGTCCGCCGCAGGCGAGGCAGAGGACTCTGAGGTCGACGAGGACAAGTTCTACGAGGCCTCTGTGTCAGACCGCAAGTTCTCCTACGAGAACAACAAAGACAATCGTTACTCCTTTGACAATTTCGACAACGAGTCTGTTGTGCACCAGCAGCAGGAGGAGGAAGAAGACAAGCATAATTTGTACGGAGCACAGGCTGATGAGCCAGAAGAGGAGGAAGAGTACGAGCCTGTTGCTGAGTCCAGTGTCCACCCTGCCACGTCTATCAGCAGATCTATGCGCAATCCTCACGAACTTGATGATGGCGAGGTTCCTGATCTGAACGAGGTTCTTGGAGATGAGCGGGTCCCTATCTCACAAGAAGAAGAAGAACAGATCAACAGAATGAAGTCGGTGTACAAGGTGTATTTCTCAAGGGAGAATTCGCTCAAGTCGAAGAAGTCGAACAATAATCTTCAGTTCGAAAACCAGGACATGCCTCCATTGCCAGCTTTACCAAAGCACGAGGACGAGACTAGCTACGAGGAACCATACGAAACAGGCAACTACGAAGAGTCCGAGAACGCCAGGGCTGCTAGACCTCAGCTTGCACTCGACACGTCTATGAACGACCCTCGTGCCAGTTACGCGTCCTCTATTTATCTTGAGAACGGTAACGCGTCGGCTCCTGCTCAACAGCAAGGACATCCATTTTATCCGCATCAGCACATCCAGAACATTCTCAACCACCAGCAATCCCAAGCGCATTATTACCGTCAATTGGCTGCCCAGCAAAGAAGGCCACAGCAGCCGGCTGTCCAAATGGAGAACCTTCCTTCTCCTCACGAGTTGAACAACAGAAAGTCCACGTTGGAAACGTTCACACAGTTCGAGAAACAACGGAAATACATGGGTAAGAAGGGACAGTCTCCGGCGGTGATGCAACAGAACTTCAGTCCGATAGAAAACACCCAATGGGGACCAAGTCAAACGAGTCCGTCGCATCCGTCCCCTCACCAGATTAGAGATTCTATTGTGATGTTCAATCCTGTTGACATCAATTATAAAAAGACCTACAAACCAAGTGGATCTTTGGCGGAGCAAGTTCGTAAGGCATCTCCAAACAGCCAGGGATATTCCCCAACCGTTTCCAGATACAACATTGACGAGCCTCTGACCAATCCGATCAGAAGAATCGGTTCCGAATCTCTAATTCCAAGATCCGGATCCCAGTCGGACCTTAGAAAATACGTAGACAATGCCAACTTTTAGATTGTACCTATAGAAAAAACTGAAGATCAAATAATTTAACTAAACTTGAAATAACCATGTCGCAAATGAAAGGGCTTGTCCAATTTATTACGGACATTCGGAATGCTAAGGAACAGGAACAGGAACATAAACGTGTTCAATCCGAACTAGTTCATATCCAGAAACAGTTCCAGCAATCCAACTTGTCCGGATACCATCGCAAGAAATACATTTGTAAGTTGTTGTACATTTATCTGATGGGACACGATTTGTCGTTCGGGATGTCCGAGTCGATTGCTCTTGCTGGATCCAAGGTGTATTCGGAAAAATGCATTGGATATTTGGCCTTGTCGATATTTCTCCAAACACAGTCGCACAACATGGATGTGGTGTTTGATCTTGTTCATTCGGACCTTTCCCAGCAACGAGAAGATTTCATTTGTCTGGGATTGCAATTTTTGTCTGCCGTTGCTGAATCAGATATTCATAGTCAGCGATTCGAGACCGAGGTGTTTTCATTGATCAGATCGCCGGTTTCTTCCCCGTTGGTTCGCAAAAAGGCCGTCTTGACGCTGCTCCAGCTGTTCAAGGTGGATCCGCTTCTCATCACCAGAAACCCGACTTTCGCAACGCGAATCGTCCCGCTGATCAACGACCCGGATTTCGGAGTCAGCGTGGCGTCTGTTTCGTTGGTCCAGCATATCGCCAAACTCGCTCCGGAACTGTGCACGAATTGCATCACGTTGGTGGTTGAGAAACTGCACAAGGTGGTCGTCCAGGGCGAGTGTCCCGAAAACCAGAAATACTACGGAGTGCCGGCTCCATGGCTCACCGTGAAGCTCTTCCAGCTGCTGGAAACGCTGGTTCCAGATATCGACGTTGTTCCCGTTGATAATGCAAACATGAAACTGATCAAGACCATTCTCCAACGCGCAATCTCCACAGCAATCTCTCAACGACAATCATTGTCGCTCGAGGCAAGACATACAAGAGACTTTATCTTATTCGGGGCCATCTCGCTGGCTGCCCATGTTGACCCGTCTCCAGACCAGCTGAGCACGGCCGTTGATGCCTTGTGCCAGCTTCTGGAGTCGCCAGAAACAAATATCAGATACCTGGCTTTGGGAGCGTTGGGAAAACTGGCCACCAGAAACGAATCAGAAGTGCTGGACACTCTTGATCGTCATAATGAGCAGATCTTCTCGCTGCTCCGGGACAGAGACGTTTCCGTGAGACGACTGTCTCTGGACCTGATCTACATAGTCTCGAGTCCACAGAACGTCGAAGACACATGTTCACGGCTGCTGGAATACCTGTCAGTGGCCGAGTTTGTGATGAAGTCGGAGGTTGCAGTGAAAATAGCTGTTTTGGCAGAAAAACATGCAACCGACGCAAATTGGTATGTGACCACCATGATGCGACTGATTTCTGTGGCAGGCAACTACTTGGACGAAGAGGTCCGTCAAAGACTTATCCAGATCGTGGTCAACAATGACTCGATCCAGCCAACCGCTTGCCGACTGTGCTACGCCTCGCTCAAAAACGGGAGCTTCCCCGAGTCCATGGTCAAGGTTGCAGGTTTTCTGCTTGGAGAATTTGGTCATAAACTGGACGTTCCGCTAGAACAGCAGTTTGACCTGCTGTATGGATACTATCCACAAGGAAGTGTTCCTGCACGGTGCATTTTGTTATCGAGTTTCTTGAAATTTTACCACCACAGCGAGCTTTTGCGGCCGAGAATTATAGAGCTTTACGAACAGGAGTCCAACTCTTTCAGTGCCGAAGTTCAGCAGCGGTCATTGGAGTACCTGAAACTGACATCAGGAACCAACCAGACGCTGCTGAGCTTGGTGGTCGTGGAGATGCCACCGTTCCAGTCCAACATTTCTCCTTTGATTCCGCGTCTTGGAAACGTGAGCCAGTTGCAGCAGAGTTTCCAGCTCAGTCTGCCACAGGCGATGGCCTCGAGCTCCTCGCTGGAGCGCCCAAGATCTCCGACCAAGAAAGTGCCTCCTCCGCGTCCAAGAAGTCGCAAGAACACAGGATCTGTGGCTTCTCCTGCAGTGACGAGTTTCCCGACCGGAGCGTCCATGGATTCGTCCCAAGCGTTTTCCCAGTTCTCCCATTCGTCGACCATCGACTCAACTCTCAGCGCAAGCTGGAAAGAAGGTTATTACCGCCAATTGCATTACGACCAGGGTATTTTCTACGAGGACACCATCTTCAAGATCGTGTACCGGATGAAGCGAGACCGCGCGGTGTTACACTTTGATCTGACGTACAGCAACAAGTCTGCTGCTCCGATATCGGGTCTCACGTGCAGCGTAGTGTCGAACATTGTCGACTCGAGCGACCCGGGCTACATTGTCAACATATTACAGCATCCAGAGTCGGGCATTGCTCCGGGAGCCAAGTCTGTGCAGAAGTTCGACATCACGGTCCGGAAGCCGTACTTGGACTCGGAGGTGCCGACGTTGAACATCTCGTTCATGTGCGGAGGGTACAGCGAACATAAGCTGCGACTGGCTGCTGTTTTGGGCAAGATTCTGACTCGCGGGTCTCCGTTGACCAAAGAAACGTTTTTCGCAAGATGGAGCCAGGTTGCCAATCTGTCTGGGTCCGAGTCGCAGAAAGTGGTGAAGCTCAAGACGTGCACGTCTACAGCGATAATCGGCCGCGCAGTCCAGCTGTTTGGGTTCAACGTGCTTCCGGGAATCGACCCCAATGCCAACAACATAGTCTGTGCCGGTATACTGAGCATGGCTGCTGGCGGAGCCGGGTGTTTGTGTCGAATCGAGACCAATCCGCAAGATTCAAGACTGTTTCGTGTCACCATGAGATGTACCATGGCCGGACTGGCAGATATTCTTGTTGGGACCCTGGTGGATCTGCTAAATAATATCTAACGCACTATATAGCATGGGACTTACTAGAAAAAAAAGTTGTTTCCATTGATAAGGAGTGCAATAAGTTTAAGGATTGAGTATTAATTCGCCATGAGTTTGGAATACACCGCCGACCGCGCCGAAGTTCTTGTGACCAACGCCAACACGATTGCCGAGCGCGTGGCTGCGCTGAACCCAAACGCCAGACTGGTCTGTGTGTCCAAGTTCAAGCCTGCCAGTGATATCCAGGCACTTTACGATGCCGGATACAGACATTTTGGAGAGAACTACGTGCAGGAGCTCTTGGAGAAGTCGAAGGTGCTGCCAAAGGACATCCAATGGCATTTTATTGGCGGTCTACAGACAAACAAGACCAAAGACCTGGCCAAGAACATCGACAACTTGTACGCCGTCGAGACCATCGACACCGAGAAAAAAGCCCGCAAACTGAACGAGGTGCGTGTTCAGTCCGAGAAGCCGCTGATCAACGTTTACATCCAGGTCAATACTTCTGGAGAAGACCAGAAATCCGGGGTTTCTCCAGACGAGGTTTTGCAGCTGGCAAAGGTGATCGTTGACGAGTGTCCAAAGCTACATCTGGAAGGTCTGATGACGATCGGATCCATTGCACAGTCCACCTCCTCGGACGAGAACCAGGACTTCAAGACACTGGTGCAGGTGTCGCAGAAACTGGAGGCCGAGCTCGGCACCAAGCTCAGACTCAGCATGGGCATGAGCAGCGACTTCGAAGAGGCCCTCAGACAGGGTTCCAGTTCCGTTAGAGTCGGCTCCAACATATTTGGTAGCAGACCTATAAAATAGATTATCTAATGTAAACTTTTTCCTTTCACTTGTTTATCATGGCTCCAAGAAAACAACCCACCAAACGAGTCACCCGTTCGCAATCCGCACAAGCGCCGTCGCCAGTAGCCGCCGAGTCAGAAAGTTTACAAGTCCAGCTGCCTACGAAGCCCTCCAAACAGCTAGAGAACCCGTTGCAGGTTGTTGGGGCCACCCAGTACGTTTACGAGCTGATCGAGGCTGAATCGAACGTGTCCAACTGGGTGCAATGGTTTGTACTTCTGTTTGTCGGGAACGTCGTTTTCTTGCTGTTCAAGGAAAACGAGGACCCTTCCAAGTTCGACCCGCAACATCTTTACGACGCCATGTTTGCACTTTTGTGTGTGTTTTGTCAAATAGCAGTGGTGTTCCATCACCAATGGAAAAAGTACAAGATCTCGGGAAACAACGCCCCCCAGTTGCCTGAGTTTAATCTGTTGTACGCCACGTTCATCCCGCTCGCAGTCAGCTTGTTGCAGGCCCCCAAATACCTCATCTTACTAGGAGGCTGTGTCACACTGGTGTCTGATCTCCAGATCGTGGTCCAGATAGGAGTGGCCGTGCTGCTCGAAGTCCAGCTTGTGTCCTCGCACGACTCGTACCATCCAACCTTTCCGATCATGGCGCTCACTCCAGTCTGGCACCTGTGTGTCCAATACTTGCTGCAGTACGTTGCTCCGAAATCGTTCACCAAAAGCGACAGAAACATCATCGCCACGCTCTCGGTCGTTCTTCTTGTCTTCATCGATAACACGTCGCCTGTGTACCTTCAGATCCTCCAGAAATTGATGGTCTCCTTTGCTTCGGCTACAGGCCTGTGCTATCCGATCTACATCGTGTACCAGAAAACCGAGCGCAATTGGGCCGTGCTTGCTCTGTTGCAGATCGTGTTCTACATCCTCGGGTTCCATTTGTCCACCTACTTCCTGACCCCAGTTCTGTCGACCGACCCGTTCTCCTGGCTCGACCAGTTCATCCAGGCTACCGAAACCAGATGGACCATCTTTAGAGCCTGGCTGGGCGCGGTGTTTGTTGTTCTGCCGGCCGTTTTCGCCGTCAAGTCGTACTTCCCGCTAGATGTGCGTCGCAAGGTGTGGCACTTTGCGCTTTTCGGCGCGTTGGCCTACCCATTGGTGCTGGACTCAGAACTAGTCTCACTGGCTCTAGTTGGACTCTTTGGTCTGCTACTGCTCGTGGAGTTGCAACGCGCTCTCCGACTCCCGCCTATCGGAGCATACCTGGACACTCTGTTTGTTGATTTCCTCGACGACAAAGACCGTAAGGGGGAAGTTCTGTCGTCATACATCTATCTGGTGCTGGGAGCAGCTCTGCCGATCTGGTTTGATTCCAAGTCCCAGGAGGCCGTGGCAGGAATCATCACTGTGGGATTGGGAGACTCAATTGCCTCTCTTGTTGGTAAACGTCTGGGAGCCAACCGCTGGCCCGGAACGAACAAAACCGTCGAAGGGTCCGTGGCATTTGTTCTTGCTACCTTGGCAAGTTTGAGTGCGTTCCGGTACTTTGGCCAGAACGAGTTCTCGTATTCCAACATTCTGTGTACATCAATGCTGGCGGCTATTGTGGAAGGCTGCACTACCATGAACGATAACCTTTTGGTTCCCGTGTTCACTTACCTGTGTCTTTATCTGTTCAAGCATTTCTGAACAAGCCTCCACCGCCACACAAAATTTCATAGACATCTTAATATTAAGCCCATGAATGGGGTACCTCTAGAAAGTGTTGAGTTTGCTAGTGTAAGTGGTTTTTGGCAAATGCAATACTAACCGCTAGGTGTGCAGGCTTTACCCGCCACCGTTTTCACTTCCCAAACTGGAAAACTACGCCCAGATCAAACAGATCAATCCGGATCTTGAAGGGGATCATTATTTGCAATTGAACGTTGAAAACACCTTTGAATGGATAAATTACGTGCAGAACTTGGTGCAGAGCAATACAACAGATGGAATTGTCGTGTTTGTCGACTGCGCGTACCAATTTGGGACGCCAGAGATAAAGAACTCTGGGTTCTACGCTATTAAACAGAAATTCACACAATCTCACGGAAACAGCGCCGATGTTTTCGATAACGTGGTCATCATCCATAGAGACTCGCTCCAGGATATCAACCACCTTTTGGCCAACATCTTTGAGTTTATTCCGCCTGAACACTGCCACAAGTCGCTAAACTGCATTGTTGTTTCCAACGTGTCAATATTCTACTGGGACCTCAGAGATGCTGAGAACTTCGACCAGCTGGCTGACTTCCACACGATCTGCAAACACCAGGCTGCAAAACTTGGCTGCTACGTGGTTTCCACCAGAAGCCTGTTTGACTGACTGTATTATGAAACCCGTGCACCGCAAGCGAGAGGTGGAAAAAAAAATTTTTAGTATACTGACACAGATCAAGACCAACAATACTCTGCCACGATGACCACCGAAGATGTTAAGCCAAAGATTCTCTCGCAAGTCGAGTTCTACTTCTCGGACTCGAACCTGCTGAACGACAAGTTTCTGTTCACCACTCAGCAGGCCAACGATGGCTGGGTCCCAATTAGTGTGATTTCGCAGTTTGAGCGTATGAAGAAGTACCGGCCGATCGAGACCATCGTGGAGGCCTTGAGACAGTCCGAGAGTTTGCTGGAGGTGTCTGAGAACGGTGAGATGGTCAAAAGAAAGACTCCATTGCCAGCCAACCAGAACGAGGTGCAGGTTGCAATCAACAAGAGAAGCGTCTTTGTGGAGTACCTGCCTGAGGAGGCTACTCTGGACCAGTTGATCGAGTTCTTCAACAAGTTCTCTCCTGTCAACCAGGTGAGAATGAAGAAGAGAGACAAGAAATTTGTCGGTTCTGTGTTTGTTGAGTTCAAGAAGGAGGAGGATGCTCAGAAGTTTGTTTCTGCCTCGGAGAAGCCAAAGTACGGCGACAAGGAGCTGAACGTGATCAGCAAGGTGAGCTACGACGAGTACAAGGCACAGAAGTTTGGCGAGAGAAGAGGAGGCCGTGGAAGAAAAGAGAAATATAGAAAAGACGACCAGAAAGACCGCAAGAGAGACAGCTCTCCAAAGAGAGAAGAGAAGGAGGACAAGGTTCCAAGAGACGACGACGCCAAGGACCAAGAATAATTGTACACTATCTAAAATGAGTATGCTGACGTAATATCATTATTTTTCACCAACTGAGACGCGACGCGAAGAATATTTATATCTATAATTGAGACTGTTGGATATGACTTCTGAGACTGTTCGGGTGCGATTCAATCTGAAGTCGGATGATTCCGACACTGTTTCGAAGTGCGAGGAGCTGATGGCGATTTTTGGGCTCAATGCAGAGGATCTTTTTGTCCAATGGGAAACATTTGTGATGAATAGCAGCGTGGCAGACGATCCGTTGCAGTTGAGTGTTGCGAACCTTGGCCGGCTCCAGGAACATTTGCAGAAGAAGCTGGTCAAGTCGCAGCAGAAGACACCGCTTTCTGCTGTCAAGCGGCCGATGTTGCGCACTCCTAACATGAACTTGATCCCGTCTACCCCCTCCAGTAAGAAGCACCGGCCCAATGGTCCACGGAGTGCCGACACCAGCATGACCAGCATCACCTCGTCACCGCTTGCCTCGTCGCCGGCCAAAGATGTCACTTCTGGTGAGATCATCGAGACTTTGAACGGTCATTTGGAGCTGAAGCCAGGCTCCAGCACTAAACCAAAGCTTCTGGCCAACTTCAACCCGCAAAAGTACAAGTTCCGGACCATGAACCAGAAACTCCTGGAGGCCGCAGACTATCTGGACGAGCAGATCGACTCGATGGCCAAAATCTTGCTGGAGCACTACAAGTTCGACAGCGACGAGTTTGGCAACCCGAATATTCAGTCGCAGAGCGAGATCCTCACCGTGGGCCGTGTTGTGCCCGACTCGCCGCTGACGGCCTCGGACGCGGACCTGAACTCCAGCTCGTTGTTCCTTGAGACCTCGCGACTGGGCGGCATTGGCCAGCGGGTCAAGCTGGACGTTTCGAGTCTGGAAAACTACTCGTTCTTCCCCGGTCAGATCGTGTGTTTGCGCGGACAAAACCTCACGGGCGAGTTCTTCAAAGCAACGCAGATCTACGCCATTCCGTTCCTTGGCTCCCCCGTCTCGTCGTCCGAGGAACTGCAGTCCTACGAGTATGGAAACGATTATCTTAAGGTGCTGGTCACAGCAGGCCCATATACCCCGCAAAAGGAGCTGGACTACTCCCATCTCGCACAGTTCGTCGAAAGAGTCAACACAGAGGTCCGCCCAGACACGTTGGTGATGTTCGGTCCGTTTGTGGACGTGAATCACGTGCAAATAGCAGACGGGTCTGCCAGGTTCGACGGCCTGGACAAACAGCCAGCCACCTTGGACGACATATTTAATATGGTGGTTGCGCCGATTTTGCGGAAACTCGAGTGTCTGGTGATTCTCGTGCCGTCCACGCGCGATGCAACCACCAAACACGCTGCCTATCCTCAGGACTCGTTTGACAGGAAAAGCCTTGGTCTTGGAAAAAACTTCAAGTGTTTCCCGAACCCGGCCACGTTCCAGCTCAACGAGTTCCTCGTGGGCTGCTCCAACAACGATATCTTCAAAGACCTCAAGGACGTGGTCGCAGGCTCCGCCAGAAAGGAGTCGCGTTTCGACAGAATCGCGAATCACGTGATCGAGCAGCGCAGATACTACCCCGTGTTTCCTGGCGGGCTACGACAGAAGCGCAGTTTGAAGGAGCAGGACGAGTCAGCGCACATTAGCGGAGCAGACCTGCACCTGAGTTATCTCGGATTGGCCGAATTTAACACGTCTTTGCCAGACGTTTTAATTCTGCCGTCTGAGCTGAAATCGTTCAGCAAAATCGTGCAGAACGTGCTGGTGATCAACCCTGGAACGTTTATGAGACAGAACTCGGCAGGAACGTACTGCGAGGTGAATTTCAAGGCGCCCGTGCTGGAGGAGCTGGAAAAAGCAGGCGACGACTCCTATTTGCATACGGTTTGGAAAAGAGCACGCGTGGACGTGAGACGTACATAAATCCAACGCAGTTATACATTTATACGGCCTATTTGGCTTTTTTATCCTCCACCACGATTCTCTTTGGCAAGATCGACGCGAACTTGAGCAGATCGTCGACGTTGTTGTAGTAGGTGGACTTCGATGGCTCTTCCTCGTCTCTCTCAAACAGTCTTGCAATGGCCTGTTCTTTCTTGAGGCTTTCTGGAGAAGTCTCCGAGAAGTATTCGCTGATGATGGCCTCGCCAAAGAACGAGACGGTTTGCACGAAAAGAACACCAACAACAATAAATGGAAGAATCAGGTACCAATTGGTCTTGACGGACGACTGCGAAACAGAAGCAACAATATCTCCGCCGTTGTACATCAGAGTGATGGCAGAAGAAGAAACAGTTCCAACAAGAACAAGAACCTTGAGGAAAGCAGTCCATGGGTAGACATTTTCTGTTCTCTCTGGCACTGGGGGTCTGGTGAGTTTCAGCAGCTTGAAGTAATCGGCCTTGGACTGGATAAGCTCGATTACCAACGAGATGACCGGACCCAAAGACGAGACAGGACCAAACAGAGCAAGGAATCCGAATTGAATCACCAATTGCCGGAACTCGTCGTCAACAGAGAACTCTGGTAATTCAACGAGCTTTCTCACACTGTCCAAATACTCCTTCTCCTGAGGAGGGTCTGTGAGCTTAATTTCCAGTAGCTTAGCAGGACCAGTCAAGGACTTCACTTTTGGCAAAGCGAAAATCTTGCCCAGAACCAATGGAAGCACAAACTCCAACAACAGTCCAACAATCTGGTTGGTTAGAATGAAATAGTTGTACTGGGAGTTGAGTCTGAGCTTGTTGATCTCGTAGTCCGACTGGAGCAACGGGATTCTAGGAATATAGGTTCTGTAGCTGGACACCTTTTCTGCGTAAGAGTCAATGTGAGGCAGGTAGGAGTTGAGCTTGTAACCGAAAGGAAGGTAGATGAACGAGGTGATGAACAGGGCCATGTAGCTTGCTAAGAAGTTGAAAACAAAGATCTTGACCAAGAACGACTTGCGGTGAGAGATCCTGGTAGCATTGTTCTCGAACGACAGATAGCTGTTGACGACTGCCGTGTAGATAGCAGTGACAATAGGAACGATCGAACAAATCAAAATTGTCGGAACTAGCGAAAGGTACGACTTGAGCGGACCTTGGTAAAGCTCGGTGAGCAGGATCTCAATTCCAAAACACGACAGTTGGTAAAAAATCAACGTCAAACCGGCACCAATGGCAATTGGGATGAATAAGAACTTGCGGAGCAGCACCTGGTGCGGTTTGACCTTTCCGTCTGGTCTGGCGGTCTCCAGCAGCGAGACGTTGGTCAATTTCCAGTTTCTAGAGTCATATCTCTCTTTGGCAAACCAGTCTAAGTAGAAAAACAAAGAGACCAGCAGGTTCAGAACAGTGAACACTTTTGAGTATCTTCCAAAGAAACTGTTGCAGACTAAACCAATAATGGACAAAATACAAAGCCAGTTAATGTACAAGCTGTTGAGGTCGAAGTAGAAAGCTGGCAGTGTGCCGTAATTTTCGAGCAGGAACTTGGACTGGTGTTCTGCGAACGTCGAGTTGAAAAACTTGGAAAGCGTGCCGATGACGTCCTTTGCCTCCTTCTGGATGGCATCGTGGTTGGCAACAGGGACACATGTCTCGATGAACTTCCAACTTCCTTCAGCCACGGTGATTTCTGCGTTTCCGTCAGTCTTGAGACCCGTGAGCTTTGAGTAGACAAGTCTGAGTCTTTCTGCTGTGCTGACCTCTTCAGGCGTAACGACTCCGTAAAAAGAAGCCACTTCCTGCGACTTTTTGGCCAGCTTGGCGAAAAGATCATCGTTCAACTTGATAAACACTAAAAGATGGTTGGAATCAAGGTGCGGTCTGATGCTGACCTGGAACCCGCTCAGGTCCAACGCCTTGACCAGTCTAGTCAGGTTGGTATCGGACTCTGTTTGAGGCTCGAGCGTCTTTGGATCAACCAGATAGAGTACCTTGAGGACGAAATCCGGCTTCAGATGCTCCAAACTGCCAATTGGACCCCTGGATTGGGTCTTCACCGGGCTGGAACTGCCTGACACGGAAGGGGCAGGTGGATTGACCTTAGCGTTGGCTGTGCCTCGCTGCTTGAGTTCTGAAACTGCCTCTTGACTCATGATCGGAAATGAAACAGGGGAGTAATTTTTTGTTGCTATTTATTCACACCAGTTCCTATTCCACAGGGGGGTCGATCGACGCAAGCAACTGGGGATTTGCGCGGAGTTGAAATGGGTGGAGTGGGGGCAAGCAGGCGGGTAGATCTGGTGGCCGAGCAACGGGATACAAAATGTGCTGAGAACAGGAGCCAGTGTGAGCACATTTTGACATGGGAATGATGGAAATGGCCCGAAACAGCGGACTGACAGACTAATGCATGTCGGTTAGCTGTCAAAGAACAGACGACACTTACCACCAATCTTGCCCCCCATCCAGCCAACCCTCCCAACTTCTCACCAAACTCCAACTCCCCCACATTCATGCCTCACCCCGGTGGACCCCAATTTGGCCCCAACCCTTTTTTCAAAGTTTCCGCCCAAACAATTTTGTCCCCCTTTTTTTAACCTTGTTCCATGTCCAGTCTCATAGACCAGTTATTTTCATGGCTAGCGCCAGCGGTTAGCAGTAAGTGCTCACTATGGAAATCCTCTAACACCAGAAATCCCATCTGCCCCCAAATTGATGAGCTCAAGCTCCCCCAGATGCCCCATCTACGAGGGAGACCAGCTACTACTATCTTCAAGAGACATCTACGAACAACTGTGCGATAGACGGATCCACGAGTTATCCAACCATATTCAGGAAATACGACTAATCCTGATTGTCGGGGTCAGCGCGGTGGTTTGTACAGTGTCTGTGATTTTCATCAGATCTTGGTATCTCAAAAACCCCGTCACTAAACACCTCTTTTCTCAAAATTTTATAACGCTGTACCAGAAACTGACTTGGAGTCTGATTGACACAAAGAAACATATTGTCGGGTTGCTTAAATCATATTCACAGGAAAAAGAATTGACATATTACAACGACTCGGTGATTGATCAATACTACGACGATGAAGATCTGCTTCTAAGCTATTATACAGAAGAAGTGTCAGGAGACTTGATCAAACACGACCTGGAACCTTTATCTGCATTGACAGATTCATTGTTCGATTCTGCACAAACCATGTCGGTCCCCACGGAAGTTGATGAAGTTCCCATTGATCCCGAGGATGACCTTCGAGTCATTGTTGAAAAGCCAGTTTTGAATAAGTTGCATGCATATATATTCGACCAGTCAGACTTCAAAGCTGCAAGCTATTCAGCCACACAGACGTACTTACTAAAGGAGCCAATCGAATTAGAAGAATACATCTCCGTCTGTTACGGAGACTACACAGAGGAGGAGGAATCCGAGGAAGAGGTTGACTTTTCCGATCTCAAGCCGAACTTCGATGTGCTCACTTTGGACTACCATCTTTCGGAATCGGAGTCCCGGAAATACGAGGACATCAACGTGCTTAGAAAGCTCATGTCGCTGGAAGACATTGGAGAAGCCATCCATTCCAAGGTGGTGGTGCACTCTTCGTTTATTTGTTATCTGATCCAAACGACCCCAGATGCTCAGTTTAAAAGACTCATGTTCAACTTCGTCCGTGACCTCATCACCTACGAGACAGATAACACTCTGGAAATGGACCAATTTGCTCAACTTGTCAACTGTCTCTTTGATGCTACCAGAGCTACCACTGATAAATATGAGTACTGCTGCGGGATCAAGACATTGTACTCTACTTTGGGAGCCATTGCCATTGACGACTTCTCCGACTGTTTTGATTACTGGTTTTTCAAGAACACGCCTAGTCTCGAGGTTGAGTTTGAGGTTTTGAAGCTGATTCTTTTGAAAAACGTCTCCAAGCTTGCTTCCAGCTCCACGTTATTTGAAGCAACCAGCCAGAAAATCAAGCCCCTTCTGTTGGAGCTGCCACAGGATCCCAAGGTGATCGAGATGAAACAAGTCTGGGACTTTGTGACTTGTTTTGTAGGGAATGAGAACATTGTGCAAGCCAAAACATTGCTAGAAAAGCCTATTGAGAATAAACGGAAGATCTCTGCTACACTTGAGCCCAACGCGAGTCAGACGAAAAAGTTCAAAGGCCTAAGAAGTTCCAACAGGAACGACTTGGAATACTAATCGATAATAAAGAAAATCAAGTATAGTCATATATTCAAACCGAGACCAATTAAGGACTAGTCCACTATGAACTAAAAGTATATGTGTGTGTGTGTGTTGTGTGTGTGTGTGTGTGTGTGCTTCTCTATCAAGGGACATATGGACTCTCTCCCCCATTCTAGTGTTCCCTTGTGTGTGAGTCAATTGAAAAGCATATAAGACGGCCTCGAGACCAAGCAACGATCAACCATCAAGTTGTGTGTGTGACTTGATGAATTCTCTTTGCTAGAAACTCATAGACCGAATTTATTTCGAAGACGAAGAGTCTTGGATGGCGATGTTCTCAACTTTAGTGGCTGGAGTCTCGTCTTCCTGCAAGGCTTGTGCTTGTTCGGTAATCTTCTTGTTGGCCTGTTGGAAAAGACGTTCTTCCTCCTCTGGAGTCAGCTCGTTCTTACCCTTCTTCTTGATGTAGTACATTGGGTTCAACTTGGCCAAGGTCAGGTTCTTGGTGAACGGAAGGTGGCCGTGTCTCTCTTCGTAGTACATCAAAACAAGCGCAATAATGACGGCGATCCAGTAAACGTTGTAGCCAATAACAGAACCGTAGGTAGCAGAGTTTTGCCATCCAAGCAGAGCGTTGAACACATCCCAACCGTTATCCGTTTCAGGGTTGCAACAGTTGACGTGCCAGACAACCTTGTGGATGTTGTAGGTACCGGGACCAGAACCGTTTTCGGAAGCGTCACCACCGGTTTTCCGGTTGAAGACAAAAGTCTCGAAGTCCCAAATAGCTCTGGAGAACAAACCAGCAGCAATCAGGTAAAGAATAGCGGTGGAGATGCACAAGAAAAGTTGCAAAGAAACGGTAGAACCACCATAGAACAACAAAACTCCGACACCAATACCGGCAATCAAACCACAAACGACTGGAAGAGGGAAGGAAGAGGCTGGAGTACCGATACCCACACCACCGACGAAAACGACGGCTTCCAAACCTTCTCTCAAACAGGTGATGAACGGAAGAATGAACATGGCGTATTTCTTGACAATGTAACCAAACTTGAACCGTTCAGCCTTACTAGCAGGAGGCTCAATGAGGGCTCTGGCGATCTTGACTCTCCATTTGGCTTGCATCTTGTTAACTCTCAACATGGCAATACCCATGATGGAAATCAAAATGGTTGCAATCAAGGAGAAAATACCTTCCCATAAGTCCTCAGACTTGGACCAAATATCGTTTTGCAAAGAGTAGTAGGCACCAATGAAAGCACATCCCAGAATCAAACAGAGAACAACTCCCAAAATGGAACCCCACCAAACCTGCTTCCGCAACCTTTTGTAGATGTCCGGACTCCTATCGCCCAAACTCTGCTTCAAGAAAGCCAGAAGAACCGAAACAACAACGACGGCCTCCAAGGTCTCTCTCAAGACAATAAAGAAGATTTCAACCGTGAAAACTTTGTTAGCCATGGTTAATCAAATAGACAATTTAATTAGAACGGGGGGAGAGAGGTTTGTCCGTTCAAAATAAGGCTACCTTTACTTGTGGGAATTGGACGCAATAAATACCCGTGAGGGAAAAAACCCGCTTTCGGGAAAAAATTATTAGATTTTTAAGATAAACTGCCGATGCATGCGGTGCACGGGTGTTCTGATTGTTTCGGACATTTCGCTTGGCTTTCATACAGTGGACCCACTTATTGTTCAACAATAGTAGGCAATAGATACTACGAGGTTCTATTGGAGTCGGCAGCCCGTATATTCAACCTTAATTATACGCAATGCATGCAAAAAAAAAAACCACCCACCAATTTCCGCACTGCCTAATTGAATCTTACCTATTCCAAATCATTCTTGGGCTCCTATTCGTCATCATCGAAATCTGCTTCCATGTCGCACACCGCTTTGCAGTTCGGGCACAAAAACTGCGGGTAGGTCTTCACCACTATTGGCCTGATACATTTGTAATGCCACGAATGTGAGCAGCTCGACACAAACACTGCTTGGCATGGCTTTATCGCACTAAGACAAATCGCACAGGGCGTCACTTCCTCCTCAGATGTGGTTAGAGTCAACTTCTTCAGCCGCTCGTGCGCCTCTTCATTGAACCTCTGCGTTTTGCGGCACCAGGAAGAATTAATTTCTACCGTCACTTTCACACAACGGTAAATATCTTCAGATCCGCCCCGGTAATCCATCCCGAGCTGCAGAATGTCCGAGTCTTTCAATGCAAACTTTCTGCTTTCCATATTCGCCGGAGAGAGCCTCACGTGATTAAGAAAAGTGCCAGACGAGGATCGGACGTCTCTTAGGTACCATGTTCCATTCTCGTCCACGCTGATTTCAGCATGCTGTCTTGAGACCACCTTGCTCTTGAAAACAACCGCGGCCGACGATCCTTGGGGAGCTGTTGCTGCGCTCTTGCATTTCTCTGTGTACCTGCCCACAAGGATCGACATTCCGGGCTTTATTTTGCGAATCAAGGGTCCAAAGTACATAAATGGAGTCGACGACGAATGGTCTATGAATGGAGTCAATCTGATAGCAAAATAGCCGTTTTCGTCGCACTTGGGCGGCTCGATGTCGGCCCCGGTAGTAGCGTCCATAGGGCTTGTAACATCCTCGCTTGCGGATCCCATGAACTCGTCCATGTTGATGTCACTGTCGATCTCAATAGCGTTTGGCGTTGCGGCTGTCAATTCGGCCGAACGTCCTAGTGTAGGCGGCTCTGGCAACGAGCCACTAACGTCCTCCATCCGTGGCAGCGGTGTGGAAGCGTCAAGCGGGCTAGCTTCCGTGGTCTGTACGTATGCATTCAAATTGGCAACGGTGGGGCTATTGGCGATGGTCAAATTGTACAGATGCGAGTCAAATCTGTTGTGGTCCTGCTGCGTGCCCGCCGATGGAGGTCCGGAATCGCCCTCCGCTTCCAACGAAGGCAACGACGAAGACGATTGGCCAGAGGACGTTGCGCGAGCGGAATTATTATAAATATTGCCTGTTGTTTGGGACACATTTGTGGTGCTGTTAATCACAGTGCTGCGGACCGTGTTGACTAGGTTCGAAAACACATTCCCGACGCTAGGCTTGCGTCTCACTTGGCTAGACCTTGGATTCTCAAAGCTGATCGAAGACCTGCCAGAACTGGTGCCTGATATGCTTGGGAATGCCATGATTTGGAAACTTGTTATTCTCCCGTATGATGTATCCTGTTCTTGGAATAGAACTATGCAAAAACTCGGTCCGATTTGGTATTATATCAATAGTCCAACACTTGTTGTTTAATTAAAACCCATACATAAACTTGTGAGTTTTAATTTTTTCCACACATCTTGCCCCTCAACGTGAGGTGTAAGGGTGCTGTTTCGAATACAGATAACCATACATTAATCATTACATAGCTCTTCGATTGGGGACTTGGACAGAATCTCCAAAGTGTATTTGAAGTCTTTCAGTTGTTTTTGTTGTGGGTCCCATTCTTGATAAGCGTCCACCAGATCTTGTAGTAGCGTTTTTGTGGGGAAATTGCGCAATTTCAAAGTTTCCTGGAGAAAGCCCCGAAGACACCATGGCAGATGGTACTGGTTAAAATGGAACTTTTTAACGTTGATCGGCCGGACTTGCAAATCCTGTTGTGCAAGTAAATTTGACGTTTCCAGAGTGTTAGCTATTCCAGCCCGGTAAACGTTTTTGTTCTGCAGAATGTCGCCATAACTTCCCGTTCCCGGTGCGCCTTGCAGATATGTATTCAATTCCACCAGTAATTCATGGTCATCAAAACCCAGATTGCGCATGAGCAGAACAAGCTCCACGAGCTTGCGGATGAAATCAGGCGTGTCTGGTTTCAGGTACGCGCAACGGTAAATGTTGGGGTGGTTGATGTGGGTGCAAAGCGACGAGTACAGCGGAACAAACTGGTCGTCCAGAGACCCGACAAACGTGATCTTGACGTTCTTGCGCAATAGAATCTCCATATGGCGCACAAGCTCTTTACTCTGTGCGGTTTCATCGTCTTGGAAATCGAAAAGCTCCATTAGCACATCGCTCTCAAAATTGGAGTATGCTCTGACAGATAATTTCGAGTCCAGACCAGAATGCGGACCCAGACAGATCCCGGATAAATTGATCAGTCCGATCTTCTGGATCTTGTCAGCGTAGCCGGCCGTGATCAACCGCGAAATTATATGGACTGCCACGGGGACAGTTTGCGAATGCGACGTGACAAACAGATAGTCGCAGTTCAAGATCGAGTCCAGCCAGTTGTCCAGCAGTAACACCAAACAATTGTTGACTCTTTCTAGGATTCTGCCGCTCCCGTCCAGCGCCAGTGTCTCGATTTCGAGGTTCACGTTATGTTCATTGCCCCATTCGACAAGACTGCTTTTGGTAGCTTCTGCCATGTAGTCTGCGGACCCTGTTGACTGGCCAACGAGAGACTTGACCATCTTGAACGGCAAGAACCCATGCACAGATATAGCTAGTGCTTTCTTGGTCTCCACCACCGGCAGTTCCTGAGTGTAGGTGGAATCGTGGTACAAATGGGTTTCTGGCTTTACCAACGGGAACGGAGAAATCTTTGACACGATTAGTCTGAGCTGTGTCTTTTTGGTCAAATCACGGTAATTATAGGTCAGTTCCGGTACCACTGGAGTTTCTGAGGTTGTGAGTTTGGACAAGGACGATTCCTGTGTTTCGTATTGGGTCTTTGGTACCGTTTCACATCGCACTGGAGAGTTGCCTGAAGAAGTTCCAAATATACTGAGCAATCCATTGGAGTTTTGCGAGCCGTTCCAAAACGCCCACGAGGTGGTCCGAGCAAGACTGGGCCCAAAATTGCTCAACTGCTCAGCAGCAATCTCTGCGCGCTCGTTCTCGATGGATTTGGCCGACTGTTGTTCGTGCGAGTTCTGGTTATTAGCTCCCATCCAGGACCAGCCGAACCATCCTTTTGCTGGTGCTTGTTCTGTATTTGCAGACTCATCTGGCTGGTCATTGGGTTGCTCAGTCGACCGCCATAGAGGATTTGTCCATGTTGTCCAGGAGTCCTGTTGCTTGCCCCAGAACCCGAATCTATTAAGAATTCCCTGCTGTTCTGTTTCAGGTTCATCATGAAGAGTAGAAGACTGTTCTTTCAGCTTGCTGCGATACTCCTCCAGCGTCAAGTCCGACTCTTCGGTGGGTCCGTTTTCAGACTGGTCAACCTGTTCTGGTTCAGGTATCTCTGACGGTTGCGGTTGCGGTAGCTTGTGCTGTTTCCCATCATCATGCTGCTGTTTCCTAAATGGACTCTTAATCAACGACGAAATAGAAGCGCTCGATTGCGACCTCTCCACTGAGGATTTGGTGGATGGGTCCTTTTTCCCCATACTTAGTGGGAAGAAATAATAGATAATAATTTATTATCAGATTGTTTTTTGAATGTCCTGGAAAAATGATCTATTGACCAGATTAATCGAGCGCGATCGATCAATGGACGTCCAGAAGGACGTGTTTGTTTCGTGTAAGTAGCTGGTTATCGGCAAACTAACAATCAGTTCAGTTTTCAGCGGCAAAAATAGCGTCTCTTGAGCGACAACTAGACTCTGTTCAACGCGAAGATGGCAAACAAGAAATTTTGGCGTTATTGTCTCAGGTAGACTCCTTAACCAAGAAACTGGAATCAAAGGATAAACAACTGAAACAGGAATTGGACAAAAATGCCTCCATGTCAAAAGAAATTGACATTGCAAAGAAAAACATCCAGGTGATAACAGATGCCTATAAAAAGCTCCAGGATCGTCATTCGAGATTACAAGAAGAAAGCAAAGTCAAGTTGCAAAACGTGGAATCGCTCAATGACGATATCTTGTCGTTGAATATCGAAAATAATCTATTAAATGACCGTCTTACAAAGACCAAGTTAGAGTACGAATTATTGGTCAACAGATGGATGAATCGAGTCAAACAGGAGGCAGAAGTGCTGAATGATGCCAACGAGGCTCTTTCTCGAAGCGAAAAGACAGACACTCCGGAGCCTTAGAACACGCTCCCGTATTCGTCAACTTCTTCAGAGAGAATAGCATCCAGGGCCTGAGTCACTGGCTGCCCGATCTCTTTCACCAATCCAGTAGCCTTTGCGAGGGTTTTGCGATCAAAAGGTTTCCCGTCCACCGTGGACAGAGCCACCGACTGGATTGGAGGCACGATGTTGCCCTGGCTGTATCCAATACAAACACCGTTTTCCAATACCTGTTCTTCGTCCAAAGATGGATCAATAATGACGTTCGAGCCCACCAGTCCCACCACAAACACAAGCACGGGCTGGAACTCGGATGATTCCGGGATCAGGTCTGTGGCGAGCTCCCAGTCGTCGGCAAACGAGGGTTCTTCCTCGATTTCGCGGTCGTTTGTGGTGGATGTGAGTAATGGTAATTTGCAAGATTTCAATGCCAAATAGGATCCCATCGATATTAGCGAAAGCAGAGAGTACAGAGTGTATGACGAGTTCTTGAAGTCTCCTGGAACGGAAAGAATGAGCACATCGACGTAGATTTGGAAGTAATATTTGTCTGTTAGTCGAAGTATCTCATAGTCAAAGTTATTCACTAGGGATCGCTGTAGTAATGCAGAAAGATCGAGACAAAGAGCCGAGTTATCACGTTGACCTTCAATATCCACTTCCACGGCAATCAAATTGGCCAAATCCTTTGTTTTCACCACTTTTGCTTTGACACTGGTAATACACTCTATTCCATCAGCTGTGTAGACTCTTGAAGATCCGTTACAGTTGGGCACGAACGAGCACGCCGCCTTCAACGGACGGAACTCGTTGTACTTTCTGGAGTCTGTTCGAAGAGTGTTTTCGCCCGAAAGCGACTCGTATATATACGATTTTTCTGCCGTTGAGAGAACCATGCTAAAAAACAATTTTTAGCTGGTTTATTTTTTCTTTTCCACGTAAAGTTTGACAATTATGGAGGACTTTGCCTTTAGCCAATTAAAGCCGGATCTTTTGCAAAACAACGACGTCGAGTCTTCGCCGGTGATTCGTGCAAAGATATCCACGTATTTGAGCAAACTTCACATTCAATTGGAGTCGAAAGAGATATCCAATGATGATCTATCCAATATTATTGAACAGCTGGATCTGTTTATAGATCATTTCGTTTCCACATTCAAGGAAGTTGTTGAAATACATCATCTCAGCTCAAAGCTCAATACATTGTTTGCAAAAGTTTACACGCTTGTTTTGTCGCTCATGTTGAAGAATGCCCATGATAAGTTCAATATTAGACTTATTGATGTGACCAACAAGATGGTCAACTTGCTGACCGAAACTAAAAAGCTTTCTATCAAAACCAATTGGTACTCCTCAATCAAACACATGGCATTGGCGGTTTTGCAGGCGATCTTTGCTCAATTTGGCGGGTTCTTGAACTCGTTTAAAAATCCAGTGCTAACAACAGTCTATAAATACGTTTCAAAATGTCACGACAATTACAACACAGCCATCGAATCTTCCATCTTCAAGGCAAACTACTTTACAGATTTGGTTCTATTGGCAGATATTATGCTCACAAACGACAATAGCACAAACACTTTGGACGATAAACTGTTCACCAGACTCACCAAGTTGACCAAATATGTCACTCACAAAAAATCGCCTCAGTCGTTCACGTATCCCGTTCTGAGCGTCACATATGCCTACAACATTCTAATCCAATTGCTCAAGTCGGACCGGTTTGTCCTATCTGTTTTGGGCAGAAAGAGCGTTCCCTCTGTCACCACTTACATCACTGCTATAAGTACATATTTAACCGATATCATTGAGTCCATGGTGACAGAACACTCTCAGCTGAGACTTTCGTTGGCAAAGAACGTGAGCGATCTGCTTGCATTCAACGTGGTTGTTTTCGGTCTCAACCTTGGCGAAGAGGACAAGAGTTTTGAGTACTCCGTCAATTTCATCATGGTTGCATACACAAACGACAATTACGACAACAAGGTCAGAGATGGGTTGATGATGGCGTTGATCCAGCTCATGACAAAGATGAACTTGTATTACAGCACGAACTCTGTGTCGACGGGACACAAGTCTGGGGTTAATTACACGAGTCTCAAGTTCTTTGATCTACTCAATATTGTCTATTACCATTTATTTGGTCAGGGAACGGCTACTAACCAGTTAAGACCCGCTAAAGACGCAGATTTCTTTAAGATTGGCAACTCGTCGACCCCTTCTGAGTCTATTTTCAACCAGATTGATACTTGCTACTCGCTTCTTTCCAGGGATATCGACTCAGACATCAACAGGTTGATCATTCTCGGCAAGATAGTTTACGGCGACTCAACAGAATCCAAAGCTATCAAGTTCCCATCGTTGGTCGAGAGCGTTTCTGCCAAGGACCAGGATGCGTCGAACCAGTACTATGTGCTTTCACTGTTGAATTTGGCCCAACTACTCATCGAGCAGCTGGATCAGTACGTTTTATCTCAAGTTGATGGAATTTCAGAGTCGCATGACGGGTTTGCCTCTCAATTGTGCAACACCCTGTTTGAACTTTGCAAACATAAAAACTTTAAGATCAGAGTTTCTGCCGTGGACACTATCAGCAAGCTGGTTACTATTAAACCTGAACTCTCGTTCGATCTGCTCAACGATTCGTTATCAACATTGCTCTCCTCCTTTGAAGAGGGAAAGGGCGACCAGAACTTCATGTTCAACGAGTCTCATGGATTGGCCTTTTTGATTGCATCCACCTTGTCTTCGTGTCCTAAAGAACACATCAATGCGGATTTTGTTCTTCAAATCTTTTCTGTTGCATCCAACTTTTTGAAAAAGTTCAACTCCACCGTGATCATGGGCAACTTGTTTGGAACCGGTTCGGGAAGTTACGTTTCAAATGTGAACTATGAGAAACAGCTGGTCAGTTGGATCATTCTTATGGGGCTGTTCAACTATGCAACTGAAAAAGATGGCAGTTCTGGTAGCAATTTCTTCCTTCTTGAGAGTTCGCAATTCATCACCATTTGGAAGAACTTGCTTACACATTCGATGCCATCTGATTTTGTGCAAACGGCCTTTGTTGATGGAGTGGCCAAAGTCACCAACCTGAACGAAATCATGAAACTTGTCGAGATCAAAAACCATTCTCTTGTGTGTTTGCTAAGTTATATCAACTATCTTTCATCTACAAAGTCTTCCGTTGAGGGCTCTTCAAGATCCAGCTTGCTTACACCGGAGATCGCCTCGTCGCTGAGCCAGATCATCAATAAGAGCTTTGCATTTATCTCAAACTTGAAACTGCAGGTTTCTAGCATCCCGCTACCATCCATCTTGGAAACCACCATCAAATTTCATATCCTCAGAGTCTACCAAAATCATATTAAATTGGCTCCGTTCCTGCCCCGCAACGACTCAAATTCAGGACTCATGATCGATCTGTTGGACAACTTCTGCAACTCTGGTTTGGCTACCTACAAATCCAACACGTTCAAGGTGGACGAATTGCTGATCAAGTCGACCAGTTTAAGAAGACTGAAACCAATAGCTCAGTTTCAAACCATTGACGAGCTTCCTTTGCAGAGTCTTTACACTATTGAGTCGAGCAAAGTAAAGAGCCATCTAGTTCCGTGGACAGATTTCCGATTCAACCCGCTACACAGCTCCACGTTCTCCAACGATTACTTGATGTACCTCTTCAACGGATCAACAGACTTTGGATACACAGACCAGCTACGGTCTCCGCCATCGGTCGAGGTGATGATCACCGACCTGTCCATTGAAATCTTTGCTGTTTCCTTCGGGTATCTGTCACCAAAGATCCAGATCTCCGTTCTGGAGACGTTACAGGAAGCCGTGTTCCCCAAATCTGGCTCCGGAAAAATTCTAACCGCACTCAATGCCGGTGTTGCTCTGCACAGTGCTCTGAGTTACATGCACAACCACAACGAGACGGCAAGACAGTCGGGAACGATCTCGGTGCTACGTCTAACCAATTCGGTCAGCACGATGCTGATCGATATACTCCAGAAACTCTATGCCGAACACAGTTACCTGTCCAAACTGGCAGCTTTGAACTCGGGCGCAATTGGGTTTGTCTGCTCGCTGTCGGAGTCGAAGGAGTCACTGCTCACAGACCAGATCGCCATTACCATCAAGTCTATTGTCGAGAACACCGACCCAGAAGCCAGATCGTTCAATATCCTGCTTCTTTCTAAGATCGCCGAGTACTCTGCTCTCATGAACATCTCCAACATCTTCACTGTTCTCACCACGCTGGTTGTGGATCCGCACCCGCTGGTCCACGCCTCGTCGCTGGACGCCCTGTCCAGTGTCATTGCCAGCCAGAGCCAGGTAGAACTGATCGGGCCCCTACTCACACGCGTGCTCGGCGTGATCGAGCACGTGATCGACTCGGACGAGTTTGGGTTCAAGTCCACGGTCACCGTCACGTCAAACACAAACTACAAGCCGGAACAGAACTCGGTGGTGATTCTGGCGCGGCTGGTGAGAACGCTGGTCAACAACGCTGGTCCAACCATCTCGTTCTGGGAGCCTGCTCAGAAACAGAAACTCGTCAACGTCTTATTTGCTTTGATGTACTTAGAAAACACCAGTCCCGAGGCAGTGACCCGCGAACTCCTGAAGGCGCTGGAGGAGCTGTTTATCTTCGACAAGTCGCTCATCCCGCTCGAAAGATACACGTACTTTGTCAAGTTTGTCATCACCAACAATATCAAGCTGGGAGTTTCCAGCGGCCATTATGTGGACTCGGAGGAGTCGCGCGAGATCTACCCGGTCACCAGCAGCAATGTGAACTGGCAGTTGGCTCTGGAGTCGTACAACCAGATGCTCAAGCTTGGTTGCAAGATGGACACCGAAATGGAGCAGCTACTCTGGATAGCTCTGGAGTACTCCGATAGCACTACTGCGAAGGAGCTGTTTGAGAACCTGTTGGACTACGCGTCGACTCAGGACCGGGTTGTTTGGTTTGAGAAGCTCATCAAGCTGTTCAACGTCAACAAGCACGTGTTGTACGAGCCACTGCTCTCCAAGTACAGAAAACGCATTGCTAACAACGGGATGTTCTTCAACCCGCTGCGGTTCCGGAAACCGGCTCTTGCTAAGTCGAAATCCAACACTCCAACGCCTGCGCCGGCAGCCAAGTCCGAGCAGTCGGACTTTGAGATGGAAGACGAGGGTGAGAAGTTTGCTGATGCCGACGACGAGTCGCCTGTGAAGCACGAGAGCACGCTCGACTCGGCCAAACAGGACCCGGCCAAGCCAGCGTACTCAGAAACCGTGACGGTGCAGACTATGGTGCTGGACAACGAGCCAACCAACTGGCGGTTCAAGCTGTACATTATGCAATTGCTCACGAAACTGGTGGAGTACGCGCGGACCGACGCCCGGCTCGAGAAATACGTCTCCACCAAGGTTTCTGAGCTGGTTGAGATCGCGTTCGTATGCTCCACGTCGAGTTTGATCAAGCTGCGTGTTTCGTCGCTCAAGCTGATCGGCGATATCATCGACATGTACGGAAACATGACCGACCCGGTGTACCCTGAGGTTTCGCTGTTGGGCCAGCAGTCGGCACAGATCACCACGGCCATTGTGCCTGCGTTCAGCAGAGACTCCAATATTGAGCTCGCGTGCACGGCCGTTGTTCTTGCGTCCAAGCTGTTGAGCAGCAACATCGGCCAGGTGAGCCGGATGAACAGAATCGTCAACGTGCTCACCACGTCGCTCGAGGAGTTTGCCAACGCAAAGGGCTCCAACATCGAGTCGGCCGTCGGCAGTCGCAACACGCTCAAGATCGGCGAGGTGGCCGTGCTCACGAAAAAGTCCCAGAACAAGCTGCTGGTGTACATTTTACAGGCCTGGTCCAGAATCAAGGTCAACTGTCCTCACGAGAACAGCGAGACCCGCAGGTTGTTGGACAAGTACATCGGGATTCTCACGCCGCTGTGGCTCTACTCGCTGCGGGACTTCGCCATGATGAAGTACGGAAGCAGCTTCCTGGTGGTCAACGCAGACGACGTGGACATCCAGACCTACGAGGAGTGCTGGGTGGACTTCGTGGAGGCGATCGGCGTGATTGCGCACGAAGACCAGGCCCAGCTCAATGAGCTGCTACACGGTGACGGAGCAAACTTCTTCCTGGTGCTGTTTGGCCAGTGTGTGGAGCACCTGATTAAAATCTCGTCGAGAATGAGAAACACGGTCAGTGCATACGAGTTCCGTGTGCTGGACGCGCTGATTGGAATCCTCAAGCTCAAACCAGCACTCGAACTGGTGTTCGAAGATCACGTGTTTGCCGAGTTTATTGATCTCCTAGACAGACTAATTCTCACAGCAGACCCGGCGTTCAAGATCAAGATCGTGGAGCTGGCCTCGAATGTGTTTGAGTCCTATTTCACCACCTCTTCCGGCTCGAAGTCCTCGGAAGAACTCCACGACGACGTGGACAAGCTATTCGAGCTCTTGAGAATTAACATGCTCGCCATCATCCAAATCCTGCCGTTTATAAGAGACCGCGATTTGGCAAAGGTCCCGCTCAAGCCCGTGGAAGGCCTGGATCTCGTTCTTTTGAAAAAAGCGTTCGACGCATCGTTGAACATGATTGCGTTCCTCCCAGACGTGATCCAGCTCGACTTTTACACGTGCTTCCTGTACTCGTTCACGCTGATCTACGAGTTCAACAACACAGATATCATTGCTATCCTGTTGCCAACTCTCAAGAAAACTATGACCGGGATCACACAGGTGGACCCTCAAAACGCAAGCTTGTCGCAATTCTTCCACTCCATCAAAAACAGACTCGACGTTTCACAGAAAAACTCCATTCTGACCGTCTCCATCCTCATCACAACAATCAACGAGCTTCCTCTCACCACAGAAGAGGCCAAATGGGTGTCTGAATTCATCGTCCATGGACTCGTCTCGGAAGAACCAAGTCTAAACGCTATTTCCACGCAGACCATCAAGTCGCTGATCAAACACAACGAGGTCCACGGCCTGTTGTTGGAGAACTTTATTCCGAAACTGGTGGAGCTGCTGTATTCGTCCCAACTCAAGGACCCTAGATTGGCCATCGAAACACTAGTGGCATTGACCAAGGCCGTCTCAAAGGACAAGGTGAACGGATGTCTCAAGATCATCGTTCCAATCATCATCTGGTTTGACGAGTTCACGTCCCACAGCTATGAAAGCTATTTGCATCAAAAACTGTTGGACCTTCTCCGTTTTGCCCCAGCAAGCTTCAAGTCGTTTGTTGACACCTGTACAGACGAACAAAAACTAGTTCTCGAACGTCTGGTGAAACTGAACGCTGCTGTTGGAAACGAACCAGAAGTGGTTGCCCAGGAACTCTCGCACATCAAGTTGAAAACTTTCGGTGAATAGACCATTATATTATTTGCGTTTAGCCAAGCAGAGCTGGTGGTGGTGTAGTTCCCCATTTGTAAAGAAATCGACAGTATTCTCCGGCAATTGCACTTGAGAGTACTTCTCGTGCAGCTTCGTGTAGCCGTCAGCCACTTTTGAACTCACTTGCGCATATTTTTCGTGATTGACAACAGATTGGGTATATGGGTGTCCTTTTAGAGCGGTCAAGTATTTGTCCACAAAAATAGCCAAAAGATTGTACTTTTGAAGAGTCCATGACTTCAACTTCTGGTACCAGGCACTTGAATCGAGAGCTTTGTAGTATTCGGTAGTGATGTTTCCAATGAGAGTGATCTCGTTGGCTGGGATGTAGACAAGTTTGTCGATTCCGTGACTGTTTTCTGTGTCGATAAAGTCTTCGCAATGGACCAGCTCCCAACCACTCACCGTTGAAGAGCCATCAAACACTTGGACCTCTCCCATCTCCGTGTCCACGGGCATGTTCAAGTCAACGTAGTAGTCGCAATCTTTGAAGTCGATCACCATTTCTGGATTATATTTGTTCTCGTTGTTGTATCCTGTAGGTTTTGCAGATGTAGACTTGAACAAGTCAGACCACGAATTGGTAGCTGGTTCAGCAAAGTCACCAGGCAGCATTCCACGGAATCCATTCTCGACAAATCTTAGCCGTTGGTTGGAGTGTAGGAAGAAAGAGGACGGATAATGGTACCATTCTCTTCCAATGCAGACATTCTCAATAACGTCCAGTTTGGAGGACGGTAAATGTCTGAACAAAGCCAGCGGAGAACCGTAGTTTGAGTCGAGAGAGATAATTCGCAGGACAGAAATGGAAACAACAGTGATGAAAAGCACAAGTTTTGAGAGAAGCGTAAACGTTTTGGCCAACAGGTATGAATCACCAAAGAGGTGAGTTATTTGTGCGGCGAAAAACGATGCTGTCAAAGTGATGAGCGGATAGATTGGGTACAGGAATCTCTCTTCTTTGTGTGGCTGAGAAAAGAAGATGGCACACCACACCAAGATAGGCAACTGGATTGTTTTGATTTGTCTGAGATTGAACTTTTCAAACGAGAATGGAGAAAGCAAGCCCAAAACAGCCAGAGGTAGCACAAAGTTGAAATTCAGCAAAAGGTTGTGAACGTAGTAGATCAAAGGCTCAGTTCCGAAAATGTGTGGACCTGTTGTTTCTGCGGAGTGGAGCACGTTGTACAACACAATGTTTAGTGGAACAAACGTTGTTTCTCTGTAGAACAATGTATCGATTTGCAGAACAGAGATGGAGACAAACAAAATAGATGCGAAACTAAGAGCTCCGTACATGAGCAATTGGGAGTATCCACTTCTTGTGACCTGAGTGAGAAAAACATGAACCGCAAATGGAACGATCAAGGCCAAGGAAAATGGCCAGCCCAAAAGACCTCCCACGGTGGTTGCCAACACTGCCAAGGTAAAGTGTCTTTTTTTCGTAATCATCGACTCGGTGTACATGTGGTTGAGAAGCTTAAGACTCTCATCGTACTCAGACCGTTTTGATTTGACGACTGTTTTCAGTTTTTCGTTGATGTTTTTCTGGATTTTGAAAATGAACCTGTCGTATTTCAGATAGTTGACAATTGCGGCCGTTGCCACGAGGGTGAGAATCATGCTGAACGAGCTTGGCAGCAAGCTTATCGACGCATGGGACATTCCCGGGTTGACTGCCTGGAAAATGAGGAACCAGTTTGATAGGTCCTTGGAGATGTATTTCAAGGTGTTAGCCAGATGGATTTCTGCAGCTGCTGTTGACAGAGCAATTGTGAGTCTCACAAGGTAAAACTGAACATATGGAGGAATAACGAGGTTCGAAGCGACCAGTTCGAGCCATTGGAGCGGTCTGTTGAAAACAGTGAACGGTAATAAATAGGCATATGATCTGATTGCGTATTCTGGAGAATATTCCCACGTTTGTTTGCCAAACAGTCTTGTGATCAGATTCAAAGGTTCCCAGTAGTTGAAGACTTCGTCACAATCGGACAGGATTCCGTAAAATGCCTGTAACGATCGGGAAATCAACAATATTAGGATGAACAACAAGGAAGGCATAACAAAACAAGATGAAAAATAAATAAAGATGGGAGATTATTTAAGGTATTTTTAATTGCAGGAAATTGGCCGTTGAAATCGACCTGTATGGATAGCAATCGTTGTCAGACCTTGCACAATGTGCAATCGAGCTGTTTGGCCCATTTTAGCGCCCAGTTTTAATCAATCCGGCTTAAGCTCCCATATAAGACGATCGACCCAAATAAATAAATCTCTCCGCTCTATACTTTTCCGATAATGTCAGTGAAGATTGCTACCAAGACGCAGGTGGAAACCGTTTTAGACAAGTACGATACATTTCTATTTGATTGTGACGGTGTTTTATGGTTAGGTAACCATCTTTTGCCCAGCGTCGTGGAGACTCTGACTCTTCTGCGGTCGCATGGTAAAAAGGTTATTTTCGTGACAAATAATTCAACAAAGTCCAGAGCAGACTATGTGCATAAGTTTGAAAAGTTCGGTATCAAGGCTTCCAGTGACGAGATCTTCAGTAGTTCCTATGCTACCGCTGTTTATGTGGACAGTATCTTGAAACTTCCAAAGGACAAGAAGGTCTGGGTTCTTGGTGGTTCAGGTATTCAAGATGAACTGAAGTTGGTTGGATACGAGTCAATTGGCGGATCGGATCCAACTTACAACAAAGAGTTAGATTTAGACGATCCAGAGTCTCCGATCTATCATCTGGATCCACAGGTCGGGGCTGTTGTTGTTGGATTAGATACTAAGATCAACTACTTCAAATCTGCCGTTACTATGCAGTATTTGAACAATCCAGAGATTCCGTTTTTGGCTACCAACATCGATTCTACATACCCTCATAAGGGTCTGAAACTTCCCGGAGCAGGAACTTGTGTCGAAACTATTGCGTGTGCCTCCGGTAGAAAGCCGTTGACGAGCTGTGGAAAGCCAAATCCAAGTATGATGGATGCGATTGTTAAAGCGCATAAAATAGATAGAAGTCGGTCGATCATGGTCGGAGACCGGTTGAACACCGATATGAAGTTTGGAAGAGAAGGCGGACTGGCAACATTGCTTGTTCTGACTGGAATTGAGACCGTGCAAACTCTCAACCAGCTGGAAAAAGACGTGCAACCAACTTACTACTCCGAAAAATTGGGCGATCTTTTCGAGCTGCTGCAATAAAAAAAAATTGTATTATCGACGCGACGGCGCAATTTTTATAACATTTATATCAACGTTCTATCTCAAGTAATAGAGGACACGCTAGCAAGAGTTCAAAGGTACGCGCTTTAGTTACTTTGGAATTTTTGGCAATTGAGAATGTCCGTCACCCAAGAGACTCTGGAGAACTCAGAGTTGATCAACTGGACGATTTTCCAGGAACTTTTGCTCATGGATGAAGATGAGGAGGGGTTTGCCGTTTCTCTAGTTAAGACGTTTGTGGAACAGGCCACGGGAATCTTTCAGGAGATTTTGGACCTGTTGAACGTTTCTAGCCCTTCAGACGACGATCTAAAACGGATTTCTTCCCTGGGCCACTACCTTAAAGGTTCTGCTGCCGCCTTGGGATTGCAGGTTGTCCAACAGGAGTGCGAGAGAATTCAGAACTACGGAAATAAGATCAATTTCGACGATTATGAACCGGCCGCAACGGCCAAGTCCTCGTCCGATTGGGTTGAGTGCATTCGCTCAGCGTACACAAACGCGTTGGAAGGTTACGAGAAGAGCAAGAAGTTATTAAGCGAGTTCTTTGACGAGGAGTTATAACCAGCTCCACCATTATTGATGACTATATAGTTGTGACGGCTCACTTTTGATTAATGCGTATTTCCCATTCCAGGGTGATGAAATCTCCTTTATTAAGAGTAATCTATTCTTCTTTATCGCTCTTGACATTGTTCTCAACAAACGAGTAACCGAGAACAAGTCCCATGGCTATGAGACCAAACGAAATGGCCAGCGTATTTAGTTGAGTATCGGTAATCATCGGACTTGGCCTTTTTAACACGTTGTATTTCAACCAACAACAATTTCCACCAAAATGTAATATTTTCTCGCTTGGCCGATCGACCTTATTATTTAAAGGGAATAGAGCCGGGGAAACTTTTTCTCCACCTTTTCATTATGTCTCGTAAACTGACTTTTATCCCAGGACCAATCGAATTCAGCGACAATGTGCTCAATGCCATGTCCACTCCATCGCAGTCGCACGGCTCGCCCGAATTCACAGCTGTTTTCCAAGAAGCGCTTAAAAATACCCGAAAAGTGTTTAAATCCACTGACCCGAACTCTCAAGGCTTTGTGATCTCCGGATCCGGAACTCTGGGATGGGAAATCGTCGGGGCCAATTTGCTCTCCAAGTCCGAGTCTGCCCTTGTTGTGTCCACCGGTTTCTTCTCGGAGCACTTTGCCGAGGCCTTGCAGGTGTACACCGACAACGTTGACATCATTGGTGCAGAGGTGTTTGGCGACGAGGTGAAGGCCGAAGCAATCGAGTCCAAGCTCAAGTCCAAGAAGTATGACGTGATCACCATCACTCACACCGACACTTCTTCTGGTGTCCTGTCCAATTTGGAGGAAATCTCCGCTCTGGTCAAAAAGGTGTCTCCAGAGACTTTAATTGTGGTTGATGCAGTCTGTGCCACAGCTTGTGAGAACCTCGAGTTCGACAAGTGGGGGATCGATTACGTTCTGACCGGATCCCAAAAGGCTCTGGGATGTCCTTCCGGGTTGTCTATTTCTTATGCTTCCAAACGTGCTTTGGATAAGGCATTTGCTTCCAAACCTGCTTCCTATTATGCCTCGCTCCAACATTGGTTGCCAATCATGAAATCGTACGAGAGCGGAAACGCTGCTTACTACGCCACCCCGGCTATCCAATTGGTCCATGCCTACAATGTTGCTTTGAAGGAGGTCTTGGCTACCACCCTGGACGACAGAATCAAGGCCCATGCCGAGGCTTCGGACAAGTTCAAGAACAAGCTCGAGAAACTCGGCGTCAAGTTGGTTCCTGTTTCCAGAAAAGTGGCTGCTCACGGTCTCACCACCGCTTACTACCCCGATGGTGTTGATGGTAACAAGTTCCTTGCCAAGGTTAGAGACTACGGTTTCACTCTGGCGACCGGAATCTACAAGGATTACAAGACCAAGTACTTCAGAGTTGGACACATGGGTGTCAGCGCTGTTGGCGAACGGAAACAGGAACTCGACGAATGTTTCGAGGCCATTGAAAAGGCTCTGAAGGAGTCCAAGAATTAAAACTCTTTATATTCTTTTATTCAATATTTATTAAACAGACAATGGGAATTGGCCAGCCCAGTCGGAGATCTCCTGCTTGAGAGCAGTGACCTCTGGCAGCTTGGTGACGATCTTGGCCTTGAAGTCCTTCAATTTGTTGGCCTCGATTGGCAAACTGGTCTGGACCTCCTTGGCGATCTTGATGGCTCTGTCAATGTAATCAACAACCTTGACAAAGTCCTGCTCAGAAAGACCTCTGGTGGTCATTGCAGGAGCTCCAATTCTAACACCTCCTGGAACAAGAGCAGACTTGTCACCTGGAATGGAGTTCTTGTTCAATGCAATATTGATCTGCTCGCAAACAGCTTCAATACGAGCACCATCGATTCCCTTGTCTCTGAGGTTGACCAACACCATGTGCGAGTCGGTACCGTCAGAAACAAGCTTGTAGCCGAGTTTCTTGAACTCTGTCTCTAAAGCCTTGGCGTTCTTCAACACTTGCTCCTGGTACTCTCTGTACTCTGGGGTAGCAGCTTGTTTCAAAGCAGTGGCCAAGGCAGAAATCGTGTGGTTGTGAGGACCACCCTGGTGACCTGGGAACACAGAGAAGTTGATAGGGTTCTCAAGATCGTAGTAGATCTCCTTTCCGGTCTTTGGATTCACGGATCTAACACCCTTTCTGAAGAAAATCATAGCACCACGTGGACCTCTCAAGGACTTGTGGGTGGTGGTGGTGACAATATCGGCGTACTCGAATGGAGATGGAATCACGCCTGCTGCTATCAAACCGGAGATGTGAGCCATGTCAACAACAAGATAGGCACCAACCTTGTCTGCGATCTGTCTCATTCTCTTGTAATCGATCAATCTGCAGTAAGCAGAAGTACCAGCAACCAAAACCTTTGGTCTGTACAAAACGGCGGTCTTTTCCAGCATATCGTAGTCGATGATTCCGGTCTCAAGGTTCACTCTGTATGGCATGGTCTCGAAATAGGTGGAAACTGCAGAAATCTTTCTGGTGTCTGTTTGGTAACCATGGGAAAGATGGCCTCCGTGAGGAAGATCCAGTCCCATCAATCTCTCATGAGGCTTCATGATGGCCTGGTAAACTTGCAAGTTGGCTGGAGATCCAGAAAGAGATTGAACATTCACACCCCATTTGTCTGCATCAAGGTTGAAAGCTTTCAAAGCTCTGGCCTGACAGAGCAGCTCCATTCTGTCGATGTGCTCGTTACCACCGTAGTATCTGGCACCAGGGTAACCCTCGGAGTACTTGTTGCACATTGGAGATCCCAAGGCATCAAACACAGCAGTAGAGGTGAAGTTCTCAGAAGCAATCAGAACAATCGAGTGTCTCTGTCTTTCGATCTCATCCTGGATGATGGAGGCGACCTCAGGGTCGATGTCTTTCAAATGGCCTTCGACGAGTTGTCTGTGGGAGTTTGAAAGGGCGTACGACATGATTTAATTAGTTAATAAAGAAATTATTAGCTCTGAGTCTTTATTAATTTCTCGGTGACTGGAAAATTGCAAAGAAGCGTGATCGCCATAGTAACGAGACGGACGCTTTTTTAGAAAAACACATGACCGGTAAATTCACCGCTCGTTGCTAGGACAATCACATCGTCGCTACAGTATCTAGTTCTCTCTTTATTACCACATATATCCAATTAACGGTAGGATTTTTGGAATCTGGCTCTGGCACCACGACCACCAAACTTCTTTGGCTCCATTCTTCTAGCATCAGCAATCAACAAGGTTCTGTCGTAGGAAGTGAAAACCTTCTTGAGTTCGTTCTTGCTGGACTCATCAACGTACTTGGCTGTGAAAGCAATCAATCCTTTAGCAATGGCCTGTCTGATAGCGTAAACTTGAGAAACGTGACCACCACCGGTGACCTTGATTCTGATGTCCAAACCAGCAAACTTGTCAAGACCAACAAGAAGCAAAGGCTCGTAAACTTTGTGTCTAAGGATTTCTGGCTCCACAAGGGTGATTGGAACACCGTTAACCTTGATGAGACCTTTTCCCTTCTTAACGTGAGCCACAGCAGTAGCGTTCTTCTTCTTACCAAAAGTCTGTTTTGTTAGTCAACTATGATCGTTGGAGAGCGATTCCACTTACCTGAACGGATTCTTTTGGAGCAGCGGTAGACATGTTGATAATGTTGAATGTAGAACTAATTATTTTTCGCTAGTTTGAGTGTGAAAAATTTTAGGCACCCTTACACGGGGGATCAAAGGTTAAAAGGTGGAAAAAAACAGGAGAAATGTGACTGCGTTTTCTTTCCTGGTCCCGCGTTCGTGCTCGTGCGAATTTTTTCAATATTGAAAATTTTCCTGTATACCAAAAACTCTTAAGGTTAACCACAGATGGCTATCGCAAAGAACCTCCCAATCCTTAAGAACCACTTCAGAAAGCACTGGCAGGAAAGAGTCAGAGTCCACTTGGACCAAGCTGGAAAGAAGGTTTCTAGAAGACAAGCCAGAGCTGCTAAGTCTGCCAAGTTGGCTCCTAAGCCAATCGACTCTCTTAGACCAGTTGTCAGAGCCCCAACCATCAAATACAACAGAAAGGTGAGAGCCGGTAAGGGATTCACTCTTGCTGAGCTTAAGGCCGCTGGTTTGACTGCTAAATACGCTAGAACCATTGGAATTTCCGTGGACCACAGAAGAGTTAACAGATCCACCGAGAGTTTCGAATCCAACGTTGCTAGACTCCAGAAATACAAGGACTCCTTGATCATCTTTGACAAGACCACCAAGCCTTCTGGTGAGCAAGTTTCCGTTGCTGCTGTCTTCCCAATCGAGCAGCCTGCTGTTGAATCTGAGCCAAGAGCTGTTGTTGTTCCAGAACAGACCGCATACAGAACTTTGAGACTTGCTAGATCTGAGAAGAAGTACAAGGGTATCAAAGAGAAGAGAGCCAAGGACAAGGCTGAGGCTGAGGCTGAGAAGAAGAAATAGGTTAATTGAAAGAAGTATCGTATTAAATGAGTAATATAGTCTCTGATGTATAACCATCTACTCGACGACAGTCATTCTACGGTAACAATTATGACATTATTTGGTTATTATTCGTACTTAGTCAAACAAACCGAAACCCATGTCGTCGTCTTCCTCCTCTTCAGCAGCAGAGGCCTCTTCCTCCTCGGCAGCAGCCTCTTCGGAAGCACCAGCAGCGGCACCTGGGGCGGCACCAGCAGCAGGAGCAGCACCAACGCTGAAGTTGGTCAAAAGAGCGTTCAAGTCTTGACCAGCCAAAGCCTTAGCGTAGATAGAAGCCCAGATGTTGTCGATCTCCAAATTGGCACCGGAGGTCAATTTCAAGAGGTTTTCAGCACTGATCTCGACGTCGGAGTCGGACAGGATGATGGCAGCGTATGAGAGAGCAGCTTCGGTGGACATTTTGCTTGGAATAATCAAATTAAGCACTGACTGCAGACTATTTCCTTGATGAAAAAAATTGAACATATTTTTTCTATAAAATACCAGGTCACGTGAAAAAGGTTTAGCCCTCGTACCCTAAAATGGTAGCAGATGTATGTTTAAATTATAAACTGTTACAAAAGGGCCACAAAGAGCGGCAAAAGACCGACGACGCTGGCCTTGAGAGTCGCAGCGATGTCACTTGCAGTCGAGACTGCAAACTCGGTGGAAGAGGAGCCAGATCCTGGAGCAGATGTGGAGCCGGTGATCTTGGAGCAAGGACAAGTCTCGGTGATGGTGGTTCCGTCGATCACGGTGGTGCGCACCTCGGTGGAGGCGCCAGATGGGAGCGTGGTAAGAGTGGCATCAGTCGATCCAGTGCCAGTGGTTGCGCCAGTGGAGCTGGAGTTGGAGTAGCCTAGCGAAGATCTAGAAACAACGGTCGAGAAAGTAGGCGCGGTGGTGGACTTCGCAGAGGAGGAGGAAGTACCAGACGACTTCGCAGAAGACGTAGCTGATGGTGCAGCAGAGCTGGCTTTAAAGGACGAAGAAGACGGCACAGCAGAGCTGGCTTTGGAGGAAGAAGCAGATGGCACAGCAGAGCTGGATGGACACACCTTATCGTGGGTGAGTCCTGGAAGCTTGACATGGAACACCAAAGCCTGGTTGTCAAGATTGAACCCAGAACTATCCTTGTATGGGAATTGGCCGAAGTTCATGAATCCGTTTTGGGTGATAAAGTCGTCATCCGAGACAGTAAGTAAGAAATACTCGTCAGTGGTGCATTGGACTGGAACCAAAGTGATACCTTCCCATTTCTCATTCAACAAAGTGTAGTCGTCCTCGCCACCGTTGTGGAGGCCGAACTTCTGGAGCTCAGTCTCGTTGTTGTAGTTGAGGAAAGAGTAGTACTTGGCTGGAGTGATATCGGAGTCCAGATTTCCCTTCTTGGAAGCAATCTTGTCGCCTTCTCCGTCGTATTTGCCAGCAACGTTGGTCGCGTTGGCAATCGAGTAGATGTCAGCATGTCTGTAGATAGACGCGGTGTTGGACTGGCCTCTACCGTGGTTGCTATCTCTGGCAAGAACGAGGAAGATCTCGTCGGTCACGTAAACGATTTCGGACTGAGCAGCGGTTCTTGGGTTCTTGTCGTCGCTGTAGTCAGGATCGTTGTAAGTTGGTAGCTGGAAAACGTACTCGCCAACCAGAGTAGGAGTGGACCCACTGACGTCGTACTTGACCATTCTGGCGTTCGAACTGGTGTACTTTTTGTTTCCACCTTCTTGCATAGCAGCAGATTGCAACAGAGCGAAAAGATACTTTCCGTCAGGAGAAAGAGCAGCACCCTCGAAACCTTGGTTGTTTGCTCTTCCGGAGTCTGGGTCCCCGGTGTCGTAGGTCTCGTAAATTGGAGGAGAATCGGCATTGAACGACTGCTCGTTGTTTCTGTAAGGAACAATTGCATCTGGAGGCAGAGTGAAGTCGATCAGAGTTCCGTTGGAGTCGAACTTGTACAAGCCAGGGCCGTACTCGTCGGTAATCCAGAAGCCGTTGTTGATGTCACCCTCAACCAATCTAAGAGCCTCAGGGTCCAAGCAAACGTAGGTAGTGGTTTTTCCCGAGTCGAGATCTGCTCCAAAGCCGTTTCCAACAAAAGCAGAGGCAGGCAGAGTGTAGCCGTTTTGCTCGAGAGTGGTGTTGCAATCCAGACCAGTCATGAAGTCTCCGTTGAAATCTTTCAACAAAATGGTGTCCTGGTAGTCCCAGACCAGATTTTGCGAGGAAGAACTGTTCAATGGGGTGAACTTGGCACCGTACTTATGGATTCTAGGAACAAAGTTCAAAGTACCATTGGTGTTCCATCCTCTATCAGGAAGATTGTAGGTAACGAAGCTGTAGACTCCGTTGGAAACGGACAACGAAGGCTCTTGCAAAGCAACCGAGGAACCAAAAGAAATGGTGTCTTTGTACTTATCAACGGAGTCACCGGGAGCAAAACCATACCCAACTAATCCAAAATTGACATACTCGTCATTACCAACGTAAACGGAGTCGGCAGCGAGAGCGGCGGAAATAAGCGAAAGACACGCCACAAGCGAAATACTAAACTTCATTAAGGGACTACCACAAGTCTCGAGGCTCCATATTTATTCTGTATCCAGGGAAATAAAAATAAGCCGCACAACGCTAAACCGGGGAATACCACGTGCCGGTACAAAAATATAGAAGCATATGCACGTATCTAGGCCGAGGTTCAGATTTGGAGAGTGCTCATGTGACGCTGTTTAGGAGGCTTTGTGCAAACCCAGGTGGAAGCGTACATGTTGATACGGTCGATGCTTTTTCCTGGCTCACGAATTCCCGCCGGGTGGCAGATGTAGCCTCTGTCTTGGAAATTTTTGATATACCACGGATGGGTGGATGCGGACCTCAACAGAACCCTGCCACCATGTGCTAATGCTTCGTTCAATGCGGCAATTTCCTCGTCTGCTTCTTTCCCTTCGGGGTCAAACCAGTCCATGTGGTCCATTATTACCGCAACGGTCAAAGAATGTTTCGTAAGTCGGGCAAAAACATCGTTTAGGTAGTCGGTATGCAGACGCACATTGTCTATTGGCGAATTCTTTCCTGAAAAGCTCTTGTATGCCGTTTTGGTCAGGTAATCTGGACAATTGGTCTCGGAGTATCTTCCTTTTAAGGTCAAGTAATAGAAGTAGTTATCCGAGGAGATCAATGACCGAGTAATCACCGGGTCCAACGTGTCCACCACGTATTTGATCACAGAAGGTCCCATCATAGCTGCTTGGTTAGCCGGAACACCCAGTGCTTTCCACAGAAAAATAGGATTGCCGATGAGCAGCTTGGAAACAATGGGGTTGAACAGGGTCGGCTTAATCTTGTCGTCCCAGATCCGTTTCTGTTCCTCGATTGTCTTCGCCGTACACAGATCGTCAACGTCTGCAGTGACTCCACAGATTTTGAACACATACCGCGCCATTCTCAACGCCCATTTGGAAAAGCCTGTATCGTACAAGCCACGGCCATCCACGTTGAAGGTCTTCTCTCCTTTGGCATACCAGTACTGGAACGCATTGGAGGACATGTGGGGTGCCATCTTGGTGACCAGCAGCTCGTTGAAGCCCTCGATCTTGCCCAGACCAAACATTTTCCAGATCTCCTCTCTTTTCAGCGACTTGAATGCAGCCAGCTTCAGTTCCATCAGATGACCCTGGCACGGGTTCAGGTCGACTCCGTGGATTCTTCTAGGTGGATCTGGTAGAGCAGCGTACGCCAAAATGTTGTCTCCGGCCGAGGTAATTGCCAACACGGTGTCTTTCGAAGATAAGTTCAGGATCTTAGCGTCTTCTCTAGGATCTTCCCATGTGAATGCGTAGATGAACTGGTTTTTGAACTGGACGTACTCGGGTCTCAATTCGTCATAGTAGACGCGGTACGCGTCGTTCTGGTAGTATATCGACGGGTATGGTAGGTTTCTGGACTGTGACTCGAGAGCAGCTTCGTGGCCCTTGCTTTTTGCAATTTCCACAGAGCTTTCAATCTCTTGCGGAGCCAGGTACGGAGACTCTGTGGCCAGCGCGTTTACACGGTGGAGCAGAGCAGGCGACCGGTCTTTGTCGCATCCGAGCCAGATGTAGTACGGGATGTTTCCAAGCCGTTTGTTGTACAAGTTCAGCGACTTGAGAGTTCCAAACCGGTATTCCAGGTAGTCTCTTCTGGCCGGGTCCAAAAAAACTCTGTCTGCTTCGAACCAGATCCGCCAGAACGTGCGGAACACCCATGGGTTGTGACGGTCGGTCATTCCACCAAGAGTGTTGACTCGGGCCAAAGAGGTAGAGTTGCTCTGGACACCAAAGTCCACGCAGCAGATGATTCCGTTCTTATGAATCATCGAGGCTATGTGGTCAACCGCACAGTGGAACGTTGGGATCATGGACAACGAGTACGAGAACGTGATCAAGTCGGCTGGAACATGGGGAACCGTGAAGTTGCACGCGTCTGCCAGCAAACAGTGCACGTTCTTCCATCCTTTCTCCTGGAACCGTTTCTCGGCCACCTCCAATAACGAGGGAGACAGGTCGATGATGTAGACGGCTTTGAAATGTTTCATCAGAGGTAGGATCGAGTTCATGTGCTCAATATTGTAGCCGGTTCCTCCGCCAACGTCGATCCAAACAAGATCCTTCGTTTTGGAAAGATGGGCAGCAGCGAGTTTCAAAGACGTTTCTCTTCCCTTCAGGAGTGTCGGTCTGGTCATGTCGTAGATCTTGGCCTGGGCCTGATAGAAAGATTCCAAAGCATCCTGCTGGGCACCGCCGTTCTTCGCCGACTTGGAAGAAGGGGTGAACGGCTTGATGAAACAGTGGTAGCAGAATTGTAAGATGACACGAAAGTTCTCGCTGTAAACAGATAACAACAGACTGGTAAAGATTCCAACAGCAATAGCATAGAAAGTGTATAGGGCAAGACCCTCCTTGGTAGACTGGATTTCCAACATGAATTACCCAAAACACCTGCAACGAATCTTACCCCTTTTATAAAACAACGTCTGCGCGTTCCAACAAAAGACCACGGGTCAGGTTTAGTCCCAGATCCAGATACGACAGTGCATGTGAATTTCGCAGGGGCTCCCGCCAAGCGTCTATCGCTGTGTCAGAAGAGTAATTCGGTGACATGTGGTAGCGTGGGTGCTGACATAACCAAAACGGAAATATGAGAAAACGTGGGGCAGGGTTAATTTGTTGGGAGATCCGGGGAATAGCCTACTGCACAGACCCAAATTTGTTGCAGACGATCGACACATAGAAGCATGGACCACTTCGACCGTATGGTTGGGAATTGACGCGGCATGCCTGTCCAGTCTGCGTCTGGTTTGTCATGGTAGTTCCAGGTGGCAGGTGTGGTGTGGTGGCAGGTGTGGCTTGATCAAATCTGGCTATAGGCGAGATATGAGCTTATCTCAGAAAAAAAGCGTTAAACTTTCCAATGACATCTCAGACACCTGTCAAGACCACAAGAAACCTCCCAAAACCAAAGTCGGCCTATCTTCCAACCAGCAAGGACTCTCCTTTGTATGCGAACCGGGAGTTCTACGACTCTGTTGCCAAAACTCACGAGAACGGGAAAAGAGAGCTGGTTGAAAAAATCACCGTTCCTATCCGGTCTGGACGGGCCTGGAAAGTCCCTAAGGGGTATGTTTGTCGTGTGGTTGCTCTAGAAGGCCCCCAGGTGGGGGACCTGAACATCTGGAGCGCCCATAATCCCAGAGAACGGCTCTGGGCAGCACGTACCAGACAGCTCCAATCTGCCCATGTTTCTGTTTACGACCGCCTGTGGTCGAATCTTCCCTATTTGAGACCTCTGTGCACCATCACTGGGGATTCTATTGCGTACGGTCAGGACGAGTGGGGTGGAAGATGTCACGATCTTTTGGGAACACGGTGTGATCCGTATGCTGAGAAGCTGCTATCTGGCCAAGATCACGACTTCCACTGCCATTCGAACTTGACACGGGCAATTCTTCCTTACGGATTGACAGAGTTTGATGTCCATGATGTGCTGAACGTGTTCCAACTCACCGGCTTGAACGAGAACGACCAGTATTTCATGGAAACCTGTCCAGCTAAAAAAGACGATTATTTCGAATTTTTCGCAGAAACAGACCTGCTGTGCGCCTTATCTGCGTGCCCGGGAGGAGATCTTTCGAAATGGGACTGGGGTGAATCTGACGGAGACTCGGGACTGGACATGACCGACTGTTGTAGACCACTTGGCGTTGAGGTTTACAAGATCACCGACGAGTCCGTTCTAAGTGGCTGGAAAGAGTCGCAACCAGTCAACTATAAAGGTCTCCATGGTTTAAAATTATCGTAAATAAAAATTATATCCATGACTAGTAGACCAATCTCCAGTCTGGAAGATTTCTATAGATTGAGGACCCTGAACAGGTACTCGAGTTGTTGCCAGGTTGTTGGCGATTATTCCATCGAGCTGTCGCGTGAATTGCTGTGGAAAGCTCTACGATCAGTGTTGCTCAACTATTCCCAGTTGTCGATTCAAGTACACCAGAAAGATGAGAAATGGGAACTTAGACTGCTGGAAAGCTACGTTTTAGACGATGTGCTCGAGATACGACCAGAAACAGAGACTCTGGAGCTGCTCAGAGAGTTTAATAAACAGACGTTCGATCTCGGCACGAAAACTCCACTTTGGAAACTCGTTCTTGTTGGAAAATCCAAGCTGCTGTTCTGTTTTGACCATCTGCTGCTCGACGGAATGTCCGGAAGAAACTTCCACGTTCTGCTGAAAGACTCTCTTAACAGAGTTCTCACCCAAACGCTCCCTGTTGATACGACTCAGCCCCTATTTGATACGTCACGTGACTCCGGATTACAGATCAACCCGGAACCAGCAGCTTTCATCGACTACGGCATCTCTGCGTCTGTTTTAACGAGAACGCTGTTGCGTGAGCTCACACCCAAATGGATCAAGTCTCTCCTACAGCGGTTCACGTCGGTTCCGTTGATCCCAGACCAGTACGTCAGAGAGGACATTCCGAGACACACGGCCAAATTTGACGAGAACATCGACCTTGTATCTTTGAGCTCCACGGAAGTGGCCAATCTGATTTCCGTTGCACGAGACCACTCCGTCAAGCTGACAGCGTTGTTTGCAATGTTGTATCACGTGGCACTGTATCCGGTAGTCGGATACAAACACACAGTTGCTACCGTTCCTGTGGACCTTCGTCGGTTTATGTACTCCAAACCAGGTCCTCCTGAGCTTGGACTGTTTATGGGAGTGCTGGAAGTTTCGTTACCCCCAATGGAAACGCTCGATGTTGTTCCGGAAGACCCCAGCTGGAATTTGGCTACTGCTATTCAGAAACAGATAGACGGTGGTTTGCCTGAGTCTCGAAGCAACATTGGACTTCTACGACTTGTTGAGAACGAAAAGTTTCTCAAATCCAAACTTGCAACCCCAAGAACCACCACTATGGAATTTTCGAATCTGGGATCTTACGCTAATAATAAGCTACAAGAGGTGAAGCTCACGAGACTAACTTTTTCACAGTCTTTGGGTCTTACAGGTGCTTATTTTGGTGTCAACATCATAGGAACAGATACCGGGATCGATCTTGTGCTTACTTCGTTACCTGAACTCAAACAGGAGCTCATGCAGACCAAGACTAGATTTTTAAGCCTAATAAGCGAAATAACGAGCAAATAAATAGATCTGGACCCTTGGTTGCAATTTATTTGTACCAATGAAAATGATTATAATCACATCTTAATACAACCTAAACCTTAATATGCTCGTTGTGAAGGACCCTTGATGCCAAGACGGGTGCTTAGAAATGCCTCTCCGGTAAAATGAGCAAAATAAAACTCCGCTTACTTTTTTGGAGAAAACGAGCAAATTAAACATCGGGAATATATAAGACTTGAAAAATGTGCATTTGCTAGCTAATGACTGGGAGAGACCTGTTGGTGTACGATGATGTGCACTGTATTGCCGACATGAAGACGGACCACTATATGATGCTGAAAAAGGCATCACAAGCGGCCACTCCATGGGCAGATATGGCTTTGTACGGAAAGTACATAACATATTTCATTGCAGGATGGATCTTCTTTGGGTCTGTGAAACATTTCCTATTCTCCAACTACGACGTTGACCGTCGTTCAGATGGGCCTGCCAAAATCTGGGAAAGACTCATAGCTGCCGGCCGTTTTATTGTGTACCGTCAGCTACCAACAAAAATCTGCTCCCAACTGGGTCTGCCTACGTCTGTTGGTAGTTTATTGCTGATCGGGGCCGTCACTCTGTACAGTTTGCTTTGGTGTTTTGTTCCTCATCCTTACTACCGCGCCTGTCTTGGATTTGGGTCGCCTCCTTTGGGTGTTCGTGCTGGTTTCATCTCCACAGCTTTTGTTCCATTTATTTTCATCATGTCTGGTAAATCCAACATTGTTGGCTTTCTCACGGGTGTTTCGCACGAGAAGCTCAACAAGTACCACCAAACAGCTTCGATCTTGTGTCTCTTCTTTGGATGGGTCCACACTATCCCATTCTACTACCAGGCAAACAAAGAAGGAGGAACCAGCAGAGTCCACGAGAAAATGTACTCCGATGCCATCTGGGTGTCTGGAGTGCCTCCAATCATTTTCCTCACCTTGCTCTGGCTCGGATCGTTGCGTATCATCCGCAAGTTCTGGTACGAAGCGTTTGTCTCGTTCCATTGGGTGTTGGCCGTTGGGTTCTACATTAGTCTGTTTTACCATATTTATGACGAGCTACAGGCCCATAAATATTTGGTGGCCACCATTATTGTCTGGGGACTCCAATTCTTGTACAGATGGTTTGCCAAGGGATATCTGCGTCCTGGACGTGTGATGAAGAAGACCGTGGCGAAGATCAGCCAGTTCGAGTCTCTGAACCAGAAATGTGTCGAGCTCATGGTGGATCTTCCACTCAACGCAGTGCCGGGCCAACACGTTTTTCTTAGAGCTCTGGACAACACTGCGCTGCAGTCGCATCCATTCTCGGTGATACCAACCTCTGTGGGCTTCAAGTTGCTCGTCCGTGTCTACGACGGGTTCACCAAGCACCTTTTTGAAACCGCAAGCCGGTCTTCAACCATTTCTCTGCTGGTGGACGGACCGTATGGAGGCGTGTCCCGTGACCCACGCAGCTTCTCGAACCTGTTCCTGATCTGTTCCGGATCCGGAATCACCACGTGTCTACCTTTTGTCAGTTCGTACGCCTCGTTATTGGACGATCCGCGTGCTTCGCTGAGCAAAATCCGCCTGGATTGGATCGTGAGACACTCTGACGACGTTTCCTGGGTGAGAGACGAGCTCGTTGCTATTTATGATACTTTCAAGATGGAAACCAAAACCGGCGCGCTGGAGATCAACATCTACTGTGTCCAGTCTTCTGAAAAGGAGCAGGTGATAGGACCTGAATACAACAAGTTCAAGCCTGCAGTGAAGGAGCTGGTGAGAAACTTCTCACTCGGCAGCACTAACTGTATCATCAGTTCTGGATCGCATGCTTTGAAGAACGAAGTTGGCAACGCTGCTGCCCGTCTTCAGAGCCAAGTTGGAAAAGTTCGCGAGGTTTATTTGCATACAGAGGAATTTAGCTTCTGATTAGTATAGTATAGTATAGTACACCTAATGATATTCATTTATGATTACCAGGAACGTAGAGCTGTGGCAGCATACAGCGGACCTGCTGAGCAAATTTGTCCGACAACCATGAGCAAATATCCTGCTATAAATCGTTTTGAAAAGTACGTCTAATGGATCAACATGAAAGACCATATCGTCTACGGTAACGTGCACTGTATTGCCGACAAAGAGACGGATCTCTACACACAGCTCACCAACGCTTCTCAGGCAGCTACTCCGTGGGCACATATGGCCTACTACGGGAAGTACGTCTCGTACTTTCTAGCAGGCTGTGTGTTTCTTGCAACCATGAAACATTTCCTATTTACCAACTACAGTGTCGACCGCAAACACGGCGGCTCGGCCTCCATCTGGGAAAAAGCAGTTGGATGGAGCAGATTCGTTGTCTACCGTCAAATTCCAACTAACATCTGTCGCTATTTGGGACTACCTTCTTCTGTTGGAAGCTTGTTAATAGTGGCAGCAGTTAGTCTATACTCGATGCTGTTTTGTTTCGTTCCCCATCCATTGTATAGGGCGTGTCTTGGGTTTGGATCTCCACCAATGGCTGTGCGTGCCGGCCTCATCTCCATGGCGTTCACCCCGTACATTTTCATAATGTCGGGGAAAACCAACCTTATTGGATTTCTCACCGGAATCTCTTACGAGAAACTAAACAAGTACCACCAACTTTCGTCTGTTCTGTGTCTTTTCTTTGCCTGGGTCCATACCTTGCCCTACTACATCCAGTCCTACAGAGAAGGCGGAACTCATGGTGTGCGTTTGGAAATGAACTCCCACCTGATCTACTACACCGGTATTCCTCCAATTGTCCTGCTCACTCTCCTATGGATGTGTTCCTGGCAGTTTATGCGCGACCGTTGGTACCAGTTTTTCATCTCTTTCCATTGGCTGCTGGCTGTCTGTTTCTACATCAGCCTGTTCTACCACGTTTACAACGAGTTGCAAGGACACTGGTACTTGGTGGCTACCATTATTGTCTGGGGAGGGCAGCTGCTCTACCGGTGGTTCGTGAAAGGTTACCTGCGTCCAGGACGAGTCATGAAACAGGTTCCTGCAGAATTGGTTACACATGAGCTTCTGGGCCGCAAAAGTGTCCAGTTGCAGGTGGATCTCCCGCTGGAGTGTGCTCCAGGGCAGCACATTTTTCTGCGGACACTCGACCAAACATTCATGCAGTCACATCCGTTTTCTGTGATCCCCAACAAACATGGCTTCAAGCTGATTGTCCGTGTGTACAACGGGTTCACCAAACACCTGTTTGAAAAGGCATCTTCTTCCAAACAAATCCTCGTTCTTGTCGACGGTCCGTACGGAGGTCTGGCACGTGACCCGGCTAGTTTCTCCAACATATACCTGGTTTGTTCCGGCTCGGGGATCACTACCTGTATGCCGTTCATCATGAGGTATTTGCGGCACCTGGACAATCCGTCTGCCACGGTTTCGCAGATCCGGCTCGACTGGATAGTGAAGCAGGTTGAGGACGTGTTTTGGGTGGAAGCCGAGCTGAACCAGATCTATCTGTCGGAAAAGAAACCGAGCGGTCTTGAGATCAACGTGTACTGTGCTAATCCGTCTGAAATTAAGCCCCTTCTTGGGCCCCGGTACCATTTCTTCAAGCCGTGTCCAGACGAGATTTTAAAGAGTTACACTTTGGGAAGCACCAATTGCATTGTCTGTTCGGGTTCCGAGACCTTGAAAAAACAGGTTGCCAACGGTTCCGCGGCTTTACAGTCCAATATAGGCAAAGTGCGCGAGATCTACTTGCACACCGAGGAATTCGGCCTGTGATCCGTAATCTGTGTATAGTTTGAAAATATTAAACTAAAATTTGTTAAAATAATGGCGACCATTTCTATTCCGTCCACGGACGTAGATTTGACGCTGGACCAGCTGGTCAGTGTGAGTTTGCAGAACAATTACTCGGCCACGGTGTTTGGGAAGCTGTTTCGCGAGTTCAAGCACCGTGCAACTGCATCGAACCAGGAACTGGATCTCCGGTGTTTATTGGCAGGAAGTGCTCAATCGCCCGAGAAACTCAAGTACGTGCAGGAGATTCTGGTTGACAGTGACTACAGCGAGATTTTGGACGGATTGGGCAGTCTGTTTGGACAGTATCTGGTTCAACTTGACGAGATTGACCAATTAGCAGTGCTGATGTGGTTGAACCAGATATCCTATAAAGTTCCATGGCAATCGAGTTTAGAAGCCGGGTTGTTTTACACGGGTTTTGAGACGTTCATCAACAACAACATCAACCAGGAAATCTCCCCGAAAAAGGCCCTGATGATTGCCAAAATAGTGATCAATTTACTAGGCAATGTTGGCGAGTCCAATGAGGCCTTTGGAACACTGATTCAGCGTTATCTCGAGTTCTTGAAACAGAAACATCCGGTCGCATACGCTCACCTGGACGGCTACTACAAAACACACAGTATCACAAGCATCCAAAAGGACTACAAAGTGAAGAGCGAGAGCCAGATCGATAAGAAAACCAGTCGCAACAGCATCAAGATACTTCGGCTCAAGAAACTTGTGTGGTTGTCTCAACAGGTGACCATTCTGTTTAGTGTCATAGACGATTCGTTTCTAAAAGGATTCAAGACGCTGTTGAACCTGTCGTCAGTGGCCACTTCTGCCACCAACACGTCCATAGCATTTGAGCTGACGGCGTCGCTTTTCGACGGGTTGGCGTTGAGCACCAAACGAACGGGCCATTTCTGGACAACGTTCATTGTGTTCAAGCTGCCCGAAGTGTTCAAGCTGCTCAATATCAGTCAACAGAACCTCAGAGACACGTTGACCAACGTTTTCGAAACTATAAGGGGCCACGAGGAAGTCAAGTCGCGGCTTCTGAAGTCGCTTGTTGAGTGCGAGCTCGTCACCAATGAGGACGAGAAGATCGTGCCGGCCGACCTTTCGCCGTTCCGGTCCATTCTGATCGACGCGAATCCGGAGTTTGTCACACTGGAAGAGTCTAGAGCAAGCGAGTTCTTCAGCTCTGTGCAAACTCTCGCTGGACAGACCGAGCTGGCCGGCCTGGTGACCAACGCGATCTCCAAGTTCATCAACGAGGACGACCACTCGCGACTGAAACGGATCCTGGTTGCTCTTGCCGCGGACGTTTCTGTTATGGACGGTGTGTTTCTGCTCAAGAACCCGTACGAGCTGGTCGGGTCGCTGGTGGAGTACCTGGACTCGTCGATCGAGCGCGGGTTCAGCCAGGACGCGATGGACATCGACGGCGACTCGTCCAACTTGCAGGACGTTCATTCCGATCTGGGAGCCATCATCGTCGTGGTGGCATACACTTCGTTCCGATACTGTTTGGACCTCAAGAGCCGGTTCCCGAGCTCAGAAACGGGACGGATTCTTGTTGATTGGGACCCGATCCTCGACACTGCCGTGATGGAGAAGCTGCAGGACCCAGAATCGAACCTCAACGCCGTGATGGGAGACTGGATCGTGTCGCTGTTCGACACCAACAACACAGACGGAGTTTCCGACGAGCTGCTGAAAAAAAGCTCGGTGCGCGAGTACTATCTGCTGATTCCGTGTGTTGTGAGCGAGGGAGTGCGTGCTTCGCAGCTGGGGATGATCCAGAAAGACGATCTCATGAGCGGCCTTGAGTACTGCCACCAGCCGTTCCTAATTCCGACGTTTTTGAACGTTCTGCGTAGTCTTTTGGCTCTGGCCTGGACAGAGCCCAACTTGGACACCTCTATGGTTTCGCAGGTGCTCAAGACGCTGGTGGACGTCAACTTGTCTGGCGAGCTCCACATCCTCCACCGCATGATCGTGGAGATCGTCAACGACGAGCTGTACGAGGTGGGGAGCGTCAAGAACGTTCTGCAACCGCCTGCCCCTCCGACCAGACTCGACTCGCTGATCGCGTTCCTTGTGGAGCCAGATTCCAAGCACACGTTCGAGCTGGTCGCCGTGTACGAGCAGGCACAGTACCAACAGCTGGACTTCTTCTACAACCAGCTCGACAGCTTGCTGGAGGAAAATACCCACGGACAGGCCTCGCTTGTGGAACCGTTGATCTACGAGCTGGTGGTGACACTCATGATCAGCTACACCAAGCTCAAGGCGCCAGAAAGTCTACAAAAATGGCTCGCTGTGTCGTCGGATCCGGAGGCCGTTTACAACCGTACCGGCTCCGAAAAGGTGTCTGTCGAACAAACAGTCTTGGAGCCAGAAACATCAGATAAGCTCACCGACATGGGTTTCGACACCAACTTCTTTGGGTTCATCGAGGAGCCCAAGGACGACGAGCCGGACTTTGTTTTCGACCAGGAACAAGTACCTACTGTCCCGGGCTCGGACTTGTACCTGGCAAACTTCGCCGCAATCGCCAAGGAGTCCAGTCCTCTTGTAGCTACCGTGCTTCGCAATTTGAACATCTGGTAGGTGCACGACCTCGCAATTATTAGGCTATCTTAGATTAGAAAAATAGTGTATTAGGAATATAAAAGATGGCTGTTTCTGCGATAGCGTTTCCGGAGGACGTTGGACAGGCTCCTGCGATCCGACAGCACAGCACGTTGCGGTATCTTTTGCGACTACTTTCAGTGTCTGGTTACTCGATGGCGGGGGTTTATTTATTTGTTTATGTGGTGTTGAAGCCGATGCTAAAGTTGAGCTTTGAGCGGCGTCGGGAGCTGGCAACCCACTGTTTCCACAAACTCGAGAGTCTTTATGGGACTATAGTGCAGAAAGTCCGGTTTGTGCCGTCGGTGGAGCTGAATTACCGGGGAATTCTGTACAAAGACGTGATGTGTTCTACTGGCGACGAGCCACAGGAGGAGGTGATGAGACAGGAGCCGCGCGGGGTTCACTTTGACGACGAGATCGACCGTGTGGATCTGAAGAAACAGTATCTGTCAACAACAACGGTTCTGGGGTCGCATTTGGAAGGACTGCGTGACACTTTGAAAAAACTTAAAGTTTCAAGCTACAACACTAAAGACACACCGTCCACGTTTGGAGGCCGGCTTTCGATGACCGACGTGAGCGAGATGCGGCCACTAATGTTCCAGATCAAACAGCTCAAGAACTGCGTCGAAATGGTCAGCTCAGACCATCCCAGAGAGTACCTGTTCCGGCGGAGCGTCAACTACGCCAGAAACTCACGAAACCTCAACATCGCCGACGACTTGCGCCAGGAACTCGCAGATCTGCACGCGTTGGTGAACCCGGCGAAAAATTGATATCTTACGAGTAATGATCTATTTACATTGCGTCCTGTAGTTTGTCCTGCTTCAGTTTGGCCATGGAGCTGATGGTTTTCTCCTCGCGCACCTTGTTGAGCGTGTCGAACTGCTGCTGCAGGTCCTCGAACCCGTGCAAGTTCGCAAAGTCCCGCAGCTCGAGCTTGAAGAAGTACGGCAACTCCAGCCCCAGTTCCTGCTCCTTGTGCTTGAAGAAGTCCTCCAGCTGCTTCTCCAGGAAAATCTTGCGCCGCAGCTCTCTGCCACGCTCCTCCCATTTGCGCTCCTTGGCCTCGCGCTCGTGCGGCTTCGGCGTCCACTTCGACTTGAGCACCTTGGCCACCGTCACCACCGGCACGCGGAAAAACTCCGCCAGTTTCTGGCTCGGCAGCTCGTCTGGGAACCTTGCATGCAAAACACGGATCCCTTCGATCGCCTCGCGCGACAGCCTTTTTGTCGTGCTCAGGTCCATCTTGGCCGCCTTCTCCTTCAACGCGTACTTCTGCCGCATGTACTCGGGCAGAGTCTTGTCCTTGCGCCACCCGGCCGGAGGCATCTTGATCTGCCGTTTGGGGGTCTGTGCTTCCTTGTTGGAATAAATGGCCGTGTTCTTGGCAATATGTTCCTTCCAATCTCGCCGGTTGTACACCTTTCCCCGGAACCCGCCCGGAAGCTTATCCAGATCCGGCAGGTCCCACTTGTCTGCCCGCTTGAGCGCCGCGCCCCAACTGCTGAATCTGCGAAACATGCCAAAAATTTACAGAGATTAAAAAAAATTAATAAATTACACCGCTTACCTAAGCACTCGCCTCAACACCCTGGATTTTTTAGACCGCCCCCCAAAAAACTAACACCCATCCCATGAATATCATCAAGAAGCTGCTGTCGAACGCAAACCAGGCGTCGAACGACGAGCTGATCCTGGTGCAGTCGGGCCAGCTGTATCTTCTGCGGTCGCCCAAGTCGCCCAAGTCGGAAAACGAGTGTCTGTTTACAGATGTTATTGTTTCCATCAGAGAAACGTCGTTGCCCTTCAACTACCAGCTGAGCATCAACAAGGCGGTGGAGGCGGGCCAGGACGCGCTCGACGACGATGAGCTAGACGCCGAGGACCACGACGACGATTTCGACGCCGACTCCACCTCGCTCAAGTCGTTTCTCATTGACGAGAAACTCAGGTTCTGTTTGTACCAGAAGTACGGCACTTATGTGATTGCGTGGAAGGATCTGGACGGCGACATCGGCGACATGTTCGAGTTCCGCGTGAGTCCGTCCGGGTCGGTCGACAGCATCAACCAGTTCATGCTGGCTCTGTACAAGTGCGAGTACGAACGCAAGTACAAAAAGTCGAGCTTGGCGCTCAAGTCGGACGATTTGAAGGAGTTTGTTTACGACAGAGACTCGCTGTTTGAGGACATCCCCGACATGTTGTCGTCGCTGCGGTCGTCGGTGAATATCCAGCCTTCCGGACAGCTGGACGACTCTGATTCCGAGGATAAGTTCGAGGACGCTGTGGAAACTGCCGATTCCAAGCTGGTCAAGCAGACACAGGCAGACGTGCTCATGTACGACGAGACTGAGCAGGACTACGTTCTCAAGGCCGAGGCGGCCACCGTGAAGATACTGCAGACCGGTTTGTGGATGTTTTCTCTGGACGTTTCTGCTCCAGCACTGAAAAACTCGCCGGTTGCAACCGTCATCTCGAACTCGATCGACCCGGTGTTCGACTTCGGCTCACTCTCGTTCACCTTCAACGTGGACACTGCGCAGTCTGTTCTGACGTGGGCGTTCCAGTTCGCCTCGCGCGAGCTGTACGAGTCGTTCCAGCAATCGTTCACACAGTGTCTGTACGAGGCCACCAACAAGACGAGCTGGGTCAAGCTCAAGAACGACGAGCAGGACTTTTTGATCGACTCGATCAGAAACCTCAATATTGACGAGATGGACGTGGACTCCGAGTCCGACGAAAGCGAAGACGAGGAGAGCTACAAATTTAAGGACGGCAAGCTGTTTCTCTCGGACGACGAGGACGAGGACGACGAAAACGGGCTGCTCAAACGGTTCAATGCAGGCGGCGTTAATAGCGGTATGAAGATGGCCTATAAAGACAACTTGGCGTTCGTCTCGAGGGGCAACAAGCTGGGAGTGTTCAAGATGGGCAGCGAGGCCAAGCCGGTGTTCTCCACAGCTATTGAAAACATCTCGAGCGCGTCCAAGAAGGGTAAGGCAATCAACCCGGGCAACATGATGCTTCAAAAAGGTGACACGGTGATGATCATCCAGGATAAGGACAACAAGGATAATTTGTACAAGATGGATCTTGAGTATGGAAAAGTGGTGGAAGATTGGCAGTTCAAGAAAGACAACGCTGAGGTGCCGGTGGTGAACTTCACATCAAACGAGAAGTTCGGAGAACTCACAGAGGACCAAACGTTCTTGGGAGTCTCGCATCAGTCGCTGTTCAGAGTTGATCCAAGACTGCAGAACAAGCTCGTGGACAGCGAGTTCAAGCATTACAAGTCCAAGACCAACTTCAGCCACATCGCCACCACAGAGGACGGGTACATTGCTGCGTCCACCAACAACGGAGAAATCAAACTGTACGACAAGCTGGGCAAGAACGCCAAGACTCTTATTCCTGCGTTGGGAGACGAGTTCATTGGCCTGACCACGAGCGACGACGGGCGGTTTATTCTGGCAACTTGCCGCAAGTACTTGCTGTTGCTGGACGTCAAGATCAAGAAGGGCACGTACAAGTCGAGTCTTGGATACGAACGGTCGTTTGGCAAGGACTCGAAGCCTATTCCCAAGAAACTCGCTCTTAGGCCAGAACACCTGGCATATATCCGCAATCAGACCGGCAAGGAACCGCATTTCACGAAAGCCAACTTCAGTATCAACCGGAACTCCAAGAAGAAGGAGCCGACCGCGATCACGACATCCATTGGACCGTTTGCGGTTATTTGGAACTTCAAGAAGGCGTTGCAGAACGATACTTCGGCGTACAGCATCAAACGATACGATAATACGATCACAACCACAGACTTCAAGTTCAACGACACAAGCAAGGTTATTTTCACGTTACCGAACGAGGTTTCGATGGCAAGCAACAGAGCTTTCAAGAAGGCGAGCGACGAGTTCAAAGTTGTTGAGTCTCCGTATTGAATATATTCCGTTCCCCATGTATAATTAGTAAGTAATTCAATAATAATAATATCAACGTTTGAATCCAAAATTGCGTTTTAGCTCCTCCCAAAAGAGACGGCGGTATGCATTGACCTTGTGGGCCCTTGTCGGTGAATAATTGTAGATCGGTTCTGAGGTTTGATGCAATCTTGGAGGAGGCAAATTGTTGAGTCTGGCATGGATAGATCGCACAAAATGGTTGAATCCCCGAGAATTTATGAGCTGGCGGTTAGTTTCCTTGCATTTTGGACGCTTACCTTTCGATAAAGCCAGTTCTCCAGCATTGTCTGGGAATAATTTTTGATTCTCGGAATTATTTTCGTCAAAAATGCAACTATTTGCGAAAATGTTCAAATCTGCGGAATTGATTAATAGATAACCAGTTGGAAAAAGGTGGCAGTTTATTCTTTTTCCGAGAATGGCCAGATTCAACGAGAACTTCGAGTACAAGCTGGACTTTCCCAAGTTCTTGCTCATTGGCGACTCCATCACTGAAAGAAGCGCGAACCCGTTGCCTGTGACCGACTATATTGCAGATGGATACGACCACAGTGGTAAATACTCCACTGATAAGGGCCCTATGGAGTTCTGTTTCTTCGGCCAGCTTCAACACGACTATGTTCGACGGATGGACGTGATCAACAGAGGATTCTCCGGGTACAACTCGGAGTACTGGAAATTCATGATAGATAAGGTCCTCCAAATAGAGCACGACTTGTCGTACAACAAATGTAAGATAGTCTCTTTATTTTTGGGAACCAACGATGCAGCCACTGCTAAACCGGACGGAGTCCCTTATGACGAGTTCTTGTCCAACATGGATTACATCATCAACCAGATCCTCAAAAGAGATATCAAAATCATAGTCGTCGGCCCAGGCCATCATTATCCCGACCTTTGGGAACCATTGAATATGGAAGAGATCGAAGTCGGCATTACGCGAACTAACGAAATCAACCGCAAATACGCCGACTGCTTGCAAAATCTTTGTGAGAAATACTCGCTTCCTTTTGTCGACCTGTACAAAATTCACGATGAATATAATGCGAAGAATGGTGAAGAAGCAACAAGAGATTTGATCTTGGACGGAATCCATTTCACAGCAAAAGGATACATCTTGTTTTATGAACAATTCACAAAAACCTTGACAGAGTGGTATCCAGAATTGAGTGTTCCAAAGATGAAAATGAGGTTGCCCCGGTGGGATGAGTTCGACTCCTCCCAAGTGGAGAAAATTGATATATAATCTCCAAAATAGACATTACCAATAGACAAGTATAGACACTAACTTAAAGGCAAGTTAATCAATCAAGCAATTGGGAACGTGGGCCCTCATCCTCTCCGTTGTGGATGATATTTATAATTGGGATAACATTTAGCGTGAATCTTTTTCTCAGACTGTGCCAGAGAAACAAACGTCTTCTTCACGCTGTTGATCTCGGTCGACCACATGACAGCGACGATCTGAATGAGAAGATGATGGTTGTACTTGTGGATAAAACACTCCCGCCTAAGCTGATGAATGAGTGGCTCGGATAAATTGTAGTATAAGGCTTTGAGGTAATCCAGCTCTGCCTTGGGGTCGTAGGATGAATAAGTCATCCGTAATTTTCCAAAAACGTGCGACGATAATGAGTCTATTAACGAAAGCAACACAACTGCTTTCACTATCGTTGTCCGATACAACATAAAAGAATTCAGGGGTCTCTTGATATATTGAGGAGCTTCGTTGGAATCATCCAAAGTGGATTCAGGGTTGTCCACGCGTTGCTTCTTTGTAGGATTGGAAGCTTTTCTCGCTTTGGATGCAGTATCGTTCGGTTGTTTGAAATAGATAGCAAACTCTTTGACATCCCTAAAACAGGAGATTATCGAATTGTCAAAAATCAAGCTGCTATCCTCATGTCCTGCATAAGTCTTGGCTAAGATATTCAAACCACCATCGGACGATTCTGTCAACACTAGTCCTCTGTCGTCTGTGTGCGTAGGGTATGAGGTATCAAGTTCTGGATTCTCCCCCAACACACGGGAAAGAATCTTGAGCTTGATGTCGAAGTTTCTGAGTTTGAACAGTTTGATAACCTCATCAACTTGGTTCAAGTCCAGGTTTTTGGCGGCTGCCATTTCCGTAATCTTCATATATCTCGATTTCGAAAATGGGGGCAATGGAATTTTCACTGATGATTTGAATAGGCTGTGCGTCTTGCTCTCCATATCGAACACCAGCGAACTGAGCAAGTCATCAAATGCCGGTTTGGACTCATAGTTCTCGTCTTCATCGTCAAATAATCTCTTTTTGGAGACAACGGAGCTTGGCGGGGTGGTTGAGAGAACGGTTGTTCCTGATGTGGATTCACAAAGGGAAGCTGTGGAAGGGGTTGGAGAAGGCTCGATGGCTGAAAAAGGTTGGGCCATGTTAGCGAATCCAGGCTCGTAGCCTTTAAGTTCCAAATGTGGTTGTGTATTCGAAGGAGCAGTTTTAAGCGAGTGTGCTCCTTTTTCTTCGCGCGGTAGGTTTGTCATGATCAATGGCGAATCGAAAGCATCTGGTCCCAGATCTTCGAATTCTGCCTCAAAGTCGTTGTCGTCTTCGTCGTCTAATTCGTTGGCTTCGGCCTCACTGATGTCGCTAAAGTCGTCCAATTCGAAAAAAGATGAGATTTGGATTTTGGATGCTTCGCTACCGCTATATGATCTGTTAAAAGTGAATGGATGCTGCGGAGGCGAAGAAGGAGCGTTCAAGGTGGTGAACGAACTGGATTCATATAGCGATGGATACTCGACAATAGGGTCTGATGTGGGCAAATTTGGGAGAGGGCATTGCTGATGGTTTGGTAGCTCGTCAGCAAGGGGATGGAAAAGATAATGGCTCCATTGATTTGGAGGCCGGTTTGGCAATTTTTTATCATCGACCCAAGTAGCACATTGGTTACCTGTTCCCATAAGGTCATAGTTTTGTGCAATGTCGAGGGTATCCTGGTCGAAGACAGGGAATACTGAGAAGTTGGTTGGCGAGTAGGAGTAGTTATCGTTGCTTATCAGTCTGACGGTGCGAGGAGTGCTTTCGGCTGGGGATCTGACGGGTTGAGATCTGGAGCCTGGGGTTTTGGGGCGTTGAGACCTATCTGGAAAGTGAGGCTGAAGCAGCAGTTGCTTTGAACCGCTTCTGGATGACCCGTTCCCGGATTCAGAAAACTGACTTGAAGATAAAGCAGTAGCACTACCAAACTTGATAGTGGAAGATGGTGGAAAATAGACGGGTGAAGAAGCCATTGTTTAGAATGTTTCAGATTTCAGCATGTGGGGTGGATGGAACCAGACAGAAAGGACAACGTTGTTTGGAAATTCGGCTGCACACTATTTGGCCTGTACACAATTCAAGTTTATGGAAAGAGGTAGAATAGCATGGAACTCCCCAAAGCTTTTGATTTCACGTCAAATGGGAGCCACCTATAAATTTATACTTTTTCCATTGGGTTCGGTCAACCAATGAAAAGGGAATACTTGGGACCGCGTTGCGTTGGAATGCGCGTTGATAGCCACAGACAAAAGAATATAAGAGCAGGGGACAAGAAACAAAGAATTTGGTAAATTATTCACATATGAAAGACACACACAACTAACCAATTTTTAGGAATTCCCAGGTTCCGATGCATAATTACCTGCGCTATGCATGAAAAGAAGCAAGCCCTCTTTCAAGGAAATCCGAGATACGTCAAGATCCGAGACGAGCCGGTGCAAGGAATGGCTGAAACTTGGTAGCCAAGATCGGACTGCTACGGTCGTTCCACACAGACTTGTCTTGGTTCAATAGGACCATGGACCGTGAAAACACAATTGGTCCCCAGATCCAAAAGCTGATTTCACTCTATCAATGCAGGTGGAGATACGCATAGGACTAGCTTTATAGAGGGGTATTTTGGTGTGGTTTCTGCTGCACGTAATTTGTTCCTTAGATTATAGGAAACAGCGGGATCAATAAACCGACACGCAAACAATACTATCTATAAATTACTCATGCACTAACCCTCTGTCAAATTCTCTAATTATGGGGCATTATGATCGGACAACAGAGCCATGTTCCTGTAAATCCCACAAAACGTACCATTTTCTTCTTTGGCATGGGAAGAAGCTCCCACAATTCGCCCCTTTTAGGTCACTATCTAAGATACGAGATTAAGTATTCCGTGAAACGATCACGTTTTCACCTGACGTAACCCCCAAGTTATAAGTAGCAGCATGCCACATTCCTATTTTCAATTCCATTCTTGAAAAGCCTGCCCCACAACACCGATCTGTGTCGCGGACGATCAAAAAATCAAATCACCACTGTGCAGCACAAAGTGTGCGCGACACTTATGCCAACCCAATTAAATTCTGGCTCGCGAAATTTGCGTTTCTCAAAAAAACTTCTACAAACAACCATATCTCCAGCATGTCCTTTGTTTTGAGAAGAAACTTGTCCTCATTGATCCCACCTAAGGTGGCTTCTGCCTCCAACCTCGGCTCCAACCCAGCCGCCAAGAGAATGCAGAACATTGTGTCCTTCTACTCGAAATTGCCAAGAGGACAGGCCAACTTCCCAAAGGCCAAGTCTCCACTGGGAATTTACAGAGAGAAATACTTCGACACAGGCTCCGGAGCTCCTCTTCTGCACGCATCGCTGTTCTTCCTTGCCCTTGGTTACGGATTCGAATACTTCTTCCACTTGTCCCACCACAAAGAACATTAGAATGACTAGACTTTATAGCACTTGAATTCATGACTCAGGACCGTTACTTACAGAGAGCATTGAGTCGAAATCGGTGAACTTGCGGCCCTGCTGCCGCTCCGCTTTGTCGATCTTGACCCAATTGCTCCAATCCACCACGTTCACCCCCCTTTCGGCCAGCAGCTTGGACACCTTTTCGCGGCCGTGTCCTTTGCTCTGCGGCAGCTTGTCCAAGTCCTGGACAATGCTGTGCGCAACCACACTGCTGTCGGCCACCGTAGAATTGATCGACCCACGAGACCCGTTCGCAATCCAGCCAACGCAATAGGTCTGTTCCACACCAACAACCCGACCTTCCTTGTTGGGAATGGCCCCCCGCTGCACGTCAAACGGAATTCCCAGCTCTTCAAACTCCGCCAATGCCTCGCCCTTGTAGCCGATACATAAAATCAGCAGCTGGTTGCTCACCGACGCCAGCTTATTGGTGGGCTCGATCTTACCGGCTGGGGTGATTTGGTTTTTCTTAAATATCGTCTCCTTCAGCAACAGGGGGTCTTTGGAGTCCACCTTGATCCCGATCGGCGTCTTGAGGTAGTCCAGCTTCCACGACTTGCCCTCTGTCTCGGCGACACAATACTTCTCCGCCAACTGTAGCCGTCGTTTCTCGATTCGTCCCAGCTTTGTGGTCTTCAGCGAGTCTCCAAACAGATCGGCCCCCCACCCGGTGAAACGCACCCCGTATTTGTCCATCTCCAGACACTCTCTGAACTCCTTGTTGGCGAACTTGCTGTCCAGGAACCCACGTCGCGCACTCACCGTGACCTTCTTGACGGTGCTCCGCTGCAACGTCTCCAACGCCCCGGGCACAATGTCTGTGTCCTTCCAGTGCTCGGGCGGAGCCAGCAGAACCCGCACAATGTCCATGGCCACGTTTCCGTTCCCGATAATGGTCACCTCCTCCACTTTGTCCAGCGGCGGGTTCAAATCCTGATCCTGCGGGTCTCCGTTGTACCACCCCACAAAATCCTTCGAATTGATCACGGCCGGATGGTCCTCGCCCGCAATGTTGAGCCGGTTCTCCTTGTTCGACCCGTACGCAAACACAATGCTGTCGTAGTTCTCGTACAGCTCCCTCAGCTTGATGTCCTTGCCGATCTCCACGTTGCCAAAAAACTGGAACCGCTTGTCCTTACTAGCGTCCTGGAACCTCTCCTGGCACGACTTCACCTCCGGGTGGTCAGGGGCCACGCCGAACCGGACCAGTCCGAACGGACACGGCCGTTTCTCAAACATGTCGATCTCCACGGGGATGTCGTACTTCAAAATGTCCAGCGACGTGTAGAACGCCGACGGCCCGGAGCCTATGACAGCAACCCGTGGGGTCGAGAGGAACCGAATCCCGCGTGCGAGTGGGAACCTCGTAATAGTCATAACTGGGAATTATGTCAATATTTTTTTTCCAGAGATGGTCTTAGGATTACATTTCCATAACATTTTGCACAGCCTTTGCACAGC